GGCCATTTATAGATAATTGTATGGGATATCGTCGGAAAAGAAAAAAAAAACTTAGATTTAGATTCTTCAATGCAATATTTATCCCTAAGTGAAACTGGCTTGAGAATCTGTCATTGTCTCAAAAAGTATTATCATAAGCTCTGCTACAGTCGTATATCTCTTACGTACTTATTCTATTTAAGACCATAGTTAAGCATAGAGGTGATGCCATTAAAGAAATATTTAGAGTTGTATGTATAGTTAAGTCCCAACAGCATTGATTCAGATGGCTGGCTCTCAGCACAAAAGGAAGTGTACTTACGCTTGGACCCGGACCTGGAACATCACATGTTCCTAAGCCTAGTGCACAAACGCAACACTGCGCTATCAGGCATATATATATATATACATATGCGGGAACGGGTGGGAGGTGTACTGATGTACAAGTATTCGTTTGCAGTAATAGAGAGTCATTATCGTGTATCGAAAATGATTAATAAAATGAGGCTGAAACTTAATTAAACGAGGTTTTTGTATTTGTTTTTGAGATACGACTGCCAGTAGGTGGATGACGATAGTGCGTCGCGTCACCCGAAATTACTGTGGAGCACAGAACAGTACAATCTGGGCAATAAATACCCACCCACATTGGGCAAAATTTTAGGAAGATACCGAGGGCACAGTCTTAACAGCGAGCTTATGTATAACGCGTAAATGTGCTTTTTCGTTTGCTTGTGTATTTGCAACATAGTTTAATGACGACACCAAGACGCAGTACTGTGCGAATGCAGGATGTGCCCTTGTCATCAACAATGTGTCAATCGCCTTCAGTGTTTGTGACCCCTATCCTCAACTCGACCGAGGATATTGATAACATACATGGCGGTGCGACACAGCAGACACCAAACAGTCAGTTCGTGTTCATTCGACGCGGCAAGTACGTTGTTTTTTTACGATTCTAATTGTCGTAAAAGTTTACGTATACAAAAATGTGTGTGTGTGTGTGTGTGTGTAAAATGTGTAAAAATGCTATCTCACGGCTTTATACGTTAGTATTCAAAATTGTCATTGTTGGCAATTGGCATATGTCAACAATGTTAGAAAAATATATAAAATAAATGCATTTCACGTTAACGTTATATTCAAGATGATAGTACATTTTAGACTATATGAATTGTGAAATCTCGTTTGTCTTTGCTAAGCTGATGTTACAGACACTACGTTTAGAGTAAATATAAGCACATTGTTAAATCGTTTAGCCATCTGAATGCATTCAACGTGTTTTTCTGATGATTCATTTATGTTAATGTTCTTTATTTTTTTTTTGTTTTATGGTAAACAATACAACATGGCGTTAACTAATGACCTGAAGCACTCGCGGTTCTTCAACACCTAAGCGACAAGTTAGCCTATGCCCTTTCACGACACCTGACCGACTAGGCGAGCCACTTAGTGCACAGGAAGATTTTGAAAGTAGTAAGCAGATGATCAATCAGCCGTTGGACGATACAACATTTAGCCCATGCATCGATTGGCAGTCAACCATGAATCCAATGGTAAGACGACCATCATAAGGAATATAGGCGAGTTAGTACACTGAGGTGTATATTTTGTTGGATCCGAAAAGTTTTAATTATGACTTTCCCCTAATCACTTTTCAGCATAATTATGAAGACTTTGAGGAAGACCAATCTGAGTAATTAGAATTCTGTGATGTCTTTAGAAACTTTAGTCCAAGTGGTATTTGTAACTAGATATGGTGACCGTACTTCACAACAATACGAATGCTTTCATACAGTAGCATTTATTACGAAGAGTGATCATAAAGCTTGTTTCAGTTTTCCTTCTCCTGTACGAATCTTGTACAAATTTACCTTATTATATTAATATCATTATTCGTTTACACCAGTAATTTAAATTTATCGTCTAGATATCGCCCAGGGTACTACGCATGGTGATATAGCTTAACCATAGTTCAAAAGAGGTTGAATAATTTTATTGAATTTAAATACAGATTCATTAAACTGACATGCAATTTATAATCTGTATTTACGAATATTGACACTGTGATGGTAATAATAACCATCATCATCTATGACGAATTCTATTGATTGTTTAAGGTCACCTGAGAAGCGAATAGCATTATTGTAGTTATACGCACAAATGGTTTACCTTTACCTATTTTTATATTTTGTTTTGTAATAGGCGTTCGATGTTTCGAATCCAGCACTCTATCTCCCGCCGACGCGAACAGGCAGCGCTGAACAAAGAATCCAAAATCGGATTGCTGAATTTTTTCGAGAAACAAAGATTGTTCCATCACCTTGTACTGCTGAAGGTGGTGGCAGAACACGGTGCTATTTATCGCTTGATACAGCAAAATTACAGGACATAGCTTTGAGTTCAAAACGTGTAATTCCATCAGTTTACACACCGAAGAAAGCCTGTGTTCGAAATATGGCGACCCAAACGTGTGTCACAATCCCACCAAGCGTCGATCTCAATAAACTGTTCGGTACGATAGTTTTAGCTACACATTTTACATATATTCACCTCATAAACACTTATTAGTTCATAATCACAGCAGCTGCGTAGGATTATTTAGATTCACGTACTCGAGCCGTAAGTTTCATAATGCCGCACAGGATGTGATTTATTTGGTTCTCCTCTGATATTCTGTGCGGCAGTAATCATAGCCCATACTCTAGAATAATCGAATAGTTATGGCTTATCTTCATGCGATGAATGCGAATCTAAGTTCAAAAGTACAAAATGTGATATGGGTCTTCGAAAATATATGTACGCATTTTAATAGCGATACAAAAACTTGCAGCCCCGTTTGCTACGTATATGGAAACAGAAGTGCCGGAATCTTTCATGGATGCGTCGAGATCATCAAGTTCGTCGTCGGATTCGATTTGCTCGATCTCACGCCGCAAATTGTTCACTGAGGAGGACGAAAGTCCTGTGGTCGCCCACAATTGTCCACGCGCCTCCCGAAGCGTAGAAGAAGAGGATAAAAAAGAAATTGCAGTTTTTCAAAAAAACCACAAGTATGTAGAATAATGTAAGAAAAATTAAGATTAGTGTATAAAAAAGGTTAGTTCATAAAATCTCTACAGCGCTTCTGTTTCTGTATATTTTAATCATAAGCTGCCACATTCCAATAGCCTTGACAAGTTTCTTTTGCTCAATTTTTTTTAACAAGTTTTTTTAAGTCAAGACGGTTAAGACAGTTGTCTAACTCGAAATTGTCGTCGGTGCTCTGACGCGGGCTCAACTTTCGATGCAAAAACTGCATTATCTGGTAGTAACTAAATCATAAAAGTACACGAATCTGATGTATCTATAACAATCTACAAACTAAAATCGTATATAATAACTACAATGTTACGATGCCGTCACTGTATTCATCCTTATGTTATTAGTGCACTTATAACTACAATATTTATTAGCGTAACTTATAAGTAGTTCTAAGCAGTGGGGTTCAATGAAAACTTTTAACTTGGTTATGAACAGAGAACCAACAGTATTGGATGACCAAAACGTAACTCTACTTTTTTCAAAATCAGATTTCTCTAGTTCAATTTTTAGGGTATCTATTGCATCTAATAATGGCAATACTAAAATGGTTTTTATGATTATTGTTTTTTATTGATTGATTTATCACCGCGTTGTTTCAAAACCTGAATCCCTAATAAATATTTATAATTCTTTGCTAAATATTAAATAAGCGAATAAATAAGCGAAACAATCTTTGCTTGTTTAGAATAATTACCTGGAAAAGCCAGTACTGCTACAAATTAAGAGATGCAGTTTGACAAAAACCATCTAAATGCATGAGATCTAAAATGTTGATAACTTTTTGGCTGTAAACCAAAAAATATTTTGTCGTTTCATAAGTTTCCATAAGTGGTTTATGTTTTGGCGCCACTAATGGGATTAGGCTTTTTATTATATTTGTAGGACTGGCTTCCAAATCGTATGTGTTGGATTCTATCATACATTCCAATTAATTTGCACAAGTCTCCATATATAAGCGTTTCTGAAAGTTTTTTTAAAATCAGTTTTGTTGTTTTGTTTTTAAAAAGAATCGAGCGAGGCTCAAACTCGTGCGGAAATTTGTAAATAGACTCATATCGATAGCCAATTAGGCGGTACGGAAGTTTTTTGCTCGTTTTCGAGTTGGTAACCTAAGCATCGAAGGCAAGGCACTTGGAAGTCGATCCTAAAAATCCAAAATTTGTACTGTAGGCGACCAAAACCCACATATGAACAGATTACAGAAAACATTTAAGCATACAAGTGGAGCATTTAAGAACTTCTAGCAAAACAATGGTCAAGTCGCTCGGACAGATATGTCAGTTCTTCAAGATTTGGCCAATCATCAGCTGATAAGCTGTGCGTGCACGGCCGATCATTTTATGAATTTGCGCAGGGACAGTCCTTTTCGTGCAAAGATGGTGAGGGGTGATGGAAAGTGGAAAATATACCATAACGTCACTCATGTCAGACCACGGTCAAGGCGTAGCAGTGCCTTTCCAACAAAAGCTAAAACCGGGCTTCATCCAAAAAAAGTAGTACCATGCGTTTCGTGGGACTGCAGGAAAGCGCCCTTTGATGAGCTTCTCTCAAACAAACAAAGCGCTACCTCAGTTATGGACTGCAAACTGTTTGACTGTTTAAAATACAGCGTCTAAGGGAAATACCTAGCCATGACCAATAGAAAAGGAGTTATGATTCGTCAACACCCGGCCTCGTACATTTTTAGAAACTCGCCGAAAGTTGTACGAATCTTATTGGGATGTTTTGCCTTCTTGAGCTCATAGTTCGTTCTGATTACCTCTTCAAAGCCTTAATGGAAAGATTTTTGTATCTTCGGAAAATAAAAAAACTTCTACAAAGGTTGAATCCAAAAATGGAGCCTAAAAACGGACGAGTGGGATTGCCAGTATCGTTAGTATATCATTGACTGAGGTTGTCTGGACAAAAAACAGTTTTTATTCAATATTAGGTAAAATTCAACTGTGAACTTACGAAAGTATCTAGCTTTATATAGAAAAGTTTAACTTATATTGTTTATTGTGATACATTCTAAAAGATCCTCTCGAAGTTTTATGATGTGTGAATCCTTATTCGTATCTCATAAATGCCACAGGCAGCTTTTTCCTGCTCCGAAACTTCCCTGTTTAATGCGGATCTCTCAGTCAGCTTAGGCGTGTGCAAGCCTCGCAATAGATTAAAATCGAAAGATTCCGAGCTGTAGTTGACTATCTATAAGGACTACAAACTAATTTAAGATAAAGTATGTCCGTTATTACAATTACGAAAGGAAACGTGTGCGAGCAGTTTTAGCAAAATGTTCAAGATGCTGTGTCAAATCGCTGAGATGGGAGTTAGATCCGAGCCTTCGATCATTTCAAAATATCGTAGCAATCGCCTGTTGCTCATCGACAGGCGCATCTGAGCGAGATGATCTAGCATATTAACAAAGGTTAAAAAAGTAGTTTTACTTACACCTCGGTGACAACTTATTAAACTTGTTGCTTGCACCGATTTTTTGATATTGACCCATGTACACATTGATTAAACTGCTTTCTCGAAAGAAGGAAATTAGCGTCTTTTAGTTTGGCGTGGTTGGGACCTTGATATATGCGTCGGTGCTCTCTAAGAAGGATTTTGGGCACCGTGATCCTCCCAAAAACAACGTCGTAATGCTTCCACAAATAAAATTATTGTAAAAAGGAAAGAAATCGTGTATGCACTGATTTAGTACTTTATTACAGTTTCAACGATACCATTGCCTTGTCCTCTCCGCCACGGACAATGCGTACCAGTTGCTCGGTGCTGATGAATTCCTTCGAGTCTCCCGTATGTATTTACTTTATAATGATTAACTTGTTTGAGTACTATATCCAAAGCGTTAGTTGCTTTCCAATGAAGAGAATCATGAACAGCTTACTTCTAATTGACGTTACGTTTGTAATATTCTGGAGTTCTTTGTTCTGTAATAAGTATCGTTGAATGTTTTTATTTTAGGACCAAAAAATTGAGAGCTCGCGCTTGATGTGCCACGATTTTTATAAGGAATCAGATAAAAACCTTCTAGATTGTGACAGGGATGAGATCCCACGGGGGGAATTTCATATTGAATTGTCGCCTATCAAGTCACCTCAGCGAACTTGTTATAGCAGTCAGCTACAAGTTAGTTCATTACAAATCGGAGATTCAAGTAGCAGTCAAGAAAGGATCACATCAGCAATGGCAACAAAGTCGTCGGATCAGGGCTTTCAATCTCGCGAGGGATGCAGCAGTCACCTAACGACGAGTCATGTCGGTATGTTCCCACAGGTTTCACATTAATTTTGGTGTATTCATAGGCATCGGCAATACCGATGCAATGCTTGAGGCTTTCAACGTGATTTTATTATTCGTAACCACTCGACATATTTAACTCAATTCTGTTATATATTAATAGAAACAACAATATTAGTCAACGATAATAAATGCGACACGTCCGATGTCTAGACAATAGCCGGGACAATCTATATACTAAAATAGATTCGATTAAAATAACGAACTGAACATTGTTAATACAAAGGAGAATATATATATGTACATTAAATAGATTCTTCTAGTGTCACGCCATTATCTATTGTCTGTTTTGAGCTATGATGTTACGTGATGACTGTTTCTCGTAATCTATTTGTTTGTATTTATGACTGAAGTGAATTAAACGCAGCAAACGTGTATTTAGAAAGAGCGTCGCCATCATTATGGTTCAATTATCTTTTTCAGAAGTAACGGCCATAATTTAGAATTATTATCGCTAACTAATCTGTAAGCGAAGCTCATATGGGTCACAGCGGGCCAAAAAAGTGTTGACCATACTCTGGACTTTTGTCAGTAAAAGGTGAATCTATAAATTAGGTTGCGGCACTACACTCTCGTACCTGTCTGCTACTAGCAAATCAAATTTTAAAGCGTTCCAAATTGAGCCCTGTGTTTTTCAAATGCTTCGCCTGCATTGAAGTAAATGACTTCAGTCCGTTTCTTTTTGGAAAACGAAAATAAGCGTGCATTGTATTCGCTGTTACGGATGAAATCAAATGTTTGCAAGTGGTTCCAATTCTGCAGAAGGAACCGGGCTATGACTCCGTGTAAGTGCATTATTAATGGCAGCAATGATCTCGCAATGGATGAGCGAGCTTCGAAGAAGACGCCGGGTTTGAGAGATCTGTCGAGCACTGAGCAAAACGTGCAAGACGCGAAACAACTCAAGGAGAAGGGTTAGATATTTTTCAAGACTCATGTCGGAGATTTTGAAAGATGATTTAGAGATGTGGAAGCTTGCAGCAAGCATTGTATTGAAGAATTTGCGTTTGGCGCAAACGAAGATCCGTTAACAACTGTCTTAAGAGAACCTTAATGGACTCCTTAGGAAATGTACTTTCTCCAGCGTGTCGTTACAGGTGAGGAGCCTCAAATGTATGAGTATCACTTCAGAAGCGAGCTTAAACTAACAGCTGTAAAATCCATGTTAAAAAGCAAGCTTTTTTTGCTGTTTTTTTTTTCGACTATCGTGCATTAAATATTCATGCCAAGTCGTTTTATGCCTACTAAAACGTACGGCCAAGATGTTTTGAAAAGATTGTGCAATGAGTTCTCCTAAAAGGCCTAAACTCATGAGAAATTATTCACTACTATAATGCACCGGCTGAAATGTTGCTTTCGCTCTAATGTTTCCTTCGGAAAAACCCGGAGCTTGTGTTGCCTCTAAAATCGTACTCGCTAGGTGTAGCCTTCTATAACCTTTCCTCTTTTGTTAAACTTAAGTAACACCTGAAAGGAAAAAAATTCGAGGCGATCGAGCAGTTCCAAGAAAACGTGAGAATAAAGCTGTAAGGACTATTTCTTCAATTTAGCTTGAAACGGCTTAGAGGTTGGTAAAGACTGTGGCACTCGTTTATTAAATCCTGAAGGTTTACTTTCAAGGGGGACAACTGCGATCTAGACAATTGGGGTATGCGCAGTTCATACAAAGATCAATTGCTGATACGTATTTGATCCCGTAACTCATTACGAGGCATTCTCACTGCGTTTACTTGTCTCCCTTCTAAATGTACCCTTGTTTTGAACGCGATGTTTAAGTGGACGCCTCTATTTAAGGGTTTTATTTTTCGCGGTTCCTATAGACAAGGTACGCACTTCGAAATCGAACTCCTCGAGTGCTCATCTCTGCCTGTTTCAAGGTACGAATGGAATCATACGTGTCTGCCCTTCGCTTAAGCAGCGACGTAGATAGCAGTATAGACAATATCTCAATCAAGTATATTAGTAGGAAGGTAAACAACAAGCAGCCCATTAACGGTAGGAATTTGTCGATCGTATTATGAGCAGTAATTTATTGCTCTTGGCTGTGGCACTTATGTGGGCTGTGGGTTTCTTCACGAGTATTATGCATATTTTTTGATGAAGGAAGGAAATCAACCCGTATTATTAGTCGCTTTGTAATTATAAATGTAAAAATGCACCTCTGAAGAGTAACTTGGCCTAGTTTTTGGATTCCTCAGATTTCTCAAATGATTTGTGAGTTCTACAACACCTATAGGAGGACTCTTGGAAGCAAATATGTAGGCTCAACGAAGACCTTATATAACAGAACTTTTGCAATGACCTAAAGAGACTTTTTAACGTATTATTACACATTCTGATAGAATTTAATTGACACAAATAACGAATCCTTTGTCATCTGCCGAGCTCATTTTGAACTAGTAAGTTACCTGGGAGTGACTAACTCATTCTTAAAAATATCTTAACTATGCAGCCTTGCATATATTCGAGGTAGCTTTTTTAAAACGAAGTACTCGCCTAGACAAACTCAGGCTTTCATCTTTCACTTCTAGGTATTTCTAACGGACACGTCATGCGCTGAAACAAAGTCAACAATATACACGATGTCGTCGTCTAGCGCCTTTTGGAGATTTCCCAAGGGTAAATAGTAAGTGGTATTGATCTTACTTGTATTACATCGTTTTATATATAAAACCAGGTGATTGCTTTTAAGTAACCTGTCTTCCAATATATCCAGCGGGTTAAATTTGAATGAAATTAATGGTCTGGACCTTGATCGTGTTTGCACTTGCAAATCCAGAAAAAGGTGGAAAGCTTCTAAGTCGTGCTGTTATTTACATATCAGCTTCTGAATGCCGTTGTATGGCCACCTTTTGTGAAGAGAGATAAGGCAAATTATAACGATTGAGCTCCTGGATAACAGGGTATCGATTTTCATCTCCCAAAGTCACCCTATTTTAATGCTGAATAGTGCTGGACAGATCGTTTTGGTACAACAGAACATTAACTTTTATTGAATTGTAAAATAGTGAAAAGTGGACATCAAGTAGGGGCATTCATGTACTTCCTGAAATGGGTACGCCATATTGCTGATGGGCGCTACATATGATAAATACACATACATAGCTACAGTATGATAAAATGTTACACAAGTGTTCACGTCATTGGCTAAAATGACAATGGCAAGTCTTAGCATATGCCGCGACCATATGATAAAACTATGGAAAAAACTACTTAATCTGTAGGCATTATTCAAGTACTCCACGTTTTTCAAAGGGAAGCTGGAAGATTCCATACGTCGCAAAAGTTCAATAAAGAGGTCCTTTGGATACTTCATATTCTGTTCAGTATAGTATCCCGGTTATGGTCTTAGGCTGAATTTTACAGAAGTATGTGTTTCAACGCGTTTTGACAAGTCTTGGAACTATGCGACCTCTTATTTAAGGCAGTGGCATTGGAACCTTGTTACGCCTCCTCCCGCTTTCCTCGATTGACACCGATAGTTATTGGAGTGAAAGCCCCTAAGACATTTCTTCAACTGTACGAGCCACTTATAAATTTCATATTTAAGTATGTTTGTTATTCTATATATATATATATATATATATATATCACTTTTATGCATCGTTTGTTTCCAGAAGGCGTCAGCGGTGTGATAATTTTACTAATGCGAGTTTCATGAAAATGCCCATCGTTCAATAACTCTGCAAGTGTAAATGCAACTGTTGTTAACGATCATAAGTTATCATGATGCAATTCGCGTATACTCGCCGGCTGGCTGAAATCTCCAAACGCGTTGACAGAGCCCAAATGAGTAAGAAGCATAATCAGTAGATAGTACTGATTGATAGCCGCTACGATGAAACTATAACAGAATATTAGTTTGATTGCCAGCAGTGATAGGAATAACTAGAACAATGAAAATAGCTAGTTACTGTTTCTTACTTTCCTAGCAAGACTTAAGGGAGGTTCACTTTGTAATATAACAAATTGATACAAGGAGGTACTGTGAATAATTCGCCAGGGCAACCATTGATCGTCAATTTTCAATGGCTAGTCGAGTCATACAATTATCGTTGTTAGATATGCACTTCAATAAATTCAATAATCTAAGAAATCCGCTGAGTAAATTAGGTTATCACGTTCATGCCGTCACACTGGGTAGCAGAGCACTCGCTTGACAGCAACAGTTGCTGTAGCTACAACAGGCTGTTAAGTTTGCTCTAAAAAGCTGAAGATGCAATTGTCGTCTTAGTATCATAGGAATGATAGTCAATCGGGATCTCCGATTCAGTACTTGAGTGAATAAGCAAAACTGTTGTATTAAGTAACTAGTTAATGAAGGATAGATGAAGAAATGAATGCCATTAGCAAAGATTTAGCCTAACCGATGAGCTTATACAAGAAATATGACTGGTAATAATAAACCTCAAAAGGCAAAACGAAAATATAGAGTGATTGCGTTTTTATTGGTTCTGAAACGGTACTTCTAGCTACCATAATAACATCTTTTCTGCTATAGGGCATTAAATGGCAGCAGTGGAACCCCCCGTTCGCGTATGCGAACATAACAATTCGGTAGGGGAACCGGGTAGTGGTAGTGGGTTCTTACGAGGTTAGTCATCGAAGCGATGTAGCATTGACATCTCAACGACAGAAAATCCCATACCACAACCCAACTTGCGGAACTCTTAATCGCATGAAATCACTACCGCAAAATTTTGGGCTCAGTTAGTAACTTCAACTTACAGCCATCGTCTTTTTATGAACTAGTTTTTCGAACGACTTACTTTCTATAGAGCGACACATTAACACTGAATTTGGAAATACAACATAACTGTTCTTTGTCTGGATCTGTGATAATGTCGTTTAATTTGAGAGAGCTGTTGGCCAAGTCAAAACACTAATCGAACACTTTCAAGCGCATTGCAAACCACATCTTCACGAGAGGAATGAAATCAATAATCAAGCAGTTTATTTTTGCCAATGGCGACTATAATACATTTACACAAATATCCAAGGCCGACAATCCCACAACTGTTCTTTACTCGTATAGAACAGCTAAATGAAAATTTGACAGTTGGTACAATTATAGTTTTTGGTTTGATCATGTGCTGTACAGCGGATTTTGATAGTTGATTTTAATCAAAACATAAACAAAAATGTCTGAATCCTTATTAATTAGAATTCGTACAAAAAAATTAACTTAATTACTGTCATTGCTAAGAAACCTCGTGCTTCTCGCATGCTCTTTCATAGTAGACATGAGCACAGCGTTGATTCCTTTGCAGTGGTAAAATTCGTTACGGAGGCTTCACGCTTATAAAAAAAAAAAAAGAAGAAAAATTCAATATTCTCACTGTATCTTCGGTCAGGTACAGGTATGTGTATGCGTTGATAGCGGCTCAACTATGGTCCCGCGCACGTGATGCGCGACCCAGCTGTTGTTATATATAACAATGGAATATCAACAGCAGAACAGGTACGAACGGTTACTTATTTTCTTTCTCATATGGGAAAGCAACTTGCCGGGGTGACAGTACGATAACATTACAGTGTGACAGCGTCGTTTTGTTGTCCGCTTGCCCGCCGTACCTGTTTCTTGCCAAACTGCAGTTGCTCTAGCGGCAGCACCATCATCATCGTCGTGTCCAATACCAGAAGCAGGAGCACCGCCATCAGCAGCATCATCATCATCATTATCGTCGATGGTGGCAGCGGTTGACTTTGCCACCCATGCTGCGACTGTCGGCACTGCCCTTACTGTTTCCAAGAATACCGTCACCACCAACCAGAAGGGGTTTCGTTTTTGTCCTTGTCATTATCATCATCGCCGTGTTCTATCACGACGTTACCACCACTGGATTCTATTGCCACAATTATTACAAATACCATTAATATTTCTTCTATTTTATATGAATACTGTTAAAACTCTGTGTCTGTGCGCGTGTTTGTTCGAACCAAACCGACTTAACGTGAGCTGATTGTGCTAATCCATAGAGTATCATCCGGAATTGAGCTGCGCATCAGATGGAGCTGATTGGAATGAATCGTTTTCCCTTGAGGGTAGTTTTTTTTCCATCCCACAGAGCATAATGTTAATTTGTGCTCAACTGGTCGTTTTTGCGGTTCTTTAGCATTTTTTTTGCGAGATTTTCTTATACATGGTCTTGTAAGGGTTGTTGTGGGCTATTTTTGGTGGGGTTTCTGTGGAAAAAGTTTCTACTGACAAAATGGCAGTGGAATATTTTCACATAGGTTCATGTAGGAGGAGTCGTTGGCAATACCAGCCGAAACCTCTCGCCAAACTAGGTCAAAGTGCAATGATGTCCTTTTACATACATATGTTTTCAGATTGAAAATGCATCCCAAGCGAAGAAAACTTAACATGGAGTCCTAATAAGTATTAAGGCTTTTCCAATTGATGGTTCTCTGTGAATTGAATAAAAATATGTCCCTGTGCCTAACATACCTAAAATTGATATTTCAAAGTGTAAAAGTTATTGAAAAGTTCGCCTCACTCACGTGACAGCGGGGTGAAAATGCGCTGTGAGCTATTTTGGAGTGCTTTTGTGAGCGGGTAATAGCTTTTCTGATAAGTATCAAATAAGTAGTTGTAGCGGTTGGCCTAGTGAACATCTTACTTGAGCATTTTTCCTGAATATTCTTTAGAGGCTTGTTAAAGAAATTTCAAGATATCAAAAATATTTTTTCTTCGAATGGTATCATTTTGTTGGTGTCAATTTTTAGACCAAATATCTCGACGGACCGATTAAACACTTATTTCTACAGCCAATATTTTTTAACGTCTATTGAGGTATAATTTATCTGCCTCTAGTGAGATCTCGGTTTTGGGTCAAAAATGCACCTTAAAAAGCGAAAATTTGACAGATAGAGGGGATGATTTTTTTGCTATTATGCGATAGATTCCTATGAGCTGAGTACATGCTGCACATAGTCCTACACCGGAAATGCATACTTCAACATAGAACGGACGAAAGATTGACGCAACTGGTCGTATCGGTTTACGTATGTATTAATGGAATGAAAGTGAGTTCTAACATAGTTTCGCGCGAATTTTTTCATAAATATTAATTAGAAAGCTAGACTAGCGATGACACAAATCAAATACGTTCATATTAGAACGGGCTGACGAAACAGCTGCCAAGTGATAACGGGTTAGATAAGCAGGATATCTACGACGATAAACTGTAGGTATGTATTATCGCTTACATTAGGTTAGGTGTAATATTAACAAACTAAATTGGTTAAATCAGCCAAGGTAAAATAGGCGCGAAGCAAAGCCCATGGGTCTGTCTAGTTACTACCACGACTGCTAAAGATGGTTGGCTGGTAGGTTGCTTTGTCAGTCGTTGGTCCACGTCTCGGTAGTGACTGGCGATGACGGGCATCGGCGGCATCAGTGCTGCTGCTACAGTCGCCGCCAACGCCGCCGCAGGCGGCTTTGCCTCTACCGTCGTCGTCATCGCAAAAGTCGGGAAGCAGAGCAGTGGCTGTGCCCATTCGTCGCTGCCACGTCTGCTCTTGCTGGCGTGGCTGGTATTAAGTATTATTGGGCTATGTTGTATAACAGTTGGAACATAGAAGCTAAACGAAGGACTAAGCTGTAGACCAAGCAACCGACCTACTGACTGACTGACAAGGGACAGGATATCGCCATCGCTGTTGCCACTGCTGCTTTGGACGATTGAGTCGTAACAAGTAGCAGCAGCAGTAGCACGAAGAAGCACGCCAACAGCGGCGTATAGGGGAAATGACTGCAGCAGCAGCAGCAAGTAATACCGGTGACAACGGCAACGATGGAGGACCGACAGCAGTAGCGCCCTCTTCCATTTCTTATTTGCCTCTGACTGTACTATTGCGCAGACTGACTGGTCGGAAGGCTCCTTCGCTGCCTGGACTAGCTGTTGCTGTGATACGCGTTGCGGTCATCATGGATCGTCGCTCTCCCAGCGCGAGAACCAGCGGCGATGATGCAGGAGCGATGATAGTAACAGTAAGTGCCAACAGTAACAATCAATAGCAGCATGTTGTTGCTATTACTGTCGCTTTGCTGAGGCTTACACGGTTTTGACTATACTGCGCCTCAGCAGTAGAACCGAATGAAAGAAATCGACCGTTGTTGCCTGCGTGTGACCAACGAACAGACGAATGCACAGCAAATTTTTCGCTACTGGAGATTGCTGTTACTATCGTTTGCTTTGTCGCTGGTAGCAGCAGCAGCAGCAGCAGCAGCAGCTCGTGCTGCTACTGCAGTTACCCCTGGTGGTAATGGTGATGATCTTAGTGGCAATCGCCGTCGTCATGGTGCTGCCGTTGTCGATTGCAGCTGGCGCTGGCTTTTGTTGTTGTCGCTGCGGCTATTGCCGGTGAGGGCGACGGCGCGGACGAAACCGGGCGGGATGGAACAGAACAGCAGCTGACCAAATGGGCGAGTGCGACTACTGCCAGCAGCAGCAGCCCTTGCAAGCGTGAAGTGCACTGAACGATAAAGGTTGACCGTCACCAATTGTCGTGGCCGCGCTGAGTTGAACGCCGCCTAGTGTTTAGCGCTGACGTCATCGTTGCAATAGGCCGACTGTGGCAGGCCAGCAGTGTTTTGTCCGCTGGTATTCACCGTTTAGATCGAAAGTTACATTCTGGTCGCCCGCCCTATTATTAGTAGCTGCCGCCAATGCTGCTGCTGGTGCTGTGGCTGTCGCCGTTTTTCTAGTAGAGCGGGACATCAGTATTTTTGCTGCTGCTGCTGCTGCTGCCGCTGCCGCTTGCTAGACTGTTGTGGAGTTGCTGCAAGTCGTCGTATGCGTCAGCGAAACCAAGACAGAAATTTGCGACAGTGTGAGCAGCAGAAGGAACAACAAGAAATGAACGTAGGAATGGTGGCAACGCTGTGAGTGATGGTTACGGCGCTGATGCTGCGAATGCTGTTGGCCGTTGCTGCTGCTGCTGCTGCTGCCGCCGCCGTCGCCGTCGCCGTCGCCGCCGTTTCTGTCGGCAATCGTAGTGACTCTGCGGGAAGTGAGGGAAATCGCGAATGACGACGACGACGGCGACCTGTTGTTGTTTTTCGCTGCCGACGGCTGGTGTTGCTGCTGCTGTTGCTGTGGCTTTAACTGTGCTACATCTACGTCTCGTAGTCGTGATACTGTTATGATTATAGGTGGTGCTAGTGGTACAGCTGCAGTTCTTGTGAAAGATTGTTTAGTTGGCGATTTTGGAATCGATTTAGGTGGGCGCCAGTAACGCGATAGCGCGTCAAGCCAATCGCCAAAAATACAGCAGTAACAACCGTGTACGGCATTTAACTATTAATGCAGTTCAACCGTAACAGCAGCAACGGCTGCAGTAGCTAGGTTCAGTCAGTAAAAAGACCGAAAATAGCGAAAGAAAAGCAATAAGTCGCATTGCAAGTGTTAAGTAGCTTTACACCAACCTACCATTTTCGCGACTGCTGCTGCGAAAAGCCAATGCCTACTGTCTTCCAATGTTAACAATAATAATACGCTGTGCATGTACGACGACCATTGCTGCGTTCACGGTGGTCACAGCTATTCATGCTGCTGCTGAGGTCGGTGCTGCTGCTAAATGCTGATGCTGTGGGGTGGGCGGCAGGCAAGCAGGCAACCGAAGGGGAGAGGGGTAGACAGGCAAACAAGAGGTCAAGAACGAGCAAGTAATTAATTAACCAATCAAGCTATCATAGGAAGAGCGAGAGAGAGAGAGAGACAGAGAGAGAGAGAGAGAGAGAGGAGCTGCGACCGCCAATAATAACTTAACCGACCGTCCATTTAGCAGCAGCACCAACTGTAACACTGGGAAACGTGTTGCTTTGTTGTTGCTGTTGGCTTACAGCTGTATTCGCGGACTGCGGTTTGAAGCGAACGTTATTGTCAGCCAGCCCTGCTGGTGACTGCCGGCGGTCGCAGTGCTAGTTCTGGTGCTGTGTGTGTTTGTGCGTGTCGGTGCGGGCCGCGGCACTTTTTTGTCGTTGTGGAACGGAAAAGTAAGAGCAGTAGCAGCAGCAGCAGCAGCAGCAGCAAAAGCCGGAGTAGAAGCATCATTTACTAAAGGAGAATAACAAAAAGGATAACAAATAACAATAATAAGCAACATTAAAATAAATAAGATTCTAGTGTCGTTGTTCGGACCCAGTACCGTCATCCCAGTATTGAGGCGCGGAGTCTCCTTTTGCCAGTCTGGGTGTTGTTATTCAGACGACTGTGATACGTTCTTACGGTGCTGCCTCTACCGTTGCGCCCTATTGTCATCGTAGCAGTTATGTGAAATGCGCGAAATCACCCAGGATTATGTTTCATACTGTTATATAACTTCTTGCTTGCGGATGGTCGACCTACGGCAGAAAGGTTCGTGGTAGCGCAATGCTGTAAACATATACTGCAATTCAAAATCCATGTTCTGAAGTGTCGAAATATCAAATCTCCTGTACATAATGAAACGGCCGCTGATTCTGCTCGTGCTATTATTGTGGCGCCTGTTAGTTACGCGCCGCTGGTCAATTCTGTGGTTTACTATTGATATTGTTGCCATTGTTGATCCACTTATCTACAGTAAACTGCGCCATCCAATTAACTCTGTTATTATACTATGAGTTAGCTATTACCGCTTGACGGTCTGTAACCACGACATTGACAACAGCATCAATAAATTAAAATTACAACAATCGATTTGCAAGTAAATGATGATCATTAGCGTTGTTACTATTACCGCAATATACCACATATATGATTTATAAAAAAAAAATTCAAATGATAAATTTATGATGAAATTTTGCTATTCGTTTCACACTCAGACCACTAAACAAACGAATGCCTGCATACGCCCGGCTTCGAACCTAGAACACCACGTGTCTCGCCGTCTAGCATGCAAACACGTTACCATCACAGCAGCTTAGTCTAGCGACCTTCTTTCTGCCTAAGTACCTTCTTCATCTCAGCTATCTAAGTGGTGTTAACATAACGCTCAGTCAATCAATATATATATATATATATATACAGAGGGAGGGAGACCATAAACGTCTTGAGGTGAAAAAGACAATGTTCAACCTAAAGCTTCTCATTGATTGCCCCTAATAGATTTGCGAGTCGCCTAGTAGCGGAGCACAACTAGTGATGGCTAAAGTTGCAAACAACTAACGAGAGCCGGGAAAAGCGCGCCAATTTTTTCTTGACTTTAAGATGGACATAGTGAAGACACAATGGGCATCTGTTTCGATGTTCATCCATTCGCTTGAATAGTCATCTTATGTCAAGTACATAAATGATACGGTCGAAGCTTACGCAAAGTCACTTACGTGAGCAGAGGGCGAATACCAGAGGGAAGTGGCTGCACTTTATAAAAGTAACTTCCACTTTTTTTCCCGTTTTTATCGAACGCACGCTTTTGTTAATGCTAGCTTTTCATTCGGATGCAAATAAAATGATTCAGTGATGTCTAAACGATTAATACGACAATTTCAGATGCCGTTTAACGGAAAAAAATCGTATCTCTGCGATGTAGGCAGCTGCGGACAGGTACAATAAACAATTATCTGAATTTGTGAAAAAGATATTTATATACGAGAGAAATCACACAAATAGAATTTTTACAAGCGTCAACATACTAGAATTGCAAAACCAGTTTTTTTAGCTGGACAATTATGATAATACGTGTACGTGCTTAATTGTATTCATCGGCACCGTAAGTCGCGGTGTTTTCTCGAAACTTCTACGTCATTTACCATTGATTTTTCTACCAGTATAGTCTTTTTGGACGGTCTGGATTTTTAAAATGTGGCACCTTAAGTCATTGATGACCTATGATAGATCAGGCTTAACAACCGTAGCTTCACGTTCTATTTAAAGTAATGAGCAAACCTGTCACGCTGACAAATCACGATGCACATTGTATTTTAGACCTTCTGTACAGCCGACAAGCTCAACTCGCATAAGAAAGCCCACAAAGTGCCGTTTCTCGTCTTCAGTACACACAGTCCGCCTCAAGGTAAGCAACAAATAGGCCCTCATTGATTTGCAAATGCATTTATTATTATTTACGTAGACATCACATTTATATAGGTAGGCATTTACTAAAACGCGATATTTCTATATTATATGTTAACATTGTTCATATTGTCGCTAACCTGACATATCGAAGGGTTGATACTTATCAAAGGGACATACCTACATATATACCTAGTATATATATACTAGGTTTATCAATACGAAAGCCTGTCTTCACGTATATTGGTTCACGTCGATTCTGAACGATTCTGTAACGGCTACAACGACAAACACCAATTCGACGACTGCCGCTGGCGACTCTGTTGTCAGCTCATGAGCGCGTATCCCTGCTTGCTATTTTGTGTGCGTACGTGAACGAACGGTGGAGTCGTATGATTAGAGTCTGTTGTTTACGGTTTCCCTTTGGCGTGTTTCCAGTGAGAAGAACAGATTCATAGACACAGTTGCTCCCATACTCGCCGTTGTTGCGCTTTGCCGTTCCCACTGGAAGCACCAAAAGAGCGAGCATTGGCAAATAGGTGAACTAAAGGCATCATCACTACCGCCAATAACAGAGGGGGATCGCGCTCCTAGAGCGACAGCAGCAACGGCGGCACTAACAGTATCAAAACTAGCGTTTTTTTTTCCACGTTACAATACATAATTATTGTCACCATATGGTACGCTCTGCTGCTGGGATTCTCATGATATTTGACGACTGGCTTGTGGTGAACTAACTGTCAGGATTATAGGCGTAAAGGAACCAGTAGTTACAAACGTCAAAGCTAGAACCAACTCGTAAGCTCTGCCGCTTCGAGATGGCGAGCAATGGAAAACTTGGCGTTCTTGATGATGAGAGCCGCATTTGTTACCGTTCTTTTCCTCTCGTTCTCCTTTGGCCTCCCACTTTTACGTTGAACTGAATAAATATGCAAATATCATTTAGACTTAGGTAAGGCTGCAATTTGAAGTTATTGCTAACTTATAAGTATTGCTACTTATCTCTCTTATGATGAATACCTGAATTTTTGAACATGATAATGCACACAAAGAAATTGTTATATGGTTGTCTTAAACTCGTTCTGTATTATTATACAGAAGCGTTGCTTATCAAATATGTGTTAGGTAACCGTTGTTTGTTCAAAAATTGAACTTTCGACAGTGACGCTTATACCAACATCCTCTTACGCAAACAATTTAGATTCTTCCTTTTGTAAGATGCTCTACGGTGATAAATTCACCATTATTAACGAGTCTATTGTGTGTCTTTGATCCTACGCGAGAATTGGTGGAACAAAGGAAGAGAAAAAATAGTTGGTAGTTATGGAAGCTTTAAATCAAAGTTCCTGTGCTGGTTTCAAAGTGCATCTCACATATCACAGCCGATAAGGGTAATTGTTTAATACATTGATGAGTAACACGAGCAACGCTTCTACATGTCCCTATGTTATTTGGAGAAATTATCTATCCACCTGAATTTCTGTGCGTATATTCCATGAGTCGCCAGTTTATCCTTCACATCAAAACGTACTTGAATGTACAAACATTCAGTGTATGCGGGTTCTGTTACAACACTGGAATCGAGATTACGGCTGTATTAGTTGCCATGATGGCTTGTATAGTCTATTGTTTGTTATTGGTTCGTTTATACCCACGTTGAAGCGGGCCTACGTTGCCGCTGCCATTAGCGCCACCTGCTACCGCTGGGTGCTGTGCGATTGACCTTGGCCGCCGGCCGTTGTTTGAAGCTGGTGTGGTTCTTTCTTCTTGCTGTCGTCATACTCACCAGCCATAAGGGGCTTTTTCAAGTATTAGCTTTGTATGTAAATCCGTGTGTGTACGCGCCTGTATGTATGTACATTGTGGCGTTGAATGTGCATGGCGGTGCATGGCCTTCAACGACCGCGCTACCCGCAGGACTACGCTGCTGCTGCTGTCGCTGAATCTGTGCCAGCGCTGATTATGTCGCTCAAGCTACGAAGCCTCGTCAATTAAACCTTGTAATACTGTCGGTTTGCAGGTTTCCTATGCTATATTAACCATATCTTTATCGCTTGCTTGCTCAGTTAGCAGTTACAAACTAACTGCATTTTGACCAATAGGATATTGACTTCAAATGCCTGTAAATATCATGATACCGGTTTAGGTACGGAAGCTTCAACAACATTTCGATTCATGTGATAAATCTTGAAAATTGTCCTTAAAGCTAAGTACAACGTTCTCTTTTTCCGAGACTTCACCGTGCTAATCGATAGAATGTCGCAGATATCAAAGCATCGACGAGTCATGCAAAATTAAGCTCCAAAGCGGCTCAACAAGGCTGTCAGCGCTATTACGTTTTTGCGGTTCTTCATACAATCAACTCAGATCTCTCCTAACTAAATGCAGCACACACAAGTATTATCCCTATGGGTACTTGGGGTTGCACATCCATTTCGATAACGAATAATAGTCTCCTTTTATTAACTTTATTATATATAAAGTAAACGATTGTCTCTATTTTCAAATAGTCCCGTTATTCCGTGCATGCCATCCAAAGAAACAAAGGTCATGGAGTATTATCCGTGTTGCCGCCGTCATCGACCATGTTTCAGGATGGTAGCTAAAGCTGAATTACGCAGCCTGTATACAAACGGCTCTTTCGTCTTCTACTAAAGCCCTGTGTTCCTAGATTCGTAAACAAAGTCGTCGATATTCTGCTGCACGGACCCATCTGAATCTACGCTTCGCGAACTTGAGTGAAATTTATCTTGGTTGCACCGAAAGACCAGGGTATTCGCTGTCGCGCCGGTATCGTGGCAAGAAGAGACGAACTAGATCAGTTAAAGAGTGAACCGGTTGTATGGAACTCGGCATTATTCGACCACGAGAATTCCGAACACAGAGCATGCTATAGTGAAGGGAAAAGACGACTGTGGGCTAGGGGCGGAGAATGACTTTTCTGTGAAGTTCTCTCTGGTATGACAAAACAGTAAATTTTCGAGAAACGTAACGCCCTGAAAGATTTTTACGGATCGGATGTAATAACAAAGCACGGCAACACGTACGTGTTGTTGTTGCTGATGTATTTTCACGGTGATAGTAACAATCATCTATCTACAAAGGTGTGCCCGTCTTCATGGAAATGAACAATGAACTACAGGTCTTGGGACATGAAATGGCTGTGTCAATTAAAGTCGTTATAAATATACAGAAGTGGTTGTACAAGCTTTGTGGGATGAAGAAGTGGCTAGTAGATCTTAACTTAAATCGAAAGAGCACTCCTTCAGCCGCACGATTCGAAACTCGTCTTCCAACGAAATGCATTGATTCTCTTAGATCTTTATTTATTACGCCTAGAGATAGCCATATGTACTGATCAACACTATCTTTTTTTTTTTATCACGCGGCCAGCAAGTTAACAAGTTCGCTAGCGCTGGGTTCGTATTTCGTGAATTTGAACGACTTCACTAGTAACGTATGACATCCACATGTAATAATTTCGTATCCGAGTCAATTTAAAGTGATCCATCACTGAGGAGAGTGTCAAGGCGGCATTGGCTGTGCTGCAAGAGAAATGCAGACATCGTACTAATGCCAGTTGTCGCCATGCTGACCATCCGTAGTATTTCATATTGAACACTCCTACACAACTGAAGAGAAACTTAAAGGTACGTTCTATCTGTTTGAATGATTCGGCCCTCTCCAGTACGCTGTCTAATTATTCTCAATATACCCCGGCCCCATCAGGTCTTTGTGGAAAGAAATACAAAGGCCAAGGTTTGTTTGGGTGACTCCTTTTGGGGATTATGGTCTTTTCCTTGAGTTTCTCGTTAGTCATTCATATGAGTTCTGTCTTTGGCACTAAGCTTGCTAGTCATCTCTGACATTTATTGGGACAGTTAAACGCTCGGATTGTCTATTTTGGCGTCTTTCTACATTCGGGCAGCAATTAAAACACTTTTCTTTGTTTTTGCGAAAACCTTCTAAACATGACTCAAGGATCTTTCTTAAGATATTTTTTTACAAGGGATGGGTAATGAAGAGATTAACTATTAGAAATAGCATATGGACACCTGGTTTCTGACTGCTGATTTTCCCCTTGGTAGACTTTTATTTGTTAATGGATTTTAGGTTCGAACTTTTGCTCCGCTGGGAGCAATTTGTAGTGAGTTGGCAGCTTTAGATGCTTGCGTCTAATGCGGCTCCTCACAGCTAGACATTTGGGACGACATCGTTCGACGGTTTGACTAGAGAGTTTTGTAGCAGTGGTTTAAGTTATAATATATTGAATTTTATTTCTAGGAAGTTACGAAAATCGTTTTACTCTTATTTTTTGGCACATTTCATTTAGAGTGTAAATGGTAGTTGACACTGCAATAATTATTAATCAGCTTATCTTTGTTAAATTTTGAGTTACGATGTGACTGGTCCTTCAATCATCCGCGTGAAAGCTATTATGAGAGTATATACCACTTACGACGAAATTACCCGTTTGTCACCGTGCGGTGTTATTTGTGAGCTACGACAGACTCATATACTTGAACGTATTACGCCAGTGAGTGACGAATTAACGCAGCAAAGAAGGCGGTTACGTTTGAATACCTGAGCAACTCCGTCAGAGCAGACGTAGTCTGTACTTCTCTAATGTCAGTCACGTATCTTTGTTTTTGGAACGCCGGACGCCTATAAGCAAGAGATATTTAAACTCAATACTTTGTGAAATGGCCTGGAGGCGACGTATATTTTCCTTTACTAAATAATCTTTTTACGAATAATGATGCTATGTAGCATAACAATACCTGTATAAATCTTGTCACAATTCATTGTACCAATGCACACGTTAAATGACAAAATGTTTTTTAAATAGTTCCTCTGTTACACGAAACTTATCTGCATTTAATACCGTTCACTATTTCGGGCTCGAAACTTAAGACAAAGCTAACTGCTATGACATCTTCGGTTGATTAGACGCATTAGCCATTCCCATTGGTTGACCTATTTGCTCCAATATCACTATCACATAATATTGCATTATATGAGAGAGTGGGAACTCCGCCCCACTAGGCTTGAATATACTAGATTAAAAAGGGGCTCCCGTACTTTTCTAATGAAAAGGAAACGTTACATTTTTCACTCTTAACACAAGGCACAATCGTTTTTGTATGAATAGCTGGCTGGACCCTGGCCATTGGCTTTTTTCTAAAGCCATCTGTTCCAATCTCTAATTTACGTTGGCGTGCTGATACCATTTTTCAGCTCCAGCGACAATTCTGTGCAAAACTCGGTCATTGTGGCCGTGTGACACTTAGTAACGACGATCTGGAAAAATGCAATGTCAAATTGTAATTTTTTGTTGGATTCAGGGAGTTCATAAGGTATCTAAGCGTCAAGTCCCTGTATAAAGGTAAGGGACTCGAGGTGGTTAAACAGTCGTGTGGCTGTAGTCCATCTTTTGGGCTAGTTACCAAGTTGTCTGTTGGCCATCTCCCTTTAAAAGCGCTGTCAAATAATTGTCTTTAAATTTAAGCGGCTAGAACGAGGAGCATCGTCTAGGCACCGAACACTGTTATCGAACATGGAAAACCACACTTGAGCAGTCACTTTAGCGCTAGCGTCGTTATCATTGACAAGACAAATGTCCTGGATTGTTTCGGCATTGTTTTGGCCTCGAAGAAATGCCTAGTGTAGCAGGTGTCGAAAATGTACTAATTCCACTCAGAACATCTTTAAGAGATTCGTTTCAATTAGCATTGCAAAATATGATTCCAGCGCACTGGTCGAGTGCATCCGAGCGGTACGCTAGAAGTAAAAAACAAGTGAGGAAAAGTGGAAGAAGGAGTTTTTAAAAAAGAGCTTGCGAACTTTCCAACTTAATAGCATGGAACGTTAGCTATGCACATGTCGTAGACACGGTTACGTTCAAACAATTACGAACGGATCCTGCTCAAAATGGCGAGAAAAGATCAATGCAGAACCTTGCATCCACACTGGTTTTTTTTTTGTTTTCACACTGGTGATTTCGTTTCTTCCCACCGAGTTGACTGGCTTGCTGGTAATAGTTTCTAAATATATATATAAAAGGTTCGGGCGAGAAACACTGTTACGTAAATATCAATGCCCGTTAATATGTCGTTTGTTTGTCGCTGGCAACTTGATTTTGTTTGATACCAGACAGTATTCCGGCAATCTATTACGCAAAATAAATGATACCGTCTTTTTTGCGATTATAATCTAATTGGCCTTGACTGAACTATAGGCCGTTAGTAGAGATCAGGGCCACGTATTTTTGTTTGTTTTTTTTTGTTATATATATATGTGTTATATCTTAATTTTTGGATTAACTAAAAACCTTACAGTCTATTGATGCACATCTATTTTAGGTCTATATAATTTCATTCCACGCCCTTATATTTATTATTTGTGCTATCATTTAGGCCCGCAGCCGGATGACACTCCAGCACGATTTACCAAACTTATGGATGCAGCTGGACTCGCGCAAGATCTGTCATCAAATCCTTTCGATGAATCGTTCCGACAAGCAGGACAAAATCCTCAAGCTATTGAGCTCATTGACTCCGATCCCATCATACCACCCCCTGTCAATGTGGTTCCGCCTACGACAGCTGATATCTTGCAACAAGTTGTCGAGCAGGAACAACAGCCATGTTGGAAAAGTGAGCCTGCAGGGCCACCGAGCAATAATCACAGTAACGCTAGCAATAGCACCGCCAACAGTACAGCAGGGAGCGCTGCTAATACTGATCAGAGGGCGCCCGTCATAACATCAAGGTAATTTCCATGCCTGTCGATTCTATTGAAACACGTATTATAGTAGATACATTGTACTGTAACTAACGAAACTTGCATGACTATATATTGGTATAGGCGAGGTCAGGTCCTGCGCTTAGTCTCAAACTTGTATTGTATACTGTACGCAAAAGACGTTTAAAAATAAGTATATTGGTTTTTTCATCTATTAAGGTCATACAGTATTAACAGGGCGAACGTGTTTATGGGAGACTTTGGTGAAACCCACACGGACCATAGTACCCAAGAAAATGCGTATTGTTCAGTACTAACATACTGAATTCTAGCTTTTTATACTTTTTTTTCACAGGCTTAATCCTTGTATTTTTAGTCGATATATGCATTATTATTGTCTATGACCTTCTGCTATTTGTAGTAATTTATTTATACTACTGTTTTAGATGTGTGAGGTAAAAGACTCTACGAAGTCCTGAAAGGCAACATTGAAGCATCCAGATTTGAGTAATTTTTCTACTGAGAAATTGTCGAGGTTTTGAAAAAAAATTGCCTGTGAAAGAAATGTCTAGCAAATATGCCTGATGATAGAGAGTTTTTATGCCGTTATAAATTAGTGTCATCCTGAACTATGAGACTGACGTTCGTTACGTGTTATGCTGTTGACTTGACATATTTCTATGACCATTATTATCTAGGTGGAGCATCAAGTTCCGAATCAACTGCTCCTTCCTTTTTGAAAAAATAGCTACCAATTGAAAACATCTTACGTTTTTATGACCACTTAGGAATCTCTTTTTTTTTGTTGTTTCGTCACTCGCTTTCACTGTTGTTATTTGTTTTTTTACTTGTCGTTGTTACTACTTTAGACCAGGTCCTACGTTATTAACCGACTTGACGGAGAATGGACGTCCAGCCAGCATTGCTGCTGCTCCTCCAGGAAGTAGCATCGGTGGTCTTGAGAATGTCACGGTAAAAACGTCATCGTCCCCACCTCCAGCTCATCCATCGAGTGCACACGGACCGGGAGTGCCTGTCAACTCATCGTTGCTCAACCAGCTCAACCAAGTTATCGTCCCTCCAATGCTAGGTATGCTGCAACAGGCTCACGTGCACGTGCACAGCGGCGGCACTACAACGCTCACTGACACTTTGTTGAGCCGGCACTTCTCACACATCGCCCAGGCTATGGGCCATCAAAGCCTTCAGCAGAGTCAGAGTTCAGCCTCGCACGATTCTGCCTCTAGCACCACCACTGCACGCGGTATGTTTGAGCTCGTGCACCTACTCCACCTGCACTCACTTACTTATTCTAATCACTTATCCAAGAATAAAATTGCATGCGCAAATAAATAAGATTTACGCTTGCTAATCCTCCTTTGATCAAAACCGTAGGCCATTTAGTAAGCCATTTACGAAAACTAGCAGCGACCGCCTACAATCCAGAAAAGCTACTGCAAAGCCAAACGAGTACGGCTATGAGGCAGAGTAAAGTGTAGTTAACGAAGCAGTTGTCTGAAACAAAAAGAAATCATTTTCAGGAGTAGAAAGATCAAATTCGAATTGGGAGCTTGGACTGAGATGCACGCGCTTATGCATTAACAGAAATACTGTATATTAGGTTCTCTACCATACGCAACTAACTCTGCTTTGTCTTGTTACCTTCATGTATTTCATAGTTTTAGCCCATCATCGTACTGGCCTATCAAGGCTGAGGCAACGCTTACGAACGTGCTTCCGCTATGTGCTTGCGAGGCTGGTGCTGTTTTAACTTCGTCTAGTATAATTAGAAGAAGTCTATGTTATACAAATATAGAAATAAACTTGGTTTGAGACCACTTGTGCGTGCGCTATTTCCAGTATTTATTTTTGTTCAGTTCAAAGGCTTATCAATTGAACACTGTTCAACTGTTGCAAGATAGAACGCAAGTAAAAAAAATTGTCTTAAGAATAAGGGCGAAGATGAAGCACACCCCAGTGCCAAACGAACTTTTACCGACATGTAAACCCCAAAAGAATGGTCTACGTTATTGTTAACTTCCAGGCGGCTTCCGAACAGTGTGAAACAAAGATGCATATCTAGCTTAGAAAACTCCTGAAGCCTCAATTTTTTAGGATCTTTAGCATTAGCTATTAAATTTAAATTTGCTCAATCATGTATCTGGTGAATTTTGAAATAAGCTCCAATGAACAGCTTGGAAGTTTCGAATGCACGCTAGTGTGACGATCTACATTGGGCCCTTTAAAAATCTCTACTTCCCGATGATCGTAGAAGGGTAGTAAGTTTACATTTGAATCAGAGCAAAGCTCACGTCCTACTACATTTCACCCTGTTCATTTGCCTCCCCTTCCCGTTTATGGCAGGTTTATTCCAATACATTTTTCATATTAGAGATTCTCTAAAGGAAAATAGTCCTGTACCATATTGTGGTAGCCGTATCGTACTCAATGATGTTTGCTTTTAAATGTGTCCGCGCAACACTTCCTTATTCGTTCTCCTAAGTAACTAACTGGCTTTAGCAAAACAACGTCTTACGCTTGGCATGGTTGATTCTATTGTGGTGATGCTAAATCATTTCTATACCCACGCATACGCTTTAGTATTCTAATATCAGATGAGTTTGCAGATACGCTGCCATTTCAATCTTGTTACAACACCTATAACGTTGTGGATCGCAAATATTTTCGGATTAATTATGGTACCTTACGTAATGCTTTTCAAGCAATCCCTGGTTTCTCTACGTGTAAAATATACTTAAATTAGCTAGCGGATTGGTCAGTTGATGCTAACGGTTACCAACGTAATATCAATGCGTTTTTATGAACAACTAACGTGTACGGCAAAGCAAGTTTGTTAAAGCCACGTATGTCTTGGTGATGGTAAAGGCGGTAGTAGAGCTGGTACCACATACAGGTATTGCATATAACTCTGGACATCTGCATAGAAAGCTTTCAAGGAAATTTCTCAGACGGGAAGTGACCGGCTGTGGGACCGAGCATGGAGACGCACTGCAAAAAAGCGCACAGTTCTCAGCTCCCGCTGTAATACCTCCAAACAATGCCTGAAGACAATGTCGGACGTTAAAAGGTTGAAAGGCAATCTGGCCAGGACCACGGTCAGAAACCAAGGGGTCATCTAAATCAAAAAAAGACAGTTTCTAATTATATTAGCATGAAGATCTTTGCACAGGAAAAAAATCATTTCATGTCGTTGTTGTTGTTCTTGCTGCGCGCCATTAGACACTCGAGATTGCAAGCGCACTGGTACTGTAACCGATACAACAAAATGGCATTATATATATATATATATATAGATGCCATAAAACCGCTGATCTGAATAAGTGGTGGTTTCAGCATTTGACTGAAAGCTTGGCATTTGAATTCTAATTACCCCTTGGTCAATGCATGTTTTCCCTTAGGCAGGTTGAGTCAAAAGTTGTTCGGTAACGGGATCAGTAGTAATTACTACGTTCTCTCTAAGCAATTCCCAACTGCAGAGTATTTTTTTGCCTCGTAGTTTTTGCAAAAAAAATTGCTAGCTTTTTTTATTAGCCGAAATGATTATTTTAATTCGGTGAGGTGAAATAGGCAAAAGATACTTTTCTCGACGTGATTCCTCGCTTAGAATTTTTGAGCCTCGAAAGGGTATTGCAATTGTAGTAGAGCTATGGCTGCAAGAAACATGTTTCCGGTTTCTGCCGAGCACATTTAAAATAGTCTAATTATGAACTTGTGTTGTGTGGGTTTTAAATCCGGCTTTCCAGAACGGCAACAGCAAAAAAAATATTGATTACAGTTTGAAAATATAATCTGCAAGGTAGCATCTTTCACCTACTGGTTTTATGGATGGAAAACATCTGTGCCACCGTATTTTCCGTAGAGTTTTGACGGCATTAAGCTTTCGTGTCCATGCTGAAGAGTTTGACTGCAATCTTATCGAAGATAATTTCTAAAAAACTAATTATTTTTACTGTTAGGTAAAGTAAGCTGAAATAGAATCGATATTTTGCACTGTTTCAGATGGTCTAATAATATCAGTTATAAACTTTTATTAAACGCTTATATATCGCACAATGCCAAACACAATTGCTATAGTTGACCTGCGGAGCTCCCCCCTTAACAGAGTTGTACAAAAGCGGGGTAATAATTTCAGTCCGTTAACTAGAAAATGACGAGTTTAAAAATATACCCATAGTGCTGCACAGTGGTAAGGATAGTGGCAAGCATTTTCTGTGCTATACAGAACAAGTATGCAGCGTTCTTCTGATTCATGCGTAGACGAATCGTAACTGAAAAGCAGAAAATTTAGGTTAATGTGTGTACACACTTGTGATCTTCTTCTGTTACCAGCAGGTCCACAGTCGATGATGATGATGGTGACGCCCAGTAGCGATTTACAAATACCGAATTCTTCGCAACATAACAGCGATACTGGCCGTGTCGGAATGTGAGTTCTATTATTACTGTGAGAAAATTGGTAAATGTATGTTTTAATTTGATTCCATTCGTTCAGCCAAATAATACAGCATTCGTTTCGATTCCCGGCGGTTCACGAAGTTAGCGTTAGCAAGCAGTGCAGAATAATCTATATAGAAATCTGCACGAATCTACTCGTTACCTAAGATAAGAACCCAATATAAGGCGCGATATTTCAAATACGACGATATCAGTCAGGCTTATTGAGGACAGTCGAACGATCAGCAGCGGTTCAGGATTCTAATAACACCAGCATCACTACGAAAGCTTCTAGCGGAGGTACAATAGTGAAACCTCTATTCGTTGCATCACTCAGAGACATATAGTTCATAATAATAATAATAATGATGATGATGAGCTTAAAGGTGGAAAGAAGTGTTTTGGTCTATATTGTTGATAAGCGGTACGGATGAACACCAAACCACCCATAGTTTCGATGATACAAACAATTTAACTATCAGCATCCGGCCTCAAAAATTTAACCCTACTTTAAACAGCTGCAGAAATACTTACAAAGTTAGCATCTTTCAGCCATCGCCTTTAACTCACCCATTCCATAATCTGACGTAACCTAACCCTCCACATATATGCTGGTTAACTTAACACCTGATTTTGCTGTAAGTTGTTTCTAAGCAAAAAAAAACAAAAAGCAATGTTCCCACTTCCCGCTTGGAGGAGGTCTTAGCGGCTCACCAACTGGCTTCATTCGCAGTTCTACAACCGCGTCCTTAACAGAAGTGAACGAGTCGACGTCGTTATGTTAGCGCTTGCTAGAGTCTCGTTCAATTACGCTTCATACTTAGAAATCTGATGAGTTTAAATCTGGTGCGCTGATTCCAAAATATGCCCAGATTCAACCAGCGAACCCAACGTTTACCGACTGAAATGAGCCGGTGAGCTATCTTACAAAAAAACCCGACTGTTTTCGCTTAAATAATTTAGTTATCTATGATCGCACAATAACTTGTAGAAAACGCAGGTGAAGTACTTTGGAAGAATTCGAGTGGAAAGACGTCTTCGTTCACGTATTATCTTACTTGAAGCACAATCGTTGGCCACATATGTGGTTTTATTCATTCTTCTGGGTCATCAGCTATGCTCTCTGCGGTTGACTCTTACATCGACGACAGCATCTGGAACGAATCAAAGACAGCTCATTGCTCCCCTCTTGAAAGAATTGATGGGCAGACGACAGTAATCAGACATTTCAATTTTAATTGTCCTCAGAGAGCATTTGGTAACTTCAGGTCTTCGCATACAATAAATAGTAGGTTAATGATACTGAGATGAAATTTTTCGTTGATGACCTTATCAAAGCGATATAATCTTTAGAAATGCACTTTCAGATGACGTCGGGTGTCTGTGTAGTCCGTAATATTTTTCCGTTGTGCTGCCATGTCTTCGCTGGCCTGTGTCGATGTTTGTCTATGCTTCTTCTGAAGGCACGTCCGTTTATTTTATGGTGCACTGTCGATTTAGATTAATTATAAATGTTTGTAATTTCTATGGAAGTTAACCTTAAGTGAAGAAATCGGTTAATGTCTGATTTTCACGTCAATCGTCAGAACGTTCACTGTTCTTTATCATAGCTGGACGTTCGTTTCCTCCTTGTAGCGAATCTTCCTCTGGTAGTTCTCTAGATAATGACCGTGCGTTGTTCTCGCTTTGCATAAAAAGAAAGGACCGATAGTTTTGCAACTGCAACCACTATACCTTTCATAATTATACAAGCAGGGTTTAAATAATTGAACTGTATAATAAAATATATCTGCGGTTAGCTAGCTTAACTTCGACAGTTGTACCGGCACTTATCTCGAGGCCGATCTTTGGCGCAGTCCACACCTATATAGCCAATACCAGACGATAGCTAAATCCTATAAACTGTACATCCTGACACCTGACGAATAGTTGACCCGAACGTGTCCATGCGTCCTATAGTAATTGGCATAAGATGCTTGCGCATTTATTAGTGCGACGTACTGCGATTCGTAGAAATGGTACATTTCGCTATTTTCTTGATAAGAAAATGGCGCAGTGATAGTCGAATTATAATTATTCCGTTAAAGCCTATTCAGTTTTTAGATTCATCAGTATGAGTCGTACAGGCCAAGATGGTCCCGTGACCATTGTTGTGACGTCAGGCGTGCACACGGATGTCATTCCAACTATTCGTACGCAGATCGGCAGCCCGCAGTCAAAATTGGGTGCTCGTGCCATGCCTTCAAGTTGCTGCATATTTTGGGCGGAGAAGAGGCGAATCAGGTCACCCATCCTATAGCCTGTTGCTATCCTATGAATTCAGATAAAAAAAATGCTACAAGAAGGAGGCCCGTGGACTGTCGGTGTTGATTAGAAATCGATTGACGTAACATAAACGACCCATAAATATATGTAAGCGCCTTGAATCATATAGGACAGCACGGCAAAGCTACTGTTAAAATAATTTTAGCTGCAACGCTCTTTAAAACTAAACGTTGGCAAAACTAATTCTCCTCTGGGGCATCGTATGATAGAAAAAAAAAGGCTTAAAATAACCGTGAATCGCGCGACGACTATCGGTTAACGCTCTGTCGATTGTTTCTTCGACCACCTATTCAAGCGGAATTTGGTATAGAGGTAAAGAACTCGCTTATTTTCAATTTGTGTTCGTGAATAAGTTGTTTATAGCCTTTATTTTTTTTTTAGTATGAAACAATTGTCTCAGCTCCTTTTGGTAAATAAAATAAAAACTATCTAAAGCTGTAAGAAACTCTTAATTACCTAAAATCCATTGCATCTGAGCGGAAAGGTTCATCACAATACATTTATGTCTACTACTGTGTTCCTGATAATTGCTTGTACGTTCAAACTATTACTCCAGTTTGAGTGTGATTCGTTTAAGTTGTTTTACTTCCTTTTGCAGAAAGCGGAAAAGTGGTGGAGGCAGTAGCGATGACGAAGAGGAACGAAAACGAAAATTTCGAGAGAACAACAAACGCGCTGCACAGCGGTAGTATTAAATATTTATTGTTTAATCGTTAGGCAATTTAACCCTTTGATCTTTTTGTCAACCCTCTCAAAAAGTTTTTCCGCCCTGCCAGTTTTACTCGATCTGCCACTGAACAATTTCTGTCGATTCATCTAGTTTTATTGTAATAAAGAAATAATATATAAGCTTAGCTCGCTTGATTCGCTGTACATATGGGCAAGCTGCTATTTAGTGTGCAAAAATCGTCTTTGATCATATGCTTCCTGATATGTGATTACAGTTGCCGGATGCGTAAAAAACAGGAAATTGAGGAAACGCGACGAGAACGTGACCGTCTTCGTGAGGAAAACCAGAAACTTTCGGCAAAATTAGAACACTGCATGAATACCGAAGACAAGCTTCGAGCACAACTGGAAAAGCTTAAAATGGAACTCGTTGAGCATGCGCAGTGTAGCGTATCGCTTAAGAAACGCAACTCAGGAGTCATTCAATATCCAGTGTGATTAATGCATATTGCGCCATCATCCCACATTATCATACGAACAACGTCGTCGTAGTTCTAATGAGGTGTCCTGCCGTCGGCGATTGACGCTTGCACCGCTCGAAGTCCGTGTCGCGAGGATATGTGAACGCTTAACAATTGCCGCAATGCTCCTTCGTAAGAGGCGAGCGTCTGCAATAATTCGTGACTGATATGCTCAGATTTGCCAGTGCAGCACATATGTTGACCCATCACTTAAGACGAGATCGCAATATTATGATGGTAGGTAGGTAGGCAGCCTTCAGTGATCTTAATTGATGACATCGATCATTTGCGTTTTGTATACTGATCTGTTTTCGAGTGACTAATGACGTAATGAATTTTGGAACAATAATTCGTACCTAAGTTACATTAACGTATCCTTCGCTCAGTTACCAGCATTAAACATGGACGCGCACAGTTTTGCATGTGAATTCATGGAGACAAACAGAAACGCGATGACCACGAAAAATCCATGAAGATAACGAACTAATTGTTTATTCACATGCCGTGTATCTCTCTAATATTTGGTCTTGATAGCCGTCATTATGGCGAAATAGACCTTGCCCGAGTTTTTTTTTAATATGAACTCAATTGACACCAGGTTTGTCATCGCAATTAAGCAGGCGCACGACAACGTGCAATGGGTGCTCTTAGCTAAACGACCTCCCCGCATTCTCAAGTACAGCTCTGTCTATACGTATATAATGTGTTCTGACATGCCGTACCGTCCACAGGAATTCTATTGTTGCCCTGTTACCCTTTAGCCTTTAGTTAAGTACTTGAGAATAAGCTTTAGTCGAAGCTTATCCATACGTTTCGATCATTTTGACGTTTCTGCTCATCTGTGCGCGGTAGCAAGGTTAAGGAACTATAGTATTGCGCTATTGTGTAAATATTGTTTAGAACTCACCCATTGGCTCGGCTTATTCGGTGTATGAGTATCTTTACATCGAATTCAAGGGAACGGCGCGTAATAATGAAAGCTTTGCTTCCTCTTATCAGCCTCTTCTACCTCGTCCGTTTGCAATTTAGCGCTAAACTAACTACATTGTAATAGCTTACAAACTTTTTTCAGATTGATTCGCTGGAAGATGTGAATGGTGCAGGGTCACTACTGGTAAATCATTAGCTTTAATGCCTCTCAAGGCCAAATCCTAACCCTCAATGCGGTACGTTAGTCTTATCTAGTTCCAAGAACAATTGGTTAATACGCTCTTGTCCCGACCTTGCGTCTCCGTTATCTCTGATATTAATGATTCACTTAAGAAAACATTGCGCTTGCCCATGATAAAACAATTGGCCATTGCTAATGCCCCTTGATTCGTTAACTGGCACATGGTTACGTTTGTCGCTATGTCTTTTGAGTCACCGGATAGGTTTATATTGTTAGTTTATTGTACAACAGCTGGCCGCGCAAAAGAACTACCGAACATGTATTAGCGAATTTACTACACCCGTTTTTTTTAACGTAAAGAGGAGGGATTGATATTTTCCTTTACAATACGCAAACGTTGCGTCTTCTGGTATTAACATGTGGCCACTTTTCTTCGTGCTCGTTTCACCCATGAAGAACAAACCTTTGTCTACATTTATACATACAAATATACATAGCTAATGGTAGTAGTTGCAGTGATAGACATCGCTGTTGCAGACACAAGTCATCCTAACCGTCTTGTACAGAGGGTAGAAGTCGTCGTTCGTGCTCAGAATGTACAGATTACATTTCAACGAAAAACGTTCGTGTTATTATCTAGTTAAGTCAGTCATCCACCTCCGTAGCTCATTAGCATGTCGTGTATGTGGATTTGTCTATTTTATACTCTGGGTTCCACGCAATGTTACAACCGTAAATGAAAAAGTAACTAACAAACATGTTGAAAGATAGCTAATGGGCATCTGTCATTTTATCAATACTAAATGTATCACTATTTAGAAGTCGACAAGTGGTACGACAAGGACGGTAGAGTTGTAAATTGTACCCATTATTACGCCGAAGATGGTAACGCATAGATCTATATTATGTGACTTTAATATATTAATAATGAGTGTCTGTGTACGCGTAGTGAGTGTGGCTACCACAAAGTACATGTAGAAAGCCAACGGATGAAGTAGACTTAATATAACATCGTATATAGTAAAAATATAAAGTACATATATGCACATATACATAGTAATATAATATAATGTTGAAGCAAATGTTTATAACGTTTGCTTTTGCAAATGATGAATCATGACAGAAAAGACGGAGAGCTTTGGAATGAAAAACGTCAATTTTGCAAATACGAAACGGCAATAGAAATGACACAGTCACGTACTATGTAACATATTAGTTTGTTTAATATCTGAATGATATATTTTGTGGCATTCAACAAAATAAATACGTACTGTTACTGAAAAATCGTCTTCTTTTTACACCTTATGAGCTCGAATAATGTATAGGAACTGAAGGATGGGGGACCTTTCACGTCAGATTAGGGTCAGTTTCAGTAACGATAAGCTCGAACTAGGTCTTTAGTAGGGAAACTGTGGCTCGAAGAAAATAAGACTCATCTAATCTACAACAGTCCACGAAATGGTGGCAGCAAAGATCACTGGAACTTGTTTTCATCGATTAAAGCATATAGGTTTTACAAGATGCGCTTGTTGACCCAGAAGCTTTACGCAAATGACAAACCGAATCTTCCTGTTTTAAAACAACTTACCGAGGTCGAGTTTCGGGCATTTTCAAATAACCTGACGCTTTATCGTATGAGGTCATATCGTCAATCCCAAATCGAGATAAAGGGTGCTCAAACAGCTCTTGATGAAATTGTGTGTTGGTTTCTTTGTACACCAAGAAAGCAAAAGATCTTGACTATTTGATGTTGATGGGCTCTCGTTGGAAGTTATACCTTGAAGTTCCACGATTCCTTTTTAATTACGATTTGGGCTCCTTATTTGTCTTATTTGGACCACATGTACTGGCTTTTTTCAACTGTCCCCCACCTTCGCCTCCTCATTGTTTGTCTGCTTCTATGACATTTGAAAGTGCTCTTTGTCTTCCATAAGCCCGTTGAAATTCACGCGCTTTTTTATTTTTGTTAATTATTACTTCCGGTTAACCTAAGGAAAATTCAGAGCTATATATTTCAGCGGAAATTATTATGTCGTAACATAGATAATGGCAATTATTATTTAACAAGAAATGTTTTATTCGTTCTAATTTCGTCCGATTTCTCGACTAACGTATTCCTTCCCTCTGCCCCGAAATTTTCATGTCCGTCGTTAAATTCATCTCGACAATTTTTGAGACCTTCTATGGTACAGCTAAATTCCAGTGATCGAAAAATTAGTGGTAACCTATCTAGGATATGACGAACAGCTTATTTAGGCTCTTGCATGATGTCTTAAGCGACCTTTGCCATGTGTAATCTGGTATGTCACGGACGGGACTCTTACATCTTTTTTGATGGCCAACAGCTGGGCGATAACCAGATACTTGTTGAGCGTTCTTTTGAAATAATCTACTCTGTATATGTCCCTTCCAGCCCCACTAAACGCGAATCATGTGCCTTTGCGGTTTTGGGGTCTGGTCTAACTTTGGAATTGAACGTATTTCTCGAAACTGTCCTTTTCTCTCTGTTTCATATCTACGTGGAGACACAATTTCCAGTCATTGGTGACAGTTCGGCGTAAAAACCTATTGTCGCTACGTGCTGGCTGATCGACGGCAAGATGTAGAATATGGAGCCGTGTCTTCCAGTATATTTCACAGAATTCATGAACCACCCAGAATAGTAAACTTCAATATAATGATCCATAATTAAATAAGTGTAGCTTCTACCAGACATTTTCTTCAAAGGGTCTTTAGGAGCGGTCCTTGTCGACACTGAATAGCCCGCTATAACGGAATGCATCTTTCAGTGCCCAGACGCAAGCCACCTCTCAGCAGTCCTGTCAGATATTAAATCCATAGCACATACGGCGCAAATCCCGGTTTCGGAAGTCATTTTACTTCGACGAAAGGCAGAACAGAGTAGGCTTTGCGTTTGGAAAAAACGAGGGGCGGCACTATCAATACCTTTTTTTCACATTCAGATCTAACAAAAGGGCATTAAGTGTTAGTTCGGTATCGAGGACATATGAGATAAAGCATAGGCGCAGTTCTTTCACAATGCGGCTATAACAGAGCCTGCAGACTCTTAGGTTTTACAAGATTTGAACAGCTCCCACAAAGCATTATGTTGCGCGGCGACCCTTAGCTGATTTATGGTAAATCATTTTGCGGGTGTATTGAAACCCTAGGGCTCCCAAAAATATAATTCTGACGCTGCCTACAGTCTGGGGGCGGCGTTTAGTTTATGTCGAGCTTATCGATACTGCCGAAAATGCATATGTATATATATATATATATACATATATATATATATATATATATATATATATACATATATATATATATAGCCTTCATGAGAGGTTAAACTCTGTTGAAAAGCATTATTTTCCTTGGGAAGCAAACAAAAGGTCCAAGTTGCTAATTTGAAGTTGGAAAATAAACTGACCTAATAAATTAAAGGAGATCACAAGGATTGGAAAGCTCAAAGTCATTGACTTCCACCGACCGTCCGGTGACGAGAGAGCTAAAAAATATAAGCAACAGACCCCCAATCTTGATTTGAAAGCTCGAATACATTTAGGAGCACATATCATACACCAAAAAATGCTGAAAACACATGTACAAATGCATTACATTACACCCTTTCCGGTACACCAAAGTTAAAAACATTAGAATTTTATTAAAAAGAAAAAAAAATAAGCACTATTTATCGTCAGTTTGGCGTAGACATGGCAATTATTTGCAAATAAAGTGAGATCTGCCAAACTCTACAAAATAATCGCAACGTTGACTTCTACAGAATGGATTTTAGGTGGAAAACAGCTTTCTTGGCAGGCTTGTTCCCCTTCTCTTGATTGGGATGAACATCTGCCTTTAAGCATAGCTTCTACTTCCGCAGTAGTAATTTATGCAAGGACACTTTTTTGGTGATTTTTTCTTTAATTGTCGGAAACCTTGTGGCTGATTCATATTGAATCTGCTTTTCCCAACTTGGAAGCTTTTGTGTATTACATTTCCGCTAATTCCAAATATAATTATGATATTTGACGTTGTTGGTACACCGTTCAGTCGACACCATAACGTGCGCGGGCTCAAACCTGCGAATCCCTCAAGTACCCAATAAATCAGCTCACTATTACATATATTATTATAGTAAAATAATTCCATCCACATGGTGTTGCCATGCCATCTGGATGGTGCTCTCATTTTTGTGCATACTGCAATTAGCTAACTTAGTTTTCGTTAGACAAGGATAGTATCCCCTCATTAACTACGTATTGGCAACGTATCCTCACCGTCAAGCAATCTTTATTACACGGTTTTCATACCCGCTTACGATTCAAACAACCTAGCCATAGCCATACAGTATTCCTTCCTATGCGGTAGGATTGAAAAACGCTTCGTTGTGCGGCGAAAACGACACAGGTGATTGTCTAAGATTTCGTTAGGCCATTATATATCTATATCCTGTACACCATTCTACCCAAATAACGTTTAGGCACTGTGATGCTCTTATCGCAGTGTTGTGTTCTCACGTACTCTAACTGATATCTATGTCTATCTTTTGCGTACAAATACTGAGAATGTATGGCAAACGCAAGTATTGTAGCATCATCTCCAACTGATGTAGTTAAGTTTGCAACAACGAAACTGACCTTTTACAGCCAGTTAATGGATAAACGATTCTGTGCTGTTTGTTATAGTCAAGCCTAATCTGAACGCAACAACTTAGAGACCAAAATGTACCATGCCAAAATTGCCCTATTACGAAATCGATTACTTGTTCCTTTGGACGAAGTTGCTCTCAAACGTAGACATGACGTTCCATACACTCCGCAGCCAGAATGTGCAAACACGTCTACGTCTTCAACACAGCAAAGTAGTCCACAGCAAAGCAGTACATCGATCGTAACGGATTATGAACTTCAAAAAGAGATGGAGAATGCGTTAGGTCCTTCAAAACCAGCTCCACCCGCCCTATACCATGCGCCCACTGAGGAAGGATCAGATGACGAGCCGCCGAGGCCAGCACCAGTTGTGATTAATAGAGGAACACCCGCCCGAAAACGTGCGCCTCGTGTGGGCGGGTCGCGTAGCACTACTGGAGAAGACGGTAGTCCTCATGTTGTATTTTCAAAAAAATTGGTCCTTGACCCTACTGATCTCGATAAAGCAATGCTGCCGCACGGCGAACAATCCCCGGCAATCCTCAAACCGTCGCGTTTCTTAAAAAACCTTCAGCCAGAACGTAAGAAAGCTCCGAAAAAGGACTCTACAAAACCGCAAAGCACTAGCCAAGACAATCTTGAGTTATATCTTATGAGTCCTCCGCCATCACCACACGCTCATGACCCAGATCCAGTAGGTAAATCAACAGTCAACAAGAAAAGCGATCCCCAAGGCGTCGTGAACGAAAAGGGCATTCGGTCGAACACCGTCCTCTCCATCGATGCTGACGCAAACAAGTCTAGTCGAATACAACGAAACAGAAGTGGTGATAATGACAGAAATCGAATCGAAGCTGTAGATAATCTAGCGAAAAACGACAGGGTATCACGGAACAAGGAAGATATCGCACCTTGCTGCAAGTGCAAGTGTGTGAATCTTGGAATATTACAAGCAAAGGGAAGGCCTAGGATAGTTTTAGATGATACGCCTGCTATTACTGATACAAAGAAGTCTTCCAACTGTCTAGCAGAAGCTCCTAATAATAACCGAGGTCTGAGCAAAGATAGACATGACCAACGGGACAATACAAAATGTCCCACTCAAATATCAGTTGATCCTCAGTACAACGAACACAATAGGAAAAATAGGGTATTGTTGCATACTTCAAGCAAGACTTCAAAGTTGTCTATGAGGACAAGGTACGGAAATGACACATGTTATGTCAACACCTGTTCATACCCGGTCCCGTCAAACCCATCCAGCAAAAAAGACAAGGGTAGTAAGACAGCAAAAAAAAACGTATTACCACAGCAAGAACTAGAAGAGAACTGTAAGCCCGGAGACAGCGACAATTCCGCGAGCATCGATAATAAGCATGGACGAGACAAGTACTTAGCAGCCTTAAAAAAATTTTCCGACGGCAACTTCGAGCTGAAGGGCGTGAACAGTGACATCAAATCACTCCGAGAAAAGGTAAGTCACTACAACGACATAATCGAAGCGTTGAACACCTAAACTATTTTACAAACATTTTGGCAGGAGAACAGTAGAGCGTTACCTTTAGATATTATGAATGGGCGTTTTTAGCAATGAGTCAAATCAATCCAACCAATTTAGTTAAGGTAGATGCCTTCACAACCACAAAAGAAAATTATGATAACAGAGTTTTGTAGAACTTCGTGGCAGATGCTGCGTTTATTTTCAGAGAGTATCAGCTTATGGTAAAATAGCTTGGCAACAAAGCGACGTTAGTTGATTCCTGTTTTAAAGATGTACAATTCATACGGCAACATGTTACATGGAACTGTCATAGTCGATGTTGTATTGAAGCCATCAGTTCTTCAAATGAGTACGAGAGATGTACCGCAGTTGTTTTATAAAACTCTTTAAATAAGAGCACGGTCCGTAGGACCGAAATCCGCAAAGCAAAAATATTTTCATGATGTTACGCGGCGTCCGTATCTTGCGAGGGAATCATCCCTCTCTCACCGCCAGAAGAAGCAGACGACAAAGCCTTCGGTGACAAGCAATGGGGTAACGCCGCCTACGATCGGTGTTGATCTTGTTAAAATCTATGCCAGCCAGCGGTCGATGTGCCGTCGACGCAACATTAAACCAGACAAAGTATAGGGATGGCGAACACGTTAGGACTTTTAGGATTCATAACACCACGCACTAGTCTCTATTCAAGCGCCTATAATTACGAACATTTGTGGGTTTCCAATTCGTTGCTACTTTAGTTCTCCTATGAGTACGAACAAATATTATGGTAAATTTGTTAATAATTTATTCAAAGTGAATGACGAAATGATACTCTTCAGAAAATATGTAAACAGCCAGCTACGGCGAAACCAGTAGAATAATTCAGAAAGCACTCCAGCTTAATGAAAAGTAACATTCTCGTTTCAGAGGTACGTAAATTCATGACATTATTATAAGTTTATACACCAACATACCAATCCTCAACTTTTTAGTGGTTACTTTTTTAGCCGGAGAACCGTCATATTTGAAAATAAAGGCTAAAACTATGGATCAGTTGAAGTAAGGTCTGACAGAAGAGATAGATTTTTATAGTTTGATTTTTCTGTATATCTAGATTATAACGTGCGATTGGTATGAAAAATGTCATCATTTAGATCAGCGAAGAAGACCTGCTTCAAGCAAGCTTTCTAAAAGCACGCAACGATTCGAATTAGATCCACAGATATCAAAGGGCCTTTTCGTTCGTGGTATAAAGGTAAATTCGCTGATTAATACTTGCCATTCATAATGGTAATGTACTCGTGTTGTTTTTCGTTGAGTTCGTCATTTAGCGTACTGGTATACAGTGCTAACAGTTATTAAAGCACCGCTATATTGTTCTGATAAAATAATTGCTGTTCGCCTCGGGCATTTAAAACAATTTAGTACAATTTATTCGGAATGGTCAGCAGAAATATCTTAATCCAGAAACGCGTACGTCACAAACCATCCCGAATCGATACAAGGCGCCTGAGTTCAAAAAGAATCCCCATCTGTCTGAGAAGGTATGTACATTTATTTGATAGTGAAGACTTTCCTCAATATGTATCCAGAGGTATGTAAATATGATATGGATCGATAAGCAGTAGAAAATGCTTCATCACATTTAGCATAGCGTCGGAATTAACAATTAAGTTTTGTGCATTAATCAGTTTAATATCCGTGTTGCAAATTAAAAGATAAAAAAAGTTCATTGGTGAAATTACTTTAACAGAAGTTACTCATATTATAATCACACGTCAAATATTCGGGTTAACGTAGCGGATGCACGCCCCAGAGTCTGATTTGAACCTTGAAAATAGAGCTTGATACATAATTGACAACGAATAGCGGACTGTGTGGTGACGGCAGGTCAGTAGAAGACACGTTGCCTGATGTTCGTGGCTGCTGAATTATTCTGTACAACGAGCAATGGCTGACGACATCCATCATTGCATCGGCGCTGGTTTACTGGAGCGCTGTAAAGAAAAAAAAAATAGATTTTATTGAAGCCGGGAACACTGATCTGTATTTCCAATTTCTTACACCGCACTTCTTTGGATATGAGGAAGATACATAACGCGTTTTTCTTTTGCTACATTCAACACGAAAAAGTAACAATAGAGGTCGCTTTTGTTAGTCATGTAGAGCAGTTGTAAGGGAACTATTTTGGGGATTTCAAGCCTTTTGTAAGTCTGAGACCCCAAATCATTACCTGCATCTAAAAAGGTATAGGTTCCCAATTTTTCGTTTAGTTACAATAATCAACGATAGGGCGAGCAGTTTCCCACCAGTAATCTAAGAAAAATTCTGATTCGTTTTCCGTACCAGCTAAAATGCAATAAGGACAAAAAAATGATTCAGGCACAGCAAGAATTGAAAAATAGGCCCCAAAACCAACGGGTGTTTTAACAAGCCAGCAAAAGGGGCTCCACAGACGTTTGCACCTGAAGGCATGCGCTTGTCAGCAGCGGCCCTGACTGATTACAACAGGTGCTTAAAAAGGCCCATTGGGATTTTTCACTAAACATTCAAGCGTATATTTCCGTGCACGAGATAGCCGTTAAACTTGAGCTCAGCACTCGCCCCAGTTTGAATACGCGGTCTGAGCAGCAGTTCCGAATTTTTCGACAAATCTAGCGGTACATAGGGTGAGTGCAGGCCGAGATGTCAAGTATATTTATAAACGACTCCAGGTGACCCCATAGACCCGATGCTGTTGGCACGTTTTTTTCGCCGAATGCACAAACGGCAGGCTCCGTGAATTCTTTTTATCTGTAATTTTGATAAAGCCTTGTGTTTTCCGGACCTATGCTGTGCTCTTCTTAGCTTCAGTCCTACTGGGTTGTGGTACCTAGGCTACATTTCAAGATTTTGAGAACGGTAGCAGTAACTGAGCTGCGTTATAGTGCAAAGAGCTAGAAAGCTGTGCTACATCTCACCTACTTTGGATCACCAATGGGGTAGCGTCGATGGTCGCTGTCAGACCGGAGCGCCGCAACATATTCAACCCATTTAGAGAAACCAGGATTTGACCTTTATTCTCGTATATGAACCAAATGTACAGCCACTATGGATCTGCTTTGTGGCGTAATATTAGTATCATCGTCATCACCATGTGCAATAAGAAATCGCTATGTCTGCTCAACTTAACAGAAGTTAAATTGTAGGCTCCCCCAGGAATATATAGAAAATATTTTACAACCCGAAGAGCATCATCGTGATTTAAATCTCTAAAATTAAATTTGAATTTATTTATTTATCATTCGAGAAATGTACCATCTTTGCCAAATAATAAAGGTGCTTCTACAGCTAAAGTTATCACAATGTGGCGTGCAAGATATATACATCTCATAAAGTTTAATGGTCCCGTTCTGATGTGTCGTCCCTCAGTATTTACTATACGTTCATGTACATAGTATAAAGGTTCAATGGAACGCCTCACGCGCGCGGCATCCGCTGGAATTCTACGTTGCTCCTTGACTGCATCAGGCATGCCGCATTGTCGCAAACATATGTACATAGTTTCATACATTTGAGCACCACGAAATCATTTGACAACGGATTTAGCTATGTTTTTTGATTACATAGGTCGGAACATGTGATAATATATCGTTCTTATATAATAAGAAATAGAAAAATCACGAAGGAAGAATTCGGGAAAAATTACGCTCTGTGAGAAGCATTTCGAAGACCGATCCGATAAAATTTGGCCTTTGTTGGATGTCGAACTCAGAGAAAGACAAAATTAGTGGACATGGTTTTTACATAGTCATTCACGCACGCGGATCAAACTGCAATCTGTGAAGGTAGCATTTGTGACGGAATGGAGCCGCACGCGATGCCCTTTATGCTGCATTTTGTGTAAAAGCTACGAGTGGACATTTAGGCGAAAAATGTATTTCCGCTTCTTCAGACATATAACACGTTTTTCCATTTGGATCAAGTATGTTTCATTGTTAACTGTCGTTTGATTTTTGTGCCGAAATTTTAGAGTTTACATAACCATGTATTTCACTTTGTGGTTTCTGTAATGTTACCTTACACGTTTGACAGGCAAATGATGCCTCGACCTCCATGGTACTATAGCGAGAAGCTTCCTTTCTTGGACACTATTTTTGAAATGTCCAATATATGATATCGAGATGTATAAAAATTAACGGTTCGTTTCAGAACAACTAGTAAGATTGTTAGGAGAAGAGTACTCCTGGTTTGGGTACTGCTTTGCTGTGGGTATGAGGTTAGGCCGAACCGCAGCTAAATAGACACTTGAAAGCATCCACTATTGGTCTTTTTGCAAGATGTATCCAGTTATTCAATATTTTAGAGGTTAGTGGTTTATTTATGCTTTCGAATAACTTTCGCCGTTTTCTCAATGGAGTAACATGTATTCCTAACAGATTGTCCTAATTTTTGAAGAAGTAATGGGGCGCTAACGGCTACATGAGATTAGAGCGAAGAAAAGTGTCTCAAAAATTGACTCAAAAAAGGGCGAGAATCGCAGAATGGTAGCTATCGTAATTGTTCAAGGTCAGCTTCTCCCAAAGAACCCGAGATGCCTTAGGGATGTATTTCAACGTACTTCTGGCTCCTTTCTCGTAGATATTTCGTTACCGTAGTTTTCATGGACTGATGATGCAAATGCAAGTTCAACGTAATTAAAATACATTCTAGAAGATATCGATGTAAAACTAAAAAACTGACCCTTATCAAAAACCTTCCCAAGCAGAGGACAGTGTCGGACCACGGATCGGTGGAAAAATTGTTAATGATGAAAAAACTAGCTCTGATTAGCCGGACGCACCCCAATTAGCGTAGGTTTCCGTAATGGACTGCTATGCCCGTGCCGAGTATGCATTGGATGCTTGTGCTTTTTTCGTTTTTTAACACAGAACAAAATTGCATCTAAGTAGATGCTTAGTCGCTTCTTTCCATAGATGCTCTCCAACGTAGGATACTCTATGCAAAAAAAAGATTTAAGCAAGCATCAGTCTCCTTGGCCCATAACGTTTGACTGTACTGGAATGTTAGTCAGGTCATTGAAAAATAAACCTGTATGAAGTTTACTTGACTCTTACGAGTCGTTATTATGCTATCATCTAATCTATGGGTTGTTTGAAGTTGGAAAAAATTGTATTCATTACACTCAGACTCTACAGGACGGTGACAATGTGATACTTTGATAATAAAGCCATAAAGCTCGTGTCTTCGCTTATTACATTTACAATGCGTCGTTGTGCATTTTATGATAGTTACACTGTGATGATGCTCGTAAACGATGATTTAGATACGAAAACGGACTATTCCCCCTCTCTTCCTCTCGCCCCTCTCTCTCTCTCTATATATATATATATATGTATATATATATATATATACACATTTTTGTAATTTACCTTTCAATTTACTTGATGTGGATTGTCGAGCATTAGGGCGAATCATCACGACAGCTTAATCGTGAAAAGCACGAGCTCTCCCGGAATAATTCGAAACAGCTCATCAGATTCGATAGCGAACAACCAGGAAGTCCTTTCGTCGTAAAGCTTGAGGTGCGTATAAGCAATCGTGAAGACTTGACACTCTCTAGTCAGCAATGTACTTCACAGAACGTTGACTTCCGTCGTTCTCGTCTTCCCATATTGCATGAATGCCTTAGCAACCGAACGGTGGTAAAACTAAACGCTGCTACGTTATTAATTAATGTTTATTAGCTATAGTATATTTCTGCCGTGTTTAAAATCGTACAATTTATTTAGGATGGGCAACTAGAAGATGTTAATGCCGTTGTATACACCCCACAAATTACCCATGGCCAATCCCGATCACCAAAGGGTTCTCTTCTACCTGTAAAGGTATGTACGTAGAAAAACTTTTCTGTAGCACCTCTCATTAGCTGACTGTAGACAAGTGTTTAAATATGGTATTGATAAAAATTGTCCATACATGCCTCATTGTTCGCCTTAAAGCGATATTCGTACTAGATTGATATAAGTGCTACTATATAATACAATATTTCCATATGATACGAAACATGTTTTTTCTTTGTTATTATAAATGATATTTTAGGACTTCAAAGCTTTTTAAAAATATTTTTTATTTTTTTTTAAATTTGTAAAATAAACCACTTAATCTTACTCAGTATTCAAATCTTTTCCGTCTCTAAACTGTCTTTCGTTGTTCGTGTTTGAGCAGGTAACACTATTTAGGTTTAGCAAAGTACAATACTTGCTGTAATAGCCAAAAAATATAACCCGCCTCACCGCATCCGAACTCGGAATTTACATTTTTGAGCCACTCCATTGTGAATCTAAAAATCGTCACGCAATTCAACATGTATCAATCACTTTCTATATAACCTTCTTTGTCTCGATAGATCATGTTAAACAGACAAATGTTGGCGTTGGCCTAATCAAAGCCTCTCATTTTTAGTATTTATTAATGGTAGTATTGAAAAATAAGTGATGCTTATAAACATCACGTGAGTGAACTTTCGTAAATCTCAAGCGGAGCGTGAGGAACTCTCAAGTGAGAGGAAATTCCTCGAAGGAAGAAATTTCATAAACAGAATAATACAAATACCGTTTATACCAGCTCGAGTTCTTATATTTTCAAATGCTTTGCTTTGTTCGCTAAAGAAAGACTTTCGACTGCTGAGACTGGGCCAGTAATAACGCTGTGCTGTTTAAATCGTGTGACATTATCGTATTTCATCATAAGCTCAGCTAGTATACCAAATCCTGAAAGCAAACAGCATGTATACGTATTATTATTAAAGCTAATGGCTGTCTATATGTTTGCCATACTTTCATAGGTCTGTTGTAGGAACCCCTGGTAAGTTTAGGAAGACCTACTCCGGTTAGGCTCCTACTGAGGGCAGGTCCTTGATGTTATACCTTTCGAGGACTTGTTCATATAAATAATAACTGAAAATGTTACAATGAAAAGGTTCTTTTGAACTTTTTGTCGTGATTCTGAATAATACGATGGAACTGTCTTAAGAAATTCTTTAATCTGCGAACAAGCCCCCCCAAAGAGAGCAGTTGCCATTAGGTAATTGGATTTGAATTAGTATTTTGGTGAAGCCATATTTGTTGACACTACTTCTACCCTCAGCGACTAAAAATGTTCCAGTATGATCTATGGAGAGCTTCTCGAATAAACCACAGATTACAGCGAGCTCTGTTGTCCGAGTCTGTGGTTGTCAACATAAAACATTGTTTTTGTGCGCAATGTTACTACTCGTTGAGTTTTTAGTGATTCATGTTTTCTATTATTTAGGGCGGCTCATTACGGAACCCTGATCGTAAAAGACTTCCAACTAGTTCGAAAGGACAGGAATCAAATTTTCAATTACTAAAGGATTGTTCTGAGGTAAATATAATTCAATTAAACTAAATATCACTGACATACTTGTTCCTTTAAATTGCGCTGTCTAAAGCAATGTTTTCGCATTTTACATCAATTTGTCTATCATCGCTTTCGTATACCAAATGCAAATTCGACGACCCAAGACGACGTACCTTTTTTACCGTGTTCTTGTTAACGCGTGCACAATGACGAGTAATTGGAAATATTCGGTGTACTTACAAAAAAAAAATGTTAGAGAAGTCGCATGTATCTTAAGAGAAGGGTAAAAGCTATTTAACGGTCAAAACCATAAAAAACCCGAGAAGAACGATAAAACTTCCTAGAAAGTCGCGAATCGAGTCACAAACAGTCGTTGAGCGAGTCCCTGCCTGCGGCGGATCGACGGCTACGGTCGACTCGCGTGAACCTGACGAAGACCGCTTCATATCGTTGCACCCCGTTATCAAAACATGACCTCGACAAAATGCCAAGGAGGCGAGACTAATGCCTGCCTCCCGGCCTAAATAAACTAGAAGCTCCTCTTATCTAGGCACTGGCTAATATGTAAAATCAAGATGTGTGTTACAGCATAGTATAACGTGTGCCTGCGGCAGTCACAGTCGGTCCCAAAGCCGGAATCGAGATGAACCATAAAGAGAATCGAACGGAAATTAGTTTGCGGTGGAATATAAAGGCAGCAACTCGGGCTTTATAGTTGCTGTCATCTTGGGCCCATATTAGCAAAAACCTGAGAGTTAAAAGCGTTCGAGTTTAGACGTCGTTCGCCTTGCTTATACGCCCGGCTATTAGTGTCTAGGAAGTTAATGTGATGCTTGGATGATATAATAGTGCTGAAGAGCGGTCGATGTCGTATTATGGCAGCATACGTATGCCCTCCGAATAGCAAAAATATGACGATACTAACTAATACGATCACTCGTACTGTATCTTTTTGGTCGTCGGCGGTTTCCTTAATTGCTGATGATCTAAACACGGTGATCAACAATCGAGCGACTGCACGCGTACACCACATGACGTGCTCAACGATTTCGGGTCTTACTTATTCTCCTATATTACCGCATTTACGTTTGAGGATTATATAGAGAGATCGGTCATCGATATATTCGGGTCAAACTTGCAAAGGAAAAACCCTTGATATATCCGAAGAAACAGTCCACTAAGCGTGGGTAGCACTCTGAGACGGCACGCGCCAGCTGGACTCCGAACTGTTTCTCCAGCGAAGAACAATTCCACAGAACATGAACGAGAGTCTAACTGCGTAATTCTGCTCCAAGGTGAAGGCGAGAGAGATTTACACTGACACTTCGACCGACGTGCTGGATTGATTTGTAGCATACCCCGCGCCGCACAAATAACGATGTGGCCTACTTACAACTTGTGGTACATCCTCAGCTGCGGACCTCTGCTGTATTGCGTCAGGCAAAAGACCTGACCAAGTGCCATATGGATATGAGGTTGTTCTACGACATCCTAAAGTAGGATAGAGAAAATGCTCGAGTCGGCTGTACCTTACGCGACAAGCAAATAAGTTAATAATAGAAATAGAAAGGGAGCCACGTAAATGGCTGCGCGAAGGGAGCTTGGAATCGTGCCCTGTTGCTTCTGCGGCGCTTATAAAGCACTTTATCACAGACTGCACTTTCGTACACTGGTGTATGGCTTAAACACTTGTGTGAAGCGCTGGAGACGGAGTGCTACTTGTCTGAGGTCTTGCGCTTTAATCAGACGAAGCGACCGGATGGGATCTGGCCCACAGTGAGGGCTTGAAAAGTGCGGCTGACATATTCGCCTGCAGCAGTAGTTGAATAGGCCTCTCATGTTCTGTCGTCAAGGTGAATGATCACGAAGGAAAGCTACTGCTGTGAGTTTCTTGTTTATCACACGGCGTTTGACTAGATTCTTGAAAGCTTGTCCACTTACTCCTAGAGAACAGCGCGGATTCCGCTTAGGAAGCTCCATCCTTACAGTATGCGACAGGAGATGCACTGTATTTGACGTCGGTCAAAAAAGGCGTTTTAAGTCATGTTCGTGGATTTGAAATCGGCATTTGATGCGACGGCGATAAATCAAGCTTGCACAATGTAAAGTCTATCAAAACATGCTACATCTGAGTCGAACGATTCTGCAGGAAAATTCCAGGAAATGTTAAAAAATTTAGATGGTGAGGTAGCCCTGCTTGAACTGTTCATCTAATCCACCGGCGTAGTACAGGGAGATAGTCGGAGTCTGTTGCTTTTCGCTTTGGCGTTAAATAATTTGTATTGTGTTCAAGACCCAACCGAACACGGTGAAAATGCTACTTTATGCCGATGATGTTGTATTTTTAGAAATTTATTCTATGTCCAGCAAGCTAGCTACCGCAAGTCCCCTTTATTTATGAATGCAGTAGGACTAAAGGGGAAATGATTAACATTGACAACATGGAGGCCAAAAAGTTCCGTCGCCGAAGCAATTTTTACTGCCTTTGACGCGCTCCATATAGGCAGAACGGCCTTTACATGACCAGCTGCAGGTGTAGCTTTAGCTACAAAGGGTCGAGCTTTGCAGAGCACATCACAGACAAAATTGTGACGATTGATGATGACGAGATTGACTATACCAACTCCCTCCAACTTCCTTTATGAAGGATTTGTCCTGTTTGAAATTAAAATAGTCCCGGTAGCTTTCTATGAATTCCAAGTAGAGTGGGAATGTTTCTCATCGGTGCAAATGGAGAAGCTCGACTGAGCCAGGTCTGCGTTCCTAATGCGCGCTACGTACTGCTTTGTTGATCATATACGTGCGTCAAACGCTACGTGTAACAGATCTGCTGCTGCCCACTCTTCCTACTTGTTTTGGAGTGGATGGGGCAGGAAGATGGAACAGATAAGCTTTTATTACACATGCGAGCCAACCAATGAAGGCTGAAGAGGCCTTAACCGGCACGTAGTTATGCGTTTTGCAATACGTAGGTCTCATCACACCCAATGTGGTGCACTGGGCTTCCATTTGCTATATACTACGTGTCTGTAAAGGATGTGCTGGACCGTGCCATAGATAGCACACTGTATCATGCGTCGCAGTACCTTCACTGAGCGGTTTCTTTGATAAGAGTACATGATATTAATGTCAGCTTATAGCAACATAGATCATTCGTATATAATGTGCCTATCGTATTCACTAGCTTATGAATATATAAACAAGCGAACTGCAGTTCACATATTCAAACATTACGAGCTACGCATAGTTTAGGTTCGACATTGGAAAGAAGTTATGAGATGCCTTAACTTGTTCAGGATGGGCAACCGGTGAAAGAGCTGAACGCAAAAATGGTCACGCGACAAACAATCCGAAATCGATCCGAGGTACCAGAACTGGCCTGTCGATCGTCAAGGGATCGTTCGCCTGCGAATGTACGTAGACGATGCATTGATCGTAAGCATCCACTATTTTTTTATACTTACGTATTTGAAAATATTTGAATATGGCGTTTAGCTGATAAAAAATGACCACGACGTCCTCTTTCTTCTGTCGACTATGTTATCATAATGTAGCCAGGGTTATAGCTATGTATGCAAACTGTGACTAATATGTAAAGAGCCTCGGTAATCAAATACGTATAATGTGATGCCACAGCAAATAAAAGGAAAAAATAAGGAGAACGGGGTAACCACACACATCTCCGCATCGACTTAGCTTCGGCAATACACGTGCTTTATACAGGCCAAAACTAATGGACATTTCAAGACTAGTTTGCCTGCGTAAGCAAACGTCATCTTCTTTGTATATGTTTAGCATTGTACATGCGAGTAACAAAATAAATTTCTCGCTCTGGTTCTAAAACGCTTATGAAAATTTCAACTGCTTTTATAAAATTTTACACTTCAATTACCTACACCACTGGAACCTCAAAGAGCCTATCTACTCGGTGATCATTTAGCCCCTGTTTTTTGTAATATAATTTGACGGTGCGGTGACTTCTAATTAGGGCGTACCATCTGAAGACTGCGATCGAGAATTACATGAGACGCGCACTATTACGCAGTCAGTCAAATTGTTTCGAGTCAGTTCTCAGCCGTCCACGGCTCTGAAGGTATGTAAACATGTTAACTTGTACAGTACAATCGCCGAAATATTGCTCTTACTATATTAGCCAATAATTTTATTTGGGACCAGCGGTCTCTCGAACGCGAAGAAGCCCTCTTGAATGAGGGCTTAGGTGCATATACAATGTTAAGTGAGGTTGCGAGGTTTATCCATATGCGGGAGTACAAATATAAGCTATGCTTAGACATAGTACACATAGTAGTTTATATTAGATTGTTGTGATTTTAGGCAAAGTAAGTTCTCGTTAAGGTTCAGCTAGAAGAAATGGTTCGTTGCTTGACATGAAGTAGGTCGTGTATCCTGGGCTGTTGGAAACTAAGGAAATAACCGTCGAACGGTATTGACATCTATATGTAGCCATTATATCCTTACTGGAACATCTGGAGAACAGATAAAGGATCTCACGTAAAAACAACGCTCATCAAACCGCAGAGGTTTTCATGTATTCTTAGATATGAAAACTCGCAGCATTACTGCTCACCAATAGCCGGGACCTGGCTCTAATTTTTATCTTACTGAGTGTAGAATAATAGATCGAAAGGTACAGCTCCGCAAGAATCAAGGGCCGGTTGCTCAATCAGTGATTGTAGTTTTCCAAGCCGAGGAAGTGCGAGGAAAAATTCACAAGCGTCCAGTTTAAACAGATATACGAGTATAGATGTTTTAGAAAACGTCAAATAGGACCATATTAGGCCTCTTTGTACTAAAAGCATTAACTGACAACATTGATAACACACCGATAAACATTTTAATAATAACACAACTAAATTAAACATTTTTACAGACCTAATTTTCAGCGTGTTTTTGTTTGTTCAGCAATGTTTTTTCTTAATGACACACTGTTAGACTGTCCGTTTTTCAGTTAAACAGAAGCACAAAATCTGGGTCCTTCAACAATATTCTCTGATTTCTGCTTGCAAATTGTTTTTGCGCGCTTAAAAAGACAGAATTGGCTGACATTCGTAACACATTTGTCTTATTGTGAACTCCAGAAATAACGTTGATGCATGTTACACAAATGCATTTTAGTGAAATTAGCTGGGTGTGACGCGAGTTCTTAAGTCGAATATGAGAACCATGTTATTCTAAGAAAGGAGACAACAGTTGTTTTGTTGTTTCTGGTCAGCAGATGCAGCATGAAGCTACGTATATTCTGGTAGGCAAGCATCTGGCAAACAACGTGCGGAAGAAAACTACATAGAAGTATGGTATTCATCAATCTCATGCGTTATTTTTTGCAAGGGAGTTTCTTAGCGTTATGTTTACCTACGAAAAAAAGCCTCGGTTGGCATATACTTGGGCTAAATTCCGAACCTACTATTATTATTCAACATCGTACAGTATTCTTAAGTTTAGTTCAATAATGTTTTTTCACTTCTAAATCTAAAATATCTAAAATAGATTCGAGCGGTAAGCACAGAATAATCACAACCTTACGAAAGCTCATAGAAGAAAAAAATTTGTTGGATTATATGGATGACCGCGTGGTAAAGATGCAAAGATGTTGATTCCTATTTATCAACCTGAGACTAGTATTTTTAAAGACTACATAGGCGTAGATTGTGTATTGGATGTGGTTTACTTAATACCATTTGCATACGCTGCAGAAAAAAAGCCAACGTTCTGTACTAGTCTAGGCATGGATTTTGTTCCCCCTGGAAACATAATTCATCAGTGTGATCATTCGTAAGTGTGATGTGAACTATATATGATCGTAATCTCAAAATTAGCTCCTGTATTTACTTCGAGAGCAAAGATTTGATCAAATAGATTAAAGGACAGGTAAAATGATACATACGTCTGTGTAGTGTTTTTCTATCACACGGAATCGTATAATATAATTCTAAAGATCACGGCAAACCTAATTTCGCATGTGAATTAGAACTACGATTAGGTCAGTAAACACCTTTGGCCATATGACCTACTGACAGTTTGAGATGTAGATCTGATGCAGCTCTTAGAGGAGATGGCCATTTTTTCAAGACCTAAGAGTAATACAAGCGCACCTGATTGTTAATAGAGCGATGTGTTAAGATTTTCGCTGAAGGTAAGTCACGATCCACTTACCGATATACTAGCCGAGCGGCTGGAACCTCTGCACCTCATCCAGTGGTAAATAAATGCAAAACCTTGTACTTAAAGTGGCCTTATCTACGTGAATACGCGTATCATCTCAGGAGGGTGACCGGAACAGTCAAACCTTGACTTTGACACATTGCTTTCCATTTATGTGGTAGAATACGCTGAACCTTGACAGGTTTTTAGATACTGGATGCATTAAATTCTAATAAAGTAAGAACGCGCAAGAGTTATGAAATCGGTTGCATAAATTGGTATGATGTGAAGGCGTTCTACTGCACTTGAGGAAGACGCAGTTAAATACGTCCATTACTATTTAACGCCGCTCAGCTAAGCTTACCCCAGGTTAATCATACTTCTACTAACCCGAATACGGTTAGCTTAATTTTAGTTATTACATACCCTACCGTCGGCTATGAGGCTGGGTGTGTCTGCTTTGGAACTGAACTTCGAATCGAACAGCTGCTGGATCGACAATTCGAGTTGCTGGATCGTGGCACGCAAAAGAGATATGACAAGACAAATTTTCCATTTCATTTTTATTTATTCACGACTCCCTTTGTACTATAGCGAAGAGTACGCTTATGTTTTTAGATTAAGCCGTCAATTTAGCCCAACGTTCTCCTAGGCGCTTCCGAGTGAACGCTCATAAATTTTCCACATCAGCTATATGCAAAGTCCAAATACGGTATTTCAAGTTACCATATGGTACAAGAAATCCAGTTTTCGATACAAATATTGTGCCTTTCTGTGGTACCAGGTCGAAACTGTCTCGGCATAACCTCTTAAATGTGTATGCTTTAGACGTCGTCGTAGGCGTCGATTCTGGCAGTGTCATTCATTGATTTTATCAAAAGGTTTCCTTTAGACTTCTAAAGTCTTCCTCGTCTCGTTGATGGCTTGAACAGCAGTATGGGGATCAGACATCAGTCACTTCGTCTTATGCGTTCTTCTATAAAGAACGCCCTAGATGGCTGATGCAGCGGTTATACCATCCATGTACCGAAACTTCTTACACTAAAAAAAGAGTGTAACGCTGTCGTTCATTAGCATCACTATCCACACTAGTACAATCGATTAGTCTCGTGAAAGCGTAGGTTTCCATTAATGATGCAGGTCAGGTTTTTCGCGGTGTTTCCTATTGCGTCGTAGCTTGGTTAACTAACCTGCCACAACAAATATTCGATATTTTAAAGGGCACACCTTGAAGGGACATTCAAAACGATGCAATCCGGTCTATTTTCAGTATTTCGAGGACAGCCGGCGTGTGTCCTATCACGGCCGAGCATAAAATTCGACTTATGGGCAAAATGGGCTCTATTAACAGGCATCGCAAGGCCGACGATGACAGCGGTGTTCGGCATCCCTTGAGACGTTCGCCATACAGACCGTCTGGAATCTATGGAGTTCCTGGTCACCATGAAAATACTACGCACAACAATGAAGGGACCGTCAATAACTAAACGCAAGTTGCTTCTAGTCTATCTCAGTGCTATCCTCATTATCGTGCCAATTTCGTTATCTGGATAGCCTCTTTATTTAAGATAAGGAACATTTTTACAATCGTCTACAATTCGTCTCATTTTGGCTGGTTGCTTAGATTATGTTATAATAAAACTGCCAATCTTTATTTGCCAGCCAAAAAGGCCCCGTATACCTATGCCGCAGCTATACATATGCAAAGTGTTATTGAATTAGGCAGACTCGGACGTATCATATTAAATCGTAGGTTACTTAAATCAATTGCTTTGTTCTTAATATTGAAATAAAAATCATTTCAACTCTTATGGGCTAAACAAACCAGATTAAATGTAATAGGTGACAAGCTCTTTATTATATGACCTAACCTTCACATATCCATTGGTGGTATCCCCATATCGTTTTGATAAGTATTCTAAATCTATTTGTAAAAAAAAATAAGCCATAATGCAATTTCTTTACGTGCTTTATCCTACTTTACCTTTAGTTAACTTGTAAAGGCTAGTACAAAAAAATTCTTATTTGTGTTAAAGACATACATGCTAAAGTGGCTTCAGGCCATTCTAGTTTTAATATTGAGTTTTAAACAGGTGCTCCGTAACCCGGTCTGAACTAGGATTGATTCAAAGGCCTTTGAACCGAACAAGAAGATTGTGCAGACTTCCCGCTGCGTTACTGGCAAATAACAGAGTCTTATGTTTCGATACATTGACAAACGATACATTGGTTCCTGTACATTGTACTGACGATTTTGATAGCACCATCGACTATCTGTCCGAGCAGAAGAATCGGTAGTTTAAACAAAACTCATACTATCTCTTTCTTCTAAAACGAGAACAAAATGCCCTTTATATTTGTAAAGAAAGGTAAAATCAAATACAAAAGAGCATCGTTTTGCGTGACCAACTAATTAAACATTTGTTCGAAAGATTTAAGAAGAAGCAAAATGTAAAAAACACTGTCAGAAGGTCTATAGCTTGATGTCTACGCTTGGTTGTATATATATATATATATATATATATATATATATATAACGAAAATGGTTTTTGTAATTGTGGTGGTCTTTAGACTTGAAAATAGCTTTGTTACACGACTTCAAATATTTTGGAAAATTTGTCTTTACAAAGGCGTTGATAAGAATATTTCTTTTGATTGGAAATATATGTACAGTCAATAGGTATCATTGACGCTTTTGAGAGTGTCATCGGTAAGAAGCTCATAACGTTTAATTTGTACGTCGATGATTTGAAAGTCTCGTACGAGAACATGAGTGTCCAGAGAATCGACGTTTGAATTTGGCGGGTGAATTTTCTTGTTGTTAATGTCGTAAAGAAATCGAATTTCATGCCGTCGTTAAAAATGTTTTGTCCCTTTGAGCAAAATTGCGATCTGTGTAAGGGACCGAAGTTGTTATAGCGCTGCTGTAAACTTTGCGCGGTTGATGTCGATAACGCTTTTAGAATAGGAATATTATCATAGTTATCGGTATATTTGTAGATCAGATCGAAATCGGCGAAACTGTTGTCTACTGACTCCTGCCTGATACTTCACTGAAGCCTCGAAGCTCCACGGATGCCATATCTTTTGGATATGCCAAATTGCATTGCTGGAATGCTTTTTACATTTCATCATTAATCAGTTCTAGCCTTCAATAACATCAGCGCCTGAAAAGCAATAATATCAGTGGGATAGATTTCGGGACCCGCACTTACAACGATGCAAGTAACAATTACGGTATTGTTGCAGTGCAATTTTCAGAATATTCGTTTTTCTTTTTCTTTTTCCGAGTTTTAGTACTTGCTGGTTTCTGGCGCTTCTCGAAGTGAAAGAACACATTTGCTCGGAATCTACACATCCCAGACATCTTTTCCTGTTATTCTTGTTCCTGTCAAATACAACTGCCGGTTCCTTTTATCGCACAGTCTCCATCGCTTCCTTTTTATTATCCACAACGTTTGAAAAATGGAAACTACGCATTTTAAACACTTCGTTAGGTCAAAGAAAGAAACAGGATAGACTATGCTTAAACGCTGGGCTAGCGCTGCAACATTCGTCAGGCGCTTCTTGTACTATATGAAGGGTAATGTGGTTTGGATAAAAACTTAACGGACTCACTTTCTGGTGATGTTTTTAACTTTGTTCAAATAATTTTAGCATTCGGATGATACGCCAGTAAACTTTTATAAATCGATATCTTTCAGGTTAACCAAAATCATACTACTATTTAATTGAGCGTTGCAACACGAGATATTGCGTGCGTATGTATGCCCAATTTAGGGGACTGTGTCTGTGTTGCATGAGAAAAGATTTACGTACAGGTATTATCCATAGTAGATTCTCGTGAAAGACGAACAAGAACAAAGAACAAACAACTAAGCATTTACGGAATAATCTATGTTGTATGATTGCCGTCATCGACAGAACATTGCGCATGAGCACGAAAGTACTGAATAGAATCATTGCATTAATCATATGCAATCGGGAAAATTAGCTTAGATGTGATACCTTTGGGCATGCGCAAATGTGCGTGTCTCAATGCCCGCATGCTCGGGTAACATGCCTCCTATTGACTTTGATTTATCGCACAACCTTTGGACACTGGATTATACTAAACTGCACCGCAAGGGTATCTGCTCTAAGGGGTCTCAGGCCTTCTCTCGGCCGCAAGTACTCTTAAAACTCCTTGTTGTCCTATCCTATGTTTCAAGTTTTACTTCCAGTATTTTAGCCTTTAAGTATACTTCCAACAGCTGGCTCCCAGCTCGAAGTGGATGGTCTACACACGGATTCGAACCTAGACTACCACATGTTCCTAAGCAAGGAAACTACCATTGCACTATAATGGGGACTGTTCTATCATATATTAACATGAAAGAAACCCGGTCTACGAAAAACTTCTGCATTTAGGCGCACCATAATTGCAGTAGTCGAAGTCATGAAGTAGTTACATGGAATAAGCCTGGTGGCAAAAACAGTGTGAGTGTTTTAAATAAACGGAGTCTCGATGATTGCTTGAAATCCTTGGCTTGGACTAAGGGCAAAGAAACAAATGTCGCAATCTTATATTTGGCTAGCTAAACTAGGAAAAGTGTCTCTGCATTATTTTGTACTGAATTATCAAGATCCCCAGGGTTTCCGGAAAAACCGTTAGTGGGTTCGGTGTCGATGTAATGTTACAGATTTCTAAGCAGCTACTACAATAATCCTGTGTACTTTTTGAATCTATCACAAAAGGGCCATGATTTTTTTTTAAATTAGCGTTATGCCTCGGTGCACTATACTAACAGTGATTGTCATTATTAACGGCAGATCGAGTCTCAGAATCGTGCCATATTTCCCAGTCAACCTAAGGATCCGCCTCGTAAATATAGAACTGGAAAAAGAAGTAGTGCTGAAAGTGTACAGGGAAAAAATGCGTCCACAATGAAGAGGTCGAGATTAGTTCAGGAACAAATGGACCTTAACCAGACAACCGAACCTGTCGACGTGTCACATAGCAACGATGCCTCCTCAATTCATACGACTGGTGTTCACTCATTTGCACATTCTACAGCAAAACCACTTCAAGGCACGGCAAAGCCTATGGCGATGACTGTTATTACAACCTCTGTTTCTACCACGTCTACAACCACAAAAAAAGTTGTCAACTTAATTGAGGAAGTTACTTCAGAGCTAATTCCGGATGAAATGTCAAGCAGCGACTTGAACGACAGTTTTAAAAGGATGAGAGATACTCATGAGACTATTAATACCCATAGTAGTAAAGATCCCACAACTAGCACTATGCCTAAACCAAATTTGGTAAGCCAAGCTGCCGATTTCGACAGTACACGTAAAACTGCAGTATTATCGAGTAGCGTTTCGAATGGGAATACCAGCTTTTATAAGAGAGTGCCAGTTACACGGGTATCAGGAGCAGGCACATTGATATTTTCTTGCGAAAAACAAGTTCGAAGGCAGCGGAAAAGTTTTAAAGGGTCGAAAGGCATTTATCCCTTCAAAAAAGATTCCCTCGATCAAGATTCGGAACTCCTCAGTGACATTCTTCAAAAAAACAAGAAAGATATCTCGAGCAGTGAACTGATGGATAGATTAACAAGTGAGCTTGACAGTATGGAAAACAAAACCAGCGTATCTACCGCAAGTATCAGTAGGTTGAGAGATCTTTCGAATCTTAGCGTTGCAAGCATGAAATCATCAACGACAACGTCGGAAAGACCGGAGTTGCCAAACACCACGCCAGCAATAAGCGTTTCCAGCGAGCGTTATATCAGCAGAGATATAACGGCAAACAGTGGGGCGACCATAATTGGCAGGTGTTTGTTGTCAAATGATAAGCCTTTTCACTATGGCAGCAACATTTCTAAAAGTTCAACAATTCTGGAAACACGTAATGTGAGGCATGAATACTCAAACTCAGAAAGGCCCAAGAAGAAAGCGTCCCACCAAATTAACAACCATGTAAAGTCCCTTGAGGGTCCACGGTTGACAAAGGCGAGTCAGCAGTCGCCGGCTCAACTAAAAAGCCCCAAGGCAGCTTTAGTTTTGAAATTACCTTGGGACTCCAATGACAAAGTAAATCATCCAAAAAGTTTCCCAATGCCATATCAAAATCGTAAACCTAGTGCGAAACAGTTGGAAGACCCAAACAAAGGTCACACACTCCCCGTTTTATTCAAAACAGAGGACGTTGGATGCAGACAACTCTTGGAGGAGCAAGACGTGAAATGTTCTAATTTAGCTGACTTTAAGACCAACGCTTTGACGGATGCCGAGCCAAATCACCGTGGTAAGGATAAAATTACTATGGGAAGAGGAGGGTCTTTCAAAGTGGTTCGAAACAAGGATAAATCGACGTTCAGTTCAAGGGAAAGATCTGATAAAGCTTCAAAAAGCCGCCTATTGTCTATGAAACGGTCTGATGCCTCTATAGTAAGGCGTGATCTAACGGGTCTAAAAGAAAACAGGGACTGCAAATATTCAAAAAGTAATAGATCTTGTAAACATTTAAAAAATGGCGAAATCTGTAGCTATTTAAAAAGTAAAAGGCACTGCAAACATTCAAAAAATAAGAGAGCTTGTAAATACTCAAAAAATGAAAATATTTGCAAACACCGAAGAGATAGAAGAACTTGTAAACAATCTAAAAAGTCGCAAGCGAGAAGATCTAGGGCAGGAAAATCGAGCCAAACGTCAAACGAGAAGATTCCAGTCTCCAACGACAGATATTCTAAAACCACCAATGCACTGTTAGAAAGGCCGATGATCTCACAAAACAAGATAGAGTCGAAAAACTCTAAAAAGGGAATATTTAGCTTCTCCAAGAAAATCAGTAAGGGATCTAAGCTTTCTAAACCTGCCGAATCTGATTCCCAGGATATCAAGGGCAGTAGGGCTTCCTCTGGAAGCTTCAAAATTAGTTTAAAAAAATGGTTTTCTAAGAAAACTCAATCGCAAAAAAATCAAGCACTGAGCGACGATGCGCGCGGAAGTATGCAATCGTCTGGGAATCTTGAGGGTGGAAGCAATTCTGCGGAAAAGAATTTACAGCCTAAGCGCTCGCCTTTGACATCAGCCAAATTGTCACCCTCTAAGCAAGCTCCAAACGGTGGAGGGAAGTCGCCGCCCGTGAAGCTGCATGACCAAAAGGAAGGCCAAATAGCGCCAGCTTTACGCACCGCTTTGACAGCAGAACGTGGAGAAGCGCCATGCAGCGGGATGCTAGAACTGGGACAAAGTCATCAGTCCGGTGCTAAATATAATGCTGGAACTCCAGAAAAACACGCAAAATCGTCTCGTTTTTCTAAATCAATGCCGAAATCAGTACAGCTTTCGGAGGATAAACAGGTCCGTACAGCTTCAAAGACGCCATTAAAGTTTCCCGAATCAAATGCATCTCCTGTCCCAGGCCAATCCATCATTCCATCACAACATTCCAACAAAGATATTGCAGATTCAAAAGTGGGAGACGATAGTGGAGTGCGATTGAATTCCGCACAATCAGACGGTCCTGCTTCACGAAGCAGTAAAGCCAGTTATACAGAAAGGCAAAGGTACCTAAGAGCTCTGGAGAAACTAGTAGACGTTATTTCCATTTCAACAAAGAGTAAAGCCGAAGATCAAACCAGGGATTTGTTACAAGAAATGCTAATTAAAGAGGGTGTACAAGAACCCATAGCTGGAGAGGCTTCTCATGAAGCTTTGTTTGTAGGTGATTCTCTGAGAGCTTTGGCTGGCAAAATTGGTCCACCAGCCTTAAGCAAGGGCAATTCCTCGGGAATTCCAGCAGAGATAACTATGCAAAAATGTTCTGCTATGAGAGACTACTCGAAAATCCCACTGGAAGCAGGTGTTCAGGAAACCGTTACTCACTTAAATGAGAATCCTCGTAAGAGCCCTCAAGGGCCTTTGACTAAGGCGAAGTCTGTGAGAACTCCGCTTCAAGTACGTTCTCAAGGAACGTCACCCAAGGGAAGCTCTCAAGAAACCAGGCATATAAAAAGTTCCCAGAGAAAATTATCAAAAACAGGCTTTCAGGGAACACCACTTAGAGATCGAGTCTTACGCACTGTAGCTACCGGCAATATCCACGAGTTAGCAACGCAACGAACCTCAAAAGAAGACACTGGTATGTCCTGGGTCCTTTATAATCTAACTTACTTAAATAGTAAACGACAAAACAGCTTTATCGAACTAACAAACATCGTTCTAGTTCTAGATTAAAATTTCTTCCGTGTAATTTCTTTCTGTTACCCAAGTATTTCTCAGTTCTCGCGTAAAAAATTCATGGCAGATGGCCGCGTAATGGAGTCCACGTTTCACTTGATTATATTTGCCTAGACACTAGCGATACACAATTTCTGCAGTGATACTAATTTAACTTTTGAATAAAATGAAGATTTGCAGTAGGTAAAATATATGTTGATGTAGTATGTCAATACATTAGCAAGAAACTACTCGAGAATAGCTTTGATACTGATGATAATACGTATGACGTACATCGAACTTAATCTTCAAACTAGCTGCCACAGATTGAGAAGCCCAGTTTATTGGCAGTACCGGGTAAGTTCCGGTGTAAAGTAGTATTATAGTTGAATAAATGTAAAGGATTTATCTATTCCAATATCTCAAACGATGGTTGAAAATCCCTTAACACATTTGGATAAATGATGTCACAAATGGTAACGCACTACGAACAGTTGATCGCAATGCAAGATTGCATAGAGCAGCTAAAACTGGGATTGGAATCGAGAAACTTATACTCCAATACCCGCATTTAGGGGCCTCAGTAACTTGCGCGCATCAAGGAGGCGAACTGGTGATATGCTTTATGTAAATATTACTTTACTCAAAAAAGTAATAAATATTGAAATTGTCTGGTAAAGCTGCACTATGCCACTGCACTGCTGTTCAGAGGGTTCCATAACGCCAATAACCACTAAGTAACCAATAAGGGAAAATCAGAAGTTATAGTATATAAATAAATACATTATAGTATAAAGTGTTTGTTTGGTTACTTCGAAACTAATACATTTCAAAAGACGCAGAACTTTGACCGCAACGTAATAGCCAATAATGAATGACTTTGCTTTCAAGATGTTTTTCAATGCAGTTGCTATGATAGAAGCTGAAGAATTACCAGGTCTTCCTTAACGATATAATATGGCTTTATTAGAAGCCCCTTCTTCTTATGCTCTAATTGGAAATTGTGATTTCACTGCGGGTACTCTGATGTGGGTAGATATGCTAAGTGTGAAAAAAATATCGCTGAAAAATATTACTGTTCTACAAGACTTTCGAACTAAGTTTGATAGTGACTCACTATGATATCCTAACAGAGCCATCTTTAATTTCGGCCAAAATGCTTTTCTCAGAACAACCTCTAAAAATTAGATACCTCAAACGAGTTAGCGAAAAAAATAACCTTTATAGCAGCTCTTATTTATTTATTTGTAGAGGCAGACTTCCTAGCTCGTTTATGGCCTTTTCATATAAAATTCAGTTTTGTGCGTTCCGTCGTAGAATTTTGAATGTAACGATATGCGTATTCTAAGGAAAAGATTTAAACGTTAGAAAGCTTGTCAAATATGGCTCCGCTTCCCGGCTAGCTTAAGGTCGTCCAGTTAAAGCTTTACAAAGACGTACAAACGTTGATATTGCAGTGCCGAAAGGTCTGGAAGTACCAGCTTTCGCAGTTCGTCATATGAAATGGAAACCAGCCAAGCTTAATCCGTCGACAAAACAAAAGAGCGAGCTTCGGGTACGAACTAATCGAACCTCGTATCCCATTGATACCAATCAAAAAGATTCATCTACGCCAACAAACCTTCGAGACTATGCTATGGGAAACGTTAATGCACCACTTGACAACCTAGTGGATCCTTTTCGACGATTAGAATGTAGTTCCTATAGTTCACCAACCTACGAATGTCTAACGACAGTTGCAGTTCGTGGCGGAAGCTGTTCAAAGAACTATCCGATTATTTGCGACAAAGGTTATCGTGTAACGTCGGAGTATGTTCGCTGGACTGAACCAAACAGCAGGAAGGCGAAAGATGGCAACGCTCTTTCAATCCCTCCAGTGAAAGATATTCGGGACCATCATGCACGTGGCAGTGCTCAGAAGTGCGTTGGAACCATGGCAGAACCAGTAGATGTGTCTCACAAACTTCTCGCTCCCTCCGACCCCGCCGCGGGGGAGGCTGCTCAGATGAGAAGAAGAAGGGAAGGAACTAAGCATGAGTTTGTAAGCAAAATGCAAAAGATTTCACCAAACAGTTGTAATAAATGCTCATTGCAAGCGGATACAAGCTCAAGCAATATTTCCAAACAAAATTTCAACTATAACACCTCTTCGAATGTCCGCTCCACGCCAGACAGACAACTATCACGGTGTAAAGTCGGAAGACGGTCCGCCTCGATGAAGGGCGTTTGTCGACCTTGCATAAGGCCCAGGAACATCGACCAAGAATCACGTATTACTGAAGTCACGACGATGGGCACTCCCACGTCAATGCAACTGTCAGATCATACGATTTTCACTTCAACCAGGGATGCGGAAACAGAAACTGGCAGCCGGAGTATCAACGAAAGAGAGCGGTATTTTAGGCTTTCACTACCATCAGATCGATGCTATTCGATGAAGCCGTTCCCGCCACTTAACGGTCGTGTGCTCAACGAACGCCCAGCTCTTTCATCGAATTCAGAAGATTGTAGTAAAAACGGTTTGGCGATAGGAGATGCGAGGCGCCATTTACTCTTTAAATATCTGGCGAAATCAATGTATTGCCACGTAATACAGGAGCGTGGTAAGTTATCCAAAAACTCTTAAAAGTTATAAAATAACTTTTGACATCAATTTTTGACACAACTTTTGACACGGAAAACCCCCACCGACTATAAGGTTAATACGAACAATCTGATAATCTGCAACCAAAATGTTATTTCAATGTCTATCATTCGCGTGTATATTTTAAGGGTATGTTCTAATCTAACAATAATCTGATTCAAGTGGAATGCTTATCGAGTGTTTATAGATCCAAATGTGGGTGTTCTACAATCATGTGCCATAGAGCTAGACCAGCGCACAGGTCTTATGATCATCCCAGCCCCAGTTGACTCGACCCGCTGGTTCCAAATGTATAAACGCAACCTGGCGCTGTTGAGTCCACGGAACATTATTGTTGCTATGGCCGCACACATCGCGAGCGCGTTCTGTGACAAATTCTATTTTCGACCTATGGCTATACCGCTCACCTACGTGGTGATACCACCTAAATATGTCTTATTTTCATCGAAAGTGAAGGTACGTTATACGCTAGAGTTGGATACTGTTTCAGTCGTTATTTGCTGGCTCCAAATAGCCTGCATTTATGCAACGTGGTTAAAGGCCTCGTACAAGGCAAAATATAGTGACCGATTGCTTTTGTCGTCGGAATGAACGTTAATAAGGTCGGCAGGGCCATGTCGTAGCTACAAAGCCAAACGTCCTAGCTTTAGAAAGAAAGGAAACGCCTAAAAAATCATTTCATAGAAATATTTAATAATAACATAACTCGTCGAACAGTATTATACATTATATTATATTGAACGAAGGTATAGATATTAATTTAAATTCCTAACACGTCCTTAACAAAGCCTATATTTTGTTTATGTATTGCATGTGTATTATATTAACACAAAAAAATTTTCATATGCGTTAGTTCAAGTTATAATACAAAAGCGTGTACTATAATTGAACAGCATACTTTTCATTTACACGTATGTATATTAAGGTACAAATATATTATAAGACCTTTCATGTAACAAAAACAAGAGTTATCTCAGCTGATGAAAGACACGTGTATATAACAGATAAATATAATTAACATTGTTAATTTATATGATAATATAACAGATGCTAGTATATACATATGGCCCAAAAACGTTTCCATATATTGACACATTGCTAATGCAACAACTTAGCTATTGTCGACGCAATTTCATAGCTTAAAGATCTGCTACAACACAACATTATGAACATCGAATGTATAATTATCCAGTGTCTTCATCATGGAGAAAGCAATATGCTTCTTTTAACCGGATTGAGGCCTTCTTTAGAAATTATACATAGGAAAGGTTTACCTCGGTGTATTGCAACCCGGTTTATTATTACTCGGTCTTTTATTTTGGTGCCCAGTAGGGATAAAGGGCGATTGCATGTTGGCGAACTCCAATGGTTCATTGACATTTTTTTTTTTATTATTTATTATTATTATGAGCTGTCGTAGAATGACACTTTTGTGTTAGGGCTAGGTAAAAGACTACGAATCAATAAGCTTTAGGGATCACTGGAGTACCATAAGTGAAGATCGAGGTAATATAATAGGTTATGTAGCAAATCAATATAGCGGAACTTCTTAGGTCTATGGGTATTAAGATATTCTTTTTTAAGTAAGCAGTTGCTGATTTTCTCGCCTTTCCGTGGTAGTTAAGGGTTAATTGGTAAAGTACGTTCATAGCTCTTCTTGGAGAATACTGGAATAGTGTCATCATCAATCTTTAGAACAGGGCATTAAAATAATATGATCGGTGCCTTAGATCATCTGTTTTTTAGAAGAGTGATCGATCAAATACCGATTACCCTACCTGATTTCGAATAACCTGCTATATAAGCCTTAAAACTGTGTCGGTGAGGTTTTTGTCCACATCAGCGCCGTACGACTCATCTACTTCTCCACTTGTAGTAACCATGGTTTTATTCTGGACGCGCAAATACGCTTATAGCTCACACATCTGTATTTGATTTCGATGAGAATCGTCGAGCCTAGAACGCCGGGTTTAATGTTGATTGGTAGCGGTTACGTGAAATTGCCCCAGAGTTTTTCCGACTATTTTTCCAGCGAAAGGGAGATTGGGGTTTATCAAAAGCTGCGTTGGTTTATGAACTGTACGTAAAATGGAAGACCGAGGCTTCAAACAGAAAACATTTAGATAGTTACGGTTCTGTTATTTTGACGGGCCACAGAAACTGCGAATGCTAAATTAATTGTACGATGTAACTGAACAGCAACACCTGTGTAGGTGGTAACCACAGAAGAACGACGTTCATGCTTTGATTTTTCCATATAAATACGTTTTACCTGTTCCATTAATGAAAAAGAAGCGTCCTTCGTTTGCTCGAATACCTCTTATGATCTATCTTAAAATTGCACTTTGTTTGTCGTTCAGCTTTTGCCTGTTTGGCAAAGTGAGCATTGCTAAACCGTTGGGTGCCAGTTAGGCGCTGGGTATTAGCCCTATTTGTTGGAAATGAGGTAAATAAACATGTGTGGTAGGTAAAAATGTGATGTAGGCCCATTTGACGCGCAGGGCACACGCTATCGTGACGAAGAAAAATCTCGCGTCGAACATGTCCTATAATTACTGCGCCAGTGCAAGATCATCTGAGTTTGTAATGATCGAGGCAAATAAACTACGGTTTTCGTGAGCCATTTATCAAATTACTGCTTACCTCGTTGTTCACACGACGTTCATTCGATCAATCGTTGATCGTAATCCACAAACGTGCAGCAATTGTGGGCAAAGGTAATAGCGTTACGACTCAATCGAAGGGTAAACGGAACACATCTCCGAGGGTGAGCTTAAATTGTTGTGTGTCCATAGTCCATTCTTATTTCATCAATAATATTGCAGAACGTCTATGTAGCAGTTTTAACCAAATAGTCAATATGACGGGTCTCTTCTTCCTAATCTCTTCTTCGTACTGAGAACTGTACAACTTTAAACGTCGACCCAAATGCTCGACCCATTGTCCAGATATTAACATTTCCAAAACCAGAGTACCATCACGAAGTTGCTGATGTTATCGTAATCCAAATTACAATTTTTAAAATGATTTTTAGTAGGATCAGTATCATGCCTTTATCGGATCTTTAGAATCGCCTAATCTGAACTCTTGAATAGAAAGATATTTGCAAATTTATTTGGCTGCCGTTGTAGCTGTACGAATTTCCACTTATAACGTAAGTGCATATACAGGCAGTGCAGTGTCAGAATTGTGTTTGTTGGTGGACTATATATAGACCAGTTGCAGCTCGACGTCCTTTCTAGTTACAACTATTAGTGGTACTAGTAGCGGACAGCCAATGTTTGTAAGTTTTGAGGTCCCATAGAATGCTCTGAGAAACTTCGTTCACATGGACCATCGCTTCGACCGCATCATTCAGCTATACAAGGATGAATCATCCTATTGATAACTGTTATGCTGAGATTCAGATCTCCGCTGGGATTTGGGATCTCACCCGGTATCATGCGGTCAGTATCTTTGATGGCGTGGACGTTGCCGGTTTCACTTAGGAACATCTGCATATACACTAGTCGTAAGCCGCATTTCTGAATTTCGATAGGACCTTCAGTGTTAACTCATCATACCTTTGGTATACTTCTTCTAATCAAACATTGGGCAAACAATACGGAAATCGAATTTAAAAAAAAGTCATTGTCATCTGACGTTTTAACGTATTTGGCACATACGTGTGAAGGGTGTATATTAGTGTTTTCTATTCAGCCGTACTAATTCTTATTTACGTATATATCTCCGTAGTGATTATTGGGAACATGAAGCACAAGGGCCAGTGTAATGGCTGCTTCACAACAGCCGGCAAATGCTTGTGGTTCAACATCAAATACATATGGGTCGACTATTTCCGTTCACTATTGATTTTTATTCCGTTGTTATGCTCGGACGTAAACTTTGTAATATATGATTGAATGAGGAAGAAATTCCGTAAAGCTTGTCCTTTATTTATTTAGTAGCCGATGTAGCCGTATTGAAGATGTCGGCAAATGGCTTTCAGCTGCCTAAAGCAATTCCATGATGAAAAATAATACGGGTTGGGTGTTGGTATTGGGGAGGCAATTATTTTCTTTGTTTCGAAACGTACTCGTCAGAGTGCGTGGGTATGTAATATTTGCCAGGTCTATAATAGAAAAGAAAGGTGTAACGAGAGTTAAATAATATGAATGATTCATCATTCATTATTATTTTTCTTTTTGTTTAGATACTCGCTTTTATATATATATATATATATATATATATATATATATATATATATATATGTACAGAAAAAGAAAAAACAATATTGTAGAAAATATTTCTTTAAACATATAAAATTTTAATTGTGCACACATGATTTTTGAACAAATTATCTTAAAAAAGAACGTTGCAGTTTTGCTGCTGGGATTGTGTTGTTAAGGATGAAAGACGACGGTGTGACACAAGTTTAATATTTGGCCTTGTCAGTGTCGATAATGACTGTAATTTTTGAGATAATTTGAATTGTAAGGGGAAAGTTTTTTCGATCACATTGGGAATATCGTCTTCAATGCGTGCCGTGTCAGTCTCCTCTCCTTGAATTTTTCTTGATATGTCACGTTGTCTCGGAAAGGTACGCCCCTTGATGGAAGGATGACCTGCCCAGTGTTACGAGTTGCCGCCCATTATCAGTTTCGCTAATTCGTGTCCCGCTGATTGTCTGTGACGCGCGTCGACACTAAGTGGACCTCCCAACAGGTTCTTTCAGTCAGGAATTGGCCGAGCAAAAAGTGGTCGCTTTTGAGCCATATATATAGGTCAACATTATATATAGGTCAACGTTTATCTGTTAGCCGGAGGTGGCTAATATGTTATTAGCGCCTACTGTATTGCAGCGCATCCCACCAAGAGGTGCATAGCTAATTTTTTTATAGATGAGCATCATCATTCCTGCATGTGAATTCTAAATAATGTTGCGGCATCCTTTTCTGAGTGATGAAAAGGAAAAAACAATAGTTGCCGTTAACTATTTGTTTGATTAACTAAAAAAGACATCGACGAGGGCACGGTACCTACCCTTCTCTCCGCTCTCTCTCTCTCTCTCCCCGCACTTCTGGAGCGCCTATGTGGACCTTCAGGACAGTAAAAACCCTGTTTTCAATAGAGATTATGATGGAAACCATGCACGGCAAAGAGAGTGACGACATGTCTTCGTAGCTAATTTGTCTCGTTCTATTCGTTGTTCCTCGTCAGATCCAGAGCGCAAAGATTTCTATCGGCCTCCGCGAGTTTTCGCCTCCAAAACCCAAGGTTGCATGCTTTTAGGTGGCCTCTGTTGCTAAGAGCTCAAAGCGTCGACGTAGGTTTTCAAACAGCAGTGACGAATTCTGCTAGGAGGCGGCGAGGTGATTTCGCGTTACTATGTATAGTCTGAATATTCCACTAAGCAAAAAGGCCTTCATGCGATCTAATTATTTCGAGGTTCTTCACTGTAAGATCTTTCCAAATGACGCGTATATAGCTAAGAATAATTGCAAAGGATAAACAAGGAGACAACTTTGAGCCTCATGCGAATAACATTGCTTTCCTGTATGTTTTGGTGACGTACGCAGTGAAACCTCTGCCTTTCGCGGAGAAGACTTCCTAAGTGCGGAAACCTGCTGACATAAACAAGAGGCGATCTCGCGATGTACAAAGTATCAAAGGCCATCGTCCTACTTTCCTTTCTGAATTTCATCGCTTCCATCTTGGTCAGGTTTACGGTCAATATTAAATCTGTGAGCGCCGCGTAAAATAGGCTGAAGCTTGCTGCACTTGGAATCTATTTGACTTGAATGTCTTGAACTCGTCCACATACAAAATGACTTCGATTAATTTCCTTGGACTTGTTACTTGATCAGGGCGGCTTTTCAGTGAAATAGGAAACAATAGTGGGATTAGATATTACCACTGAACCAGGTCAGTTGTCTATGTTAATGACAAGGGGGCAAGGAAGTCAGCCGTTTCGTCGTCGTCGTTATTTCGTCTTGTAGAATCGCGACAAAAAGGTTGACCACGTTATGCCAGTCAATACTAGACCTATATGTATGTATAGTGTATAAAATAGCAATAGACGTCGATGACTTTTTAAGACATCAATTGAACAGTTATATAATCCGTGTATTCGACATACGTTCAGTATTAAAGTATATGCAGTAATAATAGTTTGAAATATTGGTTTTTACGATAAAAGTTGTTATATTATAAACACTTATATTATCAAAAAACAACTGAAGCCGCCATGTTAATCAGTATCTAATAGTTTTTTTCAAAAAAACTATTGGATATTGATTAAAATTGGGTATTGATTAAAATATGTGTAAATTGAATGATTTAATTTCAATCAATTGTCTATATATTGTACATTGTATATATTGTACATTTACATAATGTACCAAATGTTTTCTTGCACTGTAATATCTGTACTAATGTGTAATAATGCACTGTAAATATAAAAATATTTAATTGTTGTTTTTCGTGTGCTACATTAGTTATGTCACTTATTTATTATATTACATTATATTATTATAAATTATTATATAGTATTACGATTCAAATTAGCTTTTCAAGAACTTTTGATTGGCGGTAAGAAACTAATATCTTACATAAAAATACATTTTTGGAATTTTCAAGGTAGAAGCGCGAAACCTATTCGGCTTGACTTTTTAGTAATTGACTATTATTAATACTTCTTTTTTTTTAGGAGCAGCTCTACACAAATTTTCGTCACATTGCCATATAGGCAGAATAGACATCATAGTCTACTCAAGATCGTTTGCTCATCAGACCCATTTTTGCTGTAGGAATATATATTTTTACTCGGTTTTTACATTTTACTCGGTTTCATCGTAACCTATCCATTGGTGCAAAAAAATCTATAAACAAAATGCAATATTAACAAAATGGTATTCTCATATTTCCTCTTCTAATCTCTCAGATATAATTAATAATAAAAATAATAGAAAGTAATTCTTTAACAAAAATATTTGCCATATCAGCCGCTATAACCTTTCAGTTAATACATTAGCTCAGAAATTTTCTCGAAGATGTACTCAAAACATTTGCATTTTTTTTTCCATATGTTGAAGGGAAAGGTTTTAGAGCACTAAAATCAGCTGCCAAAATTTTGCAATTGACATATTGAAAAAATTCGTTCGAAAAAAAGATTTAAAAGTAGCTTGCAACGCGCTTTCTTCCCATAACAAAGGGGACGTTTGAGATGGTACAATGTATTTTCGCCCAAAACATATGTTTCTCCTCTTTTATTCAATTCGTCGCTGATATCTATACAAAGAAAAGTCACTGCTACCTAGAACACCATGTTAAGCTTTATTCATTTGGCATTCACGTATATAAACATCTATAACATTTCGATTTAGCTCATCTTGAGCTCCTGTTCGGTACCAAGAACGACCCGCTACATAAGATACCGTTTGGCATAACATAAAAACCCACCAAAATACCCTTCAAACAATCCCCTACAGCATATTCATAACTAATATGTATGGCAAGAGAAAACTTCAAAGAAGGCTCATTTTAAAAAATGCACGCAATCGCCGGATAGACCTCAGAAAAGATAAAAATAAGAATCAAGGCACATGGGCAGGCCGTAGCCAAAATCCATGAATTGTGTGAATTGAGTTGTAATACTTACCGGGTAGTTTCGTCCCAAATCTCCTTTCTCGTCTAAGTTTGATTGAAAATAGCTTTGGATTCGCAGTTTGTTACACCCGTTTATTTACCTGGTTTCGATACGCCACACATTTGTCCTTTCTATTTTCGGCATTACACATGAAACATTGAAATTTAGAGCTTATCCACAACGTCTTTGCTCATCATTTTGTTTGGTCTACACCTAGGGCGTGCGTATTTCGCTATATAAACCGAAATATCTGCAAAATTGGACAGAGTGGGATTTTGCCGCTCTAGGTCTTCAACGATCTGTGCTGCTACAGTATTTAGCAAGGAATATGGATACATTTCTAGCGCTACGTGGCGCTACCGTCGTAGGCCACTGCCTTGTCGAGCGCCTCGTTGGCTTCTGCGAAGAAGCATCATTGGTTCGTGAGCTTGTAGCCGAAAATGATGAGATCGCTATCAAGCTTCTTAAGCATGCTCGAAAAAATAAAAGATTGCGTGGCACCAAAGATAAAGGTCTGTGTGGTTAAAACATTCTTCTAAAGTTGCTTATTTACTTATTAGGCGCCATGCCATTAAGTCGTTCGCTTAATGATTTCTCTTTCGAATTTTTATAATTTTCTATTTCGATGTCGTATTTTTCGTTTTCGTATCACTCGTTTTGTCGTCTTGAAACATGCGGGCACTCATGAATGGACCTCTACGAAGAAATTATACTATAGATTCTTGCAGAGATCAATTTCGTGTTGTGCTAAGAATAAAAAAACGAAAAAAAAAAGCTAGTTAACGTAGATTGTACAAATAATTAAGAGTCAACATTTGCTAATTACTTATATTTCGGGTTAGTGCAAATGTTTTTTTTTTTTTTTTTTTTTGTTTATTCGAATAGGGATGGGCCTAGCTGTATGCTGTTGGCGAAACTCTCAGGTGGTCCGGCAATTAACTTCACTTTTCCGAAGAGGCGTACCGTATCGCTTACTGTTTAGCGAACGCGAACCATTCACACGGCCCCAAACATTGTCCTCTTTCACTTACATATAAATCTGCTGGACAGACTTATGAAACGTATGTTGCCATATGTGCATCGATTTGGAAGCACACTTTCGGACCGTATGAATATGGTCCCAGTACTTAACTTCGCAAGTTATGAATGCGTGACAGGGTAACTATTCAAAATACGATCGTGATATCAGCATAAACGACAATTCCTTTATGAATATAGACTAGATGAACAGTCTATATAAGCAGTCACGAGTCGAATCATAACATCACCTTTTTCTTACGTTTACTGGCCAAATGAATGAATAAATTAGCTATACCCGTACCAACTCACTTGAGAAAAATCGGGAATTCCGACGCAAAACAACTGCTTTTTTCAATATATTCCCTTTTCAGCTTATTCTGTTGTGGAACCTGTGCCTTGTGAAACCTAATAATCATCTGCTAGATCAATAGAATCACGCAAAGAAGATGCACATTTGTCGTAGCCTACAAGCGACAGGTTTTGGTCGTCTGAAGTTGATAATCAAGGAAGACTGAAGCATGATGACAGGTAGTGACCAAAGTGGCTTATATCAGGCATTGCAGACTTCGAGGAGAACTTCTCCTGGCGTCTTAAGTTTATATATATAATGTCCGCTTATGAAATCAGTGGCGAAACAGTGCCAGATTTACTATACAAAAAATTGGAACTCAACGCCAGCTTGTTTCTAGGAAAAGGGTAGACAGTACTTTCAGCTGAATTTGTTAGCTTTTAGTCATTGGCCATTGATTCCACATCAGTTAGCATAATAAAGGTAACTTTGCTGAAATGAATATCTTGAAAAATAAGAAAGCAAAATTCTATAGATATCTGTTATCTCGTAGCGCAAAAATATATGTTACACTCGTTGCTCAGGTTCCACACCAAATCCCATCTAACTTTAACTTTTCCAGTGGATTGATCGTCTCTATCAGAATTAAGCTAATTTTTAACAAGAAGTCAAGTCTAGAAAGGGGCAATAAGAATGGAAGCAAGTGCGGACCAGACTCAAAAATTTGAAACTTCTAGGGAACACTTCAGTGACCGTCAAAACGCTCGAGGTAAAATAATTAATGACGAGCACGGTTTCTTTAATTCCATTTTCTTGACCCAGAGTGCCCTCTAAAACGATGGTCTACCTCGGATGTTTTTTGACCGACCCATTATACATCCCACTGCATCTTAATTTATCGCTGCATAGTGAAACAAACACATGGGTTTGGCGTCGAATTCCTATAGGCTGTCAGTGGCGTAGTCGGTTCTTTAGGGAAAAAACTTCGCTCTCAAGAGGAAAATCTTTTGGATGCTTAACTTTTCAGAAAAAATGCTCTTTTTTTCAAATTGAATTTCATTTCTGTTTATATTAACTACTGTTAGCCCAATAAATTAAAAAACTGAGGTGACCTGTCGACCATTACATATTTTGTACATTTTAGTACTTAAATACTGACGTATGTAAAAAAAAAACTAGATTTTAACAACTAAACTTTAGATTAAAGCTAGAATGAATGTCTGTTATTGCGAAAAATACTGGTTTAAATGAACCGTGAAAAACCTGAAGGGTAGCTTTAAAAAACTGAAGTAAAAATGTAAGAACAGTTAATTGGTTTTACGTCTCGAAGAGAAGAAAAAAACTTCTATCCTGTCTTAGATCAATTATTTTCTGATAAGTAGGTGCAACGATAAAATCGAAGGCGCGCATGCTTCTCTTTATGCGCTGCTCTGAAGGTCTAAAAAAATTTAATATGGAGTTCAGTCCCCAATGGTGGCAAATGTAGTGTCTGAACCATCGCCAATTGCAGCATTTCATTGAAATCAACTCGATCGGTCAAAAACGTTGCGATAAAAGATCCAGCTTTGATTGACGTTTTTGACCGAACGAGTTGACCTGTGATTGAGCTCAGTGCGTCAGATTCATCTGCCTGTTTGCTATACGCGGACTAAATTGAAAGCAATTTAACGTGCTTCGTGTTTCGTAAGAACTCCGAAATTAGGTGTCCTGAAGCAAGTTTTGTCTGTTAAACATAACTATGTCTTTTTTTTAGTATTAACGATGTTCTTACGACGGACGAGAGCGTTGAACCAACGAGCGCGGAGCTTAACACGAACAGATCATCGACGAAGTCGAATTTACCTCATCGTGTCATTACAGGTCGCAAAACTTGCCTTTACGGGTGTGATGTGGAAACAAAAGCGGAGCCCCCGGAACAAAATTAAGCAAAGTTTGAAAAAATCAACTCAGGCTAAATAAAGCTGTAGTGTACAAGTCTTAGCCCGTTTTCGGTTATCATAGAAGTATGCATATTTTCACCACTAAAATAAATTCTACTATTTCGATGTTAAAAAGATTGCTTAAAGTTACATACCAATATAGGCCAGAACTCTGAGGGAACCAGTAATAACCTCCACGTTATAACGTCGCGTTTTTCAAGCAAAAAACTTGATGTGCCAGTCCTGGTATTCGGCAGGGCTAATCCCCAATGAGATTCTCCTGTTTTTAAGACACACCTAAAAAAAAAACTAAAAGCTTCAATACAATTAAGAAACCGAAGAAAGAATGAGACCAGAGCTAGATTTACTTGCGCAACTGAATTGGAAACTGTTCGGATAAAAAGAGCTATGCGGGGTAACATTCCTGTCGACAGGGGTAAAATTTGGATTTAGGTAATTGAAACATATGCGGTTGTTATGGCTCGAAATTCTTGGTACTCATTTGAATAGTATACTTTTTTGAAAGAAATTCGCAGTAAGTTGACACAGACGTGTTTGCGACGACCTTCATAAAAAGTCTACTCATAAGTGGCTGACATTCCGGATATAGTACTATGGTGAATATGCTTGGGCCTTAACTGAAATGTTAAACAAGCTCAAAAATGAATTTAGTTTTCAAAGTGGTCCGTTAGACTCAAAAGTTACACGCTTTGTCGGGATTTTATTGCAGTGCCGCCAATGCCATATAACGATACAGTTCGTGCAGGTATTTTACAGTGAACTCGTGGTATAAGTACTGCGAAGGCACCTTCAGCTAGGGTTTTACCTGTGGGTGTGACAAAGAAGGCAAATTGCTGTTGGTATCACCTTCTGTTGACACTACCAATATAAAATCCTGGCTAAAGCTGTTCTGAACAGGATGAGCAGTTACTTGGCACCTGTAGATGATTTTCAAAAAGCTGCTTAATCTCTAAGCACTTGCTTCAATTAGGCCGTTTTCGAAATATTTAGCCATATTTGTTGCGAAATAAAGGTTTTCGCTGCTTTAAAATAATTAAAGAACAGGCTTTCTCATGTCAGCAGCTGCCAATCGGTACAATGTTCACTTCATTACTGCAACTCGATCATTTGATTGTGTAGGATGGCCATGGTTCTGGAACCCGAGCCTATCGACGATTATTTTTTTCATATAGGGTACCTACGAATATAGCGAACAAGCTACCACTAATAAAAAGCTTCCGCGTCATTATTCTACTACATCATTACATAGTTATGTTTGCGTACAATTAAAAATGCCTTGCGATATACATCATATTCTTGATGGTTGCGAAACGCCATTGTTGTCCAAATCGAGACAGACTCATCCTACGTCAAGCAGCATCTGTTACGGCAACTCTAAGGAGTACAGTAAAGCCAAAAATTTCACGTATCGCACGTGAGCGTACGTAATCGACGCGGAAACATTCAGAGTGAACAACCACTTATGACTTTTCCGAGAGATTTTTTTCAATAAAAGTGATCCTGAAATTGACAGCTTATCCTATCGGTATACTTGGCAGCAGGGTCTGGCAAAACACAACATTTAAAAATAAGACTTGTTTAACTTTTAAGAATATTGAGCGATAATAATTTTGCTGAAATTGCGGCGATTTTGGGACAATTTTAATCTTTGCGGGCAATGTTCTCAACAACGTTACTGTTAGCTGATGAAACAGAAAAAAACAAGGTCCCAGATGTAATAGATCTACAGAAATCTACGCCTAATGATAAGCTGAAATCTGTTCTAATCCTTTAAATTCAAACCTGTCAACGTAACGGCATGCAAAAACAAGTTTCTTCACGTGGCACAATATCAACTTCAGTCCAAGTACGAGCAGGTACACGACAACAAAACCGACCCCAAAGTTCCCTCCAGCGAGCTATTTCTAAGCAAATAAGATGTACGTTGTACGTACGTTCGAGCAACTTACGGATAGAGAACAATGAATAAGGGCATAAACAGCGTCAAACTTGCTACGGAAAAAAGTATGGCTACACGTCTCACAGCATATTATTAACAGCCGGTTGGAGTTATGAGGTAAAGATGCGACAGGCAAACAGGGCAAAATATCTACGATTTGACGATAAGATATTTGAGGTATCAAATGTTCTCTTGAAAATAATTACTGCTGGAGGCAGTTTGGTCTTGCATAAACCGAGTGCTTTTAGAAAATTAGTAGCAGTAAGAAATTTTGCTTTGGGTGTACGCTTTATTCGCACCTGACAATTAGAGCTTTGCGAATATCAAGCTCTAGCGGTATCACTGAGGCAAGCCATTCTAGTAGCTAGGCATCAACTAATATCACGCCTTCGTAAAGAGCATCAGAGGAAATAGTATTACTGTATGTTGAAGCGCTTCCTCGTTTGATTGGCGCGCAATGGTAGCAACGGGTTATTTTCGCCTCTCCGTTGCTTGCTCTGTTTACCGCGATACTTCTCCGTGCACTTATATATAATTGCACGTGTCTGTGTGTGTGTGTGTGTGTGTGTGTACGTTTCACTCACTCGTACGGCAGCCATTTCCTCACTTCGTTTGCATCGCCCTCACCCGGCAACAATATCTTTTGCGGTACAGTAGATGCAGCACCAGACGCCTGACAGACTCGTATATTCCCCCTTCCCCTGCTCAAGTGAACAGGCACCAGCCACAGTTCTAGCGACATTTTGTATTCACACGTTTCATAAGGACGATAAGCGTTTCGAATTCTATATTTAGGGTTCCTGGCTGCTTCCAAGGAGAGAGTAATAATATCTGGCTTTCGACATTGAATACGCGTCCTTCTCTCCAGCTCTCGGACTCCTATAGAGGCCAATCGAACAGAAGGCCAAAAACCCAGGTGCAGGCCGGACGTTGAAGCAGATCATATCTCTTAGCGGAGTTTAGTCATCAGAGCTAATCGGCGATTGTCTCGTCATTTGATCCTTATGATCGTTTTCTACCTGGGCATAATCTAAACAGTATTACCAGCATTGGAATTGAGCACGCTACAATGAAACGCACGACTGTGCCTCGTGTGTTTAGTGTTTTTTTTGCGATCGTGGTCATGTGGGGATTGTCACATACTGCTGACGGAAAACTGCGACAAAGAGTTGTACGGCTGGGAGAGATTACCTTGCATCTGGAACGCTATGGGGATAATCAGTAAGTGATAACAATGCCAGTTATTTTTTCCCGATTAAGCGGAAACGCACACTCGGCTTTGACTTCAAATACGTCAGTTGCGTCAAATACCTAACACGTGTACGTACTTGCAAAATGCATAAAGCAAATAGAGAAGCATGGAAATCACTTCATTCAAACATGAGAATGTGTCCAAACGCATTAAAACGTTCGTAAATGATTACTCGTCATGGTGCAACTTTGTGACGCTGAATTATACTGTGTTTTGCAGTTAACATAATGTGGCTTGAACAAGTAACTTTTTCATATATTAGTAAGCGAAGTATCTATGAGATATAGTCCATTACCAGCAAAATCGGTATGTCAGAGCGGAGGTTGTATTAGAGAATCGAAGCGAATGTATGTTTGAACTAGTTTAAGATTAGTAGCCAAAACGTATACAAACTGTACGGCTTTTTTGTATGGCGGCTCATAGTAAAATTCAATGTCGCATACTCCGCACGAATGAATTTCTCAAAAATAAGATAGAACACAAAGCGAGCGAACCCCTGTACGTCTACGCGGATCACCCTCCTTCGTCCCAATACAGCGCAAAATCAAGGGAAAATGTAAAGAGATTCTTTTACTTGGATAGCCGGCGGTTTTTGTGTTGTCAATATTATTTCAAATGTATCTTATCGATTTTTGGCTCCAGTGTGTTACTTCTATATATTTATCGACCATCAATGTCTAACAAATCAAGCATGTTTATATCTGTTCTTACGAAATACTAGATACTGGTCAGTGCAAATCTGGGACTCATAAGAAATATTCAACATAATTGTTACCACTGCTGTACTCGGTTCCGGAATTCATTTTAGAGTACGAATATTCTAAATGTAGGTTTCGAACTCTACATGGATCAGACAGTTGGGCTATCGATGATAAAAGTAACATCTTATACCCTCAGACCTTTGTGTATTTCGTTTAATTTTCGATACTAGATTACATTTATTGTTTATGGTCTCTATATTTCTAAATTATTCCACTTTTATCCTAGGAGGCGTGTGAGCGCAGTTGAGAATGTGCACTTATGGAGCTGTTCTGATGTGTGGGCTTCATAAGACATTAGACTCATTATTAACTATAACTTTAAGGCAGATTTCACAGATGGGCCATACTGAGTGGTTCAATAAAGTGTTCTCATAATTTTTTTTTCAAAACTACACTACGTCTGCTTTGTGTACAGTAAATCTGACCAATCAATGCAAATGACTACCGTCTACATCTAATATCATGTATAAATGTATTGCAATATCGTGCGCCCTTATTATAATCACTTTTCATTTAATCTAACATAGGAAGCTTGGAGTTAAATTGGATAATTTGGCAGCGTATATAATAAATATAATCCTCTCTGATGATGCTCGAAAGCATTACGAATACGACACTGAAACGTTATTACACAAGGTGATTTGTCACATTGCGAGCCATAATTATGAATAAGTTATTTGTCTTATGTTCATATTGAACCTAAATATGATACGATACGGCTCAGGGCAACTGGAACTAGAGTATTTTGCTAATAGTGCTCAGTAGATCAAATTATACCTGTAAATGTAGTTCGAGCTTCGCCAATCGTACGCTCACTTCTTCTAGTGCACGTTTCTTCTCTTTTTTCATATCCCAAACTGCACTTCACGATAACTGAACGTATGTATCATTGTGAAGTTTGGGTTCTCGTAACTCGTTCGCGAGAGGGAGAAAAGGTAAATTTCTGTATTACTCCTCAAATGCCCTCACCGGAGAGTCTTGCGGATATAGCAGTAACAGTGTTGGTTACTGCCAGACCTGTGTATAAGCTCTGTGGCCTTGATGGGACCACGTCATGTCGTTTCAACCAGTCTTGATTGGCGTGAATAACATGTTATTGATGGCTATGAAAACCTTTGCCCAAAACGATCTTTGCAAAATAATCTACTAGTTAGTACATCGGGACATGTCCAGACAATCCCTACCTTTTTTTTTTTATTACAATGAATAAGTTAAGTTATTTCGAATTCTTCGGTCTAGTCTTACGTGCCTCTAAATTATTTGCTGTAGTTGAGTTTTTTTGGGAATGTCGAACGTGACATAAACAGAGATACCAGATTACTTGGAATTTGCCATGATTCAGGCCAACGAAAAGTTTCTGTGAAGATTGCGTTCTAAAATCCAGACGATTATCAATTATCTAAATCCCTTGGAATGCAGTATAAACCTTCCCGCCCCCCAGGCAGTTTCTTCCATAAAATGTATTCCTGTATTGTTTGTCTCGCCGATTCGATTCTCGGGACTAACAAATGTGTCTCGGGTTTAAAATTATTGCCCATTGGAAATCCACTTAAAAAACGCTCATTTCGTTTAGGATTTTGGTAAAAACGTGATTATGGCCTCGCCTGCTTTTTTACTTACCTGATGCGTACCTATGACGCGTGTTGTTTATAAACTGAAAGCTGCATGCATTTCATTCAATATATGTCGACAATTTTTATGTGTATGTACGTCAGGCCACTTGAGCGTGGCTAGTTCGGTAAAGCATTTGGCTAGAAAAATACATAGGCCCCCGATTAGAATCCCATGATAAGACATTTATATTTTGGGAGAAACAGAAAAAAAAGAGAGAAGTACCTTTTATAGTATTTTTCCTTTTTTTTTCTTATACATGAAACTAACATTATTAAACAGGTGTAATAATATTACATAAGCTGTGGAAAATAAGGTCTTGTAGTGGAACGATACGTACTGTTGCTTGTCCGGTAGCGCAACTAACGTTGTAGATCATTTTTAATTAACGAGTGCCTCGATGTTGTTATTCCTAAATCGTCTGCTCCTAAATCGTCAATTTAGCTGAATCAGTTTCTATTTGGAATTCTAGGATAAATAGGTGAGTAATTGTTAGGGAATCACATATTTGAATTGTCATCATATATGTCTATTTTTAATCTAGTGTGACGAGGCGGCAAGACATGACGAAGCATCACGAAGCGCAGCGATTATTGCAATATAAAAAAAATCATCATCGGTTACATCGCACAGATATATTATGTTAGCATACAATCAAATGCTACCTGATGTTATGCACAATGGCTGGAAACACTCATGTATCTAACTCGTTACTTTTGGCGATAGAATTTATTTGTACCCTCAAACAGCACACCGTTACATGTTACTCGGCGGCAACAAAATACTCACAAATGACGACACTCTACCACCGAATAGCATAAAACCTGATCTAATTATATTTCGTTACGATCCGAAGGTCGTTTTTCACGCGACAATTGGCCCATAAAATTGAAACTATAAACATAAGAAGAGTTATGAAAGCGGGCGTTTCTTTGTCAGGTAGGTCATTGTTCTGCTGTAGTGTTGACAGGTAGAATTTCAATGAAAAATTAATGAATTATTTATAATAGAGGTTCCCGGTTTAGTCATTTTCTTTACGATTAACATAATTTGAAGTCAAACTAAACCGATTACTAATTATATTACAGTTTTACGCACGGGCACACATATTATTAGTTCGTTCTATGTAAGCGATCAGGCCTTGAATATTGGTATTCGTGTTTGTAACCGAGTTAAATTAAACAAGTGCCCGTTGAATAGAATATCATAGACTTTTGTGTAACTCGGCTGCAACTCATCATCGTCATGCGACAATGCATTGGCATCTGTATGCATGACAGAGATGTTTTTTGTATGTCCCACCTCCTGTTTCGCGTCACGATTTCAGAAGAGCTAGTACGGCTTCTGTGACCTACCAAACGGGAGCCATTCAAAATTAGCGCCAATATTTAAAATATACAGTACTGCGTAAAAAATACGGTTAGCTCTTAGCGTCACCGAAAATCGTCAACTATCTGTGATGTCTCTTAGTCATTGTCGCTACCAAATCGCAGAAGTGGCAAGGAATAACAAACAACGAGAGGCTGTACCACTTTTACCTTATCAGATGAGCGTTAACATACAGACATTTTTTCAGCCCTGAACCCATAAAAATGGGAATCGACTCTAATTGCGATGACGGTAAGGTGAGTGTATCAAATATATGTGCTGCATGTAATTTCATTCACAGTTATTACTATGGTATACTTATTATTAAGTATACCATATTTAGTAAAAAAAAAAAAAAACTTATTAGTACTCCATAACATTTAATCACTGCTTTTGTTTATTGAATTTATGAACGTTAGTAGAACTGAAGTTCTCCCAGGTTGCATATGCGTGATATGTCATAAACAGAAAGGCTGTTTTAGATACTTGCTGCCGCATAGATGCTATTGTGAGGCATCGAAGGCTTGGTTGAAGATCACCGATAAAACAACGTCAGGGCAACCTTTTTCATGGACCAGCAATGACCACTGTTGAGAATCATCACCAACTTACTAATAATCTATCTATTATGTATCTAAAAAGGCGATCTTGTCTAAAGCGCATCCTAGAAAAATATATCAAATTCACTAACACATCCCACAACAGTAAAAAGTATTCTATGTTTATTTATGTTGTAACTTTGACGATGCCAATTGCAGACAAATCTTACGTTGGATTGGCCGGATCCTGGAACGCTGTTATGTTCCTCTCGAAACTCAAAATATCCGCTGTACGGGAAACTGCAAAACAAGAAAGAATGTATAAATCTTCCTGCTAACTACCACGACCATTATAGTGTAAGCTGTTCATGGTTATATACAATTTATTCTGCACAATTTTTTCGTGCTATTTGATTATACATATATCCTGTACACAAGTAAATATTTCCGTATCGAAATGAATATATCTTTAAGCTCAAAACTAGATGTTTAAAACGTACAAATATATAGACAAATATTTCATAGTCAGCTCGAAATAGGCGCAATTGTTTCACAGTCATATATATATTATGACAGTCACATACATTAAGACACCATGCGGTTTTATGCGCTGATTTGGACGCATCTCCGGAGTCGTTGGCGTCAAGCTGAACGCCGCCGTAGCATTTTGGCAGAAGGATCCGCCTGTGTCAATAGTAGATCGTACCGCGGGCTGAACGTCAACCGATGTGCGAGATTGCCTTTCATTATACTTTGGTAATCAGCACTTACGACTAGTGAAAAGGCAGCTTCGCAGACGATCGGGCTGACGGCCTAATCGGATTTTCTATTGTGAAGGGAGTCGCTGACCTTTTAGTGGTTACGTTCGCAAATCAGTTGTCGGACCGAAGAGGTTGACTTCATGGTACCGATAGCCTTCATGGATAGGAGACACTGTACAACCGTGCTTGACGGTTAGGTAGTATAATCCGTTTCTGAAAAGGCCACCGATAATCGACCGTGCTTAATTTACCGTCGCGAAGTTCCAAAGCGTTCTGGAGCGCGATCTTTTCTGCATGACAGCACTGATTCATGCTTACGGGAGGGACGGGTGCATTGTCACGTCGAATAGCAGATATGAGAGTCGTCAAAGGTTTGCACATTTGTTTCAGCTTCACCCACCAAATGAAGGCCAGGAAAGTTCTCAAGCATATTTGGTCTGAGGAACGCGGCCACATCTTCAACATCAGTAAAAAACCGAACTAGAAGAATAGCTCTGCCATATGGGAGGGCACGTAGCCTAATTTGGTGAGCAAGGGAATAACTGTAGCTGTTGATGATTGCTTGTTGATACTGGTAGTATTGGCCGGAAGCGCTAGATGCCCTTTGGACGCGATTGACGGAAGAACGTTGGGCAGCAACCACGATTGTGAATAATCTCACATCACTGCACTCGTAACGTGTCAGTACGGCGCTGCATTTTATTATCATAGAGAAAGACATACTGTGTTCTTTACTCAAATCCGTTGCGCAAATCCGTCAAAAAGTAGAGCTTTTTTCTTATCTACATAGCGACAGAGACAGCAATCGCCTGTCAGAAAAACCATTTATTTGGTTTGATCAATAAAATGTGATAAGTCATTATTGTATATGCCACTGCTACAGTAGCTGGCTTTAGGCGTGACAAAAAGTGTTACTTGGCAAAAACTCATTAGGGCCGCTGAGATCCTTCTCTTCGAAGAGAAGAGCAGCCTTCTCTTCGCCCATCGTAATAGTCGTACTAGTCCGGTCCAGCTCATCAGCTGAACGTGTTAACAGCCGACGATGGCAAGATAAATAGTTAGTCGTCTGCTTGATCGGCATAGTTACAGAGCTTGTTAACAAAGCAGTACGAGTCGCGTTTCTAAACAACAGGGTAGAGCTTTTCATAGACAGTGATGACAGCTGGACGTACGTAACGAAGATAGCTAAACTTTCAACATTCAGCTGTGTTTAATTGAAATCCAACAGTTTGAGTGTTACATTGCAGCTAACTAAGTGGTGTTTAGGCATCTCAGGAGAAAGCAGGACAATTTCTTAAGCGGACCCGACAACAGTCGGGACAGAGTCACCGATTTATCGGCCTCATTGACTCCTTAGTTTTTTGACAAAAGACAAGACGTCATTACTGTGTCCGCTACCTACAAGTGAAAGAATGAGCCAACCTCCTCGGATGCCGGATTTCCTGCTGTTAATTCGGTGCCACCGATAGGATCGCGATTGTTCAACACAATTATCAAACGATTTATGTCAATGGTCAACTCGCTTCCTTCTTGGAAGGTTGAAAAAAATCTCGATAGGTAACTATATTATATCCGAGAGCTTGTATGCGGGCTTAACTAGATAATTTCAGGCGTTCATTACAGCGCGTCAACGCTTGATCGGGTCGATAATTAAGTAACGGCCTTTTGGTATCGGTTTCTCTGCTTCTGCGGAAGGTATGAGCTAAATCTGAAGCAATTCGTAAGCGCCACGCTGAGTCTGCGTCGTTGAAATATCTTTTTGTTAACTATATGCAGGGGTTAACTTGAATACCAGTTTGCATACAATAAGTTTAGGAATAGTTGCACTGCAACTAGAAGAGGCGCCTATTATGCGACTGGAGAAGTTGAGCTTTTTTTTGAATGTGACAAGGCAACGACTGTACGAATGTATCGGTTATAGAAACGTACTCTTGTAGCGTATTTTTCGCGATAAGCTTCACCTAATCTTAATCAGCACACTCATTATGCAACTGACAATTAATTATAAATTTGTTCAATCCCACGTAAATTACAGCCCGACCATTACTGTATGTATACGGAGGTGACGTACGACCACGTGATCCCTGTAATGTAAGTCTTGGAACAGGCGGAATGATATAACATTTACCACTTAATCTAGGTATTGGAAACCTCTATTAATGGATTAGTCGTGCAGGGTTAACGAGAAATTCTAGAATTAGCAAAAACATGTAAAGTAGTATGGTCACTGTAGGTTCATAGAAATATATGACGTATATTTAGTCTAGAAGATTGAAATAACACTAACAAGGAAACTCCACTACCCTAAATTCTTCTTCTATAATGATATTTATATTGATTTACTATATCAGTTTTAATAGATAGCCCTCAAGCTTTCATAGCCAAGTCGCAATCCGCCATTTTCAGCGTCGACAACGTAACAATTGTACGCGTTTCGTCCACTTCAGATGTCAACGTTCCAACAAAGCATTTATGTTGATGAGGCCTCTTTATCATCACGGAAAAGAAAGCCCTTAAGATCTCTGTACATTAGCAATATATAGAAGTTATTGACCGATAAAATTGCGTTATAATTTTAAAATCGGCACAATTGATCGACCCTAACATAGGCATCGTTAGATAATTTCTATTTGAAAGCTTGTGTCCATGCTTCGAATCACAAAACTGAAGTATAGTAAATCGGTATATTTCGAAAGTATAGTAAAGGTTTATTGCAAGTAAATTGCCCCCAATCTGGATGGAAAGCTCTACGTCGATGTTTAATTGTAGTAGGGCATAATGACTGGCATATTACATTATTATTGGTTAATTTTATTGTCGTGTTGCCGCCTTCCAGAGAGGGGCATCGACCCGTGTGGCCAATATTTGGTGAATACTATCACGTACCTCGCCAGCGGTACCTTCACTCTATCGAGGTTGGTTCACTGCACTGCAAGTTCTACCGCATGCGTAAAACAAGTTGTCCAAACCGTGGTTGGACGCCAGTAATATAACATAAAACGTTATTACCTCCGATTAAGTTTCTAGTCGAAGATCTATTTCTTCTTTGAAATATACAACCATAAAAAGACATAAAAACATCTGTCGTTGCGGACATTTAGTGTGTTTCACTTATATCGTTGTTTCTTTAGCATGGTAGCGTGGTAATGCTGTATCACCCATGTACGGCTGAGCACCTTGTAGCGCGGCTGCGATCACTGGTTACCCGATGCGTCAGAAAATACGTCATTTCTCGCGAGCCACTTCTCGATCCCAATTACGTAAGTTTGCATGCAGAAATACTTTATGCATTTGGCAAATGAGGCAGTTTATTATAGGAAAGGACGTGCGAAAACCTGTGATCTCAGCATTTACTGGATCTGTTGTAACTGTTTGCCGGTCTAAAATAGGTAAATCGTTCGCAGTTAGTAGTTTGAAAATGACTGGAAAAGCGCATTATTTCTATGTAACGGCTCAGTATCGCCAACTTTAAACTTTGTAATAATAGGAAAAAGGCAAAATCATAAAGAGTCGTCCCGACGAACGGTAATTTGTATTGCTATTGCAGCCTATCGCCTTAGCCGCTTGGGGATGTCGTCTTCAAATGAACAGCGTTAATGACACCGAAGTTATAGAATTTATCAAGGTACAGCTATGTATTTCTTAATCGTTTCTAAAACTACATTGGAATCGCATGCACCCCACTTTGGAAAAACTCAGACGTATAAGCTGAATATTGTGTAAATAGGAACTTGTTAATTAATGAATTTATATCCAGGAGTTTATTTAGCAGTGATCATATATTATTCATCTGTTCTCCTTGCCATCATTTACTTAAATACTGTCTTAATTGCATTAGTGCACTTAATTAACCCTGAGGGCGTTGTAATGGAATTAAATTTTAGTGTTATTATGGCGGCGTAATCTTCAATAGGTTTTTGAGGCTATTTCTGATAAGTTCAGCAGGGCTCACTCCCGCTAAACCTTCTAGTGGGAGCCAGCTTTCATGTCCTAGCAAATAGATGACTTCAAAGTGAAACGCGAAAGAACGCTAAAATTGTAAAAAGAAAGTTATGTGTCAGCCGAAAGCACCCCCACGTTAATCTTTAATTAATGTAAAAGGTTGTTACTTTGACTGCTTCCATTGCAGACGTACGCTCTTCATGGCCCAGAAAAGCTCTATGAGAGGGAGGGACAATACAATTATACGTTGTTCCGCACGGCTTTTTATCCTCCGGGAATGCTTGAAAACCCTTCAAAGCCAGCACAAGGGCAAAAGATGACAGTGTGTCCAGCACAATCTCTGGAAGGTCATTTTCAGGTATATGACAAAGATCACGAAGTGCCAATAGGCACAGACTCGTCAAAGTATGCCCATATGTTTGCATTTTTAGACAGTGCCACTATTAATACTGAACAGTTTTCCGAAGATTAGCTGCCAATCATGAACTATGAAATACAAGCAGGATCCTATTGGCTTCAGTGAACGTTTCAACGCACTTCACCAAAGGATTAACAGATGTATTTATCTATTTCGACCGATATCGATGTTGGTTTAACAATATGGTTGACTGATGAGATGCAGCAATCGCCGAAAGAAGATCTAAAAACAAACAAGCAAAAACAAACGTAGGTTAAGAGTTATTTGTCTGCAGAATTGTACAATTGACAATGACGACGTTAAATTAATCGTAGTCATGTAAATGGTTATAAATGAAGTAGAAGCTTCTGTCATTGTACTGTTGATTTATTTCGCCAATTTATTATCGATTATGTCATGTCACAGTTGAGGTGTTTTTTTATAGTTTCAACCATTGCTGCACCCAAACGTAGACTACGTTGAACGATAAGAAAGTGTATGAACCAGCTGATCAATAACAGATAGCGAGAAATTTCGTACTTGTGCGACAGCAGATAGTCAGTATTGCAGCGACATTGCCGTTATGTTTCGTTCCTGCATGTGGAAAAACCTCTACTAGAGCTGCAAGAGGGAACTAGTATTTTGCTCCGCGTATGTAAAGAGCGCAGTAGAGCTTTTTCATTTAACGAGGATTGATGCGGCTTTGCTTTTCACTTACGTTAATAGTTTCAATCTAATCGTTAGTCGGTCGAAACAGCCCTAATGTTCAATCGCCTTTAAAGTCGAGTTCCTACATATCTTTGTTTATAAAAAGTATTTCTAAAAATTAATCATAATAGATTATTGGGCTCTTTGCTATCTTCAACACATGAATCATGTACATTTGACGTCGTAAAGTGTCAATAAATTTGAGTATCAATAATAGACCTATCTGGTATCTATTGATTTTATTGAGACAGTTCTGGTCTCTCTCGCTCTATTGCGGATCTGCAATAGGCTGGTTTGTTTAGGTGCAATTGGCTGACCTACTATTCAGCCTCCTAGGCGTTGCAGAAGGGAGCCTGCCAAGCAATGTGTAATGCATCAAACTCTGTCGAGAATAGTTAATTAAAGGTAATCAATGGCGACTTAAAATCAAAAAAAAATTATACATTCTCTATCGACATTACAGGAAAAGTGCTGCGGTTACTGAGTGTGACTTCAGAGCCCGCGTAATACCTTAATTCATACTAACACAATCATAAATACTAGGTTTAAGCATTCGTGAAAATAAAATGTCTAAGGATCTGGTTTTTAGCTTTCAACGATGGATCAGCTCCATGGAAAAATTGCATTTCTAATTGACTGGGAAGTGCTGTAGCTTCGTTTTCAAAAAAAGAACCAATGCACGCAAATGGATTTATGTCAATACAAAAATTCTAAAACATTTTAAAACTAAAATGATATACGACTCACAGTGGATACAGCGTTTGTTTTTGTACACCACAGATTGTAATAGGCCTTCGTATAGTTAACAGAAAGACTCTGTAGCCTAAAAGCAATTTTTTAGATAAAAAAATAGGCTTATTTAATAAATTATTACACCTCCAAACTACTTATACAAACGTATCAGAAGAGTGTTAATACGTAGAACTATCAACTCTAGTAATTTCGAATAATCAAGACCAACTGTTATCAGTATTTTTTTTTCATATGATTTTCTAGCCTTCGAAATTTGCTCAAGAAGCACTCAATCCTCTCGCGGTTGAAAGACATTAATTTGTACACACTTCAGAATTTTGTTGGCGTATGTAATAAATAAAGGTCCGTTCTTAAGTAATCTCGGGTTGTATTTTACAGAAAAGAGGTAAAGCAAATAATTACTCAGAAGAACAGCAGCATATCAGAATCACTGGTGGCTTACGGAAATACGGAGACAAAACTTCCAGCAGTACAAGCAGCCACCGATAGTGAGGCGATCGAACGGATCGCCAACATAAAGTACCCACCGTTACATCAACGGGTTGGAACAGGTATCTTCTTTTACCACTACCGCCAACTAGCGGGAATTTTGTGAATTAAGTCTTACCAGCGGTGGCCTCAAATGCGGCGGCTCACGTCCAGCCAGAAGTTGATCCCAGAGTAGTTGACGGGGCGCGTCTTCCACAAGACACTAAGAATTATTTGATAAAACTGCAAGAATGCTACAACGTTAGCGCTTCTTAAGCTGACAGCTTATCAGATATCGATATCCTCCTGCTGACGGAAGCCTGGGCAACGTGCCCATTTAGTCTCTTCTGTTTTTACGCCCTGAAGCTCTATCGCTACCCTCTATCTTCTTCTTTATCATAGCTAGCTTTAAAGCTCGTTTAAGCCGGACTGTCTCAAATGGCATATCAGCGCTCAGAGACAAGCTTATAGGCTATAGTCGCTGAATAATTAACGCAAGTTCCATGCCCATTTGAGGAACACGCCGAAGGATTGCTTATTGATGTGTTTACAACGAAGATTACCTGAGAAAAAATTCGCTTCACTAGAAGAAATGGCTCGCCGAATGAGGGCGGATGTGTATACAAATACTCATTCCGATCGCTCCAAGATGTCGGTGGGAACATCTTGGACCTCCAAAGACTTTCCCCCGCCAAGTTGTCTGGATGTTGGGAATTTTCAGACCGAGCACACGTAGTCATCCCAATACCCTGTGTCATCACCATGAAGAGCTATGTGCAACACCTCATCGAAATCATCCTGTCATCCGTCTAAAAAACAAACCCTGGTTCGATGATCTTCGTCGCGTTAATTGATGAGCCACGAACACAGACTGCTACCAAATATGCACGCCATAACCGTTTTCGTTAGAGCTTAATGGGTAACGTATTTGCCTGCTAATCTTAAGGACACGTTGTGGTCTAGGGTCGAACCTGACATAGACAGACATCGTTTCGTGTTGGGAACCAGCCGTCTGATGGAGTACCTTAAGGCGATGCCGGAAATAAAGCTCAAAATATAGAGGCTGCAGTTCATCCTATGGAAGAGGCGCCAAGTATCTGCCAAATAATACACGTCATACGATAAAGATATCGAAAAGTCGACAAATAGCAAAAGCATAGCGGCAGCCATACGAACTGCTAACACACCGTGGATCGACCACATGTCCAATAAGCTCAATTGCACTAATGAATCACTCTGCTAGTGTGTTTTCGACGAGTGATAAATCTTAAATGGGCTCATTGTTCTCTGCGAGCGGTAATGAGAAATTCACGACAGAGCACAGTCTGCTCGAGCAAATTTTTACCATGCTAAACGTTTTGCAAGCCCTGGAAAATCTGCAGAGGAACGAGGCAGGAGGCTCTGAGTGCTCTCGCTCTAGTTTCGCTGGACTGCTTCCCTTAAGGGCTAATTACGTGCTCGCATTTTGCCGGCTTTATGGAGAGATATTCTGCTATGCCATCGACGTGGTGCAAAGACGCTAAGAAGACCATATGCTATAGACTTCTTGCCGGTCTGATGATCAAGAGACTGCTCGCCTTTTTAGAGAATAGGAAACCTATATCAACAAAGGAAAAAGGGAATAGCGCTTAACGGAGACAGCATGCGGCGTCTTCATGATCGACATCAAAAAAGCACTCAACAATATGTCGAGCATTTCATACATGTATAGGAAATCGGTCCTGCGTACCTTGACGAACCTGGTCGCACCATAAAATGCGCTAGCTCTGCTGGCTGCAATCTTACTAGAAAACAATGTGAGTATTGATGACGGAATGCTGGAACTACGCCCCTTTTCCGTTCCAAAGGAGTGCCCTGGCCCTAGGTCATAGTCTGAGGCTCTCTGTGTTCTCGGTCTTACTTGAACGTCTTCTTGACAAAATAGAAAGAATCTGGTTGAAGTTACCCTTCGCGCGAATAATCTGGCAATTTACAAACTTAATAGATTTCAAGTGCAGCAGTCGCTGACTGAGTTTCAGATGGCAGTAAAAAGACTGAAATGGACCAATGTAAGACAAAGTCTGTAAAGATCAAAAAGGGGAAGGGCCACGACGCTGACAAAACACTCTTTTGCTGGATCCCTCCTTCGATACGTTAACAGGTTTCTGTATCTTGGGCTGCGCATCTTTTTTGATTGTCACAGCTTTACCTCGCACATTACGGAAAAACGCTGACTGCATGGTGTGAGATCAAGGTACCCAGTTGCCTTTTCCTCATAACAGCACTTCGTAAAGTAAATCTAATTTGGGAGGACCTTACAATAGGAAATGTCGAACTACTTAACTGAGCGAAAGCTTTCTTTTTGGATCATCCTTTGGGTCTTCATCGTACGGTAAGAAACCGACTGGATTACCTCTAATTAGCACCCTGTCACTTTTCTAGGATATCGCATTCTGTATTCTGGAACCTTCGTGTGTCTCAGCAAGTGGGAGCAGATGTTCGCCGAAACAGACGGTGAATTTTTCAGAACGGGCGCGATTAGGGATAATAACTAGACAAAAACGGAGCAGACATACTACATGTAGTCACTCGTTTCGGGATTCACGGACTCCACTGAAAATTATATACGGACGGGCGCTTCCATAAACCTAGCGAGGAACGTATCTGTAGTAAATGTGGAAAGAACTGTGATATGTACTTTGCAGGCTGCTGCCTCGTGGTGCCCCCTCGGGAGCCTGGCTTATTGAGGCTACCGAAGAATGCGTTACTATATCGCGAATTTTTAATCCTTTTGAACTTTCTCTAAGCCTATAAATATTACAACTTAAGGGGTACAAAAATGACTGATCATATCTTGTAATACAAATGCATATATATTGTCGTTGCTGTGGATCCTTTTTGTATCTTTATACAAATATATTGATATGTACCGTCAAAACCATTGTATCATTATATTATACCTGATCTAGAAGCACAACAATAGTAGGTCTGCAAGATGTAGTAGATCTGCAAGATGTTCTAAGCTTAGCTCAAGGGTTTGTTTAGTGAAATTCACTATGCCACTGTTAGATGGTTCTAATTCAGATTTTATTATCCAGTTAATGACAAATATGAATGAAAATGATTAAAATATTTTTATGTGACCTACCCAGGTTCGGGGCTAATGTTCTCTCAGCGCGTCTAGCTGACGTTATGCATCTTCCTTTCTTCCTATTCATTCCGTACATCCAATGACAAACTCTAGGTACTTTATCCGCATAAGTTGGATGGTAAGGGGAAAACTTGGAACATCTTCGTGCAAATCAATAAACCTAGGATCTTGCTAAGGTTTCTAAATCTGTATCAAATCATACAAAGTAGGTTGTAGATATGAAGCTTAAAATGAGTACTTTCAAAGACCCGAACCCAATATTCATTCAGAGAGTCTTAGCTTCACATTCTATTTGCGATACCATGTATTTGACTATCTCAAATGAGGAGCACATCAGTTCCATCGACGCTAAAAACTATGACATATCACTCTTTTAGTTCAGACGTCACTTTATCAAGCTCTAAACCGATGTTAATATATTTGAGCTAGACGTGTATTCAGCAATCTCGACAACCGTCTCCGCATAATACTACTTAATCAGTGCAATAGATCGCGGGAAAAATGGTGGAGTTGCCCTGAGATTTGAGACAGTTAGGTAATCCATAGAATCAAACCTGTGAGGATACAACGAAGTATCTGTCTATGGACACCAACAGCTGTTATATATTAGAAGCATACTACTTAATGACGGGACGGCAGACGCTTGACGTAATCTCTAATGATAATTCCGGGGAAGCGGCGTCATCTGAGTAGCTAATGCGCACCTTTTTAAATGCGCAGCTACGGAAACTATAATTAACAAGCATGCTGCCACGGTGATTCAAATGTCAAAGTTGGAACAAATTATTACCAGATATTAATGATCAGGAAAATAAATACAGATAGGAAATAAAATACAGATAGGAAGTTAAGAAAGATAAGGGATTGTTATTGGATAAGCTAAGAGCTGATTTTATGGTTGCTATGTATAGTAGAACATTGGTTTTATTCCTAATGGGGCCAAGTTCTTAGTGCTGCACCTAAAAATAGGTGATTCCGAGGATTTGTTCGCATAGGATGCATACCTACTACTGTTAAGTGCAAACAAACAAAAAAGACAGTTCTGGACGTTTCTGACCGAAAGGTGCATAAGCAGCATAATATAAAATGAATGACTTGTACTTAGTAGGCAACCGCAATGCCATCTTTCGTCACCTTTGTTTAGACTCCTCAACTGTTTTCTTTATACAGCACGCTAACATCGTGAGTTCATCATTATATAAAACAGGTACAAAAGATTACTTTGAAGAGTACCTGTAAAAGCATAGTAAGTAATAATAGCAAGTTACCATAAACCCAATTTAGTTAGAAAGAAGACAGGTCAGAACACGGAGAACCTCTTCACTAGGTAGAGTACAAAGCGTGTATGTTTTATTTTCCCGTTAGCGATAGAACTCTAACTCACCTCGGGCACAAATCGTATACGTAGTAAATGGACGCATACCACCCAATACGTCACAGCATTGTCTTAGAATATATTTACATATTTACATGGCATGACATCATGGATATCATAATATGTAGTGCCACAAGGATCGTTGATGCCAGGAGGATAAACTATGCATTCCTTTCTATAAAACCATGTTCTAAATTTGTAGCAAATAGTTGCAAGAAAGTACTCGCGGCATAGGTAGCCGCCGAAGGAATGAGGTTCATCTGGGACTGATTAGCAGCATTTTTGATGCAAATATGTCACTTTAAACGTCCAGTCATAAATTTTCGGCAAGTTCTACGGTCTATTTTTCATCAATAGCGTCATCCTTTTTGATTTTTTCATAGAGAGCTAAAACCTCGCCAACATCCATGTAGCATCCCTTAAAAAAGACGTTGCTCGATGTATCCATCTCGTTGGTGCCTCGCTCGATAACCCGTCTGTTGTTAAAAATCACGAGATCCCCAGGCTGCATTTGCAGGTCGAAAACCAGCTTCTGGTCTTGCAAACGTTTGGAGAACAGACGAAACGCGTTGTAGAAGTCGTGCATCTGTGTAGTCGGCAGCAGCGGCGGTCTCATCGACAGAGTGCTATAATGCACTTCTCTGATATGACCACGTGAATCTAAAGTAATGATCGGATTTGTCTCACGGTGCCACCTCTGAAAAATAGCAAAACTCACGTTCCAGTAAGATTTCAGCACAGCGTCGCCCACTCTCTATCTATCATTTTCACAAGATTACATTTATGTGCGTGCGTGGATCTCTGTAAAGTTGCGCATAAGACACCTTTCGTGACGCACGCTTCGATGTCTGCTTAATAAACCAATGGCGTCTTCGGTAGGCTTATGGTAATAAAGAAGGCTAATAGAAAAGGCCAGCCACAGCACAAGATTGCATGACGTTTCGAATCAGTTAAGGCAAGATGCTGTATGACTGCGAGGAGGACAGTTGCACCGTCACAGATATAGAAATTGTTTACGAGTCGCTGCTGATCCGGTAAAGCAGAGCAGGGCACTCGTGCTGCTCGTGTCACGTTGATACAGGGTCAGTGAACCTGCAGCAGGCGCTACAAGAGCATTTGTTGCCATTCTATCTAATGGGCTATTGTGGACAAACATTTGACACAGGCCTATCATCTATGACGAATATATCGCTCACTTGAACAGCGTACAAACAACATGCGAACCGACCACGAAGTCGGCGATAGTCTTAACGTGTGTACGTCAAAACGGCTATACGATTCTGACAAATGAAAGGTTGCACTTTTTTTATATGCGATTTCTCTCACCGACTGAAAGTGATAAAGGGACTGATTTAGGCGAAGCAATAACATGGACAAACATATGTAAAATCTTTAATTCAATATACGCTCCTATCAGGCGAATATGTTGGCGTTAAGCGTAATAGAGCTGTTTGAACAACGTTCTTTATAGCGATAAGAAAATGAAAGAGTGCGGTGGAGTTGCTACTTACGTCACGTTCAACATCGAGAAAACTGAACGTCACAGGAGTGCGAGTGAGGACGGTAAACGCGTTCGGCTCTTGATATCTTAACCACTGGGCAGCGGCGAAGCCGTCAATGAACTCGTGTTTTGCCATACAGTCAAGATCACTGGATAGTGTAGGCCGATCATTACGAATGCAGTGTAGCAACTGAATCCCAGGCGACCATTCGCGGTAGGCCTTACTATTAAGATTGTTAGTTGTTTCCATGTTACCCGAATGACGCTCCGAGGGCCGCCCTATATGGAACGTTTGTCCGCAGCCGATCTCACGGATAAAACCCATGCGTCTAGCCACCCGAGCAATTTCATTTTCCTCTGCTGGCACACCTATAAATAAATACACACGGTAGACCCTAATTAGGTGAAAGCGGTAAATTATAGAGCTGGCCATCTACAGAATTTTAAGTGTTTCAATATATTTTAAGATGCCCAAAGCTTCTGAAAGGCATGCTACATGGTGGAAACACTTCGAATTTTAATACCGAAATGATTCTTTTCAAACTGTCGAAATTACTGATATCAGCCACTTTTCAGTTACGTTTAACAAACAAAGTTCTTTTGATTGCCGTTTCAGTTTGAAGTCAACTATCAGCGAGTTGTTTTCTTGAGACATTTAAACGCTTATAGAAACATTCCGGTCCATTCTCGATTTGTAAATATGACTTACGAAAACAATAAATAAAAGCAAGAGAAGTAAATTGCAAAAATATTGTCAAGCTTACGCCGCATAGTGCTTACCTTTGATGACGCAAAGTCCGAATTTAGCGACATTTTTTAAGACCTGCTTGAGAGCTGACCTCTCGGACAGGAAATCACGGTATGGCACTTCAGGTGGATCCTCTTCAAACTCGTCGGCGTTCCACAAGATGACCGAGGTGCGCGGAGAGTATGTTTCATCCTCAATTTGCACGGCATCTGAAATTGCCGACGTTGAGCGTTCGAACAGAGGCCGAAATTGGTACAACCTGCGAAGTATCGAAATGGTCATTTCAAAGTATTAATTAACCCGCAACCCAGTGGTCTCAGAAGCAGACCAAATTGTCAGCTTTATCCACCTTAGCTAATACAATTTATTACCGATTATCCTGAACTATATTGTAGTATATAATAGTAATACACAAATGTGTGATGGAACGAAATATTCTTGAACTGTTTAAACACATCAATCCGGGATTGAACGAAATAAATTACTAATAAACAGTGAACATGTTAGGCAACGGTGGAAATATGTAATAGGTTGTAGGGCGAGAATAGCCATCTGGTCAGCTTTTCCAGTTGTCTTTTCTTGGATAGCTCCGGGTAAATTTACGTCATAGAGGTGCATATCAACCGTTATCGTAAGGGCCACGGTGAAATAATAATGAGCGGAGACACAACTTGATCTTCGAGTATTACTTCATGGAGTCCACACAACAGTCTTAGCTTTGCCCCTGTCCAACGGTGTTGAACATCCGCGACTTGGTACTGCCTCCGTCGTTTCTCTTTGTTTTTATGAACGCCCAACAATGCTCAAGTATCGCATAAATTCGTTAATCTATACCGCGTCAAGTGTCGCTTATATATTGCATATAACCGTACGATATGCTTATGCCATATAGAAAATTTTGAAAGATAAACGGCGACCCTCTTTTTCAAACGAAGCGACCGAGCTGTGCTGCTAACAGTGGGTGACTTCGAATCGATTTTTGCGTGCACTCGTGGCACGCCTTTTGCGCACGTACATGTGCGCGTGAAATACAAAAACGAGAAGGGGAAAAACAGGCAGAGTGGAAGAGCAGGTCTCTGCGTGTGCCAAAAGGATCGCAGCCGAGAAGGGGTGTGCGAAAACGGCGCAGCCGGAAACTAACTATAATACCCTTTACTCGATAACTTGAGTGGCCTCAGCTGCCGGAAAGGATGTGACACTTGAAAGCTAACGTTGAAAGCCATTTGTAATTTAATAATAGTTAAGCTGATGAAAGGCTAACTAATTCCAAGACTTTACAAGTGATCGCGTACAATCGATGTCTGCACATACTTTCTAATTGAGATAATACTTGTGAATTGGATAGTTTCCTCTGGTGGTAAGCCATAAAGAGAGGATTTTTTTAGCATCTAGTTAAAACCCATTTAATCTCGGAGTGGGTCTCACCATACAGAAAGAGAAATGATTACGCACAGAACATCTCCATCACTAATCATCATAAATATTTGTGTTATCAATCAGAAACAGCATCCATAATCCACCACCCATGCTAAAGATTCTCACTGGACCGATGTAGAGGTAGCATTAAAGAGGAGCTGAAATTCGTGCCACGCCTAACTTCGCTTACCATTGCTTTGATAGACGTTTCTAGAACTCTGTCCGCTAGAGCCATGTCAACGTGATATTATTTGTCCCATTAGAAAAGCGCGGAGCCAATAATTAGACTTGTGGAAAGGCTCCATTATCCATTCTTCATTACAACGTGGATGCGGTGCTTTTGCAAACAATCTCGTTTACAACCCTTATGGACTCTACGCAACACGTTCCACCACTACTGGTGCTTGTCCAGTGAGGGTGGCGCCTCTATCGGCGCTAGCCGGAACGTAAACACGCATTTGTCGCAAGCGATAAAGCTATAATCGAGGAAATTGTGGAGTCATTAGGGTATCCCTGGCGGAAGAAGTGGCGCTACTGACGCATTTAGCCGATGTGCGCTAAAGTCAAAATAATCAAATAGTAATATAGGAGCTATAAAGTCATTCAGATTATAGCAGACTAAATTACTGGATAAATGGCAGCCAGAAATATCGCTCCGTAGGAAACGTAAAAAAGAACCATGGTAATCAAAGACGCCCAATCGCTTAGAAAGCTATAATATATTGCTTATTTGAATAGAACTGCAGCAGTAGCAGATTAATAACTGCGCACAAATGGATTCTGCGCATATTTGACTATGAATAAGAATTACGCTTAGCGTTCACGAGCAAATCTGAATAAATTGATTAAAAAATCACCTACCATTCTGAAGAAAAAACCGACACGTGTGGTTTTTGTCGTTCCTTAATAGAAGCACCTTTTAGCATGCCCGTGTGTTTTCCAGTCTCATCTTGTGGCCAGCTGATTTCTAAAACTCCAGAATCCCGCAAAGCCCATGATAAGGGACGAATTTTCGGACTAAAATGGGTGCAGTCTATCTTGCGGCCCTGTGTAAGCGGGTGAACGCATACAGGGCAGCGACACGAGTCGCGTAACTGGAAAGAATCGAGTACAACAGCGGTTCATTCACACTTCCGTCAGTATGACTCTAATTTCCCTTTTTTAATGCAAGCATATTTCACCAACAAATACAGTGCTGACATACCAAATCAGTGGTTACTCTGGGTATTAGTAAAATTTCCGTTCGTAAGCTAGTTCTTTGCTATAATCTTCTCCGCCTTGACTATTCGTTGCGCACACTGAAGACAGCTCCACCAGTTCAGATGACAGGGCATCTCTATGTAGAATAAGATAGCGCGCGTGGCAACCCACCACATGCCCCTAACCTCAAAGGGTATACAAAATATGTGAAAATGTCTGTATATAGAATTGCATGTTTTCATTGGGTTGCTTAGTGTATAGGTAAGGCCTCTTTGCTGCTCGAACAGCCGCCGAGATCTATTCATGCGCTTACATTTGAGCGTTACACTTTTCGCACTAACAGCCATCGTTTTCGTGTGGACCTGTTCACGCACTGAATTATAAATATTTAACCGATCTATAGCCAGGTGACCTACGTTATACTTTAAGGCTGGATGGTCCTCAACCGCTCGTATTTATTTGAGCTCAGAGCTCCATATTATTCCGACACCTTCCAAAGTGTTTACTGATTGATTAAGCCTCAAAGACAATAGGAAGTGGTGGTGGTGGTGGTAGTAAACAATCGCTGGCTTAACCATTTACCTAATTGCCAAGGGAACTATCACGAAACGTTGCTAGAAGGCTAGCTGCTCTATAGTTGCAGGCTTATAGCAAACCGTTCGCCTCTAGGCCTGTATACGGTTATCGTATATCGAGAGTGTATATGCCGTATAGAGAAAACTATTACAAGGGACTTCAGTACGCCACAGTAATATGTCGTGCATCGCAAGCCTGTCCGTGGCTTGTGTTCTGCCGCCGTGCTATGTAATGGCTTCTCCAATTGCAAACAGTTCCTCAAGTATCAGATGTATCATACCTTGCTATCGAGATAATGGACAACCTTTTCGAGCGACTTCTACGGCAATCACACGCTGTTGGGTAATAGGAAGGGGGCAGATCTAGACTAGATCAGCTAGGGAGATAGCTGGAACCCATCATACTGGAATAGGGATAGAAGGCTACAAAATAAGGAGTTTCGATTTTTGATTATGTTCGTTCGTGCCCTAAATTAATATTAATATGCAATGTTTCGACTCTGAGAAAGAACAAATGAGCTATATTTGTTATGTAGAAGCTATTACCGCAACTTTTACACAGCACGTATGAACGCGTCAATTTTATGTAACGACGTTACCAACTACGTTTACGTTTACGTACCAACGTTATATTAAAGATAGAAATATAATTTAGAGCTTCTCGATGTACTGGCGAGAGTTGGTGCATTTCAACATAGGACTTGCTTTAGGTTTTACAGTAATAGAAAAAGGCCGAGCGTGCAAACGGCTTCGGGTTAGTACAATGTCGCTTGAATTGAAATACATGCGTTGAAAAATTAGTGATGTCCCCTTAAACTACTAATGTCCATTTTCATGAACAGAAACTATCTAAAAGAAGTGACAGGCCGATATAGCAACACGGAGTTGTTAAGAGCTAAAGGAAAAATAAATGTTTCTAACATAAGAGACTGATCTTTCAGGAAAGCTTGTTCGTGACTTTAGCTGAATTTTGCAATAGTGATACTACTTTAGCCAAAGTCCAAAAATACATCCGAGTAACCACTGTTCTCGATCTCAGAAGAATCATAGGGGAACGCACTCTACTTTTGACACCGTTTCGGGTGAAACTACGCAGTTAAGCGATAGACAGTAAGGCAAACAGACGGCAATAGCCTTTGTTTATCGGCGACGTCAGCTTGTACGCCACAGAAGCCCAGCTGGGTTGAATCATAGATGTAAAGATGCTGTAGTCGAATTCGACCGGCTTTCAATCCAATCGGGCCCATTGGTGTTCGAAAGCGTATGTTATTTGTGATGCTTTGTTCATGACATGAAAGTGACTCGACTGCAAGAAGATATCTCCAGCAACCGGTAGAAAGCAGTTAGCCCGTGGCGGGAGAGTTATCCCTTTAGTTTTTTCCCGCCAAAATTATATGCTTATGCACGAACAACTGATATAACAGCGCTAATCTTTCGGCGTAATAGTCACAATTGCCTATTAAAAAATTTAGAAAAACATGACAGAAGGCGCTGTAAACGGCGCATGCGTACTGGCGATAATCAATCGTAAGCTATGAAGCACACAGCTAACTGAAACAAGACTGATCTCTGACATAACCGTAACATTTCAATGTTAGATATCGATGCTTAGACAAAATTTTATCGGAGTATCCATTTAAGGGCTCTTTTAAATATTTCGCACTAGGCTACAATAAAATACTGCTCCATGACGTTTAGCCCTATCTTCCGCTTACGTTACACGACTGATTATGACATAATATTATCTAACATACTTGTATGAATTGCAACCGAACTCTTCCAGACGAAATTATCGTACATGTGACTAGACACTTGAATAGAAGATTTATACTTTGAATTTCATAAAAAAATCTCTATCAGAAATCAAACAGCGTACCCAGACAGTGCTGAAGTTACAGTGGGTATCATCGGAGAAGCTGACGCAAATGGTTGTATCGTTAATGCGGTCAACACGCGAAATCTGTGGCGCCGGCACGAGTTCCTCGTCGACTTCAGCGCTCGTACTGACAGCGTCGTCTGGCGACATCTGAGTGGCAACAACGTTCCGGAACGGCGAAATTCTCTGTTTTCGGACAGCCGACCGCAGCAACTGGTAGCCTATCTTCAACAATGTCATCTAGAATGTGCACGATGCGTTCAGGTTAAGAATGATATGTAGATCCAGATATACACTAATAGAATATTAATTTGATCATCCCTGCCCTATTTATAGCAGCATTGGTAGGGAAAATCGTTCGTCTTCTGGTATTTTCTTTGCTTCCTTGAGAAGTATTTAGACGCTACGTATTCGAGCGTATGCCCTCCTTAGGGTTCACTTTATTCGATATAAATAAATGCTTTCGTCCAGCTCTATAAATGGATGGAAAACAATTATCTCAAGAACTGTCAATGTTACATATTATTTTGAAACTAATGTGTTATTGTTGGTATAGATGCCATTTTGAACATTCACTATTAGTATTACGTTTAGATCTGCTTCTCTATTTCGACGTACTGTTATTTCAGTTGTTTGTTTTTAAAAAATGATAGAACAATTCAACGTCGTATAGAGCCGTTATTTTTTTCAAATAATCATTCTCTAGTGGATCATATTGGTAGCTTGGTAATGTAGCTATTATTGCATGCAGGTGATAAGGGCTACATGAAAAGGTTCACACGCGTGTTTCATTGTCATTTCTTTGTATCTGCTATTTAAATTGCTTACCTTAAGTTTGTTTCGAAAGTTCCTGCCTGAATTCGGTCAGTCTCAAGTGGAAGTCTTGAAGACAATATCTGGTCATTCACTGACTGTGAAGCGTGTTTTATTCGCGCGCTCCGTCGGGCCTCCTTTCTTCTCCGTTTGCCCGCGTCACAAAATCATCAGCAATCGCAGCGGCGACACAACGACACCACCAGACAGACAGAGCGGACAGAGCGGAGGAAAGAGTGCAGCAAACGCGCTTGAAAATGCTGAGAAGAAAATGAGTAATCTGCTGTGGGCTATTCGATGGATTTCGAGGTGAGCTCGTGTCTTTACACTAAGATATCTAGCATCAAATGAAAGAAAGAAAAAAGCATGACAGACAAAACTAATCGCTTAAGAGGAATACCTAAGTATCTAAGATCCGCAGTATCCTCTTCGAAGTATCGTTTGGGCGAAGTAAGGCACTGCGTCGCTGTATCCGCTCGCCATAACAACACGTACAACCCGTGATAAATAATACCTCCATGGCCTCTCTGACCAATTTCATAAAGAAAGCCAGCCTAAATATGGAGAGCGTGCTCTCTAGCACGATCCCGTAAGTGATCTTTTAGTGGCCATCATTTACATTGCTCAATACCGTCAACAAAGCCTTAGAGACTAAAGCGGGTCCTCTAACACGTAACGCAACCGGCAGGCCTCTTGAATCCAGCCATTTTGTATCCACCCGATCCTCATAAACACCATTTAGCCATTAACAGTTAATACAGTTACCACAACAGCGGCATCAGTAAAAGAGTCATACCCTTCGACTTCAGCTTGAGTCATCGAAAAATTGTGCTGACACCAAGGCTGATCTACCCCACAATGTGGTACACGAAGTCGCCCAACGCAATTTAATTCTTCATAAAAAAAATCTCATGTATGTGTCGTTGGCAGACCCTGGCCTATTCCTTTAGAAATCTTCTCAATTAACTATATTATTTTACATTCAATTGATGCATCTCATTATCGAAGTAAAGCGTCGCTTCATACTCTATGTTTATATACGTTGTTGCCTATGGCAATGAAACGTACGTAATACGAACCGGCTGATAATGCAGTATTCCGACATCAAACTAACTACGACACTTAGCGTATCAATGAATTTTTTTACTACAGATAAAGGTACGCAGTTCCTGCCTGTGCAGCCATGCCAGTTTACAAACGTTCAAAGAATACAGCTTTTGTACTTTGATGTGAAGATATTAAGAATGAGAAGAAAGCGTAATCTGTTTCAGCCATCCCGATTACATGAAATCATAGAAAGAAGATTATAAAAAATTACTGACCGAATGAACCTGGAAGAGACTCACTTCCATTCATTGCAGTGCTGGACAACTGAGGTAAGTGCATAGGAAATCAAACAGTTTTTACAAGGATCCTATTTTGGTTAATATAGCCGCTTGAAGATCTCTATTTTGAAAGTATATTGAATTATTTCAGCAAGCTATGTTGAGCTTGTTACCTAAGTACAGCACTCTTTCGTAGCCAACAAAGAGCGCCGGCTTTTCGAATTGGTGGGTGTTGCGAACAGTCTGACGTGCCCGGGCGTAATCGATCAGAATTGTGGGAAAAATACGCATTTCGGTTTCATGAAAGGCGTCAAAACCTATGTAGAGTGGTACAATATGACAGCGTACTTTTCAGCATTTTCAAAAGAATTATAATTAATGACTATGTTGCAAAGAAATGGTACGTTTTTTTAGGGTGCCCTTTTGGGGTAAGTAGGTTTTCATCGCTTTTTCTAATCATCAGGGCTTATTCGGAGGCGTGATAGTGGCTGAGATGGTACTAAAGACCGAAGAGTCTAGTTTCATTAGCCAGGCCTAACGATCACGGCTGAACAGACTTCTGAACAAGTTTAATCAGGATAAAGAACGTTACTTCGCCACAGTTAAGCAAATAAAAGCTGTATTGATTACATGAGCAAAGTTACTTCATCCAACCTATGATCTTCTATAATGTAGACCTTACACTTTGCGAGCAAATGAGGTTCAGTACAACGGATGTATTTCTATCAAATGCGTAACCAGTTGTAAACCTTTCAGCCGTCATTTTTAGACAATATCTAGAACTTGTAGCGTCTGTTTAGTGCATAGAGGAAATGCGGCTGCGGATATCTAGCATCTATCTAGTTCTGCGTTTCATAGATGGAGATGTTCTACAATTAGACCATAGGGATCCAACTGCAAGACCCGCTTAATAGTTCTCTATTTCAACAATGTTTTATGAAACAGAATCTAAGTAAATAAACAACTTTCTATGCTTAGATTTTTTAAGCTGTTGGAGATTCTTCGAGCTACCACTCTACACGCATCCAAAATGAAGTTCCAGCTAGGGCCTGAAGCATGAACTACCTACATGCGTACCTTCTACAATAATAAACGCAATATATTCGTGAACGCAGCTGACTATTAATCTACAATATGTGGACCGTTTAACGATAATACAAACAGAACTAATAATAAAAACATCATACCAGTAATGATCTTCCATCTCGTTGGATTTCTCTTACGATCTTCACCATTCAGAAGAAAGAAGCCTAGACTGCTGCTCTTTAGTTAGTGCGCTGTTTAATATGCAGGTTAAAAGACGATTATCAAAGTATTGACTAGTAACGTTATAGTGGTTATAGAAATTATTACATAAGTAGTATTCAAGCCTAACTAACTACATAAAATAGATTCTCAGTTCCGAAGTTATTCCAAAGTGCTAGTTCCCAGTCACCCATAGCTGTTACTAACTTTTTCTAGTCGAGAGAAGCGTGAACTATCAGTTAGTTGGGATTTGTACATGAAATCAATCGCATTAAGTATACTGCACGTTATAGAAAAGAGTTTTTGACGCCTATACGGCTCCCCTCTCTCTCTCTCTCTCTCTCTCTCTCTCTCTCTCTCTATATATATATATATATATATATATATATATATATATATATATAACTGCTCCTATTGAGTTTGAGAGATACTTAGATAATAAATTATGTAGTTTCACGAAATGCCCAGAGTATTTTCTAACTTGTTTGGCTGTATGTAGCGAGGCGTTCCAGCCTCCTGCAAGGAGTACCCAGCCGGTACTCTTTACAAATGTGTGCACAGCCATAGCGGCAATTAGACAATGGTCATGCACGCAACTTATAGGTTACGGGCTATAGGTGCTCTGCTCGTGTTGACGTAGTGCCGTCATACCATGTGGTAAGCGTGCATGTCCGTCAAAATCCTCTTCCCTTTTTTTCAAATAATGTTATCATAATAGGACTACAGAACATTTTTACAACTTTATTAAGAGAAACGGGCTTCACATTAGAACACAACTAAAACACTCAGGCATGTTTCTTTGTCATCCACACGAACTCGTAAAGCTGATGTCTCAGAGCCTCTAGTCTAATTCTAACAAATGACACAATCGAGCTACTTGATAACTTCCAAGACATAACTGAACTGTTGTCAAAGTAAACAAAGCCTGTTTATTTGAGCGGTGGTAGGTTAGGAGAACCCCACTCTTTTTCATACGAATCAATATCTCTGCCCATTTTTAAATATTCTCTGACTTGGTCTATAGAAATCCTTTAAGAAAGAACACTATTATATATACAAAAACATGCAGATATTTCATTTCTATCGATTATTTAATCTCTAACCGCGAATACATTATACTCCACTACTCCTACCACGTTCGATATAAAATTCATAAATGGCTCTCAAAACACTCGGCTAGTAAGAAGCAACAGTATTTTCCCGTTACGGTTAATCGCAAGGAGATAGACCGCAAAACGGCACACTTTATTGCCATTCCCATAGGAGCAAAGTTAAACAAATCTTGTTTGCAACATAGGTAAACATAAATTCAGTGTTAAGAATCTATATATTCAGAAACGCTTAAAATACGTTATAAATACGTTAAATTAGGAATGTACTCCACCATCAATAATGATGAAATTGACTTTTTGAGTTATACACGCACATAGTCGTGGCTACGAGCCAGCCGTACGCCCCCGTGATTTACTTAGCGTCTGGATGAGCGCGCCTGCGTGCACAAGTATCGACTAGTTTTATCGAACATGTGCTGTGATCATAGAAGCCGCGTTACTCATCTCCATGACACGCATCCGATACGGACTACGGCCACTTGCGGCTAGAAGCATCTTGACAACGCCGGTTGTAGCCGTTGTTCTATAACAAATTTAGTGCAGCGATGCCACGCAATCGTGTGGCTATTGGCGATTATAAATCTCATCGAAAAATGAAATCAACAGTGTAGGGACTTCTCACGGTGCCCCTTGTTAATGACCACTGGCTCCGATCGTTTTACCCGCTGGCGTCGCCAGCGGGCACTTCATGTCACTGCAGCTATAACACAGCTTCTCTGCAGAGCCAGTAACGACAGAGTGATGACGATTGCTCTGTGACGGCCTGTCGCAGGTTCACAGTAATGAGTGAATTTTCCTTATACGTGAAAAATTAGGCAAAAAAGAATTGTTTATGGAAAACTTCCATAGATATTTCATAATAAATATGAGATATCCCACAATAGATTTCTTCGTAAAACTATTGTCACCGGCGATACCCTTACGGGATGTCTCACAGAACGATGTGGGTCATCCAATCAAGCGTTTCCCGTGTTCGCTATAAAAAGACCATGCTTGGCTTTTCGCTGCGCACATGCAAGTTGTTAAGGGGTACAGTGGCAGCAGTTGCTAGTGAATAGCATGAGGAACCTTACAAAACTGTGTCTCCTTATGGGAATCACCCTGTTTGCCCCGCAGGTATCAGCCACTATGTTGGTGTTTGGTAAACACACGGACAATACGTGCACTATTCGCGGTGACTGGAGGTACATCAAGCAAATTGATGAATCCATTGGCGAGGTACGTGCTCGAATAGCTATACCAAACTGCAATCGCGAATTCACAGAAATACGTACTGAAGTTATTCATAAGACATATTAGTACAAAGTACATGTAGATCTAGCGTATACGGTAATCTACAGGCGCAATAACCAACTTTGGCCAATGAGCACGATTGTCAATACGTCTAATTCGTTACAGGGTGTTTTGGGAGAGCCTATACGATAGCTGCCCAAAGCCATGATCCTTCAAGTGTAACATCATTAGTTCAAGAATATTTTGGCCGGTTAAAAGTGTTTGCATAATATATATATATATATATATATATATATATATATATATATGTTTTTTATTAATACAAAAATACGCTTGCAAGAAAACCTTGAATTATGCAGCCGTTACGCACAAGTGAAGCAAACGACACTTACGTACTTAAGTGAAATTTATTCCTTACAGGTATTCCCGGAGATTAATAACAGGGATTCCTTCTCATTGGTTGACATTCGCAAGTCTCCCACTGAAGTGCTAGATCTCCTAGTTCGCTATAACTACAAGGTGACGGCAGCTAATACAATAGGCCACGACACGCTTTGGACCTTGCAGAAAAGAAGGGAAGAATTAAAGAACTAGCTGCACAACATTTACATCGATCCGCTACAAACTGTGCAAAGAAAATGGGACCAAGCAGGCAAACGATTAAGCTGTATTTTTTGAATTCGAAGTTTGTGTGTAAAATGTAAAATGTGAGAAATAAATAGAACTTATATAAGCAATGCATAGCTGTTAACTGGCGTGAACTTTAAAGTCATCATATCAGGGACCACGTTTCAAACTAAAACATACGCAGATGTATAAGGTGTGTGCTCGAAGGTCACATGATTATTGGAAAATTTTATTTTCCGATCCGGTAATCCGGAAAATAGGGACTACATGTGCTGCGCAGAAAGTACTGCTTAATAGCATGTATTAATGTACGCGCACCTAGAGCAGACGACTGAACATGTGAGTGTACAGGCCTCAACGGTTATACATTGATAAAACCTTATATATAAACACATGTTAGGCTGTTCTATTATTTAAGATTCCACGACTTGTAACCTCTGTATCTCTTAGAACGTATTGAGCCAGCACGACAAGCTCGAGAGGCTGGTTTACGCCTTGGCTAAGCTTCGAATCAGTAACATTGTCTTTGCAGCAAGAGAATCAATGAATCACTTTTTGTCTTCTAGCTTTCTACATGTTGTTTTTTTCGTTTTGTTGTGGTAGGGCCTATGGGTTGCTGGAATCCATTTGGTAGAACTTTTCAGTAAATCTGTTTAAGTGAACGCACATTATGACTCGAAAGTCAAGCTTTCTAGGCAAATACTGATGTCAAAAACATTCGGAAGGGAACCCCATATCAGGTTCTGTAACTAATAAACTTCAGGAGTGTGAAGAAGCCTTTAAGTGGAATGAAGATTTACAGCATCAGAAGAAATTCGAATTAAATTGCGCCAATGCTATTGGTTGTAAGATCGGGGTGATTACGATTAACTGTATGCACCGAGCAATACTATAATTTCGTTCTGTTCCTAATTTATAGCGCCCTGTTTCGTATGCAGGACCTCACGCAAAGCTTTCAGCCAATTGAGACCTCTAAAAGTTCACATTTCCAGTTCAATGCTACTGCCAGAGTCGAATATAACCACTAGAGTTGTGGTAAATAATATGAATTCATTAATAGTGAAATTACGGATTTTTTTTTATATTAATGTTTTCTGAAGAGATTTAGATATAACATGGCGATAGGCATCGGTGAGATTACTTCCTAACAATGCGAGACCACGTCAAGCTTCTGTAATTACGGCCGTAATAGTCCAGTGAAATGTTTCGATACATTGATAGCCACTAAGAAAGTTGAATTTAATGTAGTTGATTTTAATATATTAGTTAAAACGACCTTGCGATTCAGCATATATATGCTATATATATATATATATATGCCATATATATATATATATGCCATATATATATATATATGGCATATATATATATATATATATATGCCATATATATATATATATATATATCTTGTTGATCTATTATTTTCTCCACTTTATAATTTTAGTTTAGTAAACGAGAGTCCGACAACCGCTTCACAAGGAGAATTTGCATTTATGTAGCCGTAAACGTAGGCCAATTTAAAGATAATCGCCCGTTTTATTTTGAACGTAACCTCAATTTGTGCGAAAAGGTAGCCATATTCGATTTTCAACTGCCTTATCGGATGAAAATATTCGCCAGTTGATGGAAGGACATGGCACGTGCTTGACGGTAACAACCATTAGCACAAGGTATTTTGTCTAGCACCCAAGTTGAGGGCAAGCGAAAGCAGTTCCGGACATTATCTGATCCCCGGACTCGGACTACGAAGGTGTGGCGCCAGAGGAGTCCACATCTACCAGAAGGTTTCCTTTAGCTGCCCTTAAAACACACTCTGACAACGGCAAATGGCTGTGTTTGCCAGTTGTGGTTGTACTGGCCGTAGCAGAGGTAGCGGGAGCAAACTTTGTTGCATTTAAAACAAAAATGAACTCGAAGATGACGTCGTGTTTTCTGAGAAATCGTCACGACGGCGAATCTTGCGTTCCGTTGCCATGGCTTCGACGTTCATCTAAATAAAAAAGGACATGTGGAAAATTATTATTTTGATAACATTGATATATTTCAAGATAACGATATATTAGAGCTAGCCCCAACTTCCTGTACCTTAAAAATATGGCACTTGTTTTCGCTATAGAATTCAACGTTGTATTAGCAGCTATATAAAGCATAAAGTATAAACACCTATATAAAGCCAAAGAACCGGCGCTCTGTAAAGCGTGACTAAACAGCTGTCGAGCAACTCTTATGCAGCCTGAATAAAAAAAGAAATTTACCTTTGCTTTCGGCCATCTTATCTGCATACAGTCGCGAAGAACGGTAACGTTTCGATCGAGCTTTGTAGAACGTTTACTTAGACTCTGTTTAATGTCCAGCTGTAAATTCAAATGGTAAATCCGATAGACACAACAGCACTAAGAAGTGAAAAAAAAAAAAGGCCTTTCACAGTTGTTAATATTGCGGAGTATAAAATTTCCCTGTTTCATCGGCAGCGTACTGTCTCGAATATCGAGCTCATCAGTGGCGAAGTGAATGAAAACACCTGGTTTCACTCGAAATGTTTGAGCTTCTTGATCTTAGATTCTTTTATTCAAGATAATCGAATTATTAAATATCAATGATCTTTTACAGCGAACATATCTGAATACAAACTTTAGTACAATATTACCAGTGTAACAACATCTACGACAGATCTGTTAAACGCAGGCTACTCCTATTAGAAGTAGAAGTAGCAATGCCCTATATTTCATAAATCGAAATCTACCAGAGAAAAAAGCTTAGTTTCCAATATACGCCATCATTTTTAAGCCGGATCTTTTGCTGATAAATGTCCCGCTAAAAATACAACTAACTCGTACATAAAATTGAAACACTTGCGCACCTTCTATAGAGAAATTAGTGTCGGAAAATGTTTTCGCGTGAATTCTTTTTTTTTTTTGCATGTGACCGATACAACAATGTAATTCGAAATAGTACTCAGTTAGTTAAAGTACCAAGCAGTAGTTCGAAAAATCGTAATCTGTTGAGGCTGTGATTTTACTCGTTTCTAGTACTTCGACTACTGAAAATAGGAGAAAGTTACAATAATTTAATCAGTTTACTAATTGATTGACTTGAGACAATCTGGGAACCTTGAAAATGTTACATCTCTCTGCAGATTCCGAATGAAGACCACGGCTGATATTGTCATGATAACGCCGCGATGCACAATGAGCGTCAGCAGTCACATTTCGTCTTTATTATACCATTACCGACCACGTAAATGGCATGTACCTATAATCCGCATCTCAAGCACTTGTGTCTATAGATGTCGGTGCTAAGACTAATAATAAAGCTGAGAACCTCATTACATGGTATAGGTAATCCTTTACCTTTCTTTGATGTAGGGTCATATTTTCGGCATAGTCATACTTTTATGGTTGTTTATGACACAGCTTCCAGGAAACGTGTTCAATAATCACGTTTCTTTGAGCACAGCGAAATCGTTGTACGAGGAACGATCTTCTCATAGCTTTGTTAGCGAGAGACAACTCACAATGTGATACAAACCAGTACCATAGTTTAATATTTAAAAATAGTAAATCAAACAGCCTAGAAAAACTTACTAGTTTTTCTTGCTGTTGCTTGTTATTTGCTTTGATCACTTGCGTAAGTTTTCAATAGTTTTTCTAAAGTTGGTTCTTTGTTCTTTAATGGTAATGCTTTCCATCTTTTGCTACGCTGAAGTAGGAACCAGTTCTTTAAGTAGACTGAGTCCCAACGTGCGTTTCACCCCTCTGTACAATTTTTTTCCTTACCTTTTGCACATATTACTTAGCGGTATCATTATATATATATATATATATATATATATAGAATAGCGTAAAAGCTTCTTGATAGTCGGGGTCTCCATTTTATATTTGTACAATACAACTTCATTCAGACGGATTGTGTTATTCAGCCTTGTCGGTGAGGCAACAACCCATGGTTTCCTTGAACCAAAGGCTTGGCTGCTTAAGCCACACTGTTGACAATAAATAATAAACCAAGTCTCACTAAAACAAATCCGCTGCTAAGATACTGTGATGTCATACCAACTCTTTAAAATCATAAAATTAGTCCCCCGCTTCTAGCTAGTCAAATATGAATGAAGTTTATTTTCGCACTTAGTCTCACCTTAACAGTATATTGCCTATTAAGCAGAACTCCTCTATGAGCGGTAACTGTGTACCAGTAAAACGTATCACCTTTCGGATCTTCCTTGATGACCTGTTAAAGGTAAGAAGAATACTGTTGTACTTACAAGTCTCATACGAAGATACGTACTAACAAACTCGCCGCTAATCTGGTTGTCATCAATTTATATACACGTACGTATGCTGTGTGGTATGCCACATCCTTGTCCTTGTGTCGTTGGTGAAATCCAGAAATGGTATGGTCAGCACAATGTTTCTTCAAGGTTTTCCAAACTTTTTTTTTATTTGCATAATGATCGATGCAATATTTGTTTCGTTCATACTCTTGTATATTTGCTCATTTTTCTAGCAAACACTTTTCACTGGAAAAGACCCTTTTATTTACTGTGTTCGTTCGTGTCAACAAAGCTACCAGTTTATGCCAAACTGTTCCCAGTTGCTTAGCTCTCACAGTGGGCGGCCGGATATACTTAGGTCTGCTTAGTCTGATTTGGTCAATCTACCACTCGAGGGAGTGGTCGCTTCAAACAAAGATTCCTCGTGACTTTCCCATGATATTTCCTTGTATTGGAATTAAGTACGAAAAAATTATTTTTTTCTAATCTATATTTATTGATTAGAAAAAAAATAATTTTTTAAAATTTTTCTTTAAAGTGTCGTAATTGTTTAGCAGACCTGAAGATGATGAATACCAAACTAGTGATGCACTCTATTCAAAATTTGCAGTAATCTTTAAGTGGGAAGTCTCTATATTGGGGTAAACAATCTTTGTTGTTAGCAAAAAAGCTATGATAAAAGTAAAGATGGCTTATTTATAGTCATTCGGACACAGGAAACACTCGATCAGTGGGCTAATGGCCGCTTGGATACGCGTGTACTTGCAGAGCGACTGTCGCTGCTATAAAGGGGCATACAAAAAATACATCGAAGCTCTCAAAGTCGTAGAAATGGAATTTCCGCATAGTAATTGCCCTCAAGAGTTTAGAGGAGCCATACAACATGGTCCGAAAAGTTCCCATTGCAAACGTTACACTTTTGTTTACTTAAACGGGGCGACATTGTAGGGAAGCAAGCTGGTATCGATTGTGCCTGAAAAAGATCTGCTTCGTTTGTTATTCTGAAGAGTCTCTTGAAATTTCAAGATGAACCTTTGCTCTGATGTAACCGTGCAAACATGCAAAATCATAATGATTGGCAGTTGTTGGAATAACATATAACAGCGGTCGAACCATTCTCGGCAGGTTATATCGAAGCAGTTAAAGCTTTGGCCTTCAGCAGCTCTGATCAAGGTTAAGCCCCTCACCTGAATAATCATTATAACCTTTCTATAGGAAATTTGGGCGCCGCTTTGTGTCGTTGAGTCGATGAATCTCCTGTAATGTCTTTTATAACCTACAGCTAGTGTAACTATTAACACAAAGACAGAACACTGAAATGATGCAGAACATCGAAACCCGTGACCCGTAGTAGTAACTAGAAACTCCTTCGAAATAGAGAAGCAACCAGTTTCTAGTAACCCACAAGCCAAATGATGAAAAAAAAAGATGGTAAGAATGATAGGGAGGTAACTGCAAATTATACTTACTGAAATACATCTCATAGAAGTTATGAGATGTATTTCAGTAAGTTAGGGTCCGAAACACTGTGCAGAGGCAATTTTCCTAGATTGCTGTCAGTATATAGACTTACCCTTGGTTCGTCGCAGAAAAGGACGGAGTAATGGAAATCTCCATGAATGACCCAAATAGGGTATTTGGGAAACTTGAGATTCCGACCAACAGCGAAAAAATTGTTCGTGAGTTCCACGCTGGTCATGAAACCCAATGGTGACCGTTTAATGATACCTAGAACATGTACATTATATTTATACCTTTTCGATACTAATATATTACTAAATGATATGTAATTTTTTACTTTGTTGTATACATAATGTGATCGTTAGTTAGAGAAGACAACGGTAAGACATCTCTAATTCAGCAAGTTGTTACTCACTACCTGAATTGCATATACTATTAACCTGTCAAACGATCCACTTGGCAAAGCCTTCCGTTAATTATACAGATTATACTCGCTCAAGAACTTTTACTAAAATGGAACAACGTATGGAATACGGCAGCAGCATTACCATATCGTCCTCGTTTGGGATGGTCATCTTCTGTGCACGGCCTCGGCGAATCGAAAACATTCGACACGGCTCGACCTGTTAAATAATGGATATGGCAAAGGTGAAAAATCCTCTTAAACCCCTTATTTGTTGATCATCTGAGCTGAGTTTAATGAGAAAACGTTATCGAGTTTGGTAGTTTGTAAGATCATGCCTGTAACGATGAGATTAACTAGTGGCTGAAAGCAATCTTCATCTGTAGGATCAACCAAGAGATCTTTTGCAGCTTCCAAATGCACACGGTCCGGCCCACGGCTAAAGACCATCTGAAAACGCGGACGAGTCAAGTTAGAACGCATAGAAGGTACGTGTATCATTTTCAGTGATTTGCGTAATTGGCATTACACTTACTCTTTTTTTTCAGAAATTAAAGAAGCAGTCAATCGCAATTTGTTTCTGATTAGAAAATTGGGAAGAAAGTAAAACCAACTCACATCAGTCCTTGTTAGTTACCCCTGTTCAATACGCTGCAAACACGTGTAAGAAACTTCCTGCCTTCAAGTTTTAACCATGTACAGGATGCATAAACGAAATCGGGAAAAAAACTTTTCGTAAGTACTGATTATTCATCAAAATTCTTTGATTTAATAATCACGAAACCAAATGATTAATTGATAATATAATTAATTGACTTCTGATTTAATTAATTAAATTTTATATGCACTCACTGGTTCTTACACAATAGTTTTCAACTAACACTCGAATTGTATACATACAATGTGTTCCCACTCGTTTTGCTCTAATACATTATAATCCTGTTATCAACAGAGCACGTAAACAGGTAGTTATGTTTACTTCTTTGTTTGTTATCTGTTGTCCTTTGCCACGGAGTGGCCGGGAGCTCCCGAATGGTTTTTTGCTGCGTTAAATTTAGTACGACGCAAGCTTGTCGATCTGTATCATTGTCTCTTTTTAACATCTGTGAGGAATGTGTTAGTGTCTAATTGGCAATAATTGATTAAGTTTCAATGCCTGAAAGAAGAAACAGGCACTCAGGTGCTACGGAGCAGTGAAACGTCGAACAGGTACTCGTAAAACAAATGTTCGGAGCCTTCTACCATTAAACGACGACACCATCTAAAAAATTACTGTGGATTGATCTGTTTCGAAAGATGGAAACCCACCATTGCTACAAAAACGAATGCGCGAACTCACAGCAATAAGGTTTCATCGATCTGCAGGACGTGAGTGTTAGGCACATTATTGGAATTATCAGTTGCAATTTCGCGACTAGTTCCCGACAAACCCAGTTGATCTGAGAATATCTCCTACCGTTTCTACAAAATATTTCTAATCGCTTTTGTGATATCATCTACAATGTACCTTAGAGGCTTGAACGCATATTAACAGAAAAAATTGCTTCCTCCAATCACGTACTCTAACACGTCACGCTGCTGGGCTTCACGCGTATTATAGGGTACTTGTGTCAACAGCTCCCTTTCTTATTGTCGAATGGCCATCTGTTGCTTAACATAATTTGGTATTTCTCTGCTCCTATGTATACTTCCTTTTCATGAAGTCGAAAGAACGTTGAAGATACATTTAGGAACATTTGTAAATATTGGGTACTTGAGTCGATCCGAAGTTTGTCCGGTATTACTGTTTGGTCTCCAATATTAACTTTGTAGAGCAGATCGATTTTTTTGTGCTGACCCTGTTACAGCTTCTCGAGAGTATTTACCCCAGTCCTTTATCCAAGTGAGCGTCTGATCCGCATATACCTTTTCCATTTCTCTGTCATGATGTCCTATGCTCCTATCCTACTTAGGACCATAATGGCAAAGGTCGAAATAGTTCGAAATGCTTTACTTTTCCAAATATCGAGCATTCGTTGTGCTTCAGGTTTTGCCTAAACGGCAATCGCGTAAAGAGCTGCTATGGAGTCCGCCGCTAAGCCAAGTGGCTTTTCCCTGATCTCGGCAGGTTCTTTCCTTATTCTTATAAAGCATTAGCTTGCTTATTCTCTGCTGGACCAAGGCTACCTTAAATCTGAGAGCGCCCCCTGAAGAAAACTGAATCAATTATATCTTCTCGATACGCTAATCTCTTCCTTCATAACTACATCGTTTTTACTTCCCTCAGTTATTGAAATCGCATCTCATATATTTCAAAGAACAATGGACGCAATTACAGTACGCTATCGTATCAACAGTATGTCGGACGTAAATGTTAAACAGACAGAAGGCATTATCAGCGTGATGGTCAGTTGCAACCTAGCAAGCTGATTCCTGCTTCATGTATGCGGCTTTATTTTGGTGTATTCTACCGTTACCGGTTTCAATGAAACGAAAACTAGCCGAAATGGATGGCTCACCCCTGGTAGGAAAACTGTTGATTTGATCCCTTGTCCCAGACAAACTGCTGTGCCCTAGACAGCGACTTTGAAGCGATCTTGCTAAAGAAGCCACAATATAGCGGATATCGATTTATTTTTAAACTTCTTCATGTTGTGAAGCTTTGGTTTTCCTATTAGAACTTCACAATTGTACTTTTTGCGGACGGGTAGAAGAGGTGCTTCCCACAAAAATCTTCCTTGTTAGGATTTCAATCTTTACTCGAAATTAACATATAAAATTGTACACAATTTTACCGAGGATAGAAACGGGACCATTCCGTATCGGCAGACTCGATCGAAGTGCTTCTCGATAGCGGCTCTCAACTCAAGTGGAGATTCAAATTGAGCAAACATCCAGGAAGCATAAAACTGATTTTCTTCTACGTCGCCTTCGGGAGGAAATGGTACTATAAGACGAACCGGGCCTTTCTGTCCTGGAGTTACCTGGATAAAAATAGCAATTGCATCCATGTATATTGCAGCAATAAAACACTTTTTTAACGGTCAACATGATGTAACTGAATACATTATCATAATAGCAATCACTGACATGAAACCAGCGAAAAAAAACTAAATAAATAAAAAGCTTCTTTTAAGAAGGCAGTCTTTTGACTGCCTTCTTATTAGTATCACGCAGTGATATATCCATAATTAAAGGACAATACTGGACTTCTATCTAAACCATCATGCAAATAAGCACGACTTTTTAGAAAAGGTACAGATTTCATCCTTTAAATGTCATGTGTCAAACGGGCCCCATATATGGGAAATTACATACCCTCCACAAGATGTCAGTGAGTGCTCTAATGAGTGCCTGTTTCCGTAGCTCAGCTAATCGCTCGATTTGATTTGAAGTCGGCCGTAAACGAATTTTTTCAAACAACAGATTCTTCACAAGCCATGCCTGTAATGCTTGCAAATAGTCAGCTTCATCAGTAGTAGTCGCAAAATGGTAAATGTAATTTAGCGCATAGATATGTTCATGCGGTTCTCAGGTTAAAAGAAGTTAGAAGATTCGGTTGTGCTGTCCGACAATTTTTCTTCCATAACGTCCGCGACTGCCGCAGAGACAAGGTGCATACTCGGTCCCCTCGAATTACAAATTAAAATGCTAGTTGCCTTCATGCTCACATTCAGAAGTTACACCTAATATATTAAGCATTGATAAGGAAATTTTAAATATAATCAAGAAAAAAACATTATAAAGAATAAAAGAATGAGTTTATTAAATGTTTAAGAAAATGTTTATAATTAGTGAATATAGTTACAAGATTGTCTAACAATGCCATTAGCAGTTAGATTCGCGCTTGTAGCCTAACACCATGATCCGTATTTGTTAGGATCTCAGGACCATGGCAAGCGAAAAATGGGACTTTCTCCAAATTATAAACATTTGTGTTATCCAGCTGTATTTTTGTCCCGTCGTACCCCCTGTACCGACAGAACGCAACAATTACCTGAATAGCAGCGACAGCTCCACAAGGCCCATTAAAATACTGTTTAATCTGCAGACGACACTCATTTAACACCGACGGAAAATCAATATGCTGGAACAAAGAACATACGTCACGCCTCTCTCTTCATATTAACGGGATTTCAAAATCATCCTTCACTTACAACGAAGCAGGAACGCATCAATATATAACGGTGTGTTCAACGGGATTTTATAACCCAAACTAGTCGATAAATTAGTGAAACGTTACGAGATTTATAAGCGCTAGCAAATAGTTCCAGCATACAAAGTTCTTTGCAACTACTTTGTCTAAAGCTTCAAATGTTTTAATCTGTGTGCGCTGAGCAATTCGTGTTATGTAAGTGCGGAGATTTTCTATCATTAAGCTCCACCAGAAGAAAGCTTAGCCAAGTTACAGAATTTTGTGGGATCCACTAAATTTTTCTCACCCGAAGTTCGCTGTTTGTCTTATTTGGCTCAGGAGATACATTCCCTTTGGGTGAAAAGGTGCTCAGATAAGCTTCCGATCTTTACGTATTCACCAGCACTTCTAGCTTCATCAAATGAGGGAAAATTAAGTGCATTATGCGTGGTATTTTTAAGTAAGGTGGCACAACTAAACTAGTAAAACCACGTAACGCTTTATGGAATGTTTGTGTTTACCTTTGATGAAACCAAAAACCCTACTTCCAGGAAATACGTACCACCGTATTTAGTATAGAAACCGTTTATCGAGTGAATTCCTGTAGAAAGTGGATCGGCTTTAAAAGTCTTAATTGAGCTTATTGGACTATAAACGTGCAAAATTTTACATTGATAATTTTTGTTGAGTGTAACCCTATCGAATACGCAAACGAATAATTGACAAGTTGATGGCAAGACACAGATTTACTCGAGTTCAAAGGTTTACTATGTGTCAAAGCCAGGCTAGGTCTTCCGTGCTGCTCGCAGTATAATTCCTCACCACAAATTCGTACTTATTAAACAAAGCTACCTACCTGCAGTAGCCATATACGCGAGAAGTTCCCAGTTTTTCCAATGATTACGTCAAACAGACGTCGTCGTACGTTTTCTTCGACAGGGTTCCACAGCTTTACCATTCCTTCTGTGCCTCACGTACCTGCTTTTGGCGAACAGTTTGGATTCTTCGTATGAAATCGATCAGCATAAATAGTTGAAGTTTCATATTATAGTGCAGGCATAATTTCATTACTAAATCCTAGGACCCATAAATTTAGCATAATAATAGGCTACTCAGATTAGTGCTGTCGGGCGGGCATATCTTGAATAAATCTAAAAAATCAGTACAACTATGCAGAAACCTAGTTTAATATATCACATACCACTGCTCGGTTATTTGTCAAGACCCTAACCTGGCTAACAAATTAAGCTAAAATGGTTTACATAAAGTGGTGCCATTGTCAAAACAAAAATATAACGAACTCGGAGTGGAAATACAGCAGAGGCGGGTAGCTTTCGTTACTGCATGATCAGTGTTTCCGTAATCTTATCCCTATTCAATCGAAGCCAGGTTCGGCCTTGATTACGGCGACCAACTCCATGTATTCACTAACGAAATTTGTTTAATATTGCTATTTCTAGCTGCGAGAAGCTATGTCCTGGCGGAGTGGAATACACAAAGGACCAGCGGAGCCTTTTCCAAAAAGTCACATTGATTAACCGGACCGACAAAGAAAATTCATCATTCTCGTGCCGATAGACTGTGATTAGAATAAAAGTGCGCACACACGTATCCGCGCCGTAACAAACGTGAACCTCAGGAATGGTTTTAGTGAATATACATGATCTATCGTGCAGTTCACGTTTTATCCATCATCGGGGTCACTTACCGAATCCTCTGGTTAATTTTTACACTTCTAAGTGACTCATGCGGAACTAGTAATTTTGATGAGCGAAGATTTACGCCAAAAGAGGCCAAGAATTATAATCTATTATTTAAATGCACTTCGTTTTTTGATGAATTTGGCTCATATTCCATCATCGAAACTATTGATCATTCTATAACGGTCTCGATCGTATAATGAAATATGCTAGACGTAGCTGATTTGAGGTCAGTCTATTCCTCATATCTCACGTGGGAAACTCAACGATTTAAAGAAGTCAACGATTTAAGGAAGTCTAAAGACTCGAATCGTTACGATGATCATTGCATTACGCACGCGATAACTCTATTTAGTTGCATAGCGAGATCGTCAATGGATTGTGCAGAGGCAAAAATAAGTTTTCCTTGCCGTACATCAGCTGTCCAAATATGTATCATAGATGTACAGTACTATGTCGACAATTTTAAACCTTGGCCTTTCCAGCCCCAAAACAAGGTCGGAAGCCAAGCCATACCTTAGAAGATTGAAGATCCAGAACATTAACTTTGTCGTGATGAGTGGTAACTTAGCATCGTAGCCACGTGACTACTCATCGACTGACCATCCGCCGTTAAACATGGCGGCAAATATGTATGGCCTATTTTCGCCCGAAACTATAGCTCGTACAATAAGACGTTGGTTTGTTCATTTATCGTGCCGGAAATCCATAATTAATTTAATAATGACTCGGGACGTGCTAGAGAGAGAGAAGAAGACAAATAATCAATAATTATAACATTACATGATGCAGTCGTTAAAACATTCCATAGGTTTATAAAGCATTGATTGTCTTAACAATAAGCTGACTTAGGTCGATTGATTGATGCCCATGGTTTGATTCAAGAAACTTCAGGTTTTTTCATCTACATACTCTTTTTTATTAAAGATATTCGTTCGACTCGAACGCTTTTAGCGCACTGCCTCTTCTTTATTTATTTAAGCTTTTCTACGTCGTCGATTACTGGTGATGTCTTAGAAGAACTCCCATTTAAAGTTCTTCATTTGACAGTAGTTTTAAATCCTTCACTACAGGAGTAACATTGACAAGAAAAATGTCACCGGTGCAGTTTTTTGATAAGCCATTTTCAAGTTGTGCCTTTTCTATGGGTCACACTCATCTGGAAAGAAGGTTCTTGTCTTAGCAGTCGTGTAAAACGCGCTTCATTCCTGAATGCCGTGTTATCAATGATTTTGAGTGCATTTGTCAACAGAGGTGCAAGCAGGATTACGAAAATTTCGGAGATGTAATTATGAAGCCGAATCGATTATTGAATAGGGGGGTTAAAGTGAAAGTAAACCACTTTACACTAATCCCCGTCCTTCATATACTCTCTTTCGATATAGCGTTACACTATATGTCATCATGCTTTGAACAAAAAACAGGAATACAAAATACAGGGACAGAAAGATCAATTTGACATTTACTTAATAATATTGAGCAGTTCATTTGAGAATGAATGAAGGTTCAAAGCAACGCCAAAAGCAGTTGATACATGCCCACGATTACATCTCGAGAACCCAGGTAAATTACATGGCAGGAATGATACAGAAACAGCGAGGCCGACAGATAAAGAAGAGGTGAGCAGACATCTTACAGTTAAAACTGAATAGATCTTCACATGCAACGTATCCAGATAGAACCCCATGAAATTTGTTCCTCATTCTACAGCAGTGCTGTGACGTTATTCGCGGTGGCGTACGCCATCAAAAATGCCGTTTGCAAGAGATTATAAACGTTAGCCAATGATTTTAATCAAGCTCGTTGTTTACATATAAAATAACTTCATCCAGCGAATCGTCTAGTATCGTACATTATTATTTTTTTCACTAAAATTACATAATCATAACTTCTAAAGTTCAACTAAAATTACGAAAGTTAAGCTTTTTCTCTACCCTTTTCTCCATTATTCATAACATATAAAAACATAAGCTGTATTTAACGAAACACAATCTGCATTGCTTGTAAACTAATTTTTAAACAGCTATAATTAATCGGTGCAGTGAAGCTATCATGGGGTACGTTCTTTTTTTTACCAATAAACAAGTGTTAATGTACTTAAGCGCGTTCCACGTGTTACTAAACTCTAGGATATCGTGTTTTTGTAGGGTCATCTTTGTGAACATTTCCATACATCGCAGCTGTAATAAATGATATGGACAAATGATAACAGATGCCACAGGAAAAGAGATATATACGCCTCATTCGATTTCTGTGTTGTGGCTTTGCTTACTTTTATTATGGATTCTATCGGACAAGCGGAGAAGCCAATGGTTCGCTGACCACGGCATACATGAACACAAAAAAAGAACGTGTGTTTGACCTAAATTTATTGCATTAGCAGCACAGAACCACGTATAGTCGAAGATAGACTCCACAATATTGCAGAAGCACCACACAGAAAAGGGACAAGAAGAAAATTATGAAGTTGCGGTCAGTATCTTGGGAACAAAGTTGATTCTTCTTCATGAAACTTAGGTCACTACCTATAGTCAACTAGCCAAAATCTTTGATACACCTTGCTGATTCGTCACAAAACCCTATTGAGCCGCCCAGCTACATGAATGACCTAATGATACGCCGAACTGACGGCACACAGGCCTGATGTCGGCCTGATTTTCTTTAGTTATAACAAGGTGTGAAATTACTGTCATATTCTTCACAGCGCTTCGGCGACTGAGCTTTTTGCATCATGAAATCAAGGCTAGAGTGAAGTGTACCGCTGGCGACTTGTTTTATGATGACTTTGTGGACGCCTATCGACGTTAACGACGAAGCATTTTATTGACTATCACTGCATGGCTTTTGCTCGTACACAGATAGGAATACAGATATCAACATGTTGTTTCAGAACGACGCAGAAATTATCAAATGCGTAGAGATGTATGGAAGCGTATTTTATTGCCGAGCAAGAGGCCGATTCATCCATTGTTCAAACATAAAGACGTCGCGTTGTTTGGGTAGACACTGTTGTCATGACACGCGGAATAGTATCGACACTTGGTATACACGTACAAAAAACATACAACGTAAATTCGAGCTGCTACAAATGTTTTTATCTATTCCAGTTGACTTTCCGTATCACCGTATTCATGGTCTTGTTAAATATGCCTGGCTGACTTGAGTCAAAACCATTCAACGTTCCGTGAAGCGTCGCAAAATTTCGTAAGCTGCTCACTAGACAGTCCGGCGGTGCTGATGGCTAGGTAGATTACCTATGGTCTAAATCGCTTGCGATCGATGAGAGAATTCGGATCGAGCTCAGACAGGCTGAATCAAACATTGTCTATTATGTTGCTCATTTAAGGCTCCACTTTCGAGAGCACATACATGTTATGCTCATGATACGCTCACCATCAATACTTTGTTCGCTCGTTTCAATCTGAGGCCGGAACTATGATGATACTTCCAAAAACTCTAACAGATACAGATAGGTGTAGCCTGAAACGAATTTTTTATTTTAAAGCAGCTTCAATTGTGTCAGAAAAAATGTGACAACGAGCGTAGTTGAAACTTCTCTGCCCGACACAATACTGAACATTACTATGAAACAAATGTGCTAAAGGGTGGAGTAATTCCAAGCTATTACTAATACGTATGGACAATTTAAAAACGCAAAGCCTTTACACGACCGTTAAACTGGCAGGGTCCGTTTCAACCTAAAAAGGAAAAATGGCTTTCAAAATAAGACCTATTCCGATCAGCAGTACGATGATAATGAAAACTTTATGTTTTCAAACGAGGAAGAAATTCTCGATCGATTGGGAAAGAACAAACAATTGCCAGACGACTCGCGGTTAATTACAAGTTGAAAACTTAGACGAATAGACAAAACTCAATTTTAAGTTTAAGGACAGGATCTGTCTAAAAATAAGCATAGCATGAGAAGTAGTAACTGGTAAGAGGTCTTGAAGCAACGTGCTTATATTTCTAAACAAATGTTTACTGCGTATATTTATGATTGTAATTTTTATCAAGTAGTGCTCAAAAGCATTGGTTATAAAAACGAATCTTAACTACCGCACGGACGTCGTAAAGTTATCCGAAAATCCCGGTCCAAAGACATCTTTGCGAAAGACTTACTCATAGCTAATACTGAAACAGAAAATAGTGTCTTGTTAGACGACATGACGCCTGATAATCTCCAAGAAAAGCTTTATAGTCTAGAGAAATATCTGATCATTATCTATCGTCATCTGCAAGCAGCCCACATGATAAGTCCGGTGAGACCATTGGTATACATGAGGTTAAAATGTAGCCAACTCAAATAATTATACATGCCTAAACTTACGGGTTTTCTCATTCATATAATTTAGCACGGACCTATAACCCACCGATGTTTCGTTCCAGAGACACACATAATTATTCCGTCTGATAGCCAACGACATAAATAATCGATTCAAACCGATAAGATTCTAGCGGCGAGCAAGCAAGCAACCTCTTTGAGTAACCTTCTTTTAACAATGTGTGCACGGGCTCTAGGCGTTCGCTCTTTGCGGCTTATATCAGCCGATGAAGATTTCTGTTCCAAGAAAGTAGATTGTTGTAGCGGTGCTAGATCGTTAGTACTAGTTTACGATCGATATCGAGATCGGCAGGTCGAACAACACCAGCAAGAACGTTCGTAATACAAGAATTGTAAGGTGCATCAAGACGATCTTCTGCTAGCGGACACCTGAACGAACTCAACTAACTCCCTAATTTCAGACTGAGTTAGTTGAGCTGATCCCAGCATAAAAAGCACGTGGAAACGCCCTAGAAGCACCGCTTTGTGAACCAACAAAGGTATGACGTACAATGCACGACGCGCTCGTCCAATCCATTCACCTCTTGAATCGTCAGCATATCGAATGGAAGGTTTAAGCGCTTGCCAGCACATAACCTGCAAGCGAAATCAGATCTTATTGCCTGTGCTTTTTTCAAACGGATTCGTATATATATGATTCTAATAACATCCGAACGTGCTTGGACACGGGGGGATGTGATGTCTAGTTCAGCTGTTCTGCACAGCAGCGTGCTCGTGACAAAATTCCATGATGTACGATAACTCCACATAATGTGAATTAAGGCTTTTAAACCTGCGGCCGACGCCTAGCCTCTCTGCTTTCTGTATATTAAATCAGCTCGAATCTGAACCATAAAATGCTACTACTGGTTCTATTTCGGTTCCCCGGCAAGACCCGCGAAGGGCAGGCTTACATTGAAGTGTCAGCCCTGATATAGTGGCCAGTATGCTGTGTTTCTTTTCATTGACTTTTAACTATTCGGTCTGTAAGTGTTGCTGGGCTTGTCTGGGTATTTTCTGACAGATCTGTGAAACGGCATGGTAACAGAATGCCATGGTAAGCAGTTGTCAACGGTAAAGCTGGAACCAGCTAGAGCCGCATGTTTATGGCTACCATGGCAAAGTATTTAAGGAAACGGACGTTAACCACCCAGACCGCGCCGTTCCTTCTTACGTTACGCATGTGGAGTTACTAAGAGAGGCCTATAGGAACTGTGTGCGCGCATTAAGCAGGGCGTCGAATACACCACCAAATGAATAACTGACGCTGTCGTTCACAGTCATTTCATACTAATATGCTCAGCGCTCAAATATAATGTCACATTACGAACCATAACAACGATGGCTCCGTTGATGGTTTTCTTTTGGCCCGCAATGAGGTTCCTTATATCTGTTTTACTGGCAAAATTGTGTAATACGTTTATCGCTAGCGTTCAGAGTGTAAAGTGACGAAAAGCAAACATTTGCTTGTAGAATCCTATGCATTTAAGTATCCATTGTACAAGTCCCACTAAATAACTAACTAGTGTTGAAGCAGTTTCGCATGATACTGTAGCTGACAGCCGCCCGGTTTCATTGAACTTCAGAGTTGGCGTAAGCCAGGTTTCGCTCACTGGTCACCTGTTGCCCGGTCCGTGTACGGTCCGTTCCTGCAGGGAGCCTGCCTGTAGCCGCTAGCACGAAACGGAAGATCTGGCCTGTTACGAGAGGTACGCTTTCTGCGTTGCTCAAGCTGCTCGTATGGGTGGTGCTGCTGCTGCTGCAACTCCTATCATTCCGAGCGTTTTGGGTTCTTCGTTTGTCCGTCAGTTCATTCGCCTGCTCGATGGATGGATGTGGTCGGCAATCCTGCTCTTTTTTCTCAGCCAGTAGCAATATCACTGGTGATGTCGATCTTAGCAGGAGCTTCTATTTTGTTTCTCTCTTCCCCATCTACGCTCGCATCTCTTGCTCAGTTCTGCTGCTGATGTTGATGCTGCTTCTGAGCGAGAAGCACCTTTTCTGAATCAGACGAAAAGAGCCTGTCGCCAGGTCGAGAAGCAGCGGTGACGACACCTAGCTGATGCTCTCACCACCATAGCTGATGCCAACATCACTATTCGTGCTAGATAAAGGACTAAAATGGACTAATGGGCAATAAACACTCCCCTGCGCTTTCAGCTCAGGACTGACTGCTGTCAAACTGTCGACGGCAGCGGCCAGGTTGACAAAGGTTGCCCTTTGTAATGCAACCCAATTACCACTGGATCACTGTGATTACGTACGCCTAAATAAGGTGTATACGTGCGTGTTTGTTGATATCTAACAGACTCTTTAACATAGGCTGTCTCCGTCTACCAATATGATAAGGTGTGCGTATGTAACAGCAACACCGTGAGCGGCATGTTCCAGTTCAGTGTGATAAAGCTTCACCCTGCTTCCAATGATGCCTACTTTTGTTGTCACTTACTCTATGAATTCTGTGCCTTCTGCCCTACCGTTGATTAGGCTATTGCGAGCGGATGCATTGGATACTGGTTCGGAGCAAAATAGGAACGCAAAACTCTTTATGCAGTACGTATCGTTCAACACGATCGTACTTTTGTCAGATTCGAGTGACAACTGCGTGTGAACTCGACAGTGGTTGTGTCCTTGACTATCGCTCGGTTGTCGAGTGTTAGCAGTTAGTAACAGGAATTCAAGCACCGTAAGCAATGCCATCCCGAATCCACTGTCCTAGTATGGCCGTTTTCTTAGTTCGAGTGAAAGGGGAGACCCCAAGTACTCGCTCTCTGTCTTGAAACGTTTATTAGTGGCGGCCCGTATGCGTCTAAGTGGTGCGTTTCTGCGTAACTAAAGCAGAAAATGTATCTAGCATTTGAAAGAAGGAGACAATAACCCTTTCATCTTCCAGTCCTTGGAAGCGGCCGGCTTGAGGGCAGCGTTCTGAAATGCCGCCCATTCTTCGGCAGTACGCATAAAGCGCAGGACAGGATTATGCACATTGCGTCATCAAGGTCCGTAGCGTGCTAATCAGTTGATGGCAACAAACGTCTGTGTATGCTGTATAATTAGAAACTTTGAGCCCTACTATCCACCAATGTCTACAATACTGTGAACTCCAGTAACACGGTTTAGTACAAGGATCCGATCTAAAAATCATATCCATATGGCTGGACACAATTACCGTACTTTTGGGATCAGTAACAAATAGTATACGAGCTATAGTAAAATGATAAAGAGTGACCACAAAAAGACGCAATCGTCCGTAGCTGAGCCATCTCGGTTTGAGCTCTGGTGGAGAAGGATAGGTTGAAAACTGGCCAACGCAGACTGTTGTGATGCCCTGCGAAGGCTGCGCCCGAAAACGATGTGCGGCTGGTTAGTCCTTACTTTGGTCAGGCGATTTCTTCTACATAAGTTTCTCATTCTGTTAATGGTTAACGCAACGTTTATGGCCAGTGATGTCCTAGCTAGAAGGGCTTTCGGCGACGATTTGGCTTTATGGATCGATAAACGTCAGCTGCGCGAATTTCATAGTGAGTACCAATCTATATTACTGCCGCAAATTTTACTCAGTGTGACTTAATTTGATTTTCAAACAGAAGCACATATTAGCGCGATAATAAGGAAACTCGTAGTCAATGGCCTAAAGCTTACCTTGCTAGCAAAAGCCAGGGTCACCAACTATCTTTGAGCTCTCTGTGACTTCAAGGCAAAGACAATTTAGTCTCATCGGAGCAACAATATTACCGGGCGTCAAACGCATTATCGTTTAAATAGAAGACGGTGAAGCGCGGTAATCGCCTTTGTGTAGGAAAAATCACGAAACAACCAAACTCGGTTAAAAATAAAAACTACGTAGCAATATTGCAGCAGATGAAAACTACTACACTACCAACGTTTATGAGTATCGAAATGTAGCCATGTGTAGTACGGAGAATGTCCTTAACCGTTTCGAGCATGACGCTCATGTGACCTAGTACATTCACTCACTTGTTAGGCTCAGCAAAAAAGCGATCCAGATTTGAAAGCCTTACCATAAAGAACAAAATAAGAGGAGTAACTACGAAAAGTTATTTCTATTTTAAAATTGTCCAAACTATAGGCTGACTAAGGGCCGACCGGCGAATTTAAGGCAAATTGGAGGGAAATTTAGTAGCCACAAATGTCAGGCCGACATCCCTATTGAAAGCCGGGTAGAAAATGATATCGTCAACTAAAAACTAATCATCTGTTACGTTGATGTCAAAGTAGAAGAGATTACTCTAAAAGCAATTTTCTTTACTATTCACATCAGTGAAGACGAACACTTCAGATTAGACGAATACATATTCTCTACGGACCAGTTCAGTCCTTGAAAGGAACTTTAGCACTGGGAAGTTTCGGAGCTGTCGGAGAAAAGCTAGAGTTTAATCATGGCATCGAACAGGCGTATTCATAAACGCTAGCCATAAACGTTTATGTGCTTATTTGGTAAAATATGCGAGGCTATTATCGTTCAACTGAACTATTTAGAGTATGCCCAAGTGATCCTCATAGTGACAGCTATTTTTCCATTGAATTAAAAGTGTCGGTGAACGAGAAAGGAGAATCAATTAACTCACTGTGACGGAATCAATATTTAAAATTATATTATCATCATCAATTATTGTAATGAGCCTGCGCTAAGGGGGGCGCTGAAGCGAAGCCCAACTCAACTCTACAAAAAATTACATTGTAATAATTTATGTACAAGTTTACATAATTGATACTAATATACAAGCAGAATAATGTATATTGGTTTTAATAATTTAACTCAGTTATTAGAATGAAATAGTCAACAACAGAGTTGTTTATACGCGTGATATCTATCTACTTGCTGGAGCCGGAGCTTTTTTGAGCGAGCAGTACCTTGTGCTATTCACCGTAAACATTGCTGTGGATCTGTTAAGGCCCATTACAGATGGATATCTTTGTGATAAGCGACGGACAGGTCGAAGCGTTGATCCAGGAACCGACCTTCGAGCGCTATCTGCCAGCGATACCGGATCACGTAAACACAGTAAACCTGTCGTGGCGTGCCGGTGACAAAAAGTCATACACGTACGAGTTTCTCAAGCTGGAATCGACAAATAGCGGTGTCCTCAAAACACCAAAGCTTTCGATTCCGCCCAGGGGACGAGTGCCCAAAAAAACCAAAGGTGCGCGAATTACCAAAAATCAATAGAGACCAAGTTTAATTTAAGGCTGAAGTTTCTTCTGAGTTTTACATGAAAATTTATTTTCCTTACCTCTCTACAACATCCGTATTGTACTATTTCGATAATATCATCTGAAACCGCTAACCGCTAAACAGATAACGTTTTTTATAATGTGAAAACCTTTTTAACGCACAGATATAATTTACGACGTTATCGAGTACACTATGCGATCCACTTAGTGAGTGGATCATACATTATACTCGTCGTAAGGAGAAAATCGAACCTCGCGTTGTGACGCATTAACTTTTTTAGTGTATAGCATTATGAACGTATCCTTTACGTAATATATGCCATCAAATAGATACATGAAATCTCTAGACGGCAATTCGATCTGTGACTTGAATTTGTTCAGTGTTTCAGATCTCGCTTGAATGTGTAGCAAATATATCGGGAACGGCAGTCCTAAATGTCGCCTTCTCGCTCAGTCCAGAGGGAAACGGCCCGATTCAGGGAATGCCTATCAGGTTCCGTTTGCGAAAGCAATGCGTCAGCAACGGTAAATCGAGAAATTGTCTTACATCTCTTTGTACTTTTTGTCCCTAAATTCGCAAAGACAGCATACGATTTCCCCAAAATTGTAAATAATGACAACACTTGCAGCTAAAGTAAATGTTACAGGTTGGATCCTAAACACACAAAAAATGTCGAGGATATCATCGGTGTGCCACGAGTATTTGTTTGCGTTGTTTAGAGTTACACCGCTGCTTGACATTATCGGTAATGCAATAAAGGGAATTAGTATTGCGATCCCGTTTAAGCTACAGTATTGGCTGAATTGATCGGCCCCAACTATTATACACTGCACTCGAGTAATATTCTGCAATTCACACTCTGTCCTTTTTGTGTTCTGCGCTTATTGGAACAGGTGAATAAATTCGGTAACTACGAACCAAAACACACGTACTGTTTCTCTTTGTACAACATGTTCCATTTTCAAAAGAAAAAAGACACAAACAACCATGCTAAGCCCTATACAGTTATTACGTGGGCTTTGACGCTAATAACTAAATGTGTGCATACTCTGACTAACAAAGAAATGAAAGACGCTCCAGAGATGAAAAAAGGACACTTCTTTGTAGAGTCAAAATGTTCAGTTTACTTTTTTATTAAAGTTGCAACTTATCAGCATTTGTACTTCCGAAACAGACTGTAGCACTGTCGTTCACTAGCTCGATGTCTGTTTGTCTACGAAGCGAGCTGATGCTAAATATAAATTTCAGTTCCGGAACCTGAGTGTGAAGAAAAGTGCAAAAATGGACGATGTGATTCACGGCAAGTGTGTCACTGTCCAGTGGACTATATGGGTCGATTTTGTGAAATACCCTTTTGTCATCCACCCTGCCAACACGGTGGAACTTGTGTCGCGCCCGGTGAATGCGACTGCCCTATCGGTTACCAGGGTCCACAATGCGAAGGAGGTGAGTATACTATCTGAGCTTGTATCAGCTTTATTCCAACGATTCACGGTTGATTGAACTACTAATATTGCTTTAGATTCCTGTCGGAAATCCATTGTACAAAACAAATTTTTTTCTTGTTGTAAGGTTTGGACGAACTTTGCTCTGTAGTCAGCAGTTGAGGAGAAAACACCAATTTGTATTTTAATGAAATTTATATATATGTGGATTAGCGTTCATATGATCGCTAATATAGGCATAACGAACGAATACTGTGTTGTTTTTTTAATAAGCATAGACAATACAGAGCCAGCAGCTGTTCTTTTCTAGCGAATTCTCTTGTATTATTTATAGCATTTCTACAACCTATATTCTTTCTGCAATTGCTATGGCAATCCTACAACCCGTTTTAATTAAGCAAGATGCAATATTGTAAAAGGGTGACTCCATGCCCTGATGTAAAATTCCCAAATCGTGATGATGTTCTTCATCGTCTCTGCATTTAGTCAACACCTGAAATAATGGGTTTCATTGATATCCTGTATACCCATTAACTAAGTTCTCAACTGCCCAGAAAATAATTCCAATTTTAAACATTGCCAACCAGAGTGTAAAGTGGACGAAGCAATACTTACGTCAAGTAGTTCTTTGTTTTGCACGGGATCATCATCCGTCAGTTCTTTTATCTGATCATTGTAATGTTTAGTAATGACACTCTCGACAGCAATTGTGCATGTCATAGCCATTTCTTTACCCAGCAAAGCAGATCCAGCACCTAGAGCATAGCCTGAAGCCAAACCATCAAAGGATAAAAATGCTTAACAGATTAACAGTGATCGCCACAAAAAGTCTCCTTAATTTGCATCAGACACATAAGACCGTCTCTTAGAACTAGGTGCTTATACATCCTAGTCAACGCCAAAAATAAAATAAATAGCGTGTACGAGTTTTCTCTTCAATTAGTTACATTTCGACGGTCCAAAACTTTTAGATCTTTGACGATTCACGCCGTACATAGATAGCGGGAAAGGTCGACGATAAATGACATGCTATTAGCACACACCGGCAATGTCCCAGAACGGCATAAGGACAGTTCGGCGTACTCCATGCTTTTCAACAAGCTCATTGAACATACGAAGATGTTCTTTTTCCTGCTCCCACATGTCACGCACCACTCGACCTGCATCGGTATTCCCAAGTACGGCCATCTGCCCCGCGTAGATGCGATCCGCCCCGAACTCTCCAGCGTGGTCGACGCGAATAATACGATCATACATTCCGCGTCGGCGTGACCAAGTTGACACGTAGCCTTGGGCATTTATTGACAGAGATTTTACACTGAGAACAGCAGGCCGGAGTCGAACCAACGATTTCATTACGTTGCTTCTGTAACAGTGATAAACATTTAAACATGTCTTATCTGTTCATAAGAACACTTGTATCTGCGAAATCACCATTTGTTTTTAAATGATATTAGATGCGCGTACTTACAGAGCTGTAGGCTACAATATCTCGCCTAGACTCACTATAGATCACTCAGAATCTAATTAGAAGACTATTCCAGCATGAAGAAGAAGTCACAACAGAACATCTTTAGCAAATGCGATAATCATATGTATTAACATAATTGGTGTGGATTACAAAATACTAAATCAAAAAATCGAATTTTATCTAAACAATATGTCAGGGATCTGTGCGGACCGTTGTCTCAACGGCGGTAAATGTATACAAAAGGACGTGTGTCAATGCGGTCGGGGATATTACGGTCCGCGGTGCCAGTTCAGCAAATGTTCGATTCCGTGCCTTAACGGCGGCCGTTGTGATGGAGTGAACAGTTGTACTTGCAGGAAGCACTTTCGAGGTAAACAGTGCGAAATCGAAATCCCCGGACTGCGGAAGCGGAGTAAGTGATCAAATGCTGTACGCTTACCTTTTTTTTTTACTAAGATTCGATAGGACGATAATTGAAATGATTTACTGTTTTCAACGCTCTCGCCTTGAAAATTCGCATAGCCAAATAATAGTAGTTATTCATTAAACATTAAGATGACGCCTGTTTCATATATCGATTTGTTTTGAGCGATTTTTATCATTATTATCATAACTATGGTAATTTAGCAATTGAATAATGCCTTAGTAAGTTAGTGTAAATAAAAACAACAAAGACACAACAAAAAGAACTTAGTTGAAGTGCAGAAGTTATCACTGTTACAAATTAAAACTCTAATTGATATCACTAAACAAGGATGTATATTAAAATTATTTATTATTTAAAGTTGACTTTTCACTTTGCACGTTAATAAATGGGAATAAAATGGGAATGATTGGTATTTCGCTCGTATTATATTATTGTTCCGATAATTGTTTATATTATATTACATTTTATAACCAATTCACTTTCCTCTCAGAGTTGCACGTTATCTACGACTACCTGTAATGCTATCCACAAATTTGACTACTTCAACTACTACCAACGCAACGTCAAAAGATACGAAAATGAAATAGAAACCTAAAGCCCATTAAAGGTGAAACGATGATACAAATAATATGGACTTGTGCACGTAAAATAACAGATATAACTTGAAGTACTAGGGCATTAAAGTTCTGACGGGCACAAGAAAAGAGTCTTCTACAGGAGGAAAAATATTATCACTATGCCAATTATGTTAGAGAGATACGCCTCATGGTTCTCATCGCAATGTCATAAGGGTTTCAAAACTCAAGGTCGCAACCCCTTTTGGCTCTGGGGTCGATTAAGTGAAAACCGTGTCTAAGCTCGCAAAGCAAGGATTTTCTATATCGTAGAAATCAATGGGAACGTTGTAATTATATCGATCCCCCAATATTCGCGATAGTAAGATTTATACGGAATACAAACAACGACAAATAAGTAAATCCACGAAAAAATCTATCTGCTCATGGTTATATTTGGTGTGTCGAAATAGTATGTAAACTACTTCTCCAACAATATATGGTAAGAGTTTGTAATATTGACGTTTGAAGCTACATATTCTACTCATACTCTATTCAAACAATGCTGATTATATTTACGAAAGAGAACGTCCAGATACAGCCCCTAAATAATTCTTATCATAAAGTCTTATCATATCTAAATAAAAGTCTTATCATAAAGATTACGGCCCGAATTGATTCAACCCCATTATAGTCGTCCGTAAACTTGATGTTAATAAGTCAAAATGATTTAAAATTGAAAACTTCTGTATATATTACGGGTAGTACTTCAAGGGCAACTTGCAGGCTACACGCAAAATCAGTATTAGAGTACAATCAAATATACGACAGACATACTAAAATGGCTTAAGATCGGAAGTGGTACGCACACTTGAAAGCTAAAGCAGTAACACCCATAAAACACGATCAAGAAGAGTTGTAAGTACGAATGTAAATATTGTGAGTAATTAATTGTCCGAAAATAATTGCAGCGTTTGTTGTATATTTCAGATAACAAACGAAAAAGGAAACCGGAAGTGTATGTATAGTCGGTTAAATGCTACATGAATAAAGATAAGGCAAAGTGGTGCAACCAGCGTATTTATGTAAATAATAGAATTACTGAAAATATATGCTAGAAAAACAAATCTTATTTATTGTTGATAGCTGTGCAGAACAGAGGATACGAAAATCAATACAAATAAATCAATAAATACAAGCATTAGCAAATCAGTACCACCAAGAATATTTATTTACAACAATAAATATTTCAATACATCTTTATTCACTAAGAGCGATAGACAATTCTCAATTTCTAACTTATCCTAGAAAGCGAATTCTACTTGTTTTTTTGAAGGAAACTATTTCTGATAGAACAGCTGTACGTATACACTAGAAGCCAACTGAATAGTCTTTGGGTGCTTCGTACTTTTCGTAAGCAAACTCCTCAGGTGTGAGTTCGCCTATTGTACAACCTATGAAATCTATCTCCAGCTCGAACGGGCCAGCGTTGCCGTCTCCAAGAGTGACGCCAATTTTTCTGACATGCGTCAGGGGAACTCGATTCTGCTTATCCTGTATACGGCCCTTGTTTACGAGATAGAACTTTGAAAAGGGTATGTACGTGAGCTGCCAGTACGGACCGCCTCGCGTATACAGCGGATAGCTATATACCACATACCAGTGAACATCAAAATCCCCGAAGACAGTTAGGTTAATCATGTAAGAACGGCCATCGCCGCGACAACGGATAACAAGATGTGTCCAGTGACCCCAATCATAGTACACTTCTCGTTGAAAACTTTTCGTTTTAGGATACGTTATAATTGCCGCCATGCCAGCGTATTTTGTGCGACCATCTTTTGGTACTCGCGTATCTAGTACGCCTTTAAATACCGCCGTTCCATTTCGCGTAGGTGTAAATTCGGCTTTAGAAAAGCCTAGATTATGATCACTGTCGGTTACTACTTCAAAGAAATCTATATCTTGCTTTTTGTTAAATCTATATTGTGGCACAATCTGGTTTAGATACCATTGTGGCATATCATATGTGAATCTCTCTTTCCATTCCTGAATGAAGCGGACGCATTCACCCCTAAATAACTTGAATCCACTAATGACTTGTTCATATAGAGGTCGATCATCGGGCTTGTAACGTGCACGTTTAACGTTAAAGACACAGTTTCGCCGCGGTGACATACCTGCCACCGTTATGGCGACTCTATCAAAAGGCTTCGTAAAGTACATTGTATGACGCAATAACCGAACAGATTTTTTAGCCGCCCACATGATTTAGAATAAACTAGGGTGTTTGCGTTTGCGTTTGCGTGAGATGAGATAGCGCCATAGGTCGATGTGTCGACGGATAGACACTCGAAGTATCGATCAGCGGAAGCTCGTCCGGTAGTTCTTCCTGTGAACGACAACACCACCATAGCTCAGAATGGTTCTGATACGAAACACATACACGGGTTTAGGAGAGAAAACGCAGACGCCATATCAGAAGAATATATCCTCTTCTTGCTACTAAGCGCATTCTTATTAAAATGTGAGAATTTTATATATAGAAGTCAATCCGGACGGTCTATGTTTTACTGTCGTAAATAAAAATTTCGCTTAATAATGATACAAATATATATATATATATATATATATATATATATATATATATATATATATATATATATATATATCAGAGTGAATCTAGTCTACTATACTTAAACAAAAAAGTAAATGATAGTAAATTGACTGCGAAATGAGATCTTACATATTGCTAAGAGTTAGACCGAATGTTTTTATTAAAAATGCTGGGAAGGTGGCATAAATTATGATTAAACACAGTGATAACAATTTCCGTTGCACTATCGATCATCGCTTGGTGCTCGCTTAAAGACAGGCTTCGTTGGTATTTTGATGTCGCAATAGTCCCGATAACTTCCTTCTGCTTACGATTAGGATTGTCAGTTTTATAAGAACGCTTCAGCGTCTAAGTTTTGAGTCATAATAGATATTTTCGAATTAACTTAGGCATCAGATACATCCGTTCGGTCAATTTATGATTCGAGAAAATGTTGGTAATTACAATGTTGGTAAGGTCAGAATACCAAAAAGCTCATAAGTAAAATACAAAATTTATGATCCCTTAAACGCATTATCTAAAGGCATTGTGACATTATTATCTTCCATCATGTATTAACATTATGCTTGTTCTTAACTATACGAACTGCAGTGATTTTATAAACATCATTACATAAAGTACTGCAAACAAGCACTTCCAAAAAAAAGAACAAACATTCATATATTTGACTAATACTTAAAGAGACATTATTTCGTTGTTAGCTTTTCGAAGATGTTGTTAATTCGAGGCTTCCACCTAAGTTGTTGATTATCGCAGTTGATCAAAGAATATAAAGCTTGTTTTACCTAAATGACAAGTAACTGTCCAACTTAGGCGTTTACTAAAGGGCTACCTCTGCTTAAATGTAATTTATTAAAGACACTTTGGAATAGGTATGAGAATACCTTACATCACAGGCGATTATCGAAGACGTTTTTAAAATTTTGTTTTGCTTCTCCCAGGCCCCAAATTTCGAGATGACTGACGATATGTATTTTAACTGAAGATGAATACGTTCGACTACGACACAGTCTTCAAAAGAGTTTGAGTGTTACTTCCTTTACGTAGCATCGGACACTAGAAAGGCAAAGTAAGGCCGCCGATGTGGAGCTCAGGCCCGACGGCTTAGCTTAGTTTTGCGGAAACTACCACTCAATACTAACTTTCAATTTCTCTTTTACACTTGAAGTTCGAACCAACCTGGGTTTTTCGTCAAATAGAATTATGAGTTAATGAGAAAGGGTGGCAGGTGCCTCTGGATCAATCAGCCATGGTCACCTTAGCCAGGCTTCCCATTACGCTACCACGTAGTGAAAATGGCTCTCTTTTTTGATGACACTAATTTGACATATAAAATACATGGTGAATTAGTTATGTTAGTCAAAACGTACATCAAATATGTTATTCGGCTAACTTAAGATCGTATTTACTTCTTGAGAAACTAATATAAATTAGTTAGTTTTAGCAGAAATTTGAACGGCAATACGTATATAGCGAAGCAGTTGACAATAGCATTTCACTCCCCATTGCATCTGGCACTCACTTTCTTTAATATATTTTCAAGTGCTGTATGCAGGAAATTCGTGAAAGTGGTGCAACTGAATTTTTACGCTTATGAAGCCTAAAATTCTTTATACTTGAATCGCCTTTACAACAGATAAGCTTGGGATCAATTAAAGATCATTGCGATATATATTAGATGGCCGGAAAGGGTTTTAAACCAAAGAGGAGCAAACATTTTCTAGATTTTAAAACAATAGTACTAAAGTATAATATGCACCACTTGTACGGATGGCTTCTCGTCATTTTCTGGTAGCACTATAATCCTATCACGGTAGAACTTTTGTGGCTTCTGAGCGAAAATTGTAAAGGGTCGTAAACTAAATTAACACCATTAAAAAAGCTCCACAGAGCAAATGATTGTCTAATGATGCAAGATTCGGGCTACACAGCGGATTCCCCTCCATGAAAATTTTTGATCTTCTCATTTTTATCGGTAGTTAAAATGTATGCGATCCACTATTTTCTAGTTTCGGTCGATTTTTTTCAATCGCTTATTGCAATCTTGTTAGTTGCTTACAATAAAGGCCCATGTTAGTCGTTTTGCCAGGTGACAGCAGCTCATGATGCACAATTTCGGTTCAATTCCACCAAAAACACAATATCATTTTTTTAGCATTACTCTAGGCACTGCCACGGATTATTTTTTTCGCACTATGTTGCCTTATATAATTCAGTTTTTATAAATCGTGATCGTATAGAAATTGCTCTATTTCGTTGTGTTTTTGTAAAATCTCTCAAGTGGATATACTATCAAGCAAATTTTTTTGCATCAGTTCATATACCACCCAAACATCGTGCTTCCTTTTGTAGCTAGCTTTCTTCTAATAGTTTAGATCTGTGTGATGCTAGATGGATATGTCCTTTTGCGATATTTGCGATAATTTCATTAACTTTCTTCGTAACTGATCAGCTATTACAAGCAGAATCTTTCATATTTCCTGAACGAAAACAACAGAAATGCCTTTAAGCCGTTTTTTCATTAATGCATATTGGCCACAAACAGCACAATTTTTATATGTATATATATAATAGAGAAGACACGGATAAAAAAATCATTTTTGCTGAAAAAATTAAATACTGCTTCGTAAACTCTTACTTAGTTAGTGAAAGGTTACTTAGTTGAATAGCTTAAGTATTGAGACTTTGCCGCATCAATAAGTCGTTTAGTTTTCTGGGTTTTACATAGTCAGTGTAATTAGATTTCCTGATAAACCTATAACCTTAAATTTTTGCCGTGGAATCAAATATGATGTTCTGTGCGGTTAGATCCTGATAAAGATTAATTATTTCTAAAAACTGAGTGTATTAGCATTATTTTCTTGACTTGCTTCTCAAGTGATAATTCTAGTTCTCAATACAAAGTGGAATCTCTATAATGTGTCACTTTGAGATGGCAGAATTACAGTAAGAAAAAGTAAATCCGGTAGCACAAAGCTTAATTTACTAGCCAATTGGAGCAAAGGATTGTAATTGTGTCCAAGGAATAAAATATTCCTTTTAAATCGAAACGACAATTAAAATACAATAATGATTTTTTTTTCACAAGAAGAAGGCCCAACGCAGTATGCAGACTAGACTGTTAAGCAATTCGTCTAAGTCTGATTGTGAAATATGTAAGTCACGGTAACTGAGCAATCAAAGCAAGCTAATGGAACCACTGAGGCAATTTAATTAACTTTATAAAACAAGATAGTAGAATGATGTAGCAAAGCAACGGAGTAACCCAACCCGCCTATTTCGCTGATTGAAGTAGTAATCATGGAAAAAAGCCACAAGAAAATTGCAGTAAATAGCAACAACAGGAATAAATGTCGCATTGCACTTGCCAACAGCAAAGGCGAAGTGCTGCAGCAAAATTAGCAAGAGCCGCTTGGACTCGACACTTAATAAGATTAATAATTACTATATATATATATATTTTTTTTTTTTTTTTTTTATTTGTACAAGATTTGTGCAAGAAAAATCTAGTATCTCTGCCTGTCATACCGAGTTTAGCACAGGCATGTGCTATATCGAATAGCGCTTTTCACGTTTGTAACCAACGGGTAGAAAATAAGCTTAGCACAAGAAAAAGGCAACAAATATAAAAATTCTAGATTGAACACAGAATCTACATTAAGAAAAGAAAAAAGAGAGAGGTAGTTCGATTTACTGTGATATCTCATTGTGGCCTAATATAACCTCTGTTACAAAAACCAGGATGAACTCCGTACCGCCTGAAAGATTGATTTATTCTAATAATCCATATCAGATTCCATTCCTGCGCGCAGCATGACTCACCGCCATTCGAGTTGACCTGCCATATCAAAACAGGAGCTTGAGCGTCACAATAGGTAGCGGCTATTAAATGAAGGTTGTTGACAAAATGGACACAGATACTTACATTTGCAAAATATTCGAGTTCCCTTTACTGAAACTATTATTGTACAGATACGACGGGTCGCGCAACAAATGCACTCTGCAGCTAGTTTTATTGACAAAATATCACAAAGCGAAGACGTGGCAGAATTTCGAAAAGATTCTTCAAATCGCGAAATTACTATAGACTTTTGAATAGCTCCACGAATTCTATATTTTTCAATAAATAGAATAGTAACTTTTAAACAAAAAGTTGTGAATTTTGTCATTCATTTATTCAAATGAGATTTGAATGATATCATATTAATTGAGCTATTTTATTACAGGTTTTCCAAGTTTCGAATAAGCATATGTGTGTCTCTATGGGTGTGTAGCTGTGTTTGTGCGTATCTTGTGTCATATCCTTGCATTCATAGTTGACGTCACCCATCAGCTGCATTCTTATGCTCATGCCGAGTAGAATTTGATAAATCAAATATTTATTGTCCACTTTGCATCACTTCAACGAGTCAACAAGGTGGGTGAACTTGCGAGGAAACCCCGTAGCGATTCGAGCGATACCCCGTTCGGTTCGAACGTCCAGATGTGGCTAGCGTTATAGCGGTCTGCGCTTGCGCACTAGAGATCCCCTACTACCGCTCGAAACAAAACATCTGTTTGCTTATTATTAGCATTCTATCGTGAGATTTGCAACTATAACTTCACGTAAGCACATCCACTCGACACAAAACATTACGTGGTGAGCATGAGCAGCCTTACACTGATGCGAGTGACTAGATGCGTGATCTTTGTGCGTGTAGATCGGTTCAGTGAGCACTACTGATAGTCGCCGTTCGGTTAGGCTTAGGTATGGCTGTTGGAGTTAACGAAGAGCGCAGCGACAACGATAGCGGGGTGTCTATAGTGCTCGTTGGGACCGGACACGATACGACGCTCACGGTAAGTGACCTCGATGATAATGTGCAGAATGTGTATCCAACGTGTTTAAAATGCCTCGAGTTTTTTTATGTTTCCTTGTGATGCTGGTGCTGTAGGATCGAACTGTGTTTGTTTGGCACGACTGTCGTTTCTAACTGACAGTCCCTTTGCTGTCTCGATACGAGCTGCGCGTTTTGATTGTTGTCCTGTCCTATGGCCCCTTTTGGCGCATGCAGACCAGTCCCTGACGCGCAGCGCAATCGCAGAAGCTACCGGCGGCGCAGAGAGGACCAACGGGCCGAGGGTGATTGCTTGCTTACATCGCACAGGCGCGGCCAAACGCCCGTACTAGCCAATGAATACCGTGGCTCATGCTCGCCGCAATAGACGCGCGGCGACGGTTAAAACAGCGCACCGCGCCACTCTATGTGAGCTCCATGGGACCAGTCGTCAGCCATGCTTCTTTCTATTTCGGGCAAGCGCACAGTATTAGGGCTCCTTGCTGACACTGTTCTATACACAGTATAAATACTTCGTAACCCAGCAGCGTGACCCATATATATAAGTGACAATAACCTAACCAAATGGAGGAAGAAACGATTGTAGCCAATTGACTCCCTAAATCCAGCCTTTGCACATTATTTACCTAGAAAGGGGGACTATCTTGACTGTATTTTGTTGACTATTTCATGCACTTCGGAGACAAATCTCTACCCGTCCATTTTCAGTGAAGGTAGTTAGCTTCAAAAAATTTCGTACAACTTACACAATTAAAATGTACAGAACAAAAGGATGGGATGGGAAGTGAAGCGGACGCTAAGCAGGCACGCATAGCGGACGCGAATAAATGCTCAATTTAAATCAAAGTATGTTTATTTTTTATTCGTCTCCATATATTGATTTCCCCTTCAACGTCCCAATGGTCGTATTAATAATTTTTCTTTCAACAGTAGCGAATGCACGCATCTTTGGCCAATGTGGCTTTCGTGTTTTTATCAATTAAAGACTACTGTATCTTGTTATTTAAGTAGACCCCCGTAATAGCCCAGTGGTTAACATATTTGCCTGCGCATCTTAGAGACACGTTGTGGTCTAGGTTCGAACCCGGGCATAGGCAGACTTCGTTTCATGCTGGGAGCCACCCGTCCGATGGAGTGCCTAATGGCGATACTGGAAATAAAACGGCAAACATAGATATGAACTGCATAGCATAACAACTAATTAGTTTTCCTTGTATTCTCTTCATGTACATATATGCCAAATCTTTTGTAACGTACGGAAAGGCAGGATGCTGCTTAACAGCTGACCTCAGACATCTAACATAGACGCAAACGATTCTTGTTGAATTCACATGATTAGTTAACTCTGCGAGACAAACAAGTCAACAATGTTCCTAGCAACGATGTCCTTTCAGTCAGCAATTAAGATATACGCTTAATTGCAATGATCGAATATATCGTTAGTTACTTATTATTACTTGAGTTACCCAAAATGGGCGTATTTTCGTTAGCCTACTGACAATTAATCCAACGAAAACTCTCTAAAGATGAAAGCTTTGCATGATGAAAGACGCTACTATCAGGGGCTTTTATAGAAATATGCACATAGAAATAATGTTGCTAAAATAGAAGGCATTGGAAATGCTTGTAGTTCAACATATTTTTATTTTTCTCATCTAGGGAAATTGTTGCCATGTGAACCTCTTCATGCCTTTTGAGTCAACTAAAGTTCACGAATAATTTTTTTTTGTTTTGGTTAAGTTCATGCACAGTTGTTATGAAATAAGTATTTGGTGCGGTATACCTTTGCAGGGTCGCGTTTTATATCACAGCGGTTGTTTTTTTAGTGGAACGTAACAAATGAGCAAATTAAAGAGTGCCATTTCCATGCAAAACGTGTATCTAATAGCGTTTTTCATCGACTTATTTACTATTGAATTTATTGAAGCTACCTATTGTTTCCAGGTAGGCTGGGTGTGTTAACGTTGAAGTTGGTGATGTGAACCCGCCAGTACTCTCTATATGAGGGACCACCTCAAGAACGACAGCAGGGGCGAGTTCGACGATTTCTCCAGAAAAGTGCAGAGGTTGTGCTGACTGACGGGTGACCAGGAGAGGCCACGGATAGCGGCCCGCCAACTCCACGGGAGTGGAAGGGGCCGTTTCCGTGGCTGTTCCACAAATACCAACGGGCTCTGGCAACAATGAATGCCGTTGTCTCGACTGCATCGTCGTCTACATCGCCCACGCAGGCTTTGCTTGCGTCCACCGTCGTAAACGCATCGTTAGTACCACAACAGCAGACACCCCAACAACATGTTGTCGTACCCACGGGCGTTCCAACAATCGTTCAGACTGTTGGCGGTAGCGGAACCCCAGTGGGAGCACCGGCTGGCGGGGGAGGCCTCGTTACCGGAGGACCAACCACGGTTATTACGACGACAAGTCTCGGATTGCATGATGATGTCATCCGCTCTCCACCGTCAACTCCAGAAAGTGAGCAGTTCGACGATTCCGATCTACTCACGAATGCTGCAGTGGCCAACGATGAAGTCACGCAAAGGCTCATGGCCGCCGGTACAGTCGGTCTTGCAGCAGCCGCCGCCATTGCAACAGGTATGTGGGATACAGACAATCGTTGTTTTTTCTGCGCTTTTCTTTGGTTTAGATGCTTTCTAAGGCGACTTCTTAGTCTTCGTAGCAACATTTAGTACAATATTTTAGCCCGAATATATTTAGCCTGCTCTAGCGCACTCTTTATCTGATTTGGGGAATTATATGAAGATTTAGAACTTATCCTAGCAAAGAAAATGAAAGCACAGCTAAACGAATGTAGGTACAACCATATTCAAGATGAAAAGCTCCAAACAATTAATTCAAAGGATAAGCATATTTAATTCATTAAGGCAAAAAACGTAAACGTCCCCATTCATTCGAAACGGATCCGTCTATCCGGCGAAGACAGCAGACGCGGCTATTACGAGAACTGAAAGCTACCATAGATGAATACACCACACGCATCGGCCAGCAAGCCGTGGTGATGATCGCTACGCCCGGTAAGCCGACTGATAATTTCAAGGTTTTTGGCGCTCAGCCCCTGGAAAATGTAATGCGCGATTTACTCAAGACAGCTGTCATCACAGAGCTTGAGAATGCACTAGCGGCTCATGCCCCACCCGTAACGGGCCTTAATGGGACACCAGGACAACTGGGCACCGGAACAGTTGCAGCCAACGGGAATACCGAAGGCTTGCACGACCTACCACCTCTCGTCATTGACGGTAACTTCTGTTTATTTTCTTATACTTCATCTCGTCTAAATAATTACACAATGAACACGTCTTTTTTACAATAGGCATTATGAGCCGTTTGTCCAATACCTAATTTACGGTGGGTGACTTAAGTACTAGCTGAATCTTTTAATCTACCATATAGGCCTACTCTCATATTTTAGAGTGAGTATTATTAAAAAGGTTATTAATTACGTTAATACAAGATTCTATTGATTTGGTACAGATAACTAAAACTAACAAGTTGGAAGCGTGTCTTTGGCCAAGTTATTCTAATTAGCATTTTTCCCATGCTTATGTCACGATGAAGAGGTGTTAATTATGGGCACGACTTGTGCTTACTTCCGTGAGTAGCTACCTATTAGAGATAATAGATAGAGACAGACAGAGATTGTTTGGGGAGCATTCGCCCGCCAGTTCGAATTCGCACCAGGGCTATGACGTTCTAAGCACAATTTCAGTAAGTTGTACAAATGGCGTGAAAACTGATATATTAATACAATGCTTTTGGAACATATAGAACGGCTCTACAGTTTGCGAGGACACGTTCCACAAGGGCCGATTTACGATGCTAAGAGCCAATTATTCCACACTACGAAAATTTATTGCAGAATTCTGTGGCAGAAAGAAATCCACAACGGATTTACCATCTATGTTGGATCTTGACCTTGGATATCAATTCCAATGTCAATGACTTGAACAGACACTTTGCAAGCTCCAACCCGACTACTGTTACTGTATTTGACATACATGCTGACGTTCGGGCAGAAATGACATAGATTCAGCAGACGAATGGAGCATCGTTTAGGCTAAATTATACCAGTGCGCTTGGGGTTCAGATGGCTCTAAAAAGTACGAAAGCTAGGTGGAAATGTAGAGCTGTTAGTGTCCTGAATGAGCTATTGATGAATGCGCGTTCTAGAAGGTATAGTGAACCATTTATTGGCGCAGGATGTTTTCCTACAAGAGTGAAGGCGCGAGAATTGTCCCTCTATTAAAATAAAGAAAAAGCCCGTACCCGGGCTGCTAACTTAGTATCCCTAAAGGACTACTTATCCAGGATTTTTGAAAAGCTAGTGGTTAATAGATTTGACAAACATGTTGAAAATGCTAGTTTTTCTCATCTTCTATTAATAGCTCAAAGATACATGTTCAAGCAACGGTGAAATGGCAGGCTTACATGATATATGAGGCATCTAAACACCGTGTTATTATTGGGCAGTAGAGACCTTTCTTTTCTTACTAATAGAAAGGCGTTGCTTCTGCCTAATGTTGTGATATGTTCTTTCCGTATAGGGAGGTAGCTTAAGGGTATTTCGCAAGCTCATATTTTTTTAGTAGTGATGCTCTGAGGGTAATGCCTGGTAGAATACACAGATTAGCTGAAGATCATCTCTTCATTTTGAACAGACTGCTTTCTATCGATAAAAATGTACAGCATGTATCGCGCCCTGTTTGCTTTTAATGTATCAGGAAATAGTCCGTCGGAGATGTCTCTCGTGCTTACCGCTGTCACCAGCCGCTCTGACAATCCGGCGACAGCATTCGAAATTCTCTTTGTTGCTAGTAAATTCGTCAGGAATTATACCGTCAGTCTAAGGTTCAGATCTGTATATATATATATATAGTTTAGTGTGCTCGCGATACGCGCAGATTTAAGGCCACTTATTCGACATATATATATATATATATATATATATATATATATATATATATATATATATATATATATATATATATATAAGAGACAGTAGGTGCCAAGCACATTTCCTTCCCCTACGACTTTTGGGGTGCCGACGCCTCACAATCGATGTCAATCGTCTTTTAAACATGCCTATTCCGTCAATTTAGACGCATCTTCCTCTTACTACAGCCCTGGATAAAGCTTTCAGATCAGCTTGTATTAGTGCCAACTTGGAATGGCTTTCAAAACACGCCTCCGTCAGTCTTTTGGGCTAAGCTTAACATTAGCAATTTTGTCTTCACTCGGATCCAGGAGGTGAATACAATTTAGAACTGCGCACATTTAACAGACTTTAATAATAATAATAATAATAATATTATTATTATTATTATATTATGTATACATTCTACACACTCTTGGTTTTCTATGTTTCATGCTGCTGATAGGCATTCCGACACCGGTCGAAAAGATGACGCAGGCCCAGCTTCGATGTTTTATTCCCTTGATGCTAAAATATTCAACGGGGCGTGGCAAACCGGGTTGGGGTCGCGAAAGTACCCGGCCGCCCTGGTGGCCCCAAGACTTGCCTTGGGCAAATGTCCGCAGTGATGTACGATCTGACGAAGACAAACAACGCGTTTCTTGGACGCACGCTCTTAGACAAATTGTCATTAATTGCTATCGGTAGGTGGGACTACTTGATTATATTTTATATCTATATAAATGAGTCGTTCTGATCAGTTTGCCCATTCATTGTGTTTGTTTTTTTACCAATAATATGCTCAGTTAAAATTTTTCGTCTAGAATGCATTGCAGAACATACTGAAACTTCTAATGAACTATAACTTTAACCAAATGATTTTTAATCGGTTTCGTTTTTGCCTTCAGATACCATGGGCGCGAAGATCTCTTGCCAGCTTTTGGCGAAGCAACACCCACGCAGCAGCCTACGGTGGTCCACTCGGCGGCCGAAGTCGACGATGACAATAAGGAAACTGTTATTCGAGCAATTCAGACGGCCGCTGGCGCGACGGCAGCAGTTAACAGGACCGGATGTGTGGTTGCGCAGGCAAATCAGACAAGTGCTCCCCCACCTGGAGCGGCAACAGCTCAGATTGTAGCTACCCAAGGTGGACAAACCCTCATACAGTTAAGCGCAGAATCACTAGCGAATGCGGCGCAGACGATCTATTCGAGTAACGGCAGCATCTATGGCACAACAATGGTGCAAGCAATCAACAATCCTGACGGCAGTGTATCCATAATTCAGGTGGATCCTGCAACAACAGTGGTCACTTTGGCAGATGGAACACAGGCACAACTGAGGACGATGTCAGCATTGCCGCAGACTGCGGCAGGTGTGAGTGCGGTCGCGGTCGAGGGTGGTCAAGTTCTCCAAGTTGAGGAGGCTGGTACTGTAGGCACAGTGGTAGGCGGTGCTACCGTTGAAGCGGTAGGCGGAACTACCACAACGGTTGAGATGGCCGGCTCGGACGCTGTGGCCACCCTGGAAAACGCGCTTAGCCAGGGCGGTCAGATCATTCTGACGGGCGAGGACGGGTCAGCTTCGTTCCCGGTCGGCAGTATGGTGGCCATACCGGTGTCAATGTACCATCATAGTGGTATGCAGGTCATGCAAGCCACAGGTGGCGCTACGACTGATGATAATTCTCCTCCGACCGGTCACGAGCCTGGCGGTGAAGAGGTCGAGCTTGTAACTGGGCCCGATTGAGCTAACCGATCGATAAATTCGCAGGTTCGATAGAAAATTGGGCACTCAGGATCTATGCTCAGGGTCTCAATGGTACATGTGATCGGATCGCGGCTAATGACATCAAAATCTGATGGAGTCTAGCTTCATAACGAGAACTCTGGTATCGTAATTTAGTTTTTATTTTTTTATTTTTTTAATAATTAGTAACAAGGCACCAAGCAGTAGATTCCAAAACGATCTCCTTTTACACTTAGCTCAGTGATGAATCAGTCGTAAATCCATTAGACAATTCAAATTCCCTCTAAATCGTTCCCTTATGAAATATACATTTCTTCTTACTACTCATTTAAAAATGATGAGAGATCCACCCCTAATCTCTTAAAATAACGTTTTTTTATATTCTCATGCCAAGAGCACCACATAACAGCGAGAGAAGTATTGCTATTGAAGGCCCTATGCAGAAGACTTGATAGTTGATACTTGAGCATTTCCTTTAGTTACTGAAGCAACCAAGCAGAGGAATCGTGGTACTAATGAAGCAGGTACAAACGCTATGAAACCCAATCGCCAAACTTAGATTTTAAAAAATGAGCCTGAAACCAAGGAATCAGGTGCTGAGGAAAATGCCATAATGCCCAAGATGCTACGCTACCAGGATAGTCGTCTTATATGCATGAATTCTAAGTACCTCACAGTTAAGCCCCTACGAGTAATTCAACGTCGCCTTCCTTATAGCGTTAAATGTAGTTTCTCGTAGAAGGGCTATGCACATTCATTGTAGTCGTTCGATGAGGGTTCGAGTAAGCGATGGCTAAAAATTGTTGGCTATCGATTGACCAATGCTGTATTAGCAACATGTGATGGATATAGAAGCGTACGTGGATGGAGTAGTAAGATGGCCTGGTGACTATACCTCTGACTTGTCTGCTGCCGTGAGCTCGTGGCATTGTCTACCGTCAAACTGACCTCAAATTCACGAGCTGCAAAATTCAACAAATCAGCGTGTACCAGCAATGGAGCGGTGTAAATAAAGCTGCTCAATTAAACAATCAATCATCCACGGGTTCGTGGCTAAAATAATCCTATAGTTCAATAAACAATATCACACGTAAAATAAGGCGTCATAAAAGGTAAAAAGCAAAACACAGAAATGCTGGAGACGAGTATGTTGTCGCGTTTCATATGTCGAGTTGAATTCATTGTGTTAATAACTATGCGGCCGACTAATCCATAGGAACAAGAATATTTGTCGAAAGTATGCCTTTCATTGACATTGACCATGGCAAGTGACGATACCGGTAACTTATCTAGTGGATATATATATATATATATATATTCTGTATACAATTCAAAACAAAAGACGAGGCGAGCACTGAGATATGTTTATAGGTAAAAGGAACAAATTTATTGACGAGAATAGGAAAGAGAATCTAGTCTAAAAGCCGCGGATGTGTGTGGCTGAATGTGTTGTAAAAGAGTGTAACCGTCATAATGGTATCACAACTGTAATTATATTATTACAATGAAATTAAATTATATTTACAATTTGACAGTGCGACAATGCGAAGAATGAACGAAGTGATGGCGATGCTGTTGCTTGTATAATAGAATGTGTATTTTGCCATAGTAGTCGACTGATGGTTGACCTGTACGTGCGGGTGTTCACGTGATGATATGAGTGGAAGGGAAAAAATCGGTATGATGAGGCATTCTCTAAAGACAAATAGAGGTGCGTGAGGTAGGATGATAACAGAGAGAAAAACAAAGAAAATAGAAAAGCAGAAAAGGATAATAAATTGGGGATGGGAGACGAAACGAGTGGATCGTGGATCTATTTATAGAAAAGCTAAAACGTAAGTTGTAAGTGATGACCTTTACGATCCTTAACAGGTGCTGAAAGCCATACTTTATAATGCGATACATCTTAATAGAAGTTTACGCTGTGTTAAAGAAGCATCAGTATGGCAAATACAGGGAGATACAAAAAATCAAGAACACATTGTGACGTATTGCTTGGTCTCACTTTTGTTGTTAGCAGCCTCAAACACCTCATTACAAAGTAATCTTTATTTTCATGTATATAGCTTGCTATAGCATACATATGTTAGATTTGTGTAGTATTTCGTTATGTTTGAACATTCGCATTCGTGTAGCTAATATACTAATCTGGCTAAATCGCACACTTTCCTGGAAAACTCTTACTTTTTCTATAGTGGTTCTCTACTGTTTGTATTGTTATTCTGCTGCTCTCTCTTGTGGACAACAGAATTACTGTCTTTTATTTAAACTTAACAAACAGAACAAACCGGTCCTTAACTTGCAATCTTTATTAAGTTTGCTTGTATATATGGATGCTAGATGAAAAAAAAAATGCTGTCACTCATTTGGGGATTGTATGAAGAAGTTGGTGTGAATTAGCATATTACGCATGTATTGTTGCAATCGAGTGAATCAGGTATAATTTAACGTAATAATAAATGGAGTCAACAAAAAACAAACAGTAGTTGGTGTCGAGGCGTCTGAGGGACAATTAGAATAGCTCAGCCGACGGGAATTGCACCCAGATAACCGGGATAGCACGAATTTAAGCGTTGTTCGACGAAACAATTCTATGAAGTTGAGGTGCGTTGGTTGTGTGCATTGTATTTGTGTGTATCTCTATAGTGTGGGGTGTGTCAGTTAAAGAAATGTTATGCTGCACGAATCAATAGCTGTGCAATCTATCGATTTTATTGTACACTAGCTTTTCTGGTCGGAACCTATTTCTTTCTTCAATCTATTTCCATCCCGAAGTGTTTGAAATCGTAAACGGAATGAAATAAACAATGCAACTGCAGAACGTAAAAGTCCGTAGCGATGTTGAAACGCTATCAGATCTTCCTCCTTTCGAGTCTCCCAAAAGACGTCGAAGAGTGAAAATACGATGAGAATAGCAATACACGTTAATCTCACCCCCACGTTATTTAAGTATACATATAGCTCAAAATATAGGTTGAATAGAGAAATGATACAGACAAAGTTATATCCAATTAATATTTTTTTATATAGCAACAACATGACAGTTAATAGAAAAAGAGCTATCAAACAAATAAAGAAATCATATGTAATTTCCTGACGTGCGCTGACTAAACTGTTTTATTGTTTCTTCAATACATATAAGAGTCGAACAAGAGTAGATTTTTGCTCAAAAAAGTTTTTTGAAATGTTTCATTTAAAAAAAATGTAGGAAACGTTACACACCGGAACTCCCGTGAAAATACCATTACTCTTTTTCCCACCGTTTGGAGTCAGATCACAGTCGATCGCTAAAATCTTCAAAAGAGATCCATTTTTTAATAATTCACATATGAACATTGCTTTTTCACCGATCGTAACGGTTACCAACCTAGTACTCTAGGTAACTCTAGTCAATCAGTTTCCTTGAATTTTTCTTGACTCTGTATTGTTCATTTTGAGGATAAGCTTGTTTTACCACCGTTCAACTTCCCCACTTCTGGTCTCCAGACCTTCCAACTTTCATTTCATTTTTCAGGTTTTTCATAACTCGAAACTAGTTAACTCAAAAATCAAAACTCAAAATTAGTATAAAAATCAAATCAAATCAAATACAGTTTTTTTTTTGTTGTAGGTCCATTCGTTATTATCATTTCAATTGTTGTTTAGATTTAACCATATCCTTAATAGTTAATTTATTTAAAAAACCGAGTAATCGTAAAGGGCTTATAAACTAGAGAGTGCAACATACGAACTAATAACCTATCAACGCTGCAACATGAGCTGTGTATGTCTAATATAAAGTTAGAAAAGATAAATCATTTGATGATAAGTACTCTACCGACGTTTAGTTCTGGCTCTGGGAACTTTACTGCAATTACTGCTATAATGCTGGGCATGCGCGTCAAGAACTATTTATAGCAGCACTCCTGAATTTTAGTCATCGTCAAAACTTTCGAACACAAAAAGTGTTCGGTTCAATGCCACGAACCTTTTTAACCAACATTAACAGGATAAGGTAATGTACCACAGAACTTTTTTAAAAGAACTTCCACAATGCTCTGTTTTTTCTTTCGCTTTTTATATTTTATGCAAATACCTGAAGTTAGTAACGCATAGAGTGGTCAAAATATCATAATATCTTTCACCAAAAAAGCAAAATGGGTAAAAGCCTTAGTACGGTTTATAAGAATAATGCTGTAAATAAAAATTAGTTTTGTAATAAAATACAAATGTTTTCGCAGCGCCAAGGTCTGCTCCACTCTGAATTTTATTGAAATGCGAAAGTTCTTACGTGTTTCGGTATACTCTTCAAGTTTGTCTAGATTTGGTTGTTGCCAACAATAAGTATACGTCTTTAAGTAAAGTAGCTCGATTTGGTAAAATGTGTTCTCTTTACTAATAAATTTATTATCTTCTCTCCTAATAAATATAGTAATAGCAAGGGTTGTAGAGATTATCATATTATTATAACGTGACCGGGTAGGTAAGAGCCATGTATACATAATCTGTCAAAAAAAAGCTTAGTTTTGGCGCTTATGACGACCAACAGTTACACGTGTATGTGTGCGTGTAAGCAGTGGGAGCACAGATAAATCCAAAAACAGCATATTGTTTTTTCAGGCAGTGCTATTACAGCGCTTATAAGATTAAATGATCTCTAAAAGGAGTACGATTGGCCCCAACATTCCAGTTCAAATTCAAAGTTTGCAGTTTTCAAAGTGGAAAATTCAAAGTCCGTAAGCATAAATATACTCATAGAAGTATAAATATTTACATTCCGTATCACACCACCCATGTAATTCTGCCGAAACGCGAGAAGAGATTTACGATTCGCGAGAAAAAGGAGCAACGTGTTCAACACTCCTGTGTGACTGGCAAATTTAGTACAACCAGATGTTAAGAGATTTTATGTGTGTACCCTGAAATAATATAGCTGAATAGGCTTATTATTATTATGTACAAGTATTTCATTCGAAAGGATCCCTCTGTTGAAATATATTAGTTAATTTGCTCACAACGAGCCCCGTATTGGTAAGCTACCCCTATGAAGTTGATGAGTTGGGAAACAGGTCTCTACAGCCATTATGCTTTTAATATTTGTGAATTTACGTATACACATCCCATCACCTGATTTTATATTAAAGTAATTTAGTCACCGGGTTTGTAAGCACCCACTGTCCATAATATTCACCAGCTAATACCTAAATTCGCCGTATGCGATGGGCTAAATTTAAAAATATATCATGCGGACAGCTTGATAAGTTCAAGCTTGAATCTGGACGATGTAGTGTGGATGCATTAGTTGCTCTAAAGCCGCCTGATAGATCAATTTCTTTGGACGATCGAAATCTATTTGGGCATTTAAAGACGCATACAGCGATGTGGGTAAATTAAGCGATTACGCGTTTTTGTCAGATTACGGATTTAATGATCACTGCACAGGCGGTCGGAGATTGCTGTTATACATAAATAAGAGATGTAATCAGAGAAACCAAAACGTTTGTTATGACCAAGTTGAGAAGCATCTCACTCGTACCGCACTCAAACTACCAAATCATTTGAATCTAGAATTTAAAACTAGATAAAACTATCATTTTATATTGAGCGGATCTTTGTTATTTTGTAATAATTCACTTGCTGTGTTCACAGTACGCAGAACTCACTAAAATTTAACAGGCTGCTCTTGTTCCTCTGAAAATTTCCTTCAAAATGGCCCTGTATTGCTTCAAGACTTGGCAGAAGCAATCGGCTATATTCAATTTGAACTGACCTCCTTTTCCAGTGAATGAGCTCCGTGTAAAGCGCCTCCGCTTCAGCGAGATCTGTTCGTTGGAACTGTTATCTATACTAATCTTGCGTATTTACGACAGATATATATTTGTATATATCTGTAAGCGTGTATCATGGTTTTGTTGTTATCTGCTCGCTAAGCTTGTTGTCGTACCTTGAATGTTGAAAATGTTGCTAGTTTTATTAGAAGAGGGTGACTTCTTTGGTTCAAACCTTCGAGCCATCTGACTAACATTCATGCAACTAACATTGTGCGACAACCTGGCTAGTACGTTTGAGGCAAGCTACTTTCTGGTGCTACATAATACGAACTGAATTAATTCAATGTTAAGAAACCCACGACGTATTGCCTTAAATTAATTTTTATGCACGAAAAATATTTGCCTGTTCAATCGCGAACTATTTTAACTTTCAGCATTTGCTACTAGTTTTTTTTTTTTTGATTGGCCTCGTAAGCCTCTAAATTGACTTGGTTTCGTATTAGGTACATTGGGTCCGACGAAAGCTAGGATCTGTTGTTGCAATGGCTCAGTGCGCAGGTTAACGCATTTATATTTCTCGCAAATAAATTGTAGGCATTGCATTTTTTGACGGCAGCCGCCAGACGACGGAACGACGCACTTAGAAGCACTCCTAAAATACTCAAGACGCAGGCTTTAATTCGCTGCAAAAAGGTGGAAATGATGATAAGCTTGTAGTAGACTCTTCCCATTCCCCGTCTAAGACACACGATAGAAAAATGAAATACGTTTTGTGCCATTCTGCTCACATTCAAGTTAATTACACGCTTCTTTCGGTGTAGACGAAAGCGTAACCTAAATCAAAATAAGGCAGGCAACCCCCAGTTCTCAGCAATTTCTAGTTTAGTCAGAAGTTATCGGTGTATTCTGCGAGACACGTTACTGCTCAAGCTTATTTTATTTTACTTACTTTTTAACTGCTCACAATCAGAACGCTTCTAAAAAGCTCCCTGAGAATGTGCCAATACAGTAAAATGCAATTTATGCATTCACAGGCAAATCCGTCTGCATTTCATTCAATCCTAGTGCTAACGTTTCTGCTAGACCGATATAGGTTATATAAAACGGGATTTGCATTCCTTGTTGCATCCTGTACATGAAGCCATCTCAAATGGTGCCACTTCAGGGCATCCACAATGACTGATACGCTAATGTTCCACAAGCTCAACTTGAGGAGCAGCTAATATCTGTTTGCCTTAGCAACGGATATCTGGTAATTCATAAAAAAAATTGACTACTGCAATATATTCGAACTCAATTAATAACATAATTCTGGGCTTTATCATTCAAAGAAACTGCAAGGGATTTGAACCGGGGCATAAGAAGAGCTCAGTATACAAGTATCATACCGACTAGAAAGATACAGCCCATTTTTTCGTTGATCAGGTAAGCTCGCAGGTGTTTTAAATAGTGGGAGTTCCCTTTTATAATAGATCTTGCCACCTTAATGTTAATTAATTCTATAACCATAAATTCTAACCAGTGATTTCAACTGATCATTGATTTTTCGAAAAAAAAAAGCTGATGCCCACATCAAGTTTTCAAAGTTCTCTTGTGGACAGTGGACTTGTTTCCCGATATTACTGTATTACGCGACCGCTCCCGAAAACTCGCCGGAGTTAATACTTACGCAAACGAGCTGCGATGGAATGATCCAAAGTCTGGTTGACGAATTTATCTGGTGGCTCAATGGGAAAACACTTTCAATCAATGATGCAGCGCCTTCGGAAAAAGAAGGTAAAAAGCTACAAAATAGAGTCAGAAACAATTTATTTCTTACCGTTTCATTTTAGGTCGATGTTGACAAACAAAGCGAGCGCGCTCTATCTGCACTGTTAGCTGCTGGCAGACCACATCATCGGTGTTTTATTCCGAATTGCGTGACTAACTCATTCGTTTATGTGTTTTTCTTGACATTTAATACATTGCAAAAACGAGTAACTCATCATCATACAAACTGCACTTTGATCTCGAACTTAAAAAGCTCAGCGGTAATTATTTCGTGACGAAGTTCATCAGCTGCGTTTGCCTGTGGCTCACGAGGCTCACAGGAATCGATGTTATCTTTTACGACATCCTTATGTTAAAGTGAGACGCGAGAGAAAAGTACAGCATACATTCTAAACACTAAAAACATGCAGTCTTTAGATAACCTCGTCTGCAAATATTTTGCAGCGTAGATTATGACTCTCGATGGCTCACAAGAGTTTATCATAACCACTGAAAATCACAAGTATATGTTGTTTTGCGATGCGGCCGTTTACCCGAAGAACCGGAATTTTCGGGGGCATATGAAGCAAAAATTTCCTTCTGTCTGTTGCCGAGATAGGCTGATACGTTGATTTGCGCAAGCTGACTACTGACAAAGAAATTGTTAATTGACGATTGGTTTGCGTAAGAGTATGCAACTGCTTCCCACTGACCCTATAGACTCTTCTACCAATAGTGCGATCGCCTTTAATGAGAGCAGGTCATAAAAGTATGATAACATAGATGATGTTTTCAGTCAATAAATAAGTTCTATCACTATCGAGTCAAGTAGCACACAAAAATAGACGAAAATTACGTTTCATGGTTCCGCCGCGACAATTAGACAGGTTCATACCTGAAGTGGTGAATGGTTTTGGCGGTCGAATGGTTTCACAATAATCATAAATTTCTGTATGCCTTAATAGGCTACAACTTCTGCAAAAATTGATATCGAAATTATCCACTAATAATGTACACCTTTTCATTGACCTTAGAGTTCCAGACTATGCATAGGCGTATTACGATTTTCAAGACTGTAAACGTTATATGTCCAATTTTGAAAAGATACCAACGAGCATAGTTGAGGTCCTTTTACAGATGCTTTGAAATATTTAGCACAAAAGAAAACGTCATGGCGAATCAGGGACGGTAGATCCAATGAAGTAATGTTACTCTCTTCGTTTCGTAGGCACTACTAGTCACAGAGCTATCGATCACAGATGGCGAACAAAACCCACTAAAGAATATTTCTAGTATTCTACTGTACAAGCATGAGCCGCCATGCGGCATATGAATTAAATTGTTGTTTTGTTACGTTTTTACGTAAATATGAAGATGTTATCATAGAATAAAGTACAACGGTTTTGTTCATTCCTTCAAATAGATTCACAACTGTATTTAGCCGGCTCCGCCCCTAAATAGTAAGCTTTAGATGGCAAAATTACACACACCTAAAAGCTTTCCATTATCGTAGAGCGAGTAAGATTCCAAGCTATAATCATTCCAAAATTCGTTAAAATAAGAATGTGGAGTCACAACAAGGATTTAAGGCTTCATTATGATCTCACGGAAAGGACGACGCCGACGCGCATTGATGCCATAAATGAAAAACAGCGTGTGTGTCGAGCTTCACAAAGCAACTTCAGGCTGCAGCCTCGGATAACCTGTATCACTTGTTAGAACCGCGTAAATGGTGCTTGTCAATGGAACTACCCGTGTCAGCTTAAAAGGTCGAGAGCATTTTTAAGGTGTCAATTGACGCCGTCGAAACTTATTTACATACGGAAGTGTACGTCGAAATGTTTGCTGTTATGATGTCTAGAGAGCTTAATGATTGCCACATGAATTACCATGAATTGGCGTATAGTTAACTTATAAAAAAACAGATCGGCTTTTTTGTGTATGACCGTTTTCGAAAATGCACGAATAGATTTTTTAGAACAGCGTAAGCAAAGAACGCTCCCCAAGCAACTAGAACTAGTTGTTTTCATTCTAATAGTATATTGTACAGTATACAGTAGTATACTAGCATACAGTGGTGTAGCGCAGGGAAAAATCACTGAATTTTGACCAAAACGTTTTGTTTTACGCAAGGCACTGCCTTAGTTTTGGATTGCAAGAGTGTTATCTATTACACTCTATATGAAATTTATTTAATGAAAAAAACCTTCCAATATATCATATGAGTGAAGTTACAGATTTACTAGAGGTTAAGTAGAGGTGACCGAAAATAATTAACCAAACATCGGTCTATAAGAGCTCCTACGTTTCAAGTTATGGTTTGGTGATAAAACTAAATTGGTTTATATATATATATATATATATATATATATATATATATATATATATATATATATAAGAGCCGATTATTTAAATTTGGCGTCCTTTCTGCTGCTGTGTTGCGGTAGTTCTTCAACAATATTATTTTCAGTTGTGAAACCTATTTTCATGATGATGGCTTTCTAACTGAGCAAAATTGTCACATCGTAGTGACGAAAACCCGCGTATATTTCACTAAGGGGAAAGGTATTCCAAATGTATCTCTATTGGGCCCGGATTTTTAACTGAAGGAATCGTTCGACTATTTCTTATGCTGTTACCGCTGTGAATGCACAAATAGTCGATGGTGAACGGCATACATTATAACCCAGTTTTTATAGCTCAACTAAATGGTAGAAACCTCGAGGACATGTGATTCAAAACAACGGTTCTATTTGGCACGCATTACTTGCTATAATTTTGCGAGACATTCGCTATTGGTGTTCCTCCCGTTTGGGTGACCAGAAATGGCGGCCTAGATTGTGTAGTATAATGCATTTGGGCTTTTTTCTCTAAAGCTTTTTGAAGTCTAAACCTTCAAAGAAAAAGGCTAAACGCTGTATGAGTTCAATGCAGCCACAATTATACTAAATTTTAATCTACGTTGTCTTAGTTCACCCTATAGGAAAACAATAAACATTCATTCATTTAGTGAGCTGACTGATAATTTGTCTACAGGCCACAATAGATTCGCTGCTCAACAGCCCATGAGTAATATCTAACGAAGGAAAAATCATTATCATTTATTTTGGCGACGTAATACACGTAGTCTTTAGCGTGTATGGCCATGTGAGATCACTTAATTTTATCGTAGTTATGATAATTGAAGGGTGACAGCTCTGAAAAAATACCACAGAACCTCATGATTATCCCTCTCTAGAGCTTCAAACATTTGCAGGATAGATTCGTGTGCACTTTACTCAAACCTTTGGCCTCACATCTCTCCGACCGCGAGATTTCAATTTCGTTCACGATGTGCTGGCAAGCATCTAAATGAAGTTCAAGAGGTCTTAAACAAATAGAAGTTATAATCGGGTCAGCATATATAAAGGATCAGCAGTTATCCTGTTTGCTTTCTGTTCCCACTGTTGTATGCCGCTTGCTGACACAAGTATTAATCATGTTGTGCCTGACTGGCGGCTTAACGATAGGGGACACCCTTAAGCTGAGTCGATAAATATCGTACACGTTGGTAAAATGATGACTACATCATGTTGTGTACTCTTTAACGTTCCCGGTAACGAATACTGCTTTTTTTAGGTTTTACATAAGTGTCAGACAGCATTTTATGTTGACAGAGCTCAGCCGATATATATTATCCTTAAGCGATTGTATGCAAAAAGTAAGTTTGACATTAATAGCTATAGACCAGAGAAGATCGCGTGCATTTCCACTTTCGGTGATGAACGAAATGGTTTTGTTAAAAGCTAACAGTTTTAGTGCAATCAATGGGTATGACACAGGCTGGGTGATATAAACCAATCGAAAGTATTTGGTGGCTTCTTATCTACGGCTAATATTGAAATTATAAAACTTTCCAATTGATAATAAAACGGTCTGATGCGTAGCTATCTGGTCGAAAGTCAACTCAAGAAACGCCAAATTATCCCATCTATCAATAAAAGAAGGAAATTCACTTGACAGGGTCCAGATGTGATGTTTCTAGAAAATCTATTGCGCTCATAAACCAACTCCATGTCGTTAGAGTGTTGGTAAAGAATTCTCAACACGGTATTACAAACTCCGTGCAATTTGGCACCATTTACATCCTGTACTTGCAGTTGTTTCATGTATACCTACGGGCCGTTGAGTCGTACCTGAGAAAAGTGATTAAAACTATAGCGAATCAATCATAATCTTTAAGGCGGCCGAATGATCGTCGAGGCGTTTTTATGGGATTCGCACCTGCATACTAATGGCATTTGAAATGCACAATGAGGACCAGCGAATGTATCCCATATTGTTTTATAATTCTAAACGTCACTGGAACTATATGTGCATCGAACTGCAAGGACCGTTGACAAGATATTTGACGTGTACAACGGATTCAATAATCTATCATGAACGCAAATAGGTATACACTGAAACTATAGGTCAGGCCCAAGGTCAAATCAAATGTCGATCGATGCTTTGCATACGCAGAGATTTTAAGCTAAAATAACCACATATTTCTACGTAAAGGTGAAATTCACATTTATTCGTTTCCCGTACTTTACAATTGACCTCACACTTAGCATGTTTTTCTATATAGATTGTAGTTTTAGTACTTATGTATATATAGATATATACAATCTACTGTACAGTTTATAAAGGATTTTCATTGGCGCACTTTCTTTGCTACAAAATGGCTTGAAGCCTTTTCTCTATTTAGCATAAGTACGTAGTACAGATAAGTACTTGCGACGTAATAAATAATATTAGTAATAGTCATATATCATTCTAAACAGCAATACATATCTTTCGTATCGAATACACCTGCCCCAACTTTACAAACATATTGACTAGACATCGCGATTGCATCATATCTTCTTAACGCAGTACTATCAAGTAATTATTAGTTGCCTTTGGAAATTTGGATTCAAGTTTTGCCTACCATTTTTTTTTTTTTCGTTACAACCAAATATTTTTTTCGTTGTACAGCCTAACTAAACTTTTAGGCTAAGAAATCCAAGTTGTAGATTTTTTGGAAAAATTATCGCTGCAAGGTGACGCTATTCCGTTATCATGCCATGTTGGCGCTAGGAAACAGTCTTCTTTGATCCATAGCAATTCCTCGATCGATAGAACAGAATTTATTTTGCACAGTAATGTGCCTTGACGCAGGTAGGGGGTACGGGATTTGGTTTATTTCTTTACATTAGCCTGTGTTTTTTCGAAGGCTATATTTTGTGGCTTGCTGGGTCATTACAAGATTCAGAACAAGTGATTTATGCTAAGAATATTTTGTGAAATTATTATGAGTTTTGTTACCTGATATAGTCAAAAGCTGACCCGGAAATAAAAAAATCTGGTAAAATAATGTGGTAGGCAGAAATGCACCAACCTGGCTTGTATTTGGATTTCCCAACAATATTGAATCCATGTCAAAACGAGTTGGCATCGTCATTTCAAATATTTGGAGATTTAACAAAATTTATATTAAAAAATATTTGATAGCATACTAGTACAATACATATTTCCGACGGAGGATTCCACGTTATTAAGAATCCGGCTGTAAACGATAAATATCTTTCGTGGTGCACACAAGGTCCGTGAAGTATCGACGGAATCGATGTGCATAATCTCGTCCCAAAACCTTTGCAAGACACAAAGATTATCTAGATATCGACTACATGCAAAATCCATAAGAGAAGCTGTTATAAATACATCTGCATATTTGACAATAGTAATAGAAGGAATCTGTTAACAAAATACGTTTTAAGAAAATTCGTTAAATAACAAACATTTCAGCTTGAAAATTTCAGGGGTCAATTCTGACCAAAGCGTCATCACTCGTTCTGTCATGTTCTTTTTTAGCATCTCGCAGTGGAACGAAAAAATACACTTAAATAACGGCCAATTAAATAAGACTTTGACTACGCTTACTACCCGTACTTATAATCGGCCTAAGTACGCCCTAAGATTTATGAACTGAGTAGCCACTCACGATCGGACAGCGACCATCTCAGAAAACTACATTCCGGGCGAATAGATTACCAGCAGGAAAATCGGCACCATGCACACGCAAGTGCACAGTCCTGTCATTTGTTGTACGATGATAAATATTTGTTACTTTGCATCCGTTGAGTGTGCTCGACCTTTCGATGTTAGTAATTAGATTGCTCCGTTACATATATTAGAGCAAATGGTTCGATCAGCAAGCATGTTCCGATAAAGTTCAGCGTTAAAAAGTTATTTGCATTACCAAAATAGTTAGATTATAATTCGAGAGCGAACGCATAATCTTATTTGTTATATTTTATTACATGTAATTACACAATCAAGACAAGTAGGACATCACTAAAGAAATTTTAACCAGGGGCTTAATTTTAGGTCTAGTTCGAAAAGTCGAGTTCTGCCATAGAAGCAACTGCTAGAGACGGCTGTTCATATACGCTTAATTAGATCGCCAATAAACCCATTGTTGTATTACCTCTTTTATAGATGTATCGTAAACTTGCTTTGATTGCAGACAAACAGTTCCGTACAAAGCGAGAGCTTCGCACTAGGAAGGTACCCATTTTAGCTACAAATTAGCGCTAGTTACGAGGTATGTTCAAAACTCAAACGCAAAAATATTTTATTACAAAAAAATAACTTACTTGTCTTTTTGTAAACTTCCTGAGTCTGTTAACAATAGCAATATTTAGACATCATCATTATCCTCGGTAGCTGCAAGTAAATGGCATTCCATTGAATTGACTGCAACTCAATGCATTATATGCACCGTTTATCACGGTATCGGTATGGAAGCCATCTTTCAGAAGTTAGCAAATTATATGAGACAGAGTTCCACGCTGCCTCATGTAATTTGCTCTCTCCCCGCTGGCACCTCATATCGATTATTTAAGTGTAGTCAGAAGTACCGAGGCTATTGCTAGCCTCTGGTCACGTTGAACGTAACAATTCCAACCAATGAATCCTCATCATTATTTCCGTCCTCCCCGTTAACATTATCACCATCAACATCCGAAGCAGCAGTGGATGTGTGCATCCTGCTGTATCAATTAATGTAAAACTAACTTACACCGGCGCTCGCGGGCGCGTTCGTACATGCACATACACACACAACTTTCTGACCTAGTCGTAGTATTTTAGGCTTCGTTGGTAGCGTAGTTGTCTTTATAACTGATGATCATATATTGGGAGCGGGTGTGCTTCAGTATTATACACGAATTTCTTCGGCGAATATTTTTCCAAGTCTTCTATGGAGGCAAACATTAAATATAAATATTTTAATGTCTCTCCAAGGAAAAAAGACTCCATTTTGTCTCTTGGTCGAGTGTACATTTTATTCTGGACGTTACCGATCGATGTGTATCCTCCAGATGTAACCTGAAATGCAAATTTACAACGCGTGAGTAACGACGAAAGCAGTTCAATGCGATAGATATCGAGCTATTAGCTCCTCTTTACATTCATTAAGATCAATCAAGTTGTAAATCTTAATAATAACAATAATAATAAGCCAAGTTATAAGTCCTGGTTGGAAGCTGGAAACACGGCTTCTGAGACACATTCTATAAATAAAAAAAATTTCGCTCTAAAAATTATTATAACGTAAATAAACGAATTTCGACTTTGACTCGACGGACTGCGGTATGCCGATATATGAAAATGAACTAAAAATAATTATTTAGGCTTTCCAACCTTAGTGTAGTCGTCGAATGCCTTGAAAATGTCCCACGCCCAGCGTCGGTACGTTTCGTTCCGCGTAAAGTACCACATATACCATAAAGACTCCACAGTTTCCGGTCGAAGCAAGTTATGGGCATCGTTAGACTAAATGACATATGAACAACAGAATTATTTTTATTATTACTGTACAATAACGATTTTATTACCTTGTCAAGTAACTAATTATTCGAATTATATTTTTACTTACTCCTGAGATGGGCATTTTATTCCCTTGACGTCATCAAAAAATTTGGTTGCTCTTGAGGTTATGGAAAATGCACATATACAAATTTCAGCTGTTAATCATCTAGTTTGACCAATGAGTCCTACATGAATGCACCAGTCAGCCGCTGAGTAGTTGCAAGTACAGAAAGTTGTTTTCTGTCCTCTGTTCCATGGGGGTCTCTCTCTTTCGCTTACGGATAAAGGAAAAACAAGGGCTATAACGCTAAGCTAAGCCAAGTAGTAGGTGTCACCCACCTTAATTATAATATCATGATCTCCATTTTTAGCAAGATTAAAGTGCACGATTTCAGGGCTGAGACCGGTCGCTGTTGTTGTGTACATTTTCACGCACGTCTGCAAAAGATTCTCCGCTAATTCTAAGTGCCATTTAGGGAGTCCTCCCATGAAATGGCCCATAGCGAGAGTTCCTGGTAAATAACAAACCAGGTGATCCTGCAACAAGATCATGCAAAAACCATGTGACTCACATTGGTCACGATATGTTTCCGCGAAAAGTAAAATATAAATTGCATCGCGACGGTAAATTTATTTTCATTAACAATGTCTATATTCAAAATAAACTGTGGGCGAGCCAGAACAGATTGTGGAATATATTAGGCATACTGACCATTTTTGGAGAGAAGTTTTTGCCCTTAAGTTCTCCAATAAATAGAAGTTGGCTAGGGACACTTCGGCGAACTAAATGCTCTCGCACGCTCTCCATAGCTGCTAGATAATCATCACGTAGGAAGTCAATTTTCATTCCAGTCTGAATCCATTGCTTTAGAAGATATTCGTAGTAGGAGTCGGCACGAGCACCCAACGTAATCGTTTGGTCTGAGCCAAAGCGGCCTGTGTCTGTTGAGATGAACATAGGCACTAGATTGCGTGGCTTCGTAAGGCTATGAATGTGCTCGGAAACAAAGAATGCTTTTTGTTCATATTTCGGATCGTCTGGAATTATCAAAGATTTGTACATTATTAGAATTATAATTTTAGTAGAGTTTATTTCACATTGATTTGCAAAATGAAAAAAATGAAAATTCGTTGTTTTTCAATGCGCTAAAGTTATATTTCTTCTAGTTATTTCGCAGTGACGTAAGTTTCAGCCCTAGATAATAAAATTAAATGCATCGTTCGTTGAGCTTTATAAACCCATAAATGTAACTTTGTATTTCAGTTTTATAAGAGAAGTTCCTTTAAGCAGTCCGCGTCTTCTAGGGAATTGTATTTATTGACGTATTGCATACAAGCCAGTTTTAAATACATTTTTAAAAAAACTGGATTTTGCGCATTGATTTTAATACGAAAGTATGATTAACATTCATGGCATCTGCCTCCAAATTTCTTAACGCTTGCTCCATATGAACATCAAAAATAAGTCTGGGCTCGAAGAACCACTTGAGTCATGTTATATTCAATATAAAGGCGTACAGTTACACTATATAAAGAAAACGTGAACCTTCTCTGGCACGGGGAAGGCCTTAGCCGAAAAAGTTTAGTGAAAACTTCTCTCACCATGACGCAAATACACGCAGCATGACGGAAACTACTATAATCATAGTATCAGCCTTGAGATTAGTTTGTAGTCTCCCAAGCATCGAACCCCATGAGCCTTTATGGACAAAATAGGTTAATAATTCAAGCACTTGAAGCCCAATGCATAGCTTTGCCAAACATCCTAGTAATGACGCCTTCATTAAGCTTGCTTAGTAATATACTATTATCCAGCAGTGGAGCAAGTCCTGACCAAGATTTAAAATGGCGTTCCCATACAAAAAGAATGAATGTATTTTCTTTTTTAGTTTTTTTCTACGCGTTTTTTGAATCATATCTGCCAGAATTATAGACGATGATGTTTCTTCTATATCACAATCGAGAACTATCGTCTGACGAATGGTCAAAGTGTGATGCTATCAATAATTATCAACAACATGATTGTGAGAAAGTTTATACTTATTTTAGACGATCGGAATACTTGCCGAAGTCATTTCGCGGCAAAATTCTATTTAGGTCATCAGTGAAGTAAAAGCAAGTTTTTTAATTATTTGTTTCGCCCATCTTAGTTAAGTTCTACGTAATGATCTACAGTAAATTTATCCAGATTTTGTTGAAAATATAAATGTTGTATACATAAAGGGCTAAGAAACAAAGTCCATGCTCTATTTAATAAAAAAAAATTAAATATATAATAAGGTAACATAATATAACATTGACGAAGTAAAGCCTCTTTTATTGTGTATTTATATAATTATCTTGATAATTAACAGATCACTTCTCCTTAAAACTAAACCTAACAGTTTTTTTAGGATTTTTCATTTTGATGCCTACATTAAATTGACATATCAACGTAAAGGAGAAAAAAATGTGTAGGAAAAATGAAGTAGTTTATCATCAAGTAAAGCGGTTCGACTGACCAATGTAACGAGAAAGTGTACGGAACTCCAACTGCACACTAGACACTTCGGACACAGTAGAATCCTGCGCCCAGTTGGGACCGTGAGCCACGCCTGCACCGATGTTGACATCACTAAACGGAACTCGGGAGCGTGAGTTGAATGCTGGCAATAGACGATCTCCGATGTCCTTCTGTAAATAGACAAATATACACGACCCAAACATAAAGAGGTGCGATTGGATTTGAAGCATTGCAATATTTTGTCGTACACAATTCTATCATAATGAATTGCATCTATCTTTCAAATAAATCAAATCGCGTTAGGAGCAGTGTTCTGGTTCTTTTTCAATGCCAAAAAAGAAAGGTAATTGTTTTCACGGATGATGACATTGAAAAAAAAACGGTGGTGGGCTGCTCCTTTGGTTCAAGAATAATGCTCAATTTATTAATTTTCATATAGTTCAAATACCGTGCCTGTATTTATTGTTGGAAAAAGTGTGTAGGCTTAACCTTGACATCAGAACTTGAACAATCCAGATGCGATTTCCGACATTTGAAGTCAACACAAATGTTGAACTTGTCCACAGAAGAAATACATACTAAATTTGATACCACGACAGGTTCCACTGACTATTTTTCTTTAAGCTGTTTCTTGTCAGTCAATTGTGTTGCTTGCTGGGGTAAAATAACTTTTAATAAAAAGCAGTTACGAGACCCTAGTCAGGTAAATCCAGAGGTCCTGACTAAACGGCCATTGGCAATTTTGTCCAAGATATCACAAAGTCCTAATATGGCCGATGGTACGGTGCGTAGAGAAGCTACAAATGGTCCTTTCGGAGTAATAACACTCATACAGATTGTGTACTATGAGTTGTTAACGGGGCTTGAAGTAGTCGTAACAGACTTTGCCGTCCAAGTTACCGCGTACTATAATATTAGAAAACATGCTACGATCTATGCTACGATCCTTCGGCACAAGAATAGAGCTAGGTATTTCTCCAAGCGCCCTAAAAATGATCATACCTCTCTGACGATAGGCTATTATTATCAGCTGCCTCCCTTATTTTAACCTTGCATTCTATTTAAATTGAAATTTGCAACAGCAGGGAGAGATAACACGTTCTCAATCTCACTAGTTTGGCATTAAAACTACACACATTTTTTTTAACAAACATATAAAATGCTGGTTCTTCTAATCACTTTCTTCAATTACAGCTTTGCGCGGTTTAAGACGTCGTAACTAAATTATAAATTTAAGCTTACCGCTTTGTCAAGGAACAATTGATCTTTGGTTAAAGTATAGGTACCGAGAAGCCCGCCTAAAACTCGAATTGATGCCTCAAAGAAGTTGACGTCTTTATTCTTATTGAAATTCAGTTCATCTTTGATGAAGTTTCGGGCCTCCTGGAATTCATCCTGTAGTTCCATTATGTACAGCGTATCCAAAGCATCGATAATTGTTAAACCTAGTCCAAACCAGTCTTCGAAACGCTTCGAAATGGGTAATAGGTGATCGTGGCCCCACGCAAATCGTTTGTAGCCTCGCCACGCATGACGGCACGCTGCTCGAATCGCCTCCCTAAAATTATAAAATAGTATGTGATATTAAATCAGTATATAAAAGTAAAATACACTTAGAGCATATAGGTGCTTCTAGTAATAAATAGATTGTAAGACTAGTTAGAATATTTTTTAATGTTTCCGTTCCCTTCCACGTTTCCACTGTTTGTTTACTTTTATATCGTGATTTATAACACATGACAAACATTGATGTCATATTTTGGGGTCACGCTGTTCTATGACTACTTTTGTTGTGTTCAAGATACACTTGAACTCTTCAAAGTATGAGACCGACCACTTGAATATCATTACTAGGGCTTTTGGCAGGCAAGTTGTGTTGAGTCAAATGAAGTGAAAAAATTCGAGTGGTTTTCGGACATGAAATCTATCCACAATTATAGCGGTGGAGACAGCGCCCTGGATAAACTTTGCAGTAAAAATTCTACTACGAACACCACCATCTGTTGGCTCTGAAAATTTTGGGAAGGAAATTTTGGATCCGAAAAAGGGCCCTGGAAGAGAAAATCGGAAGCAGAGGTGTAAAGATGCTTGTACGTTATAGCTTATGCATACTTGCACTTATTTGTGATTGATGATGAGAAATATAGCCTCTATGATAATTGCAGGTAGCCACATCAGTGAATAGATAGAGTTCAATAGCCGGGATACCACTTTATATATATCCAGTTCTTTATAATATCTAGTTCTGAAAGCTATGGAATCTGTTTAGTGTTCTAGTACACGTATTTGTCATCTACTACAGTTTTATAAGCCTTGGTTCGTTGATTACATGTATTGTCAAGAATTAAAGGATTTCATGAAGAACTCCGCAACTAAGGTTAGTAAACAAGGGTAGAGCACTTCTAATATACAACAACCGTTAACCTACCGCCGCGAGGATCAAAGCAAATACAGGAGTTATAGTTGAAGATTCTCTATTATCCACAATACCCGTCAGACATTATCATTCTATTAGAAATTATTCTTTTTAATCGCCTTAATAGCGCGAAACTACTCAAACCGTAACAATGTCGAAACCGCCTTTCTGGATGTCGTAGGGTCTCGTATTTCAGACTTGTGCAACAGCCGAATAAATAAGTCACCATCCATATGGCAAAAGGTGGTAAAAAATAATGGTGCGCACTTCGATAAAAATGAAAAACTGAGCCTGTGAAAATAATCGAAAAGTTAGAGTCTATATGCTACGTTTCATATTGAACGACCTAATATATATACACCTCTATAGGCCTGTTGTAATTTTATTGTGCAGTAAATGGAATCGTGCACAAGCTAAAGAGCTCTAAGATATTTGTTTCCGGTGAAAAAATACATTTCCAACACCTATTCTATTTCGTTTTGTTCGAAGTCGAAATCCTATAGAAGCAGCAACGATTATTTGTACTGTATACGATTGCTTCAGAGAACTGCTCAAAAATAGTTCGTAAAATTCAATAATAGCGTTTTGAATTAGAGGTTGCTCCTCGCCCCAGTCGGCCTTTTCTGGGTCCACTGAGAACCGTCGGTAGGTACGTTTGAAGGTAAATAATTGACAAACAACTTGTAATTTGGGCAACAACATGAAGTCACATGGCCATAGAGAGATATCTTCAATCTATACGATTTATTTGAAAATTAGAATCTTAGGTGTCCCACGAACTGAGTAAGTAGCAAACAGTTATGGCCTTTCGACATCTCACCCGGATTTAGCCAATACGCAGCCACCATGACAAATTTCAACATAGAATTGTCACCGGTGACGTGAAGTTGTGTCTTCACGTCGATAAAAAGCAGAAAGAAGTCGATAGCTTCAAAAAACACACCAAAATTAATCTTATACATCAGGAAATCCTAAAGGAAAACAAGACGGTTGCATCCATTCAAGGAGGCTATCAAAACAACAAAGATCTTACTAACCAGGCAATGTCATCCCTCTGTGCTACAATATCGGGTCGCACTTGGCAGAGCCTAAGTAGGAGATGCTTTGGAGCCCACTATACTCTCCAAGCTGCACACCAACGGATTATCACATTTTTCAATCTTATTGCAAGTTAAATTAGCAATCGTTTTTTCGACACTAGACCTAAAAAATTCTAGCGAAATAAACAAGTAAATTGGTAGAAAGATGAAAGACGGTTACGGGCATTTACGATAAAAACATAATAAATTAATTAAAGAAAGAAAATAATTCGAGTAAAGCGCTCCGCCTTTTGTTAAGTGAAAAACGCCAACTATTTATAGTAAAATGGTAAACATACAGTAAATTATAGTAAATTAATTAATAAAAAAATTATAGTAAATAGTAAATATATAGTAAATTATTGTAATATATGTAAATAGTACATTGCTATTGACTGCACTCTTTTAAGTGAACGCCGTTCTCTGCTTGTTTAGTTTACAGCATATGAATGAAACAGATTGTCTGCCTCCATGTAGTGACTAATACTAGAGCGCATTTTACACAATCAGCCAAACCGTTTTTTAAATATTTATAAAATTAAATCTCCCCTTAAGAGCGTATGCGTATCACTGCTATGGATGGTCACTAGAACTTTCAATAACCTAAGATTCAGATTTATGTAATAATTGAATTGACAACAAATTATGACTTTCAGATTAGAATATAGTTTAAAAAACAAGCAACTAAATGAGTTATATAATCTAATTAGTTACCTTCTTTGCTTGACGCTGTCTGACTGGTCGGATATAATAGGTAAAGGTTGATGAGATTCTAAGTCGATGTTATTTGCTCGCATATCATCTAGTTGAGATGGCGGAACTGGCACGTACTTGCGGTCGGAGAAGGCGGGAGCTACTTCTGGTATAATTTGTAAAGACTCAGGTCTTACAATTTCTGTTGTTTTCCAAGTCAGGTTGTACAGCACTCCAAGGGCAAATACAACAACAATGGCAAGCAGTAAACGCTGCAGACGGGAAGTTCGCATCCATAACTTAAAGGGTAATCACAGAAAATGAATCACGTCAGAGCTAATAATATTAAAAAAATCGTTGCTGATTCTTTTATAAAAAAAAATACTTTTGCTTAAAAAAATATTCTTGAATAATTTAATAGAAATCTGACAGGCCAAGTTAACGGTAGTTGAACGTTAAAGAAATAATAGGTTGAATATTAGTAAAATGTGAGGCAACAAATAAGGTAAAGTACAAACGATAAATAAAATGCAGCTTGTTGTATTTTATCCTTCGATTTTTAAAGAAAAGATTGGTTTAATAGCAGCGATCTGGAAAATAAAACTGGCGAAGACCTCTAGAAACCATTTGCAGGCATCATTGAGATGCGCAGAAGACCCGTAAACACTTCGAGTTGGCGATGGAAGCGGGAGTTCACATCTGAGTGTGGTGCGTACCGCTTTACACAATCGAATCGCGCTTTCAATAGAGAGAAGAGCTCTTATTAAAAAAAAAAGAGTTGCTGGCACATAAACGGAGTTCGCAAACGCCCGCTTGCAGTTATGTAGCGTTACTGGTTAAAAGTGATTAGGAAATAAATGTCTATGGCGGTCCGCGAAGCTTGGTGCAGTTTGAACAGTGTTTGTTGCTAAATTAAGAAAATGATAATAGTCATAAATTAGTAGTAAACCATAAAATACGTGCTTTGCACGTTTAATCGAGTTTTGCAATTGTAGTAACAAAAATGATCGGGTTACATTGTTTAGCAACAACTCATCGAATTCGTTGAAGGTATTTTTTGTTCAAGAAGCCCTAACTTTACAAAACAAAGTGCGTACTCGTAGCGCCTTATGTAGGCTGCCAACAAGAGCTTAAAGTTTTATCCTATTTTTGTTGCTGTGGTTCCATAGTCAAACCGTTACGACAGTTAAATTGTAGACCGTTTTAATATTTGAGTCAGGCTTTTCTTCACTATATTTTGAAAATTAAAAAACTAAATTAGCTTAGGAGAGTTAATGACGTCTTTCGACCTCATTAATTGATGTCTATTCCTATTCCAAATACCCCAACGTTTCTCATATGTATCCGTAATAAGTATTAACAGGTATCAAAAATATCCCTCTATGGATACCAAATGGCACGAGCTCGTTGCATTAAGCTAAAAGTATAGGAAACATCTACTGCTACTATCATGCATAATACGAGGCCTAGCATGATTGATAGGGATGTGAATGTGACAAAACTGTGCATCGTGTATGACCAATAAGGTATTTTTTTTGCATTCCACTTAGGAAATTTTCTTATAACGATTATCGCTCAAGCCAGTTTAAAGTAGACGGTTTTTCGGTTTTAATTTATTACGACACACAATTTATCACAATTAACGACTAAAAAGGTTATCTCTTTTATGGGTCTTCTACCAAGAAACACTGAGCCAACCAGGCTTTAGACACAAACTGACAACACTGTACGGCGACGTCGTTAAGATCGCCCCCAAGGAAGAAATTTGATAATCAAAGCAATTGCTGTCATATTGTGCGTTATACAGTGACGATCACCAGAACGACGTATCATTATGAAAGTCAATGATGATACGTTTATCAACACTATGCCTACTTAATCGAAGCAACTAATTTGTCAATGGCGGGATATATACGTACATGCATCGCTTAAAGGTGCTGCAGAATAACAAAATAGATATACCGCTGTAACAAATAAGGTCTAGCAAAGTCCGAGTATCATCCTAACGTGTCTTTAGCTTATTTTTAAAGAGTTTTTTGTGTGATAAAGAAAAATGCACCGAACTCTTTACGAGTACCTTTTTGACTCAGGACACATGTCCATTGAGAACGTGCATCTATTAGGCCCGACGGCTAATTGAACGGGAGTGTTACGCCCTATCCGCTGACTATCTCAGCGCAATCATACAACACTAAAAACCTCAACGAATACCTAATTACTCAGCATTATTGCAGACCTCGATAACAAGCATATATAATGAAGAAGTGTTGCCAGGCGCGTGTGACGTTTAGCACGTCCCAAACATTCATCAGCCCATTCCGTTATTTTTACACATCGCCTATTGTGTGACTAAAGAGATGATATAATACTAATTATAATCGAACATCCAATTCATATATATATCAAGTTTTTAAATCCATTGTACTAGATTGCGGATACGGTGGTTTGAGCAGCTACTACTTCGACGACAGTGACCACGAATCGTTGCCTCAAGTCTCGTCGACGCCATAACTTCTACAGGATATATATATATATACCACCAGCTTCTGACAGTGGAAAATATATGCTAGGCTCTTACTGTGCGTTTATTTAAACAGAAAGAAGCTGTTTTATAGTCAGATAGGTGCAGCTTTACCGTCAGATAATTAGTGAGAAGGTTCCTTATTCAGTTAAAAGGTCACGTGCATTGTGCTACTCTCTTAAATTGTTCTTGTCCCCATTTGGATTGAAGAAGCCGACTACTTGATCAGCATGCAACTGAACGGTAGCTCTAACGGGACATAAAGTTTTGGATTATATCAAATAATGTGCTCGTGACAGCATTTTTTTGCGATAGAGTTTAACATGTGATATCTTGTTTGCATCAAAGTTTATCTCAAGCCTTTATATTCTTGAAGAGACAAACGAATAAGTTGAAGAAAATATAATTACATTCATACAGCCTGACTTCACTGGCGATATTTTCTAAACGATCAGGGTACGATACGTTTATTGTACTTACAGATGTCCTAGATGATCTGCTGTTAACTGCGGAGGTTAGATGAACGGCATATGGTAACGGCACATCACAACCAAGATAGATTTCAGGATGGAAGATCTATCTTAGTTCTTTATTGCTCCTATATTACTTATTACATGAAAGATTCAGTCCTCTAGGTAAGTACAATATCGTTATCGCTACTACAAGCAGAGCTACACTGCCTCCTAGATTTATTCAACAGAAAGGTTTATTTAGTGTAATCCAAAATTGCACTAAATAAACGCATTAAATTGGAATCGCTTTGAGCACAATCTTTAAAAGGATACACGTAGAAAGCTACTGGTATTAGCTAGTGCAGGCGGTCTGTGGAACCGTGCCAGTCCTACTTTTCCAACTTGTTATAATTTTCCTAGAAAGCAGATTCTGTCATTAACAAATTCATCACTCGATTGTTATCGATGTTGTCGTCGTGCTGATATTTTACTGCAACAGTACTTCACCACGACGGGCCTATTTTCTCTGCTCTCATTACATCGTGAGCCTAAATACTCAGCTTATATCCATTTACTTCTACAGGTAAGCAACGCTAAGCTATGTAACTATTGCATGCTAAGTATATACATTCAACTAGACAGACGCATTGATTAAACCGTTTCTTGTCGTAATTCCCACAGTCATTCCCATAGGTAATTGTGACGGCAACAACAACTGTCAATACACCTACCACATGATTAGTTAGTAACCCACAGTTTAAATTAGAGAAGAGAAGACGTTTCATTCCCAGCCCAACGGCAACCCAACGGTACAAAACTAATTTTATTTTAAGCACTAATTACAGCTCACTTTAAATAAGCTTCCACTGTTTAACAGCTCTAATTTTGTTTTGCAAAACTTCCTCGTATTTTCTAATAATTTGCGTATGCAATTGGACATCTACTTGCCGAGTCTCCCGGAGATCGATGGCTAAAAGGCAGTCCGATACTGATACCCTCTGTAATAACAAACCTATTACTCGTATAAAGGGTCTTCCGCATTTGATAATAAAACCATTGCGAAAAATAAAAACAGGTCTTTTTAAAAAGGCCTGTTTTTATTTATAGGAACCAATCTCAAATAGAGAATGCTGTAAGGCATCACAAAGTTCTATAAGAAAAACATGTCATATGAATTAGCTATGAAAATCTTTGGCCAGGTAAAATAAGAAAAAAGGGGTAAAACATGCCACTAAAGGCCAAGTGGCTCTAACTTCATAAGATCAAGGACACACTTAACTATGTATCTAATAAGAGGTAGGATATAACAGCCATTCGTTCTTGTCCACCAAGTTGCTAAAAAGTTTCTTTCTCTAGAGAATCATTAAAAATAAAATTAATTAAAGATAACAGTTATTTCGTTGGCTATTATAAAAACAATTCATTTTGATCACGATTGAGTCACGATTTTTCAAATCACAAATCACTGGGCACTGATTTGGTCAACCGTTTTACCCTATAAATTGGACCGAGCTGAAAAAGTATGGTATTCTTTAAGCGCCGCTTTTTAGCACTAACAACAGTAATCCTTGGATAGCTTTCTACTACAACTTTCAACATTATTCGTTCGTTATTCACCTTTGTAAGGGTCTTCCACGAAACTAATTTTAGGGTTCAAAAATTTTTTTCGAACCAACCGTTTCTATGGTGTAATAAAATCTTCAGCGAACATAGGGTTTATACTTCGACCCCCCCCCTCCCCCGTTATAGTTCTAAGTTATATTTGTAAACATCTCAAAGTTTCCGGTTTTCCAGGGCTCACTACAACCTGTCTGTTAAGAACTCGAGAGTCGATATCCGAGGGAACATGACTCGATTATCTTAAAGAATACAAATGCATATTGGATATAACAAGAAATGAGCCACGAAGGGTTAGGCCCTTATATAATAGCGTCGTGTTCAAACAGGATTCATGTTTGTTACGTTTCATACTCAACGATTTAGTGTATGGCAACATGAGTACAAAACGGTATTTCGCGATTTTTAATCTTAAATCTCGATATCATCAACATTTCAGATTAGTTTGCTCGAAGTAAATCAATCGGGTTGCAATCCCATACAGTTTATCGAAAGAAAAAAATATATCTTAAAGCAGTGCCAACAAAATTAGATGTTCATTATTATGGAGGCGCTTTTCGAATTCTTCAACTTCTGCACTTTCAACAGAAACTTATAGGGAACAAATCTGAATGAGTCCAGGCAATTTGTTGGATATTTTACGATTAGTCTTCCTGCGTAGTCACCCGACATTACGTTGTATCGGCGACCATATGCAAATATAACTTTAAACGTATAATGCGTACCTAGTATTTAAGTAAATTAAGTGTACCTTAGTTTTATTCATTTATCTGATTCGGAAGACCAAAACAACGTAAGACCGACATAGCGACTGAATACAAAAGTTATTTTTACCTTAACTAAAACTTCAACGGATATTTTGACCATTCCTACATATCTTGGGCACACATATGAGATGGCTTCTTCTATGAGAAACTTCTAGATGTCCGAACTAGCAAAGCTACTAACTACTAGATCCGGTATCACACAATTGTTAAAAATTGATAAATTTCACGCACGATTATTAAACTGTGGTTCTACTACAAAACTGCGTTGTTTTTGTCGACCCACTTAAGACCAGGCTAATTAATATACTAATAAGTCTCAATTTACTAGGCTTATTTTCATCATACTTTGTGGTCTCACTCTCGTGTGAAATCCATAATATCCAGTTCTAATGCAGTTTCATTAAACCATATTACAATTATTATATTTGGCTTTTGTGTCACGTATATTTACATTTATGTTTCAATAGAATGCTTTTTGGGGTCACTGTCCAGCGCTCGTTGCACGTAGGATTTTATCGAATACATCGTGTGTGCTAATGGTTCTGATCTCGCTAATGATGAGTAATATGCTTAATAGTAGAATACGTACTCTCCAGAGACTTCTACGGGGTTTATAATTAAAGCTGGAGGCATGCACTGTTGGTGGAGGACCCGGTTTGTATGGGATGTCAATGTATGTGGTCGTCGACATTGTCCAAATAAATTGCTACATCACACTTCCAAACAGGCACGCATTCGTACTTTTTAAAATGATGTTAAACAGATTCGCCTTGTCACAAAGAAGTGAAAAACCAAATATCTCCCCGCTGTCACAAACTAGGTGTTCGGTTTAGCGATCATAGGGTGCTCACCGCCGATTACACTGTAGCGCTCTGCAACTGCTGCTGCTGATAGATGAATTTCTCCTCTCTCAAGCGGGTCCAACTACGACCTAACAAAAACAAAGGACTGCATGAAAATTAAAAAACGTTTTTATATAAACGTCTGATAAACCACGGAATCCTGCAATGCATCAAGTAACAGGAAGCAACTAAAATGAGAATTATACGCACCGAGTAAAAAAAGAACTACGACCATTGCTTTCCCACAGCTCTTCTGTTACTTTCGATGGGAGCTGGGCACTACTTGCGCGCCATTTTTTTTATATCTTATTGCAGATGTTGGATGAAGGCGTTTTGTTGATATTTGTGTTGCCGATGTAAAAAAGAAGTGTTATTTCTGCAACGGTTGTTCGGATGATCATTTTTGAGAAAACAAGATTCGAATTGGCATAGTAGGTATTTTATCCCGGACAAAGGTAGGTGGAGTGCAATGAAAGGATCAGGTTTCGGGCTGCAGTAGCGGCAGATGGAACATTCCACTTCCGAAGACGTTTAACAGTATTAGAACGATGTGGTAATTGCTTTGTGTGTGGTGTGAAGTTCATAATATGCACGCGGGTTTATCTTAGTTCCTAAATTATTCGACCGGTACAGATCGAGGATACGCGTCAGTAATTTAAACATTTCCCTGAAGAGGAACTAGAGTAGAAAATATACCCTATCACTTCTAATAGAGACTCATAGATGACTCAGGTAAGCAGTACATAGAAAAATCGAACTTGTGCCGGTAGCTTTAGCTTAACAAGTCTGGTTAACTAACTTGGCTAATTCTATTAAAGAAAGAGTGAAACTGTGGTAGTATTTACAACAAACATTTATTGCGCAATTCTGAAGCAATACTTCAAATTTATGTATTAAATTTTGTCATGTTCTAATTATGAAAACGTCAATATTTAGATTTTTAGTATATTTAATGAGCAGAAACGTTCCGATATGACGATTAGTTTGATTAGCTTTGTCGTATTTTGACTGCCATGGAAAAAGGAAAATTTGGGCAAGCATGGATAAATAGTAGCTCAATATTTCTGACAACGCACAGCATTTAGTTAAATGATGTTCATTTTTAATGACGCGTGTCACGGGTGACTTTTTGATAGTGCAAAAGATTGTCATGACGCTTTAATGGGACAAAATGGTTGTGTACTTATTGCAGGCTTATATAAAAGGCATGCCGAAAAAGCCTGATAAGCATTACAAATTTGTTATTTTTAATACAACAGTTTTTTCCTAATTCGCAACAAAGGGTCGAGCACAACGTTATATTCATAAGAAAGAATAAGAGTTTTACTACTTTGCTTACTTTCTCCAGGTTTCAACAACAACAGCGACAACGTCAATTTCTGGTGCCGAAGATGAACTCAATTGTGAAAATACACGCTATATCGGGCGTGTACGATGAGTCTCCACACTGTTACCTCTTACAAATCGATGAATTCAAGATTCTTCTCGATCTTGGTTGGGACGAATTTTTTAATCCGAAACCAATCAAGGATATGCGGCGATTGGTTAGTCAAGCGGACGCGATTTTGTTATCATATCCTGACCCGCTGCATTTGGGTGCGTTGCCGCACTTGCGCCACGAAATAAAATGTCCAATTTATGCTACTGTACCAGTTCATAAAATGGGCCAGTTGTTTATGTATGACCTGCATCAGTCCCGCCACAATATGGAACACTTTGAACAGTTTTCCCTTGACGATGTCGACGAAGCATTTGACATGATCACGCAGCTAAAGTACAGTCAAAGTGTACAATTTCAGGGAAAAGGTCACGGTATCAGCATTACGCCACTACCTGCTGGCCACATGCTCGGGGGAACGGTATGGCGAATCACCAAGGATGGAGAAGAGAACATCGTGTATGCCGTCGACTATAATCATAAAAGAGAACGTCACCTTAATCGCTGCGCACTAGAAACGATTCAAAAGCCGTCACTCCTAATTACAGATGCCTTCAATGCAAACTATAATCAGCCTCGTAGGCGAACCCGGGATGAACAGCTTCTGACGACAATCATGACAACCGTCCGTTCTGGTGGAAACGTGCTCATAGGTGTTGATACTGCGGGTCGAGTCTTAGAGTTAGCACACATGCTTGAACAGTTATGGAGAAATCAAGATTCAGGACTCATGGCCTATTCGTTGGTGATGGCAAGCAATGTTGCGAAAAGCGTTATAGACTTTGCCAAATCACAGGTGGAATGGATGAGTGACAAAGTGATGCGATCTTTCGAAAGTGCACGCAACAATCCTTTTCAGTTCAAGTACCTCATACCATGTTACAGCCACGGCCAAATCCAGTCAGTCCCCGAACCAAAGGTTGTTCTCGCTTCCATGCCCGATTTGGAGTCTGGGTATGCCCGAGACCTTTTTATGCTGTGGGCAAGTAGTGAAAGGAACTCTGTTATTCTCACATCGCGAAGCTCGCCAGGGACATTAGCACGCACTCTTATAGATCAAAAACCGAAAGTTGTGCATCTCACGCTCAAGCAAAGAGTTCCACTGGAAGGAGAGGAGCTTGAAGAGCATCTTCGAGTGGAGCGGGTTAAAAAGGAGAAAGAGCTCAAAACTGAAGACTCTTCTGACGAAAGTGACGTCGATGGAGCAATCGAGGATGTGGAAGAAATGGAGCCCGATTCAAAGCGGCCACGCTTAACCTCAGAAAGTGGCTTTGCCGAAAAGCAGTCATTCTTTCAGAAGCCAACAAAGAAGGGTCACCTAATGTTTCCCGTCCGTGAGGATAAACTTAAATGGGACGAATACGGGGAGATTATTAATCCTGAGATGTTCTCAAATATGGGTTTGAATGCTCCCGGTGACATTTTAGAGCCGACAATACCAGATGAACAGCGTAACGGCCAACCTCCAGTAGGAAAAGAAGAAGTAAAATCAGAGCCGCCGCCTGAACCATCAGAACTTCCCACCAAATGTATTGCTAAAGAAATTGTCATTCAGGTTCGTTGCAATGTGCAGTATATAGACTTTGAGGGACGTAGTGATGGCGAATCCATTCGATCCTTAGTGCAAATGATGAAGCCCAAACGACTGGTCATTGTTCGTGGAGGAGACGAAAGCAATACAAAAGCGTTCTACGATTATTGTGTGTCAACCGGCTGCGTCCAGGGTCACGGGGTTTTTGCTCCGAGGGCTCACGAAGTCGTTGATGCCACTACTGAGTCTCATATATATCAGGTTTGCTAGGTTTCTTTTGATTTTTATATCGTGACTATTATATATCATTCGCTACTCTAGATTGGTCGCATGTTTTTACGTGCGAATCTATTGCTACAATGACAACTCAATACAGTTGTAATATATTGTGATAATATCAGTTAGTTTTACTTAAGAGCATTCTGCATTATACAGCCAGAAACGTGTAGCAACAAATCGTAGAATAACCGAAGCTCTAATAGCCAAATCATACTAATGTTAGGACGATCTCGTATGTTTATTCAGGTTAAGCTAAAAGAGTCCTTGCTAGCGATGTTGAAGTTCTGTAAAGTTAAAAATGATGAGCTGGCTTGGGTAGACGCCGAGGTGGCCGAACCTGAAGAAGACTCGGACTTGAGGCGTGGCGATGAGGCCACCGAAGAGCTACTGGCGTTGCAACCTGTTCAAGACCAGAAGCTTCGTCCACGGCACAATCCGTTATTCATTAGCGACTTCAAGCTATCAGACTTCAGACAGGTTTGTATTCAGTTTTTCCGTAATCATAATAATACGTGCATGTTTTTAAGACTGGACGCTGCGACATCACGCACGTGTAGTAATCCAAGTCTTGTTGGATTTTGGTGATGGAGCTAGCAGAGTTCACTTACGTAGGTGAGCTTAAAAAATATGTTAAAATAGGTATGCCTTCATTGAATACGAGCATTTTATTAACGGGAAAACCATAAAAGGAGTCAGTTTGATTTTCTCTTTCCTATTACGATTCTTACGACTCAAAAGATCTGTACTTAGTAGGTGAATTGGATAATGTTAATAGCATTTTCTTATGCGTGGCTATTAAAAATTATTCGGTAGCAGGAAATATTTCGTTATGAAATATGAAAAAGTTCCGAGCTTTTTTAAAAAAATTAAATGCTTACGTTTAATATAATTAAACGTTTTTTAACCGAACTGATAAAACTCGGCAAGATGAGACGATTTGTATATAGTATACTCGTCCATGAAGTTGATATTTCCGAATATGTGGATGGCCGAGTTTCGGTTCGGCTTCGGGCCAAAAGTTTGAATGAGCATAAATGACAGTGGCGCCTTAAAGATTCGGAAAACGAAACAATAAACAGGCGCATATCGTTCGCAGTGGTCAAGTCGCATAATACAAAACAAATAAAAACAGACCTTTTATCTTTAGGTACGTGCTAACTTAATGGCTTGTTTTACCGTAAAACTCGCTTGATTTTTATCGAGATGAGAGAAACGTTGGAGCAACTTTCTGTAATATAACGATTTCCAGTTGAAACATTTATTTGTTGTTGTTATTTATAAATATATTCGATATGTTACATATTCTAAACTTTCTTGTCTTGGCAGGTACTACTGAAAAACGGAATTTCAGCTGAATTCTCGGAAGGTGTACTTTACTGTAACAATCGTAGTGTAACTGTCGAGCGGGGTTTAATTGTTAAAGGTTCACTAACTGAAGACTACTTCCGTATCCGCGACCTTCTTTATGAACAATACGCTATACTTTAGGAAGCACTGTTCCGTGTAATAATTATGTAATAATAGTGTATATACCGTAAATAAAGAAACACAAGTTGAGCATCCTCCGAAAAGGGAAGGATAAAAAATCAACTCTTATTTTGTATAATTGCTGAAGTAGTCAATATTTTTGCAGCAGGCGTATCCTCTAAGCAACCTCGATATATGATTAATGTTTCGAGAAATTCACATCAGGCAGCAAGATATAATATTCATGTAGGCCTACTATATCCATGAAGTGAATGTATAATTCACAAAAATAGTGCAGTATCTATTTGTCGCTGTTGAGACTCGAACCAGCGATCCCTGGACTTTCCTAGAGCCAGTAACCGAGAGACAAATTTAAGTGAATAGTCACAAAGCGAATCACAATTTTGCCAATATCAGTGAATACGTTTCTTACATAGCTCAAATTTAATATACAAAAAAAACGTTGCGTCAAATGTGGTTTTTCTGTTTAATTATGTAGATGACAGTTAGGCTAATTTTTTTTTAACAGGAAATGCCTTCTATGACGTAGAATATCCCAGTAAAAATTTACTAATAAAATAAAAAATTAAAATAAATACTCTAAAATTTAATTAAACCTGACGAACTTCAATTTTATACGCTGGCTTTATCAGATACATCGGATTTAACCTACATGCGTAGTTTGTCATTAATAGAGACGATTACCATTTCAAAACATTTTAAAAAAGCAGTCGGTTCTCAAATATAGAACCGCAGCATGCATGTTGTTGCCATTGTTTAATAGGTAAATGCTGCGAGAACTATAAGATCGACTGTTCTTTCGCATGTCGTTGCCGTTGTTTAATAGGTAAATGCTGCGAGAACTATAAGATCGACGTAGCTTTCCTTCAAATAGTGAAAGTTCGTATAGTGTGACCCTAAATAAGCTATCTTTGCTATGTGTAAGAACAAAGTCTTTGTATTCAAGCTTGCTGCGTCATATATAAGCACATCTGACTTCATGGAGCGAAGCTAGCAATTTCTTGCACGTGTCCTACGAATTCACATCGCAATGGCTATATATGAGTTCTATCCTCTAGATAGACCGATTGATAAAACGCTTAGGGGACTTAGAAGCGAAAATAAATGGACGATGGAATTATCTGCGGTTAATTTATTTTTTCTTCATCATCTTCGGCTTGCAACTGCGTATACGATCACTCGGATATTTGGTGAAGAGGCAGGGGGTTCTATTGAATCAAAATACATACTTGCATTTAGAGATACTGTGACCATTACAGCCACGTCTCTCAAATTTTTCTTTAGTTTAACGATTGCTGAAAGCGTACGTACAAAAATTATCGTGCATTATCTGTCACTATCCACCCACTCATTGCAATCCAAAAATGAGTGACTCGCAGAAGTTAGCGGTAGTAGAAGTACGCTCATCGTTTTCGTAAGACGTAATTTCTCCACATAACACGGTCGAGGTAGCTATCTTTGAACTAAGGTTTTTTGACAACTCGTCCTGCTAATGACTTGACTTGTGCATTATCGATTACAACATATTCTTCTTATAAGTTCTCACTGCTTAGGATAAAGGACGTGTGGTGCATAAGGAAAGGCCACAAGAAGTATATATTACTTATATAAGTATAAGTAATTGTGTCTTGTTATTCAGCATCAACGAGAAATGTACGATTGATAGAGTAATATCTGTCTGTATCTACAAAAACTAACTAACCTTTCTATAAACGCTAAACGGCACCGGGTGTACAGAAAGACTAAACAAACGCCACGGTTTAATTGAAACTGACTAATAATAACATTCTTTTTCTCGGTTAATCCAATTTCTAGTAGCAGTTCTGTCATCACGTGCTATAAAAACTGCAAGCTCTGCCGTGTTCCTATCTTAAAAAAGCTTCGGTTCCTGTCCGAAAAATACAACACGACCTTAGATTATCTCGCAATAGCTTGTCTCGATTTTCCGACTTTGTGATTCCGTTATCGCTCATTTTCTAGCTAACCACGATATATATATCTTGCTTTATTTAAATGTTGTCACTAAATGGCATCTGTCTTTCCCGTTCCCACAATTAGAGTAGTAACAACCGTGATCATAAATAGTGACCTCACCAAAAGAATGATCATTATCATCGATATTATTATTATTAATACTTCTATTGGTTGTACTAGGTGGAGTTATACTGTTACCGTTGTATTCAGCTCCTCCTTCGTATACTAATAGGTTTATATTCTCGTTCATTTCTCACTTCTCTTTCAGTTCAAGCTGCATTCTATTTTACCTCAAAACCAACGAATTTGCTTCTCTATCACCATTAAATTATGCATTTCGGCTGAAACAAATCTGAGCCTAACTGATATTTTCCTAGATCCTCGATTTCATGTTGAGTATCTACCTGGGGGGTGAAGTACGACCACAGCGGTCGTTAGAACTAAAACTTTAGCAATATAGCCATTTAGCTCTACGCATTGATTCCGGCTGACCAGGGATTGCTTTGCAACAGGCATCAATCAAATTGGCGAAAGTACTATCATTAATCACCGTAGCATATACCCATCGTTCCTCAACTTCATGGAGTCGCGTTATCGAAAACGTAATTAATGCATTGTTGGGCGCATTGTACAAGTTTGACAGATTCCTGACCGCGCGTACATAGATCACTTAATGTGTCAGCCAAATTGAGTCGGGAGGCGAGACTACAAAGGTCGCGGTTGCCGTGGAGTAGAGTGCCTAGGGCCAGCAGCAACCTGAACTGGGCTTCTGGATCCGAAAGGCGGGAAATCACTTCAGCCATACTGCGAACTAGCCACTGCGAACGGAACGTGTTCGTCTCTCTGTGAAGACAGAACAGAAAAGACTTCAAGGTCATAGGTCTAACGAAAATTAGAATGATAATATTGAGTGACATGACTTAGTAATTACGATATACGCATTCTACCTTTTCGTCTAGGTGGTCCTGAGGTTAATCTGGACTTAATGGATACCTAATATATAGCAGTAATAACAAATAAATTATAACCAATGTTTTTCCACTATTAGTCCTAATGCTACGGCAGCGCTGTGGTAACATAAGTTGTCAATGGTAAACAGGCGGAAATGGTGATGTTGGCGGCAGCATCAGTGGCAATAGCACGTCAAAATCCGTTAGAAGACATATCCAGACAGAACCAATTCCTCACTCTCTCTCTCTCTGCCTATATATATATATATTATTATTATTATATATATAGGCAGCCTATTATATATAAAATATATAAAATGGAAATGGTACCAAAATAAGATTCGAGTTGCGACACTGAATCTTAAGTAAGCGGCCGGTTAGCTGTAGCATGGTTGCTAGGAAGCTAATAATACCTTAAAGTAAGATCACGTTGAAATCATTGGGTAATCGTTATTTCTACAGATATGTTTTCCGCATAAGTCGTAAACCATTTTCGTAACGTTATATACCTACCGTCCAGTAATATATCGTGATTAGTACATAGAATTAACGTCAGCCGAACCACGTATTCCTCTAATTCCGCGGTATTCACGTTTTGATTAATTTAGCTGTTTTTTAAAATTGAGGTATGTTCAAAAGATGTCTTTAGGCTGCCTTGAGATACGCATTTAGGTTACGCACTCCAGCCAGTGTGATGTTTCCATGCGTTACTATCATCGCTTTCGCGCAACCGCGCAAGTTTTGTAGTGCTCAAGTCATATTAGCGTAGGTGATAGTCTACACCAATCAAGTCGAACATTTGCAAATGTAAAACATAGCCATCCATTCCTCAGAGTAGATTTAACCCCTTATTTTCGTCGTTATACGTGCGTAGCTGATACCTAAGATTTTCTGCCAGCAGATCATAGCCTTCTCAATCTAACTTTTTTTCTTTCTAACTCCTTTGTGTTAATCTCTTTATGCAACGACAAACCTACAAAGTTAACATCAAACCAAATGAGCTGTTTCCTACAGTATTTACCTGTAAATCGATATTCTAACTTAGTTAGCTCGTACCGGAAATAAAAAAATCGGCACACATGAAAAAATAACGTTATGGTTCTACTCATCGTTGAAAGCGGTGAAAAGCTTCTCGAACGACTGCAGCACCCACAACCTAAAGTAGTCAGCACTCTTTGTACTTTGTATTTGTTGAGTAGCTTCTGGAGATGAAATACCCAAAGACGAAGCTCTAGACTCGGGTATAGTAAAGTCCGGTAGACGACGGTATTAAGTCTTAGTTGTGTTTAATAGACTTTCTTTCCGTAATGTTTTTTGTAGGCCGAAATGCCAGGCAACAAGCAAGCATGTGGCACGAAGCCACGGTCGATATTATATTACTGTACTTGAGAGTGAACCAGGGTATGTACACATGTACACTAAGCACCACGAAAAGCAAAAAAGCAGGAGCAATACGAGACTTCTTATGTAAGGATAATGGTCTGTGGTCTGCTTGCAAGCAAAAAACAAACTGTTAGTAAAGTAATCATGTGTAGTAAGTTATATCACGGCTTAAAGAGGAAGACGGCAATTCAGTTTGCATGCATGTATATCTGCGCTGTAAGCCAAAAAGTACCAGAAAATTGGACAAGCAACAACTCCGGTGTAGACAAATAGTTCCTAAAAAGGAACCCAGAACTAAGCATTAATGTGCTGGAGGCCTCACTAAGAGGAGTACCGGCAAATTTTTTGGAGCATCGGACTTAGGAGCATCCAAAGAAAGAATTTTACTTTCGAGCTTCAAATATCTATAACTGTGACGAGTCTGAATGCGCGACAGTACAAACCTGCTTAAAAGTCGTGGCCAGAGAAGATTGTTGTTAATTGCGGCGAGCAATATCTGCCGAAAAGTATTCAAGTTGTTTTCTACCAACAGTGCAATTCCACCGTTGCCAAAATGCAATGCTACCGTTCCTCATGTTTTCTCCTATATTAATAATGCCTCCTTGCTCTGTTGCTCGAATGGATCAAATAGTACTACCCATCTTAGTGATTTCAGGGACTCCGAAATCATGTAATTTTTACAGCACTTCGTGAAATATTCGATGCCGTTAGACAACTCAGTTTTTTCATAATTTAAAAGAGCATGCAATACGGCACCGACCAGTATTGCTAACCTACATCAGAAAGTAACATTCACTCGCTCCAACGTACTTAGTGAAGTTTTTTTTTTGTAGAAGCTGCAGCGTGCACTTACTGCTCTGCAGCCAGAGGCGGCGCGGATACTGGTATATGCAGCAACGAAGGTTCACAAGGAGCATCAACGTCAACAGGAACGGGATAAGATATGCTGAATGTGATTCAGTTATAGCTCATGCTTGCTTGGACCAACAGCCCAACACATTTGCAAATCTGCCCAAATTATGGCAGAGTAGTTGTTGAAAAATAGAGATAACTGCACGTTTTACATTTTAGTCATTAATGAGTTATGCATTTGGAATGTCATTGTGACTTGACTCTAGTAGTCTTGACTGTAGTTACTCGATAGATAGATTAAGAATTAACCCCGTCAGGCTTGGCAGGATATGCTTAGATGAGCAGGAGAAGAGAGAGAGAGAATGCGAGAGGCTGGCCGAATGAATCCTCCGTCGCCGTCTATGCTTTGCGTCTCTACGGACGAGAAGTCATTCGGCGATAGGACGATTATCGTGTACGTTATACGAACTATAGTATTTCTCTTATTGATACATTGCGTAGTTTAAATAGTGAGCTCAATAAGCATTTAATTTAGCACAATTTTTTGATCACCATCCATAATCACCAGCGACAGTAAATACATACAGTAGGGAGGTGATAAAATCTATTGCTTTCGTGATATTTCGTAAATTTCACCTATAAACGTATGCTATCAATCAATGGCTAAAGAAAAATGTGGCGACAGATGTTTCTCTAGGCTGCGATTTGTGATTGAAATATATACTAGATAATAGTCTGTCTCAATTCACCCCATGTGGTGTCTCAATTCAAACGAACATTGGAATAAGCTGAAACACCTTTTTATTTTTGTATAATTTAGCACAAGTACTAATATGTATACATTCAAGCCTGTGTATGGTTGCAATGCCATTAGGTTAATCAACGTGTTTCGTTCATTTAGAATTTTTTTACTTTTTACAGTCAGTGCGGCTACTATGACTTCCCCTATATCTTTCCGTTCAAAAACAAAATTTAGTCGCTTCCTAATTTGTTGTATAACAGTTGCTTCGAAATCTATGCAACGAGTTATAAAAAAAAAAGAATGTTTATAGAAGGACGATCTGGTAAGACGTTCCTTGTAAGTATAAGTTAGATAGTTAATTTTCGCTGTTGCAAATTGGTAGACACCTACTGTTCAGCTTCGCTGTTACAGAGAAGGACGAAGTTAAGGTAGAGTGAGCCCAATGCAATTTGGGTGTTTTTGTTTCCGTTGAACCCAAACTCGGATGAAACCTAACATAGATGACAATCAAATATTTCAATTGTAGTGGCATTAGTGCACATTTACGATTGGTCAATATGCATGGAAAAACATGAAATCAGTGAAATCGAACACGAGGAAACAAATTATAGTAAATTATTGAAAACAAACTTCGAATGACTCAATCTACTCAAGTATATTAGTGGAGGCATTTTATCAACTAGTAACCGGAATTAAAGGATCGCAGACAAAGGAATACCTTTAAAATTTTTTCCCATTCGCGATTGGCTAATCGCTGACCCGCTTCCCGAAGAAACATGTTGACAAAGAACCTAAAATACAGACATTATAATAGTTTTAGCTTCATACCGAAAACATCCCACCTTAATGGAAAGAAATTTCAGATGCGAACCATCAAAATCAGCGATTCAATTCGAGTTTTAAAATATACATCAAACATTTTATGCACGAAAGTAGTAATAGACAATCATAGAGTCTTACGTTGTATTTTAGTTGACTGAAGGCAGCGAATGCTAGGAAATCAATCAAACTTTTTTAACCTAACAAGACATTACGAACAATAGATGATCTATAATGCAGGCTATTAAACCAAAGTATCACTTTGTCCTTCGGGTTAAAAAGTACCGTTCCAGGAATAGCCTACCTGAGTGCAAGCATCCGATTTGCGGGAGCAGGTGAAGCAATAAGGGATGCAATTCGAGCCACCAGTTGCGAACTTCCCGCGCCACCACACATCAAAGAATTAACCGCTTCACTACGAATTGCACACCGTAACACATCCAGAGCAGGAAAGATGAACTCTACGATTAGCACAGCAAAGCAGAATGTAACGATGTAATAAAAAATCAATGACGAAAATCGCTAATTAGATAATTTAGAAAAACACCTACAAATAAGCGTATTTCCGAAATTTACTTCACTGAGCAGCTTAATCTTCAATACCCTGCAAATACCTAGAACGCGTTATTGTTATGCCAAGGACATCAGGTATTCACGAGGCATAACTGCATAGCAAGGACAAGCAAGTGGGTTACTATTAGTAATTAATATGTCCTTAATTGTATATTGAACAAAGACAACACATGTTCCATTAAAATATATTTAACCAGTATTAAAGCGTAAGAGAAAAACAGCTTCTCTATTCATTTACTCCCAATAGGATTGAAAAATAGTATGATATGCATGTAATCCACTTGTGGGTGATCGTGATTGAAAGCCAAGTTTGGAAGAGCTTTCTAGTCATTACTTAATCGGATGTGACTTCTCGGAGTACCCGATGCTGCTTAAGAGACCGATTTAGCACACAACTGGCTGCTATTCATCAGAGTTTTAGAATAAGGCTGAAAAGTAGCTTGTGATTTTTGCTATTGTTGCATCTTTGTACAAATGAATACTACAGACCACTGGGCCATTGAAGAAGGGTTTCAAGAGTGCGGATGTGACTTTCCTCCAAAGTATCCACTCGGCATTCAACCAAATCTTTGAGGGCATCTAAGTCTCCATCATTACGAACAATATTTTCTGGTGGAACCTGTAAGTTAAATTCCTTCAATTTATTTAGCATGCCAGATGTATTGGCGATGTCGAAAGCGATCCATTTACCGGTGTAGGGAAGGTGTTTCACCTGTAAACAACGAGTCATTATTGTGTGATAGCATTTTGTGCGTATCATTAGCCTTTCCGTACTTGCCTCAATACGAACGTCATGGTTGCCCAAATGATGAAAAATAGTGCGTTGTTATCAGAATTTCAGCAAATTTTAGTTATTATTCGACCTCTTCTCGTATAGCAAAGCTTCATTGAGATTATAATCTTTTACAATTACCCTAAATCGACAGTGCATCATTTCCCAAATGCAAATTCGGCTGAAAAACAAGCCAACATAAGCTCGAAAAATGTACGAAGGACAAAAAACGAAGCGCTAGTGAATGTCGTTCAAAAATTAAGACGATCGATAAGTTTCACGTCGGCAGCGAAGAAATTCTAAATGGGCACGACCACCATTACACATTAAAAATCCGACAGATGCTCTTCGAAGGGTCCAGCAAAAAAACTTGATCGGCTTCGTTTGCTGTTTGATTCTCTAAGGGGTTACACAGCAGCCGGTTCTCGGTTCTTTGAGGAAGAATATTTTTCTCATCATTGCAAAAATCAACTTTAAGCACCATCGTTGACTTAGAGTGACTTAGAGACTGCCTGCTGGCTAATGTTTATATTCTAAGAGAGTTTTCCAGTGCATGAGACGTCACGCCACCGTACTTCTCCGACAAATTACAACACCTCACAAAAAGTTTATCTACGTGTTATAAAGAAAAATCATGCATTTCCAAGTGAGATGATTTTCCTGTTAGTGCAGGACTTAGTGTTTGAAAATATAAACACGTTTTGGAATTAGCACATATGGCCGTCATACAACAAGAAGACGTTAAATTATTATGTAGGGTGTAATTAAGAAAGTGTCTAACAAGTTTTTGCATGACAGTGTCGAGTGGCTCACTTATACTAGCAAGACAACTTCAAAGGAAACATTTGAAATGAACGTATAAACAGTTTAGGCCCCGAATGAAAGAAGGCAAACAAAAAATAATCGAGGTAAAGAGGTTATATTGAATAAGCATTCGGAAATTACCTTTTAAGCAGATCTAAGAAATCGCTAAATATTTGTTTTTATTTGGTTAGGATCAGAGAAAAAGCCTAATATAGGCTGGAATACAGCCTTAAGTGAGCTTAGATAAAATATGTATAAATGGGTCACTCACCTCTCCTGGACTTGTATTGCCATTTTGAGCGACATCTATAGAAATACCGCGACTGGAACCCGGTACATAACGATTCCCTCCCGTGAATGGATCGCAAAAATCTTGAGATGGCGCCTCTGCTCCAAGGGTGACACCTGAAATTAGGGAGCAACGACGGTACTTATCACGTAACACTATACACATACACAATTACAGCCTAGCTTGTACACATTTTAGTACATTTATGGCTTTTTCAAATAGCGTAAGCAACGAACCTTTGGTGTTAGTGATGATAAAATTAGCGACGTTACTTAAATAGTCTTGCGGCAGCTGATGCTGGTGAATAAACCTTTGTGCTACATGCCAAGGATCCTCATTAACATTATATGGCAATTTGATCGGCTTAGAGTTGTCGTCGGTGTCAACATTGAAGACGAAATCATATTCTTTGCCTTCGTACATGACTTTGCTTCCTGAGCCTGGACTTCCAGTGCCGTCCGGAGTTCCAACGACGTCACCTACGAAAATGAACCAAGATGAAAAGATGTGTGCCTTTAGCGAAGCCATGCAAGCATGTTTTGATGTCATAAGGAGGGAAAAATTCGCAAAGGAAACACTCGCGTTGAATTTCACCCAAATACTGATATTTCTAACTGTACATAATCATTAGTAGTTGTGTAAATTCCTTGCTCTACACTCAGATAAAAACCTCTATTTTAAAACAAAAAAAAGGAGGGAAAAAGTATATTTATGAAAATCAAATCTTGGCTAATACAATTATGCTATTTTAATTGAAGTGTTATCTCCTTTTAGATACATTTTTTTATTGTTTTCCGGTTTGATTTTCAGCTAAACGTCGCAATCTAAGTATATACTCACAAAGCAAAAAGAAAAAATAGATCGTACATAAAATTGTGTTGGAGACCGTCAAACTTTTTTTAGAATTGCCAAGTTCCTAAAAAAAAAAAAAATCCACAAAAACATCTGTTTAAAAAATTATTCTGAATAATTTCTATCTATGGCGTTTATTGCGCGAGTTCTAGATGAAACGATGGGTCGGTATGAGTTAGTGCATGATTGCATATTCCCCTGAGTCTAAAAAAATATTTTTCTACGTTAGACTCTTCCCTTTTTCATACAATTTGTTATTGTCAAAGTTGTAACAAGTATTCATGTTATGCTATTGCTCTTCAATGCATCTGTACCTTGACTTCTTTCTTACCTATTTTATTCCAGCTTTGCTGGTCCATCGACCACATGTAAGCAGACACCTGAGCACCATCCCTAATAAGAATCGTCTGTCCCTCGCGTTTGCCGCGTTCCTTAAGCATTTCTGTACCAGGAAGGTCCTCGGTTTTAATGTCTCCAAGCTGTTGCGGTGCTGGAGTACACTTTGCAACCTCTTCTTCAAAGGCACGAATTTCTGATGGACTAGCCTTAAGCGCCTCGTACCTGTAAGTTTCCGTTTACAAAAACCTGTTTTTAGACTTATGATAACGCTTTAAGACTTTTGTCTTGCATCAAGAATTAACTACAAAAGAACATAGTTGCGGCTATTTCACGTTGTAACGCTTGCACGCGCCACCAAGACCGTTTAAACTTAAATCAGATGCTCAACTTAATGGTAATATTGGTTTTAAATTTTACGAGCATTATACCATATTTGAAAGTCTCAACGCAGTAAAGTTGAATCGGATTAAAAAAGAATACATAATTTTAATTTTAAAATGGTCGTTTGTGAGTAATTCAAGTTATTTGTTAGAAATTTTGAGATGGTTTTAGTTCTCTCACGCTTCAATAACGCTTAGTACTGCTCACAAGACAGAACTCTTGCTTTTCGATGTTCTATTGTTGGTACCTTGTGAAAACTCTAGCCACATTGTCGCTACATCCTGCAACGATATCTCCATTTTGCAAAAGCGTAACGCTCCATACGGTTGGACATGGCATGCGAAGTGTTTGTTGACAATCACCCCGAACAGTCCATACGCGAACAGTACCATCTTCTCCACATGATATGAAAAAGTCACTGTCTTCTAGGGCAACAATTGAGTAAATAAAGCTTGTGTGGCCCTGCAAGCAATTAAAAAACAATCTTCCATATAAGAAACATTCCGCGGTAATTACTTTTGACGATCGTAGGTTCGCTAGTTAATTTGTTAAACACCATCTGCTGAAATTACTGTACAGGGAGCGTGTTTGATACGACTTCGCGTTTTGCTACTTTCGAATCTACATTTCTTCATATTCTTGAGATTTATTCACCTGTTTGCACCTATAACAAGCACTTTTTGGATCCATCTGACAGATTTGTCCACATTGATCAAATATTTATAACTATTCAAGTATCGTTCACCCAACGTTTGTGCGGTGAAATACGCAATACATATGAATGTAACAAGTGTTTATATATACTAATAAAGGGTGCTGTAAATCTCGAACAAAATATCACGAGGCTATTATGGTACAAAATACGAATACGACCGAACCTTGTAGACATGCAGACAGTCACCCGCCGTCTCCCAGTGGCGAATAGTTCCATCATTTGAACATGAAAGAAATTCTTTGGTGGACAGAACTGCCAATCCACGAACGCAATCTTCATGACCTGTAAATGTTTTCTCGCAAGCACCAGCCCTCCACAGACGAATCGCTCTATCTGCCGAACCTGAAAACGCAAACCCGGCAACTTAAAAACATATTATACCACGAATTTGTCAACCTAAAAGGGTCAACCTGGTGGAGGGATGTTGGTTGACTAAATCGACAATAAATAAAAAGGCCACATTCTTCAAAAGAGAATTCCATATAAACCCTGCAATTGGCCCTAAGAGGCTCAAAAGCCCAAAAACACCGCATGGTAGATGTAGAACCTTACCCGTAAGAATTAGCCCCTGTTGCGGCATGAGTGCTACAGCCCACACAGCTCCTTGATGACCTTCTAAAGTCAACATGCACTTCTGACCCGACCATACCCTAGCCGTTTTGTCCCAGGAACCTATAAAAACAATTGCACAAAATAATGCAGCATAATAACGCATAAAATCTTTACTAACACTGCCTTTAAGCACGTAATCATTTATAACGTAGTTGTACCAATATATCACATAAAACGGTGTGATGTAATTTGAGAAAAGTCTCATGAAAGTTTCAGAATGTTCCTTCACAGCTTACATGCAAATAATTGCGATAAACAGCGAATTTAACCAATCTCACACATTTGTAACCGCGGTACTTTATTGCATTTTCTCAATTTCCATACTGCTATGTTATAATGGCACAACGGTATGATATGTCTAAAATTCAACTGCTACAACAATGACTGCTGTAGCCATTCAAATATTCTTTAGAAATTGTATAATAGAATACAGGAATAGTATAGAACACATACGTTCTATTGAATTTCTATTGCAATAATTTGTATATCTTTTGCTAATTCGACAAAATGCGAAATGAATACTTTGCAATGGCTTAGAGACTTATGCCTGACGAGGTATGTGGTACCTGATATACTTCATTAGTAATGAAGCTAATGCGCGAAACCGGTGGATAAACGAATATTATTGACTTTTAAGATACAAACGATTGGAGTTACCATCGTACTATTGATACAAAAGACACAGGTACATAAGCTTTAAGAAACAATTTACGACCGCCTCAATCCGGAACCAAAGCATATGGCGCACGCGTACTATAACGCGTATTGTTGCTATGCTGCAATTGCAGACACAGGATCTGATTATTTGCCTGTTGTTAGTGATCGCTTATTCACTAGAAACCGTCGCTTTGCGATTACTTACCAGATACGAGAGTGCCGAATTGACCAGTAGCTAACGAGCATACGGCACCTGAGTGGCCCAGCAGTTTATGCAACGGTGCATTTCCGTCAAGATTAAAGCAGTAAATGTTACAGTCATGCGATCCGACGAAAACGAGACCTTGTGGAAATTGATCTGAAGGTGGCATACAACATACTGCTGAGACGAAGCCAGTCGGGCCCTGAAGGCATTGTGATTCCGAATACACCGACGAAGGATCCCTAGATAATTATAGAGAAAACAAAAATATTGACCTATCGCTGCATGAGACGCTGTATCCAGAACAAACGTGTCAGATAAGGATTAAAGTAAAATATGTACTATCGTATAGTGCTATATATCATATAGTACTATCGACCTATAGTGATAGAATCTGTCGTAAGGTCATTGTAAAAGCTTATATAGAAGGGCCATATTGATTTTTAACTTACAATATATATTATGAATTTGTTACTAAAAAACATACAAATTAATGTTATTATTAATTTATTTAATTCATTAAATTAATTAGTAATTTCACTACCTAAATCGCTTTGAATTATCTGTTAGTTTATTAATGTAAAATTTACACAATTAACAAAACCACAGTAAAACCGGTTTCCATAAGGCCCCGCCTTGATATTACTGTTCAGTGTCGATTTTTCGCTTTTCCTTCATATAAACTACAACGGTTCAGCTTGGTCTGATGTTATTCAGAGCCTCCATAAAAGTAACTGAAATAAATATATTTTTCTTCGCTTTTAGTTGGTGATTACTTACTCGAAATGAAGTGGTATTTGTGAGTAGGACCAGCTAACGAATACTATAATTTGCAAGACACAATTACCATCCCCCTACTGGTTACAAAAAAAAAGATACTTCATTATACCGCCTCCGAAGGACCAATATTAAATTCTATGTATTAATACCCAGCGACGATGCTTGCTTCAACAAACGAGACATCTGTCTCGGAGAAATGGACTGGTTAAACAATTCGGTAATGCAAGAAAAATATCGACAAGGATGAATGCTAAGCTTATTGAACCTAACAACCATTAAATAATAAGGACCATTAAATGGCTACAACATCCAATTTTGTTCATTTGCTTTGAAATAAGTATTCTCTGTTTAATAACTAGCCACGCGTTTACCGAAACAGCCTAAAGTGCATTAAAAACGTTGCTTGGATTGCTATCTAAGTAGGCATAACCAATATAACAGCCCTAGTCTTAAATACCTACTACCATCCTTTTTGTACGCCCTGCATGACAAAAACTTACCTTAAAACCCCTTAAACGCAATCTCCCTTTACAAAAAAAAACTGGTAAAAACAGTTAGAAATCCGCGTAGTCATCACTGACACGTGAAACCAAGAGCGGCTACTTTAAAGCTGCGATTCGCCTACTTCAGTTGTTTTGTTCATTCAGTTCACAGCCGAAATTGCCTCGATGTGAATCAACAGTTGTCAGTTGCCATTAATGAATACCGTCTGCTGCGCTCAGCGGGCTCTCTAGTGATTAAAAGACTACGATGGTTGCTAACTCGGATTAGACTCCCCAGCGTCTAATAGAAACAGACAGAATGAACATGAACCTGTATCGAGATTCGAAGCCTCAAAACACAAAGACATTTTTACGAACTCTACAAAATGCAAAAATAAATTTACTAGTAAAATTTGTCCTACGATCATATTGTCTTTCAGTTGTCGTATACCGTGTCAATAATTAGTGTCACTTTCGAATATAATGAAATAGCTGTCACCTAATGCTACGTTAGCGAAAACGTTAAAAAGTTCCTAAATATAAAAAGAAATACATAGGATGCAGTTGAGAGCATCCATTGAAAACGTACTCGCTCTGCGTCCAGATCCGTGTTGTGCGGTCCCTCGACCCACTGACGATCGCGCCTTCAGGAAAGCAGGAGGTGGCCACTACACGAACATCCTGTGAATGGCCCACCAGGGTGGCGCGAAGCATGTAACTCGCCGCGATGCCGTCTTCTGTTGCCATCGCCAACTACCCGCCGAAATATAGTACGCTTATCACACGCTCTTTGTATGCTCAATTTGCCCTTTTATGTTTTTTTGTTTCCAACCGTACGTCTTTCCCTTTAAAAAGGAATCCACCAGTACCACTCTTCAATTACAAACTAGAACAGTAAGACAAGTAACAGATAGGGAGCGGTTACGAGCGGAAGAGGAATGTATAGCGCACGAGCGCCACCATCGCTCTACTAATCTTTTTGTTTAAATTTCTATATCATTATATATCGGTATGATGAATTTCTCAACCCAAGCTTCCAAATGCAGCCTCTTATTGTTTCTTTTGGTTTCACTATTCTCTGTATCCTTGGTTGATGAGATGTCACTGTCTCTAGTTTTTTTTGTCCGAGCCTTCACTTATTCAACTGTGATTACAGATCAACCAATAGATCATCCAGTAAATATTCAGAACCAGAGTCCCAAGTGGATAAAAAAAACTTTAAGAGCCAAACACATGCTCAAGTACACTTACCCTTACACGGAATATGAAAAACACGCCTGCTATATTAGAAACACTTGTAGTATAATAATATGGATACGATTTCACTAATGTTGATGGCTGTTTAAATTTTCCGAAACCTTTGACGTTCCAGTTTTTTTATTCGATTGGGTATGAAAGAACCCGAACTGGAAAACTTTAGTTGGGACACTGTGACGGCGCTATCCCAACATGAGATCAATGGGACGGTCATACAGCGTTAGTTAAAGAATCAATAACAAAAGCTCGTGTCAGCTCGAATCAGCGCCATTGCATTCAGAGTGAGAGAGAGTCGCGCAAATGCAGGTCATTTTGAACCCGGATATAGCAGACGATTTCCGAGTAGCCCGGGAGTTTACAAGACGAAATGGAACTCATTAGCTTGAATCAATTAAACCTGCTTTACTAAAAGTTCACGGTATAATATATGTGCTCGATACGGTCGCTAGATTATCGGTTAAACAACTTTTTCAGCACAGTTCCTTTTCCTTCTGGGAAGAAGCAATGAAGTATTCTAATGTGATACCGCAGTCTTTAAAATGCTCGTTCAGATGAACTTGCAACTATGTGCTGATTTTTTGCTCACAACTTTTTAATTTCAGGCCCATTCTTCTATCAAATAAAGTATTTTCGTTTTTTTAAGAAAACATCTAAAATTATTGCAGAGATTGATTCAAATAAAATCAAACAAATAGTTATGGTAAATTCGAAGGAAGCCAAAACGAACGGTGACAATATTACCGAAGTTTTAAGAGTAAACAGAGAGGTTACTGCAGTTTCCTCGATGCCGATATTCTAACACTATTTATAAGAAAGGAAGTTATTTCTACTGCGTTGTATAGCTGATCCATTATAATATCAGATTTGTGGCAGACATTGTGTTTGAGCCACCAAGAATAATGAAGCATTGAAATTTGGAACTTATATGAGTAAATTTATTCGAATATATATGTATATAGATTAAAAAAGCCTTGCAATTGCGAGGTTAACCTGTATTCTAAATCCTTCAAACTATTTACTCATAAGTAAATATTGTGAGTAAAAAAATGTCCTTGTTGCGTATAATTGCGTTCAGGGCTAAATGGGTGGCACACAAAAACATAGCCTGCAGCTTTTGCTATTTTTCACCAGTTTTCTGTCTCTGTGAGTTGTCTGTTGGTTTGTGTGAGTCTGTATTACTACGTGCAAAGGTTTGCATCAATTGCATCGTTCCAATGCTCGATTTTTGGGGCAGAAGGAGCTTTATCACAACTGGTTTTAGACAAATTGGGTTTTTGAACCACATGGATACACTAGATCAAAGCGCGTAAATTATAGAACAGTCATTGTTATTATCATTCTCTTTAGTCTCGACGTTCACTATGCTCAGGGAATGATCTCAATAATATCTGCTAAAGTCTTTCAAAATTGTATCCAGTTTTTTAATCAAATCTTTGTCGTGGTCGAGAATTCTCATAACCTACAACATACAATATTGTCACTAAACGGCTGGAGTTATGTAGGCTTGTTAAGCGCATTTAATATGCTCAATTGATAAAGACGATACGCTTGTACAAACTTAATATATTTTCCTTAGTGACTTTTGAATTTTATGAATTCTACGAACGCTTTGCTCAGATTTAGTCTTAGGTTAGCTCAGATTAGGCGCTATAATATACATCGTAGATATACATTATTATCGAAATGCTCAGGACAGTGTTCATCGGTTTCTCCAATCTACAGGGAACAAATAAGTGATATATATATCTTTCAAAATTGTACCTAGTTTTTTAATCAAGTCTTTGTCGTGGTCGAGAATTCTCATAACTCGTATGCATGAATTCTTTCCTGCAATTTGCTAATAGCGGCAACTATCGAAATCGTCCACGTCATTCAGTGTTTGATGTGTTTTACTTGACCATTTTAGCATCACTACCGCCTATCGACGGCGTTTTGAAAGGTTATGAGTAAAATCCAGATGTTTTGCGCTTCGAAACTTTTCGAGCAGTATATACCTGTATTGATGTCAAAGTAGACTGTTAAATGACGTGGCTGTAAAAGAATCGCGCTCGTAGAGCGTATGCAACCCTCTCCGCTGGCATACATCGCCTGCATCAGTGAGTTAAATAAATAAACATACATCCATTCGTCATAACTGGAACATCGTATACACCGCACCGGCTTAATCGACACATTTCTAGTGTTTCGAAAGTGTTCGATTGAGAAAAGAAATTCTTGCGTCTAGATTATTGAATCCAGGACTGATGTCAGGAGTTTAATTGAGCGGTCATTTGCGTGACACACCTAGGTCGCCAGGATGTCTAAAGTGGTGCCCACAGCTGCACAGTTCTTTGCCGATGAGGGTGATACGGGACCCGAGGATATCAGCCAGCGGGTGCGTTTGATACTTGTGAAAAACGATTCGATCATTATTAGGTTGTCTCTTAATCACTCAGTGTACTCATGTAATATTTACATAATATGCGAATAAAGAGTTATTTTTTTAAGCACGTCTCAATGATTTTACGCCCAACTGTATCTAAAAGCATAAACGATGTTGCCTAATCAGTTAACCATTGCGACCACCTGCCTGGAATAGGCTGCCTATATGAAACTTTTTGGCAAGACTTCTGGTGACGTTCTTTAAGAACACCGATAATAATAATAAAGCGTCGATTAAAATCCTTTAAAACAAGTTAAACAGAACTCTTGTTCTTGTCCAGCTTTATTCAACTCAAAAATGATAAAGAACCTCATGAAAAAATATTCTATGTAACACCTAGGGCCAGTTATAGTTTATTCATGCCTACCCAGCAGTGCGAGTAGGACTAAGCATAATAATTCCTGACATGGATGCCTTTTGAAGTAGGTCACCAGTATGAAACTGTTATTAAAGGTTCCTAATTGCAGAACATTTTGAAAATAACGTTGCATATTGTGCATGGGTCAAGTTAAATGATAATTTCTGCATATTGTGAAAGCTCAGGCGTAGATGTGTTTTTTTACATAGATTGTATTGTGTGTGAAATATGTAGAGACATGGACTTACAAATCTAACTTTATCACCTGGATGTGCATTAACTTTGATTATTTCGAAGAACCTGCACATAACAGTGACTTTTTCAATGCTTTACGGGCCTTAACGGTAATTGACAAATTTCTAGATTACACAGATGTTCGATAATAGTTAATTCAAGCCAAACTTAGAACTTAGTTTAATAGCTTAGAACTTTAATATACTAAGAAAATATTAGTCAATCATCTAACATGAATCTTTCTTATCGTCGATGCGTATAGGTGGTCGCCTTGCTGAACGAAGCTGCAACAGCTGCGAAGGAACAGCATAAAATTCAGAATCTACGTACAGTGCAGGAATTGATCACTCAGAGAGATCCCGGTTTACTCGATAACTTTCTAGATGAAATTCTTGCTTTTCAAAATGATCGAAGCGTGGATGTTAAAAAGTATGGATAGGAAAGTTTTCTAGAGAATTCGTTGCTTTTTAAACTAACCGCTAGTAAAAGAAGAGTTCGGATGAGATATCGCTGAGAAAGCCTATTTCTGTAAAGTTTATTAATTTCCTTTAGTCCAGAGCGGGAAACAGTACAATATATATATATATATAGATATATATATATATATGTATATATAATATAATGTGAATATAACTATTAGCCTTTCACCAGGCATGTGTTACATGTAGTGATTGTAAGACTATAATCCGACTGTTGATGGGAGCGTAATATTAATTTCAATTGATTCGATAGATTTCTCGTAGGGTTTATGGAGGCGTCATGCAAACGCGATCCAGCTATTTTACCTAGGGTCGTAGCTAATATTCAACTGATGCTTAATGAAGAAAATCCAAATATTCAGAAGCGAACGATACAAGCTGCCACACAGCTCTACAAAGTTTGTTTAAAGTAAGCGTTCTCTAATGCCTATTTATATTTATTAATGATTTTATATTGCATGCCTGCTGATAGCAAAAAGAAAATTGAAATGGGAGACCTTTACTGCTTATATATTTATTTCATCTACATAGGTAACCGCAGAACGTGATTTTCAGGACACCGATACGAAATTGTGAGAATCCCTTAAATGAGTAAAGTTTAGAAAATAGTCGTAATACTAAAAGTAAGCTAAAATTTACTTCTCACTCTTTAGGTGGCTTTGCGCATCCAAAAGTACCATGAGCATGGACGACCTTAAAAAAAGAACGTGGAATCATTTCCAACAAATACGGGAGACAGTTTCTGGATTGCTCGACAGCTACAACGATGGGTAGAATCTACTATACTTTTCCTAAAGATATTCAGTTTAAGCTCTATTAAGGGAATGTTACTTGATATACGTCGTTCTTGCTTCACGTATCTTAGCTGTGTGGGTATGAGTATTTATTCTCCATTTCCTTATTATTTTCTTCTAATACAAATTAATAGAATGGTCGGTGCGACAGAGCGAACAATGTTTTTGATAAAAGATCTCAACTAGAATCTTCCCGATTTCTATGTAGCTATAGATTAGGCGTATTTGCCCCTGCTGGTTCTGAATGAATAAGGCGCTTCTAGAGCATTAAGATATTAATTAACTAGCGGATTTTGAAGTTATATTAATAATCAGATAGAGAGAAAACTATATCTTCTTTTTTTTTCATATGTGATTGGCGGGTTGCAGAGTTCGAACGCAGGTGATCAAGTTTATGGAAACTGTCGTTTTATGCCAAACATTTCCTGATGTGCATTCACCACCGAAACGTGCCGATGATGTGGCCTTAGATGACGCTCCCATACACGTGGCACAAGTTATTAAGTTGACTACTCTTGAGCAACAAGCTAAGAAAACTCTCGAAAACCTCGTAGCGTACCATGGTGCAAAGCATATATCATCAATAAACCTCATGACGTGTACTCAGGCTTTAGTCATCGTGGCAACTTCACGGTGAGCAAGTCCACTTTCTTTGTACTTTCATATAAACTGACTATACAGTGTTAAATGAGTTCGGACCCAGCACAAGGTCAGAACTGAATATGCTTATGTTTAAGGAAAGCAATATATGAGCTAGGTACGCTTTTTATTTTTTACTGCGTAAGACACGGATACGTTTTTGGAATTGACATAAAGTATGTGAAAGCTATCGGCAAGTGGTGTCAAGTTTGTTTCAATTAAAGAGTATGCTATATTATCTTTTTCTATCTTCTGACAGTGCGGAGTTCATGCCTCGGGTTATAGCCGCTTTGGAGAAGCTGCATGCCAATTTGCCGCCAACGTTATCGATGTCACAGGTATCGTCAGTCCGTAAACACCTCAAATTGCAGTTACTTTTACTATGCAAGCACCCAGTGGCTTTGAATTTTGCACCCCAGCTTACTGCTCTTCTGTCCGACTTGGGTGCTACGCCTCATGAATTAGCCAAACAACTTCCATCGAAATTTATTCAGGGTGAGTCAAAAGTAATTATTATCGAAAAAAAATGCAGCTGGGCATTATAGGTCAAGGAAGCTACAACTGAAAATAATTAGCAAGGCGTTTTAACTGAAAAATTACCTTCAAAGCAAGTTTTTGTGAATATTCATCTTTGCAGAATCAACCAGAAAGCGAACGATACCTACAGAGGCTCCGATTGCCCCTAAGATGCCCTGGATGATGCCTGTTTCGGTGGGCGGAATTGCCGATGATGATGAAGACGGTGAAGCAGATACTGGACCACGTGGCGTTGCATATCGAGCAGCCGACAAGGACGCTAGTCAGAGCGCTATTGATATAACAGCAGCCGATCTTACTCCGCGTCTTACGACGCTGAACGTTACAGATATTGTTCTCGTTAGCATGGTACGCTACGATGCCATTGAGTAACGTGAAGAATATTCATTATGCTTTACTTATTCATTTGGTTAACTGCCGAGTCCATTCTTCTAAATATCGCAGTTGCGCTAGCGTGTTAAATTAAACATGGGGTCAATTGCTTAAGTAAAGTTAATTCTTGAAAATGTCAGTTTAATAGAGATTGCAGCTCTATATAACGTTTGAATTTAGAATCTTAACTTTTGGAATTTTATTGTTATATATATATATATAGTTATAGGAATTAGTGTTAAAGAAAAATTATGATTTTATTATTAGCTTTAGAAATAACAAATCTAAGTTGTGCATCTACCTGGAAATCGCTTATTTACTGTTCGTCCAGCTAAGAGTTTTCTTATAAGATAATTTGAAAGACCAAAAGATTAGCTTATTGTTTGCATACATGTCACCAAAACCGTCGTGTCAGAACGATGGCATAATAATAATCATTTGACTGCGCGAGAAGAAGCTAGACTGATACCCTTTAAGGCTGTAACCTTAAAGGTTAGTGACTTTTATAGATCGTTGTAAATCGTCGCCATGACGTGTACATCTGAGTCCTTAGCTGAAAAGCGGTGATAATAGGTTCGAATCCTGCAGTGCAACAACATATGCTCCAGTTAAACTAAAAACCTACAGGACTGAGCTTCAAAATTAATAAAAAAAAAAAAGAACCATAAAGGATTGCTTTACTTTCCGGGCCTGATCGTCATACTTTTTAAACATGACGTAGTAACCTTTATTCCATATTGGTATTCTAGCTTCGCCTGCCAGAGGCAATGCCAGCTCCCTTTAAAGAGACCTACACACCGATCGGTTCCGCGGGCACCGAACAACAAATCTCTCATTTGGCTCGTCTCATGGCGTCCCAAATGACGGAGCAAAATCTTGGAAAGGGCGTTGAAGAGATGATGCGTCAAGCTCAAATTGAGATGAGTCAACCGCAAGATAACCAGGTATTCCAGCAAATGATCCTTTTATCGATTAGATATACACAATTTATAGTACTTTTTATGTTGCAATGACCCCACTATTACATGTGATGAATGTTTTAAAAAATGCTATGGGCTTCGACCTCAGTTGATCATTCCGTCAAGGGACCTCCCGTTAATGCGGTTTTGGACTCAAATTTTCTACATCTTCTGTTAATAGGACTCTGCGGAGCCAATGCAGATCGAAACAATTGGCGGTACTAAAATACCTGGGTCCAAAAAAACAACGAAAGAACCGGAAGTTCGAGAAGAAGCTTTGCCACCGCTACTGCCCTCAGGCGCCGAGATCCCTAAAATGCGAGCCCTTCACCTAAATCTAGCAGAGGTCACTCGACCAATGAACAAGGAAGAACTGGAAAGCTTTATGGTTTCGACAGTACGTAGACTCCTGAAGACGGGTCAGTATCGTACAGTGTTTTCATTATGGGGTCTATTAGAGGGTGCAAGTATGTCATCTTAATTTTGGTTTATCTTGGTACGTCTTTTCTCGGTAAAGAAAACCTCTAGTCTATGGCTTTTATTAAAGATTTAAATAAGGAGTTAAGAGTCCTTGCGTTATAGGATTTATTATACAATATACGTGTATAATCTCAAATTCAGTTTCTTTTTTGTAACGTTTTCTCTCAACAAAAGGGACCTGGTTAAAGATTGAAATGAAGCGTGCACTTATATGTATCCCTTGCTATTAGATAAATAGATAAATCAGATCATCGTACAACTAAACAAATCAGCTCAAGCCTTTTTGTGATTCGAACAAATTGTGATCAATTCAGAAAGTCAGCCCATTGCGATGTTGTTTGGAATACGGCTACGATAAATATACACAAATTCTGTGAAGAACTTTCCTAAACGTGCTCACACCAGATTGGTCATTTTCAATGGACTTGTTATTGCTATTGATATTTGTTGTCGATATTTTCCGTACTGGTAATTTTCTGCATAGGACTGACAAAACACTCGAAAGCGCAGCTGAAGACGATTGCTGGCGTGGCTACGCAGCAGCGTGGCGATATAGCGGAGCTGATCCGTGAATTCATTTGCAAGAATGTTCGAGCGAACTCGGACCTTGTCATGATGTGGCTTTTCGAGGAATATACGGCCGATCTTGCTCTCCCAAATTCAGACCCACCGTTAAAAAACTACTCACAGTGCGTTCATGATATCCTCATGGATCTACTTATCAAGGTAGAGACACGGGATCGAGACGTGATCTTTCAAAGGGTATTCATGGAGGCTCCGGTTGTTACAGAGAACGCTATTGATATTTTGCAACAATACTGCCAAAATGAAGTGTCAGTTAACCACGGACTGCACATTTTACGTTCTCTAATTGAATATAGACCCATCCGCCAAAAACACTATCTTGAGCTGCTGCTGCAATTGACAACCAACCACATGGAGGAGGTGCGACAGCAGGCCGTCAAACAGTGCTTAATTCTCGCGCAGAAATCAACCGAGATGAAAGAAGCGGTTGAGAATTACGCTCTTCAGCACCTCCGGGCACTGCTAGAACCATCGCCACCAGCTACCCTTTACCCAAATCAACAAGAGGGTGACAATGTTTGGTTAGAGGATGATGTAAAATTGTGTATGACACTTTATCTGGCCCTGCTGCCGGTTAATCACGCACTGATACACGATCTGGCGCACGTTTATGTAGCAGCACCGACCGATACAAAAAGAACGATACTTTGGTCGCTTGAGCAACCCGTTAAAGGAATGGGCATGGAAAGCCCTGAACTGTTATTGTTGCTTGAAAATTGCCCGAAGCACGCTGAGACGTTGATCACTCGAATCCTGCATCTTCTCACTGAACAAAGTAAGTGACGTATAGTTATAGTTCTGGATCTAATATTTATACGTCGCATTAAATAATTGAAACAACAGTGTAGGAATATAACAATAATAGTTCCCTATATTTTGTGTTTGCTACATTTCAGATGCGCCATCAGCAGAGCTTGTGCGCCGAGTGCGTGATTTATACCATAAACGAGTGGGTGATGTACGTTTCCTTATACCGGTATTGACAGGTCTAACTTATAAGGAAGTGGTAGCAGCACTACCAAAATTAATTAAACTGAACCCGAACGTCATTAAAGAGGTATTCAATCGGTTGCTTAGTTGTGGTGAGTCTGGTGGCCCGATATCGCCAGCAGATCTGCTAGTTGCTTTACACAACATCGAACCATCAAAATGCGACGTTAAGACAGTGATCAAGGCAACGGCCCTGTGCTTCGCTGAACGAAGCGTCTATACACAAGATGTCCTGGCATTAGTACTACAACAGCTCATGGAGCAGAACCCTTTACCCACACTGCTTATGCGATCTGTGATCCAATCATTGACACTTTATCCACGTCTGCTAGGCTTCGTGATGAACATCTTGCAAAGACTTATAAGTAAGCAGGTGTGGAAACAGAAAAAGGTTTGGGAAGGATTTATAAAATGCTGCGAACGCGCTCAGCCACAGAGCTTGCACGTTATCATTCAACTTCCGGCCGAACCTTTACAGGAGCTTTTTAATGAGGCGCCATCTCTTAAGGAGCCCTTGATACAACACGTCACGTCACTCACACAGCATCAGAGGTATGTTCCATTTTAAAAAACAACTATACAAGTTTACTGATTTTTGCGAAGTTTCATGGAAAAACAGACAACGAGGCATGACAAACGCCGAGTATGCACGCAAAATGTGATCTCTGTATGTGTGTGTGCAGAAACAGTGTTTTTTGCATTAACGCTTATATTGTTATTATTACTACCATTGTATTCCAATATGTTTTCGTGTTTTTCCCCATACCTGGTGGTGCATCTCAACCATGTTTTTATTTGACTGAAAGAGGTTCGTATGAGAATGTTGTTTTTCAATAGGTGAATTGGGATACGCATTAACAAACTAAATGAATAAAAATAAGCGATTATCACCAAAAACTTTTTTACGAAATAGCAATAAAATCTATATATCTATCAGTAGTAAGGAAGATTAGATGGGCATAGATAAACATGATATGGATTAAAAATGCATATCTTTGTGAAAAATTAGCATTCCTTTTCATTGTCAAAATTAAAAGTGTGCTGCTCTTCACAGATCTCACATTCCGTTGTCGGTGCTGAAGATCCTGTTTCCCGAAGATGTCGCTTCACAGGTAGCGACTGAAAAGGAGGCTCGAGTGGGAGAGCAACAACAGCCGATGGAACAAGACGACAGTAGTCAGTCTTCTTCCAGAGGTAGAGAATAATGTACATCTAAACAACAAGTCAGTCGGCGACTGTTATCTCCATATCGCTGACCACTCTTCTTAAAGTAATGTCCTGTAATAATCTAGTTATCATCGTAAGCGACGTTATAAATTTCAGACCATACAAGTCGGAGGGTCAAAAAGTTTGTATGTAATAATGTAAGACAATGATTAATGTAAAGGGAGAGAAGCAAAACCCAAATTATTTTTTGTGCATTTGTCAATAGATATTCAGCTTTGTCATGGTGTTAAGATAATAATTATTGTTTCCGGTGAGTGGGATGTGAATTCGAAGCTATAATAAAACGACGCCCTTATAAAAGCAGTTATAAGGCTGGATACGTGATATTTAGAATTTTCCTATATAAGGGCTGTGAAATAGATTTGGATTAGGGTTTTGCGAATCGAATGTTCATTAAAATGACCCTCTGTGGTCGTATAACAGCTTTTGCAGAGCCCGTACGGAGCCCTGCTTTAATAAATCCGTCGCTATAAATTTATATAATTTCCAAGATAATTTACTTGTGAAAACGTATTTTGTTATATACGCAGAAACTGAATAGTGTATGGCTGAAAACATTTATTATAGGAAATGATATGCAGACATTATTTTAACGAACATACAATTGAGATTTATGAGTGTATGCACTAGAAACTGCTACAGATGCAAACAGAAGCAGCATTAATTTTTGACAATTTGGATGAGATAAGGACAACTGAAGTATTGCTTTGTTGAATATTCAAATCACTTCTAAAAAGAGGAGCTGTATAGAGTATTGAAATCGAAGTAATAACTGAAAAAAGCTTCCGAGATGAAGTTAAGTATTGAAGCATATTAAACATCTGAGTTTGGTTTTTGTATAAATGAAGGTGTGCGTGAGTTCATTGTCGTACTGAAAAATATCTTCGTAGTGATCGTTTCGAGCACGTTTGCAAACTACACAACTCTCAACCCTAACAATTACTCCTTGGCATATATAGGGGAGGATGGGGCTGTATGGGTGCTTCTTCCACAAGGTGACCGAAGTAACCTTATTATAATTCGTTAATTTCCAAGAAAGTATCAATTGATTAAAAGATATCTATGCCTATGTTGACCCAATAGGTAAGGTTACATAGGCCAAAGATGCAGCTATTTGGGCCACTAATGATTTCATGCAAAGTAGTCAGTCAATCTACAAAACGGAAGACCAAACGTTTTTCTTCAAGAAAGACTGTGATTATGGCTAGAGAAGCCAATGTTTTATAATCATTTATTGCCAAGCTAGGCAGATAATTTTTTAGGATTCATCTATCATAGAACCACACACAGTTTTGTTGTGCAATGTGAAATCGACTTCTGAATGGGTGATTTTGTTACGAATAATTATTCAGGGTGAATTCTGATCTTATTATAAGCAATGTGGTCCATATGTCAACGATGTTGTTTTATCCGAACGATGCGTTATGCCAATAAAGTCGTGAAAATGTTTTTCAAAAACAATGTGACGCATTGTCAAACGGCATGTTACGATTCAGCCTTAGTTGAACTTGACCTATGTACACATATATACACACACACACTCAGTTACTATGGGCTATGAGGCTACTTGGTTCCTTCAATTTCTTTGTAAAACTAATACGAGTGGTATTTTGTTTCACAAATGCTCGAAACACAGTAGCCCATATAGACCGCAGCTAAATGGCTTTAAAGTCACATGCTTTGGGCAGTATGTTCCGTCGAGTCAGCGTTAACGTCATTTGAAAACTGGAGTTTGGTTGCAGTAGATGTACTGATATAGTTAAGATACCTTTATTCCGACTTAAAATAGAGCGCCTTGAAGGTAAATTGTCTGCAAATAATTTTTATGCGTCTGCACACATAAAAATTGTACTTTTTATGACACAGATCGCTATTACTTTTCATTATACATCAGCCGCTTGAGAAGTGGCTCGAATTCGTTATGTTTCTGTAGAGTTGTGCAAACACAAATGCGGATAACAAAATTTTCGTACGGCACTCAGACGTGGACTTTTTTGTACTCGACTTCCTTCGAATGGTTTAAAACTTGGTGGTTCGTGGTGGAGGTTCAGTACCTAGGCGATATCATGGTTACTCACGTGTTGCTTTCGCTCAACTTTCTAAATAACTTTATCAAGTCTATACGTAGTGCGGCCTGTTGTACTAGGCGTCAACTAGCCTCATTTTTTTACTCTTACTGAATGCATAATCTATCTGCAATTTGAGTTATTCCTTTTTGCGGCGAATATGTTAATCTACGTAAGCGTCCACCATCAATGGTTAACGTTAGTAATTCGACCAGTCTTGAAATACGGACTAAGGAGTTCAAATGGCACGCGAGTCATTGCGTCTTGACACCCGAAGATGACATAAAATGTAGACGCATTGCTATTGTGTTGTTCCATGGTTAAACGATAAACTACTTATACTCCTCCTACCTAGAATTTGTAGACTGCAAGCGTGATGTTTGAGACCCGAAATATGGTAATTTGTGCCTAGTCAAGATGAAGCCATAGGATACTCTAGTAGATGTCTACAGCTTTGATATGCAAATCGATAATCTGATCTGGATATAGGACAAGAGGCTAATCAAGTAACTATTTTTGCCGAAATTTCTTTTAGGATAGGGTATACCTTTGGTTTCATCCCGTCAGTCAAACGAGCCTGGACAGAATTTATCCTCATATCATAATTAAATTGTAAAATATAGCAGACTTTTTGCTCAGCTTCAAAGTGCTGAATTTCCATTCAGAATAAAGGCATTCCAAAAATTTGACCACATTAAGTTTTGTCAAATTTCAGCTTCCAAACGACATCAGTCAACTGATCAGCCGACCCGACGCGACTCATATTACTTGAGACGTACTTTTCTACAACCCAATGCAATGACTATAAGACTGGATTGTAGTTAGCTTTGATTTAGGGGAAACTGTAATAGAACGATAAAGTGGTTATTTTGCTCGTCCATCGTCCAATGAAAATTCAACAAAATGAAACAAAATACTTAGCTGTTCTATATAGCCCCATCTACTGAACTTTGATTAAGAATACAATAACGCGAATTGTACTTAACTTCCAGTTTTTTTAGCAGTGTTCTTTTTTAGCTATAAGTCGAAAGACATGTCTCCGAAATAGCGTGTAGAGCTAGCATTAGTTTTTCAGTTTGAGCAGCTTTTTCGAAAAGTGCCACGTTAGAAGCGTCTTCTACGATCTCCTATAATAACGGAATGACACCACAAGTGTCAGGAAGACCAGTTGTCCATGTGGTTGTTAAGGATGAAAACACTGATCGTAGTACCTTAAGGATAACTGCTCTGTTACAAAAACTTTACTGAAGACGACAGTGTTTAACGTAGCTGTATGTACATATGTACTCTTAACCTATTTTATGTAAACAGATAACGTTTAAATGCCGCCTAACATTTTCTCGAGTTTTTTAAATTGATTGCCGCATTCATTCTATTTTACTTAACAGCGTCAATATTTCTTTGATCTAGGTGAATCACAATTGTTTCCTTAACTAAATCCAGAGGATTCAAGTAGTTACGTTCTAGACCAGAATTGTTTCGTCGAAATTGTTCTTTAGATTCCTAGAATAAGTCCCTGTTGGATATTCTAATTTTAGCTGCGTCCACACAATTGCTTTAAAATGCAATGCCTACGGTAATGCATAACAATACTTCTCAATGGTTACTTGGTGATGTTCCCTAATTAACTAAGCATACAATACAAAGATCATAAATAAAGACATCGAGATGTAAGTTATGGGGCCATACACTTTAGCTCGGTTACACCGAAGCGCCTCGTACGCCGAATTTATTTTGCGGCAGCAGCCTTCTTGGCTATAGCCTTGAATGGGTCTACTTTTGGGGGCTTGTTCCTTTTCAAAGCTTTCTTCAAGTGACGCATACGACCTGTACCAGGGGCCTTCCTGCGCAGAGCCTTCACTGACCAGTTATCTGAAGCCACAGGGAACAAACTTATGTAGCTGAAGTTAATAAATTATAGTATTGTCTTCTTTAATTATCGGTAAGCATTAAACGCGTATTGTAGGACTCAAATTTAAAGATGCTAATTGCAAAATAATCTTGATAAAAGGAATGTAATATGTAACGTCAGTACGTTTCCTATACAACAAAAAACATAAACGCATGTAATTATTTTAAATATCCACATAGAAAATACAACAATACGACGTTGATGAAGCAGAACCAGTCAGATCTCAGATAAGTGATTAGAGGTATTCTGTCGGTTCACACTGTTTCTGTTAGTTCCTTGTTTGAGCCGACGTACTCAGATCGGCTCGAAGTGATTAAGCTCAGAAGTAATTGACGACCTGTTGTTCATCTCATACTGGTTAGAAGTAAACCATCGATAAATCGGCTTTACGTCCGATAATATTATTAAATGTTGCTTCAGACGGCTGGTGCTTTTCGATACGAAATGAATATCTCTGTTTACTTTCGTAAGTTCAATGGGTAAACACGTTACCACAGTATCATATCACGAGGAAGTATAGAGATCATAAAGTATAGGAAAGCCTAAAACATAGTTAAACACTTACAGCTTCTGATCTTCGGATCCGGATAACCACAACATGCGCAGCGGCTTTTCTGGATATGATAGGAGGATTTACCACAACGACGGCACAAAGTGTGCGTCTTGTTATGGCGCTTTCCGAACGATGAGGTACCCTTCGTCTGAAAACCGCAAATGCATTTAACACAGTGAATGAAATGGACATTCTGAAGAGCTCTAAGTATGTTTCCCCGTAATATTCTCTCAACAATAGATGTGTAAATACTTCTTCATAGAGACTACATCTGCACATCCACGCGCCGCACGTATGCAACTGCAAATACACATTTCACTACATCATAGAACACGGCCCACCTGCCGCTTACGTGATGCTCCGCCTACACTTAAATCTCAATAAGCTTATTTGGATTAATCTAAAAAACATGTCCAATATAAATTTAAGGCTTGTTTAATTAAAAAAACTAGCGATTTCTTGAGATTTTTTTTCGAATTCATATGAACGCACCATGATTCACAGGCTCCTGTTTGCAAAAGAGTCGACTTCTCTGTTGTTCGATACCGAAACCATTCGATATAGAGGGCGCCACATTTGCCCAGTTGAATTTAATAAAAACTAACCAAAGTATTTATTTGCGTGATTGACTGGGGTTACTTAGGCTGAATTTCTCTTGAGTTGATCGTGAAAACTAGAATGCATTCGACATATGTTGCTGCCTATATTCGAAGATAATTCCATCAACCGCCCGATCCATATGTAAACAGAGGCAGTGTCGCCGGCCATGTCTACTGGAGCAGAACGGCTCGAGGGGACAGTGTATTGTGAGTGTTGCTAAATGTGCGTTTACCAACGATCGAGGTAAAAAACGTATTAACGATGCTTTAAAACCTATTATTAATTAATGCATTTTCTTAAAGGTCCAATCTGCTGAAGGGCAAAATGGTGACGGCAACTTGCCGATAATAATAATTCTTGTGTGAGTTTACATTTGCGCGCTTTCGTGAAGCTTTTAAGCAAACTGCGTTGCCTAAAATCGTCGGTCTATGCCAGATAATAATAGATTTGTCAACTCGATAAATTCATAGTGCAAGATGTTTCTTTTTGATTTTGTCGATGATGTATTAAATCTGCTTAGCAAATATCTTTTATTCAAAGGTTATTGAGGAATTTGGGTTGTGGTAAAATCAGAGAAAATGTCTTTGAACTAACATTCAACATATTGTTGTGATTGAAATTTATTTCATTACGGTATCAGCAGAAAAGAAGCCAACTGATTCCGAAAGGTGTTACAGGAAACATGGGTCGTCGTCGGAGTAAACGCAAGCCACCTCCAAAACGCAAAAATATCGAAGCTTTAGATACGATGTTCAATTGCCCTTTCTGTAATCACGAACGTTCGTGTGAAGTAAAGATGTGAGTAATACAAAATTTGTTGGCTTTTTATCAGATGATAGTATGTGAGGTAAAATATTTAAAAAATGTTCTATTTTCTGCGATCAGTTTACGTTATAGTATGTAGCTTGACCATATGATCTATTGAAGTCAAAAGTATCAGCTGATCGCTTGCTACTCACAACTCAGCGGAATGTCTGTAGAGTGTGGACCTGTTAAGCAATGAAACTGGTCATTTCGCCATCGCATAAATAAACAATAGAACATACAGCTATTATTGGCATGCAATTGAATCTGTTTCATCAATACTTACATATAAAGCTTGGTAAATAAATGTGGCCAGTGTTAACAATAATTGTCTTTTTTAATAAATACTTGGCCTATCGCTATCTATAACTGTAAAAAATAGAGGTACGCATAAGGGGCATACATGCATTATTCGCCGTTAGTTTGAAAACTGTTTGGGATATTAATTGTAAGGAGTAGAATATATATTAGGTGTTGTCTTTTATCATTAGAAACTTTACGGTAGAGTGCACTTTGCTATTTTTGCGGTGAGTTTGGTTAGAGTCAAACAACTTACACAACATCAACTGTAGTATTCTTTCCTGCCGCGCATGGGTCCTTTAATAGGCGAAGTGATTAATTTTTGGCAATAAAGGGTGATCGTTTGATGCAATATTAACATAGTTCCGCAAATAAAATTTGGAAAAAAAACGAACTGAAGCAAATGAATAAGTCTTGAGGATATTTACACTTCGAAGAAGCATGGTTTAGTGTAACCTTTCTAATGGTAGTTCGATTCATAGTTTTTGAAGCGCTTGGTAATTTATTATGCTTTAAACTGAGAGAATATATTATATATTTGGTAAACGTGGGTGTCAGGCAATGTTCTTTCGTAGTTGGGTTTATTGTAAAATTTTAATAAAAAGTTTAAAAACAAGATGTGCGCATGAAACAACACTTATATTGATTCGGTGGTTGCTGAAGCTCTACCAATAAGAAGCCAATTTGGCAGAGATTGCGTGCTTGAATGTGAGCATCAGTGCAGAAGGCTCTTTGGACATCTTTGACATAAAAACAACTATCTACAGAGGAAGAGTGATGGCGTTGACCTGAGGCATCCTCTCTGTGTAGATTGTTACTACTTAAAGGCGTAACTTAAAAGAAAAATATTATCAATGCCTGTAGTGCCGGAAGGACACATTCCCCTTAGGGGAATCGATACTGGTTAGCGATGGAGACCACGTGGCTGCGTGGCCGAGAGTGGCACCTCAACATTTTTATAGTCGAATTCAAGAGACTCCGAGAGCTATAGGTCTGTCCAGACCCACAGTCAGCCAAAGACCAAAAGCAAATAAAAGCTCATACTGTGAATCACCTGCCATAAAAGTCACACAGGTGTGTTACTTAAAGACCCCTCTACATGGAAATATAACTAACAAGCGAAAATGCTGAGTAAGGCAGATTATGCTTTGTGAGAGTTTTTTTGAAATTGATTAGGTTAAAGATCATAATGTGCCTAGTATAGGTCGTTGTAATCACGATAATTTAGTAAGGTGGAAATTTGAACTTCGAGTAGCCTAAGTATCGAGCAGCATGTATGAGAAACACAGTAAGTACGCGAAAGCGTGAGTCGCTTTGTTGCGTATGACTGTACAGCACCTTAACCTACACTGATCAAATTGTCTAAACAATACACCATTTTAAATTAGAGGAAATATGCAGTTTGAGGGTAAATGTATGATGTGCACTTTCTTTTACGTCCTAAGAGATTTTCGGATAAATGTGAAAATATTTAACTTTACTATTTGAATTGTTTGGCGTAAGTAAGAATTCGTAGATACGTAATATGTTAGGACTATCTCAAAAACACCTGTCAACGATGTTTTGGATGTCTAGCACATAGGTCTGGCCTGTCGAGAAAGCAGTTAACAAAAAATGATATGCCTGAGAAAAATCACGTTCATACTAAAAAGTATGAGAGCTTTGGCTGTAAATTCTAATGGAAAACGCCGCGCTTCGTCACCAAACAAATGGAGTAAGAAAAAGCGCTTGTTTAGATACTGCATAGTGTTAACAATTTGTATTATTATTATTCTTATTATTAATAATAGGATTAGAAGTGGAAGGTGCAAAATCTACCAAAGCCATGAATCTACCAAACAGCACTAATTAATGAAGCAGTGTTAACACTAAACACGACAACGAATGTCGGAAATATGCTCCCTGACATCATTCTTCAGTAAAAACCCATCGATAGAGCCCAATATTCCTAATGCAAGTAGTACGAAATAGTACTTCTTTGAATCGGTGTATCTGGATTTTTTTCTCAGAGTCTGCGTTGTCTGCCACCCACAAGTGCAGTGGAGACGACGATTTCAGCCATCTGGGCAATTGGAAAACAGCTTTTTCAAGGGATCGTGAACGGCTTGGAACTTGAAGCGCTTTGACTTCACATCTTTGTCGGAATTGCGGCGTTTACATATTGAAGGGATATGGATATAATCTCATCCTCACTTGAGTGTTGCGTTATCTTTAGCTTTAGATAATTTAGGTCGGACATGACCGTCAATTACGAATGCAGCAAGAGACCCAAACCGGTCCATATAAACCTTGCAATGTAGGAGTGCCTTCCTTCCTTTGCTTTTAACCGCAAGCTTCTTTGCTATTGTTAGGCTTGCCTTTTTCTATATATTGCTTTGCAGCTTTTCGTCAGTACTTCGCGGAAGCGTTTTTTTGTGATAGTGAGTTCCTACTTCTTTATTATATTGTCTATTTTTCTATTTTATTGAGCACTTTCCCACTGTACTAGCGTGCTACTGCACGAACTGTTAGTTCCTGATTCAAAAACGAGGTTTGAGCAGCTTGAGCAGTTGGCATTTAGTTACCACAGTTAGGTGTATTTTGCCCAAGCCAACTAGCATCGTAAAAAGTCTCCTGTGCTGTAAATGAAGACGTTTGCTTTCGGGAACCACGATCTTGGCGATTAAATAAGGTCTTACCTCCACATCATTCCCCATAGATATTTAATAGCTCTCGACTGATCTCATTAACATCTGCATATTAATTTTTCATTTATTATTTTCAGGGATCGAGTACGCAATACAGGACGAATAACATGTAGGGTCTGTTTAGAAGATTTTCAGACCCAGATCACCTATCTTTCTGAGGCAATCGATGTTTATGGCGATTGGATCGATGCGTGCGAAAATGCCAATCACTGATGACGGAGAACATGGAAATAAGGAAGGGTAGCCCAAAAAAGATCACATTAACATATAAACTGGTGTATACACATTATATATTTATATATAATATATACAGATTTATTGAACTGATGCAAGTCGTGAGCTCTTCAGTTAGCGAAGAATTATGCAAATGGTTGACTTAATTACCGCCTATGCTTGTGTATATATTATGCGTTGCGCGAAGAAGACTTATAAAACCATACCATTGTTTGACTAAATGCCAAAATGTTTTAAATAAACCAAATGTGCAAATTATGTAAATTAAAACCCACTTTTTACGTTTCACTTTTTTTTTGTATTTTCACTGCTAGCTTTATTATTATTCAGTATTTTCATATAACATTTGTAATTCAAGTATATGTTCTACATAGCTCTTATATAAATAGACTCACTTAACGGTATGTACTAACATTTACGAAATATTAAAAATAGATTATATGTACTCTATCACCCATTAACATGTATACGTGTATGACTCCAAACGATGCTTTCAAAGCTATTTAGCTGCTATATATATTTTCCTATACATATATTACATTTATTGAAGGGAAGGATAAACTTATATATTTGTAGCGTCTGTGCTTCTCAGCTTCGGCTCGTTGTTAGGCCAAAGTGGACCGCTAAAAGAAAGGTGGCCTACAACTAGTAAAACCTAGTAAGATAATTGTATTACCCCATTTATTATATTCATTAGCCTGGTATCTACGCTTTACGTCAACACGTATTACATATACGTATTGACGTAATGTTATACCAACGTTTGCGTATGTGACACATTGCATAATTGCGTCCATCATCAAATGGGGCAAACCCGTTAAAATATTGGACGTTCCATAGCTTAATCAAATTAAAAATATATGACGTGTCTGTAATGTGATAAAAACGATTCATCCAGCTGTAATGATAAAAGTTATTCAATTATTCTCGATGTGGCGATTGTGTAAGAAGGACACAGGTTTAGTTTAGTCATTGTATCATCGTTTATGTATAGACGCACATCAAAGACCCATGATAGTAATAACCAATGATCTTCTTACATGATGTCTTACTGTCATTTCTGGCACATGTCAAATGAATTGTAATTCCTCTTTGTATAAGTATTTTGTATTGGTGTATTGAAAAATTTTCTGGCTGGCTTTACCGGTTGCATGAGCCCCATCATCATCATAATGTCGTTTCCAATTACAAGAATCTGAGCAAACTTTGTTTTCCATGGCGAGAGTCTGCCCTATCTGCCATTTATCAATACAACTTCATCAACACTATAAAGGAAAGGAAGTAAATCTGCAGTGTTAAGAAGCCAGACCGACCGTCTACTGTTAACACACGTGATGTTCGCCAACATTGCTCTCATGAAATCATCACCGTTTAATTAGGTCTTTATGAGCGCTTTTGTTATTTCAGTTACTGCATACACGTTCTTTCGGAACCGTACAGCACGCGCACTGATAGTGCGCGTCGTGATTTAGGCTTATTTTGTTCAATCGTAGACCAGGCCTAGCATGTTTCTTCGTCCATTTCTCTGTTGATGTTACCGATGACAGAGAGTATTGGTCAGGCAGTATTGCGCTTTCTGTAGTAACAAATCACTTTCAACCCTTTCTGTACCTAACATCTCTATAATAAGATAGTATTGTATTCTCATATCTCTTATTTGCTCAAGCTTATTATAATAGCGTTGCAACGGATGAAACGCTGAAATAGCAATAGTAATCATAATCGCATTAGCAGCCAGTATTATCAGCAACAGGTTCTTTGATTTCTCGATCGCTGCTTTTTAAGGCAAGAGGCACATTATTCTCGATTATTGGATTTTCTCGAGTGCAGAATTCTAGAGAACGTGGTTCATTTGAAGCAACGCCAGATATAAAGCTCACCAGTTAAGGCATGATAGCGCACTTTTATGCAAAAAGAAAAACAAACAACGAAACAAACTGGAAAACTAGTTTGTATTGAAATGTATATATGACATTCGACAAATGATCGTTCAAGCACAGCGCTGTTCCATTTTCCGCGAATATAGCTTGTATTGAGGCAACGTCAGTAGGTGCGCGACAATTGGAAATCATCGTGTTATATA